TAGGGCTTGCCGTGATTCATTGGTGATTTTCAGATGGTACTTGTAGGCCTAGCACGCGATCCTCATAGGAATATGCGCATCTTATCTGTGTTTTCAGTCGCCAAAAGAACTTCCAGCACAGTCATGTGAGGTTGATGTGGTTGGGTTTTATCCCCAAGACCATACTTGTTTGTTGACTTCGTTTTAGTCTTGGTCCTCGCATCTACGAGAGTGGAGCGCGTGTAAAACCTCAAGGAATAGCACATGAAGGCTCTTGTATACCACACCTGTCGCCGTTCACGATGCCTTTTTGATGCTGATTCTCAATGCTAAAACCTAGTGTGAAGGTCCCGTGCATGATATAAGCTCTTTCTCTAGTTTCCCGGCCCTAGAGACAGCCAGCAAGACGTCGAAGCTGTCGATCCATGTTTTGAGCCTCCAGTGCCATAGTTTTGACGAACCCCATCTTGAATCAAGCGCCACTCCAGAACGATCGACATTCTGTCCTTCGTGAAGGTTTTCGGCTTGCAGCAATCATGTAGGCAAGGACGTGCTTCTTGTGTTGTCCCAGCGACACCACAAAACACATGGTCCTGTTGGTTGGCAACTAGTAGGGTCGACGCAGGAAACTATTGATGTAGCTAAACAACAGGCAGAGGCTTATCGACGCATACATCCTTCTCTAGTTATCGTCTTTCAATACCATGGCTAGACTGCACGGTCTTTTTAAACCTCATGCTATCGATACTGAGTCAGACACTAACAATTTTCCGTCAGAATTTCCAGGCTCCAACACAAACATACGATCGACAAGAATCTCTTAGAAGCCACACGTGGCAGAGCGACATAAAACGTGGTAGCACAATCTTATAATCTCCACAACCATGTAATCACGCGCTTTCGATTTGTTCGACCTGGAGGAGGAAAGCCACATTCTTGATGGGGTTCTCGATTTTGGACATTGCCTACTCCGTCGATAGAGGGTTTGGTAGAACAAGCGGTAGGCAGAGCCACATTAATGCGTTTTTGCACAATTTTGTTTCCCAGCTCCGTGGTACTAGACATGTCTAAGTTGTGATAGAGAGCCACGCACGGCAGACACACATACCTGTGCATTGTGACCATTTATGTTTCCCGACTCATGGCACACCTCGTTACCTAGTTTAGAGATGAGCAAGACAAAAGCACATCGATGGATGGTCCCTCGGTTTCAGTTTCGGCGCCATAAATTCGATGGATTTGTCTTAGTCGTCAGAACTTCCCAACGGAGCGACAGAGTCACATGGTAGCCTTATCTTTGGGCTTCAGCCCGCAGCGCCATATATTGCACGTACAAAATCTTGTGAGGGCTCTAACACGAACATATAGCTATACTAGTCGAGGGTTTTCGGGCTCCAGCACATAGAACAGCACAACGGCCATTTTGGAGCCAGACGGCAGGCAAAGCTGCATCGCGCAAACCCTCGGCTTATTTGGAATCCAGTAGCATGGGATTGTGTCGTCTGCATGTTTGTTCGAGTCAGAAGACGGACTCACATAAGCACTGTTGGGGATGCGTTCAAAGTGCACAGAACCGTGAGCTGGACACGCTGGCACTTGTTCGAGACGAAGGGCAGTCCACATTTAGAGTCTTTGCTTGTTTTCTTGATTCCCGCGACATGTCCTCTTCCAATGGCACTTTGGAGACACGGCCCGGACCACACACATCACAGTCCGCGGTGTCGCATTTTAGTCTCCAGCACCATGAGGTCGATTGAAATGCTTTGTGTCTTTATTGAAACACACCACGGAGCAACATGAAATACTGCAGAGTGGTTGTTCTCCAGCTCCATGAGCCAGTATTGTGGCCTTTTGTAGAGCAAGAAGCCAACCACATACATCGCATTGCGAATCAGATGTAGAGCAAGTCAAAGCTTCCACACCATGGGATTCTCATTGACCCACTTTATCCAAGCCAACCGCAGATCCACACATGGTCAGCAGTCATGCTGAGTTTTGCCTCCGTTCCATAAGCATGGAAATCTGTGTCTTCAGGAGCCACTCGACCGACCACATCGAGGTCCTGTCGGAAGGCTTCAGCCCCCAGCAGCATCTTGCCGTTTCCTTCGTCTTTCATAATTCGCGGGCAGACAGACGTATGTATCAACCCTGATTAGTTTCCCGTCTCCAGCGCCATTTGCAAATGTTTCTTTGGTTTTGTTTGGGCCACAGGCCAGAACGACATGCGCAGGGATCTTCTGACATTTTCAACTTCCAGCGCCATTAAATATTCGGAAGGAGGCTTTCGGAGAGCACAAGGCAGCCACACATGGATGGCCCATCTGCGGACTTTCTGTCTCTAGCACCATGATCGTTCCGTTCTTTGAATTTTGGACGCACAAACAACGGACACATTATATGAATGTCTCCCACTTTCAGTCTCAGTCCAGCACCACATAAGTTGCTTAGGATTATCTTTAGTCCAGACCCACCGCAACCCCACATCGGCAGTAGGACAGGATCATTTTGGAGAGCGCGGAGCAGACACATTGAGGCTGAACCTGCGCGATTCTTATCTCGCGCAGCATGCATCAGCCTCGCTTGCAATTTTGAAGGTACACAGCAGGTTCCATAGAGACAGCAAGTGAGGCATTTCCAAGCTCGAGCACCATGCGTCGATTGGCTTTTGAATTGGAAAACACACAGCAAAGACATGACACGGCAGCACGTCACCTTCAGTCTCAGTCTCCGTACCAGATAAGGCGCTTAGTATCAGGCTTACTCCAGACCCACGGCAAACCCACATCAAAAGTAGGATGGTGTCTTTTTGGAGAGCGCAGAGCAGACACATTGAAGCATGCCTTTGCTACTTTTATCTCGCGCAGCATGTGATTTGCCAGACTGATTTTCCAGAGACCAGACCGAACAGAAGACCACATACCACCTGCTCGATTTCCTTTCTGGTCCCGGAACGCATCGATGTATGCGTCTACCATTTAGAGAGCACAGCGACGGAAGACACACATACAGTGGGCTCGTTACAGTCTTGGTCTCCGGACACATCAGCGTTATCTTTGCACAATTGTCTTCTCGAGCAGCATGCGCGCAGACGGTCTGAAGTTTCCAAGAGCAAACAGAACAGAAGACCACATACGACGGCATTCTGGTGTTTTTGGTCCCGGAACGCATCATTAAATGCGTCGACTATTGAGAGAGCGCACGGAGAACACATGTATAGTTAATTTGTTTGCTTTTTGTCTCCAGAAACATGGCCCAGTCGATGTGTCTTTTCGTTCCCAGCCCATGGTAGAGGAAAGAGGTGCTTTTTAGTCCTGCCCCAGGAGACCACATAGGACGGCATGGTAGCGTTTCTGGTCCCGGAACTCATCGTGCGCTTTAGAACTAGTTTAGAGAACAACGCACGGAAGACACACATCGGCTGTTGCCGTTATGTGTTTTGTCTCCGGACACATTAAATCAGATTCGTTTCATTTTAGTCCCCTGGCCCATAGCTAAGGATGTACTGATCCTGAGTCCCCAGGCCCATGGTTCGGGATTACCTGCATTTCAGTCTCAACCAGGAGAAAGAATTGGCGGAACACCATAATATAACACCTCCATGGCTTGGAAAGCAGCACACGGAAGACACACATAAAACGAACCCGTGTTCCTTTTGGTCTCTGGACATATACATTCCATTCTTTGTAACTCTTTTCGTCCCCAGGCACATGCATTGGCCTTTGTGAATTCTCGTCCCCAAGCCCATGGAACATGTTCATCTGAGTTTATAGTCCCCATGCGGCCCATATCCTCGTAGCGACGTGCATTTTAGTCCCACCCAGAGGAGAGAAGAAGTGTGCAGACCTCAAGAACAGCGGAAACTCTTGCCCTTTTATACACAATTGTAGACGGGAGTGAGTGGAGGAGCGCACGGAGGATACACATACGGCTGGATCATTGTAGTCTTTTGTCTCCAGACACATACGTTTCAATCTCCTTGAACTTTACTCACAAGCCTATAGAAGGGTATAGTAAAAGGTTTTCGTCTCGGGACACATACAATCCTTTGAGGTGAGTTTTAGTCCTCGGACACATGCGTTGAACACTTTTGAGTTTTGGTCCCCAGTCCCATGATCTCGAATTCTTCAAAGTTTTATTCCCCCAGGCAGGCCCATCGGGCAGGTTCGTTTGTATTTTAGTCCCCCGGCCCATTTTCAACGCGGCGGGTGACTTTTAATCCCACCCCATATGAAGGAAGAAGTGTGCAGACCCTAATAAATGGCGGAAAACGCTTCTTTTTATACACATCCATAGGCTTGAGAGGAGGAGAAAACCAAAAACGCACATGTACATATTGGGTGACTTTTTGTTTCCGGACACATGACCTCTTGGGCGTTTAATTTCAGTCCCAAGCCCAAGCAGAAGGTAGCAGAAAGCTCTCGTCTCCGGACACATACGATCGATGCGTCGCAGGTTTTAGTCCCCAGACCCATGATTGGTTTAGTTTTGAGTTTTACTCCCCAGGCTCATGATATCGTGATCGGTGCGTTTTAGTCCCCCCCTCCCCCCAAGAAGTAAGTCTGAAGATCCCCGAGAACCGGGACACCATCACGCTTTTCCCGTGTAGCTTCAAGAACAGCGCACACAGAACGCACATAGGGCGAAATCGCCAGGATTTTTGTCTCCGAACACATAGTTTTTGAGGAGTCTCCTTTTAGTCCCCAGACACATACGGATTGTAGACTGTGGGTTTTAGTCCCAGGCCCATGAATACAGCAATGGGTGAATTTTAGTCCCGCCCAAGAGCAAGGAAGAAGTGTGAAGAAGTTAAGAACCAGCGGAAAACGCCTCCTTATATACCCATTCTCGGCGGGAGTGCCATCAGACGACGCAGCGCCCGAGCCAGCCATCAAGCTGACCAGCGACTCACACTCGCACCTTACATCCACAAACCAGATCTAGGAATCATTTCGTCTCTCATTAACCATGCATAGGATATCGACCTCCAACCCACTATCTACAGCTCATCCCTCCTCCTCTGCTTATCCCCGCCTCCCCCTCCGCCGCCTTCTGCTCCCCAGAATCTCCCTCTCCGCCTCCTTCTGCTGCTGCTCAAACTTCGCGCTCTCCACGTCCTCCTCCCACATCTTCTTCTTCGGGTTGCGCGGCCGGTCGGCGCGCTCCTGGAGTACCGTGCCGTCGCCCCTCACAACCGGACCGTCGTCTTCTTGGTGGTTTTTCCGCCTGAGCTGCGGGTGGTCTGGTACTTCCTCCTCCGCGTTCTGCTGGTTCTGCGATTTCTCCGCCATGTTGCCTACGCTGTGTGATAGTGACTCGGGGGGACTTGGATCTTGGGGGTTTCCCGGGTACCCTCTTCCACCGCCGCCCACGCGTACGTAGTTCGCCTGTTGTCCGGGCTGGCGCGGGGGTATGCCTCCCGTTGCGCTCGGTTTAACGATGAGACTCGTAGGACTTGCAGCAACGCTCGAAGTCGCGGCTGAAGCAGGGACAAACGCAAAGACGACCCGGAAGAGGATCTTCAGCGGCCAGAGGATGAACCAGGAGATTGGGCCGTAGAACCACCTTCTGAAGATGAGCCAGATGAGTGTGGTGATGAGGATGTAGAATGTGGTTTCAAGATACCACGTGTCGCTTTTCTGGCTCTTGAGCAGAGTCGTGACAAGCGTCTTGCTATTCGCGAGAAGGGAGTTCAGGTCAGAATATTTCTCTCCAAGGTCGGCGAGCGCAGCTGTGGATTCTTCGAGGGTTTCTTGGGCGAAGCGTGAGCGTGAGAGCTCGCTTTGCATCAACTGGTGCGTGCGTCGGAGGGCAGCTGTCACGTCCGAGGAGGCTTGCGTGACAACTTCGGATTCGTTCAGGCCGTTGCCACGCCGGCGGTGGGTGGAGGAGGGAGTCGATGAGCCGGCGCCGGCTTGGAGATTTGAAAAGAGGAGTTCGCGTTCTTTGAGTTTCGCGCGGTCGGCGTTGTGTTTGGCGGTCAATTGCGCCTTGCGGTATTGTGATCGAGAACTGCAAAATGTATGTTAGTGAGCAAGCTCATTGTATCTGCAAGAGTGGGCGACCCACGATCTCAAGTCCTCTGTCAACCTCGCTAGTAGTACGGCAAGTCTGCTTCTCTCCCCTTCCCTCACGCTGTCCCTTCGCCTGCCAGAACTTCCCGCGCCGACAAGGTCTTCGACTTCCTGGTTTAGAAGCTCAAGTTCCTCCTCAATTGCCTTCAAACTCTCATGTATCTCAGCACTGAGTTCCAATCGGACGTCGCCCTCGTCAGCGTTTAGTGGTTGGCTTCCGGGCTGAAAATCTAATTTGGCAAGGCGGTGAATGAGTTGCTGAACGGCCTTATTCGAGTCGGATAGGGCAGTAAGACGTGTTGTTAGGGTCTGCGTGGTGGGGGGAAGCGGGGGCATGGTGAATTGAATGCGGCCAGGGTGGAGGTGACGGGCCATGACGCGCCGCTGTTCCTTGGGGCTGTCGGTGTTTGTTTCTTCCGCGATGCGCACGGGCCATACGAGCCAGATTCTCGAGATGGGAGTCGGGAGGAGAGTGCGCGGAGAATCGTTCAATTGGTTCATCGCACTGATATTGCGGCTGCTACTGTAGGTCTTACTTTTTAACTGGAGCCAGATATTTCTAACTTGCGATAGACGCCATCAAACTTGCGCATTCGCTCCCCGTCGCGCGCCAACATGATCACCCGATTCCTCACAGACGTCCGCGTCAAGTTCAACCCCTTCTCCCCGCGCGCAAAGCCTGCGCGGCTCTTTCTCTCTTTGATTCCCCCGAACGCGCGCGCAGACGGAATGAAGGTGGAGACTAAGATGCTGCCACGCACAAGCACGGAGCCAGCAACATTAGACGTGAAATTCAGTATGTCAAGACGTGAAGCCGATTGTCTTCCGCAAATCTAACAAGATAACAGAAGATGGAAAGGAGCTCAAACTCGAGCTGGACAAGATGCGGATCCCAGAGGTTATGGAGGAGGTCGACAGGCACTCGCGGATACTGGCCCGCAAGGAGGAATTGACGGGCAACTGAAGGGATAATGCGATACCAGCGTTACTGTACGAACACTGTATATTGATAGGCACTTGCATTGCACGGAGTCATGGCATTAAGAGGACGAGTGTTTGTTCATTCATGGACGGGTCGAAAGACCAATCGAGGTTTTGTGTAGGCATCAATCCATATGTGCCACACGACTTTTGTCTAGACCTAAGCATGGACGCATCCCACCGCTCTACTGTGCTGTGTCTACGCAGACGGCGCACCGCTGATGAAGAACCACTTGTCGATGCTGGGGTCGATCGGAGCGGGGCTCTGGTTCTCGCCCTTGGGGATGCTGAGCGCGCTGGGATCTGTGCGATCTTGCGAGTGCGAGACAGTGGTGTTGGTGCTGCAATGTATCAGTGGAGTCCCTGAGAGCAGAACAGTAGACTTACGTGGAGACGTCACCCTTGGCGGTCTTGCCAGTGATGAGGCGTTCCCAAGCCTCAGCGCACTCGCGAACAATATCCATGGCGTACTTCTTGTTCTTGCACTCGCCAGAGAATGCGAACTGGTTCTCAGGCTTGCCATCGGGAATCTTGTAGATACGGAACCACTCGTTGGTAGCCCTTAGGAGGCCGGGAAGGTGGCGCTCGACATCCTCGACGTCGTTGAGCTTGGGCGCGAGCGGGTCGTTGACGTTGATGACGATGATCTTCCAGTCGGTCTCCTCCTCGTCGAGCAGAGCCATGACACCGAGAACCTTGACCTGGATGACCTCTCCCGGCCTGTTCACAAGCTCACCAATCTCGCACACGTCCAATGGGTCGTTGTCACCCTTCGCCTTAGTCTCCGGGTGGATGGCATTGGGGTCCTCCCATGTCTGCAGGGGCTGTCAGTGTGTGCACCGGTATCGGGTGGGTATGCAGTCCGTACCTGGGGGAAGGCACCGTAGTTCCAGAGGTAGCCCTTGTGGGGGAAGCAGTTGCGAACGTAGCGGAGCTTGCCCTTCTTGATGTCCTGCTTGATGGGGTTGAGGGTCTCCTCCTTGGAGATCTGCGTGGTGCGTCAGTTGAAAAGTCTGAGGCGGGGTATCTTGGTGGTGAGGGGTAAATAGCAAACACGCACCTCCATCTTCGCATTGGTCCAGCGCGGCACCTCAACGACCATGTTAAGGACCGTCTGTTGCTCGTTGGCATACAGAGGGATGTCGTGGAAGGGCGAGACGGGCACGCCATCCTTCTCGATGTAGATGCGGTGCTCGAGGGTGTTGGCAGCGCCAATCCTGCGGGCGGTATACTGAGGAGCCATTGTGTTGTACGATCGAGTGGGGTGGAGGTGACCTGCCAGCTGCTGTGTTCGAGAGTGGGTTTTGTTAACGGTAGCGGGCGTGGTGGGGCTGGCAGGAACGGAGGGGCGCTGATGATTAGCCACACTGACGAAAGAGAGCGCCGTGGCCGCACATGCAGGCCGGGGCGATGCAGACGGAGAAAATCTCAGGTGAGGGACAGTAGCACGTTTCTGGCCCAGAGTGAGCCGCGCAGGAAAAAGAAAGCGGCTCATGCAGACAATTGATAATAATGCAACACTGGAAAGGGACTAGACACGCGTGCGGCTACCATTGCACTGCGGAGTATGATGCGAAAGCCGAGGACAAAACCTGGAGTCGCCAGCCGAAATCGCATGGTCACGTGCATCGCAGGTGCCGCGCACGGATCGCCCAAGAGTTGACGTGCGATGATCTCTGGAGCTTGTTCTTCAAGCAATTGTATTCAATATCCACTGATGAAGGTAGCCGCGGCTGTCTCGCTTCCTTCTGCCTTGGTCAGTGGCTCACCATTCCCTCTCACTCACCAGATAGCGAAACACCCTGAACTCCTTTCAATACAATTTATGAGGACGCCAAAAGCCCGGCTTAGCAACAACACTACCTCGACTCTGTATTCTATCCGGAGCATTGTCGTTCATTTGTCGCGTCTCGGGATCTTTGAAAATTGGATCAAGTCCATTACCATATTCAGGCAATTGAGCCTCCTCCCATTGCTGTTCGGCGTCGTCACATGCTTCTTCGTCGAAATACTCGTCCTGCACAGCTTGTGATGTTGAAAAGGCGCCTTCGAGACCAAAGAAATCATCTCCATATCCATACACTCGCTCGTGTTGTTGTCCGTAGATACTAGGTCCGGGACATGTTGGTGCTGTATGACGATAGGTTCCCTCCACGCCTGCAAATCGCACACTTGGTATTCTTCGAATGGTCGGATAAAGCTCGGTAGCCGGCCTCATGTTACCCTGTACTGGAACGCCTGGATACGGCTCTCGAACATTGGGCTGCAGTGCTTCTGCTATGCGTTGGTCGTGGAACGCTGTGTTGCATTCTTGTAACATTCGCCCAAGACTGGAAGAAGTCTGTTGGCCAGGATCATCGTGTGCAGGCGGCTCTATCCCGCGATCGAGACTATTGTCTTGATATCTCGTAAGGTTTGGTGGCGGTACAGGAAGAGAACGATCCCTCAGCTCGGAACTAGTTGGAGCATGGGGCCAGTGGACTTGGCGCTGATGATTGCGATGGGATACGAAAGGTGGCATAGACGAAGGCGATGCGACATGCTCCAGTGCCCGACGCCTTGCGGCCCGATCCACCAGATTGATGCGGCGTGGTGAGGACGTGTGCTGAGGAAGGGAATGCGACCGGGACAGGCGCTCATTTGTCGGGGGCAGAGACGAAACCTGAAATCGCCCAACTCTGCCATCCGCCAAATGTCTAGTTTTGGTTGGAGGGGCTGACGGTGAGTGCAACACTTCCCCACTGTCAGTGTGCCCTGCTGATTTTCCACCACGCGTAGGCTGACCACTGCTATAAGCAGCTTCTACACGGTTATGTGCCGGCGTCGCGCTGGGAACCCGAACAGACTCTGACCATGAAATATAACTTCTGCTCTCATGGCGTGGCCCTCCCCCTTCCAACCCTGAGTATGGTGTCTGGTCCGCCGGTTCAACTGTCGGGACAGCTTCATCGACAATAGGAGGCGGGCCCCGGCGTCCGCTATCAGCCTCGCGCAGCTTCTTGGGAGAGGGTTTCTTCGTTTGGATGTTCAGTTCCTGCTCCGCTAGTGCCGGTCGCACAGAAGTGAAGTACGCGGAGATCTCCTCCTCCTTCGCGTGTGCTTGATCTTTCTTTCGCTGCTTCTTCGGCGACCCCGACAGTGGACCGACTCCTGTTTTGTCTTTGTGTTTCTGCAAGAACTTCATCTCTGAGAAGACCAAGTCGGGTACTATATCAGGTCAGATATGGACTGAATTGCGGGGCGCCACAGAAGTTGGCTTACAGCCACGGCCTTTGACTGGTGACGACACCCTGCCCTTGTTGAATAATCCCAGTCTATCTCGCGGTTTAAACTACTCCTGTAATTAACACACCACCAACAGCTTCTGCTCACAGGGGTGCTTCTCACGGTCAGTCGATCCTGGGGGACGTTCTTGGCCTGGAAGCCCTGGACCATGCCACTGCCCGGATTGTTGGCCTTCATGCGTCTGGATTTGCGCCTTGCCCTCTTTGATTCGCCCTTGTCGCGCCGCTGGGTATGCAGTCCCCGCTCCTTTGCATCCTTGAGCACTGGCTCGTACCGCTCGGGGCGTGTCTTGCGACGGGGTTTGCGTCTGAAAGGCTCGCTCGATATGCTGCTTGCGGAGCGACTTGGGGAGTGGGATGCATCCGTGTGGTCAGTCTCGTCTGCCTCTTTCTTGAGCGAGGGTACTCGTCCCGAGGTTGGCCTTTTCTTGCGCTGCGGGGGGACATCGAGCAACGAACTGTCCGAAGTGCTTTGTTTTCGTCTGCGCTTGTCCTTCGGGATCCGTTCTGGTTGTTCTGAGCACGGAGCATGATGATATTCTCGTTGTTCAGGCGGGCTTGGAGGTTGCTGCGGAAGCACAGTCTCGCTCAGCCACTTGTGAATATCCATGCTAAGCTCCAGACACCGCAAGATGGGGCCCCAGTGCGGGCGGCTGACAGATGCGTGCCGGGCCGCCGTTTGGACCTCGAAAACCTGGTACAGCTCGCCGAGGAGAATCTTGAATCTTGGTCTAGTCGAGGTGATACAGCATGGACAGCGGGAGATATGCGGAAGCACTGTCGTTCAAGAAACCGGTAGATGTCGTCTCCCGCAGAGGGCGATGGTGCTGTGTGACGCTGGAGCGCCAGTGTTGCATTGGAGGGGCTTGATATCCAAATGCATGTGTGATAAGACTCCCAGAGCAGGGCCAGGTGTATTTGGCGCAGAGGGAAGCAAGGACGGCTCTTGTTGGCAGGGAGCGACGACCACGGAAGGCAGGAGCATCTTGCTCAGTTGGGATGGAAAGAGAGACCAAACTGTAATTCGATGATTTGAGATGGTGAAAATGTCACGCATTACTTCTGGGCAGCTTCGCATTCTCACGGCGGTGACTGCTCAGCTTTGTGGTGGTTGGAGCATGGCGAAGTCTGATTGGTGGTAGCGCCCTTTGCGGGTTCCTCCAGAGAGAGACAAGTCTGCTACACGGAGAGGCGCCGAATGCCGGTTGACATGCGTAGTGCCATGTGTCCACCGTCAGCCAAGCGCACGTCTTGTCACCACAGACGCCTCCGTCCGTGGTGTTTACGAGGCCACCATGGACCGGCTGACTACTATTGAACGACGATGCTGATGTCGGCGTGCATCCCCACGCCGCGCACGAGCCATGCGGTAGAGGAGTCGCCCGCGCGATACGGTAGGCGTCTGAAGCAGCCTAAGCCGACCCTGCCTGAGCGTTGGGGACGCTGGTGCGGAGTTCCTTTTGCATATTCGTGGGAGAGTTTCGCTTGCGAACGCCTCCGTTCTTGCATCGAGTTTCTGCTCGCCCGTTGCCTTCTGGGCTCGCCCAATGATGCAGGCCAGCGGGCGACGTGAAGGCCGTCTCCAAGCCCCGAGACGAGCCTATCAAAGAATTCGCACGGTACTATCTGCGCCAGACCAGCGGCAAACGCTCAGCTGCGGCCGGCGATTGGGCTGGGGCCGCTGCAGGCGCTGCGTTAGCTCTACGGACCGCATACGCAAGTTGGCACGGGATAAGATGCGGCCCACCGTGGTCGAATGTGGCACCTCAGACACCATGTCGACTGCCTGCGCGGGCCTCGCGCTGCAATCCGTCGAGCTACAAAAGGCCACCGTCGCACGCTCCCGCTCAGGAGACAACCCCTCCGTGCTTACTAGACCGGCCTGCAATTGGGCCGCATACGCCAGAAGGCAGTTCGGTGCTTCTCACTCGCCCCCGGCTCCAGCCTTTTATTACCTACCGGTTCCCTGCGACCCAGCGATTGCGTGAGAGATCGATACAGCTAGCGTTCTTTGTCGGAGGGGTATTTTCTCGCATCCTTCCTGCTGCCCCGCAGCTCTCGACCTCTTCGACTTTCGACCCTTCATTGTTCTCGCCCACCAGTCGCTCACGGCCTGCTTGTCTCCATCCCTACTCCCAGGACCCTACCACGGACAGCGCTCGATTGTGCGGTTCGCTCTCTCCCAGTAGCCTTCAGGTCAAATGTTCGTTCCGTCACTGCTCCTTCCCTGCACCTCATCCGGCCACCATGGCCTCTCACTGCCCAACTTCTCTCTGTCGTCACGGGCTTCATCCACCAGTCATGTCATGAGGCGCTCTGTACCCTACCGTTGTTCTGCTGCGAGTGCGTGAATTGAGACCGTTCAGTGTTCGCTACATCTACACCATGTCCACAAAGCTCTTCATTGGGTAAGTACACATCGCAAGACGAATTGAACCGACACTAACCGAGACCAGTGGCCTTGCCTGGCACACCGACGATGGCACTCTTCGCCAGAAGTTCGAGGAGTTCGGCCAGGTCGAAGAAGCCGTGAGTACTGACCCAGCCACGACTCGCGCTTTCCTCCGTCTCCATTGCGCGAGTTCCCTCTCTTGTTGCGCCTCATCAGCTTTTCCGCAGATGAGGATAGGCAGCCCATCAAATTTTAAATTTTCACGTCCTGATGCTAACTCGTGCCAGGTCGTTGTCAAGGACCGCGATACTGGCCGCAGCCGTGGATTCGGCTTCGTGCGGTTCTCGCAGGAGTCTGAGGCCGATAACGCGATGCAGAACATGAACAACGTCGAGTAAGCATGTTTCCGATTCGAATTTCGATGCCATCTAGCTGTTATCATCAATCCATCAAGTCAGTACACCTCCTAACATGAACAGGTTCGATGGCCGCACCATTCGCGTCGACAAGGCCTCTGATCGCTCTGGCGGCGGCGGTGGCGGCGGACGCGGCGGCTACGGAGGAGGACGCGGTGGATACGGCGGCGGTGGCTACGGAGGCGGAGGCGGTAGTAAGAAGCAACAATCTCTGTACATGTTCTGAATCATTGCTAACTTGTGCAGGCTATGGCGGTGGACGTGGTGGTAAGCTCCAGGAGCCGTTCATCTGATTAACCCATCTAACGAACACTACAGGCTACGGCGGCGGCGGCGGTGCCTCCTGGGGACAGGGCGGTGGCGGCGGCGGCGGATACCAACCCCGTGGTGGCTACGGTCAGGGTCAAGGCCAGGGCGGCTACGAAGGTCAGGGCGGCCAGAACGGCGGCGGCCAGTGGTAGATGCTTCACGACTGCGACCTGTACACGTCACTTGGCCAGGCGAACATGGAAACGGCCGGAGACGCTCCCCTCGGTGTTCTACTGGATCGACGGTTTTGACTTTACGTGCGATGAAAAAAATGGTGGCTGTCTTCTTCTAGACGTCAGGCTTGAACTCTATTATCCTTTAATGGTGGGCACTGGTGGTGACCCAATGAGCTTCTACGATTCTTTGCTTGTCTCGGGGCAGGATGGATTGGAGAGTGCGACTTGGGTTGGTAGCTGATGAGAAGATGATACCCATCAGAGCGTGCTGTTATCGTGTACCTTGCTTTCAGAGTGGTAGCTACGGGTCCGCTCATTCGAATGCCAACTGCTAGTTCCTTGCAATCGCGCGACTAACAGATGGCGTACCACTTTGTTGAGCACCTGAAAACCGCCGACGTCTCCCGTCTGCTCTGAGCGGGATGATCGCCAAGGCGCTGGACGAATCTGGCACGACGTTCAAGGTAGGGCTTCGGTTGCTGCCCCACATGGGTCTGCAGCGACCCAATATCGCCGACATAGGCGCAATCTGGCACTCTGTCCAACACGCAGCAACACGGCAAACGCCTGTGACCCTTTCCGCCAACGTGCAGCAGTGTGACGGGCACACATGAGGCGTGCGTCGGTCCAGATCGTTGCAGCGTCCGTGTGCGGGCATCCTGTTGCAAATCACCTCACGACACACAAAACGACATCCGGACCTTCACCATTCGGGACATGCGTCTGCCCAACACGGACAACAGTCGTGTTGTGTGATAGACCAGAGAGCCAATGGCAGGTGGTTTGCTTTGTATTGCACCGCCACAGACACGAGTCGGTCGTTGCTGCCTTGACGCTGATCGTCGGCTGGGCTGCACGCCTTGCGAAACCTCAAACCTCGTCCATTGCGTTCCGACCCCGCATCCTCTCTACCCCGACCTTCGTTCATAGTTATGAAGACCTGGAGCGATGCTGAACACCAACGAGGGCCGGACCCCCGTGCGCGGAGACAAAAGCGATGGTTGTTCTTGACCGCCGCTGCAGCCACAGCGCTGATCTATTACCAGTCCATCCTGCAGCACTGCTCAGGACGCAGAGCTAACAGCGACGTGTTCGGACCGCAATGGGAAGACTTCAACTGGGACGCGGTAAGTGGGTCTGCGTTCCCTTCGGCTCTGTACCGGTATCGGTGCCTGCACTCACCTCGCGAATTCTACTCAAATCTCCACGGGAGCTTGTTGGAGACTAGGCTAGCACCCGTCACGCTACATATACCACACCGTTGCATGTCGTCCCTTGCTCCATGGCGCTGTGAAACTGTGCACGTGGGATACAACCACACCGCCTCCAGCTTTCCATGGCGGGCTGCGCTCTTGTCGTCTTCAGACGCATCCCATCGTCTCGTCCTAGCGGCTAGCCAAATCTGCTACAACATCACACCATGACTGACATCGAACTAGATCCACGCAACTGAAGAGCTGAAATTTCATCCTTGTTGGAATGACTTTCAATGCGCCAAGCTAAAGGTGCCTCTGGACTGGTTCAACGGCACGCATCCCAACGCTTCAGCCAGCATCGCGATAGCAAAACTTCCAGCCCAAGTGCCTGTTGATGATCCTCGTTATGCTGGTCCTGTCCTCATCAACCCAGGCGGCCCTGGAGGCTCTGGAGTCCTGCTGGCCCTCTTGCAAGCGCACGAGCTGCGAACCATTATGGGCCCTTCGGGCAGTGATGCCAGCGTTCAATCCAAAGGCAAACATTACGATATCCTAGGCTTTGATCCTCGCGGAATCGGGTTCACAGCACCACTCGCTCAGTGCATGCCCGACAACCCTTCTTCCTGGTCATGGAAGCTTCGTGAGCGCGCAGAGGGCATTCTTGGAAGTTCAGACGCTGCGCTGGGACGTCTCTGGTCTATGTCGCATGCGTGGGGCTCATCTTGCAAGCAACACTCCGATGCAAGTGGAGAGCCAGACATTAAGCAGTATATATCGACAGCGTCTGTTGCTCGCGATATGCTTGAGATTGCTGAAAGGCACGCCAAGTGGGCGGTCGACAAGTCGAACGAACTCGCCCGCGTAGGGCTTTCTACGACAGGCCGCGGGTCGAATGACCAGACGATCTATAAGCGTGGCGAGGTCAAACTCACCTACGCGGGCTTTAGCTACGGTACCTACCTGGGTGCGACTTTCGCCGGGATGTTTCCAGACCGTGTTGGCCGATTGATGCTTGATGGCGTTGTCAACGTCCACGATTACAATAACGGCCTCGCGCAAGGAAGTCTGCACGACACCGAGAAGGACATGAAGTCGTTCTACACTTTCTGTGCCACCGCCGGACCGGAGCTCTGTCCTCTCGCTGCTTCCACGGCCAGCGTTGAAGACATCGAACAGCGTACCCAGCGTATCATCAAGTCGCTCTACCACAACCCCATCGGTATCGACACTGCTCAGGGCCCTGAGATCTTCACGTACAGCGACCTGAAGGGTATCATCTTTTCTGGTCTCTACCAGCCCAATCTCGTATTCCCGGGTCTTGCCCATATTCTTCTGGCTGTCGAAGAGAAGACCGGTGAAGTGCTCGATGCTATTGGAAATGCGCTGCGTGGCTCCCACATCTACACCTGTCCCGCAATCAATGGCTCAGCCACCTTTCCTCTCACCTACGACACCGCCCAGGACGCGATCCTCTGCGGCGACGGCGTCTGGCAGAACGACCTCGACCTCAAAGGCATGGAGGAATACTATCGGCTCCTCGAGAGCATCTCCCCGGCGGCAGGCGGCATCTGGGCCATGCTCAAGATGAAGTGCGCTGCGTGGCCCATCAAGCCTCTCTACACCTTCGGCCGCGACGACAACTTCTACGGCAACACGAGCCACCCCATCCTCTGGATCTCCAACACCGCTGACCCCGTCACCCCGCTGCGCAGCGCGAGAGCCATGTCCGCCAGGTTCCCCGGCAGCGAGGTCCTCGTCCAGGACTCGGCGGGCCACTGCGCGCTCTCCGTCCCTGTCGCGTGCACGGTCGCTGCTGTCAAGACCTACTTCCAGACCGGCGAGCTGCCTGCACCGGACACGGTGTGCATTCCGCCGACGTCGCCGTGGAGCCTCAACTCTACGGATCCGAAGTCGCCATTCTACGACCCGAGTTTGGGCCAGGCTGTGTTCGTGGCGGAGGACGCGATGGAGGGGGAGATGCAGGCTGCGAGGGGCCTGCAGGCGTGGGCGGTGCGGCACTTGGGGTTTGGGAGGAGTCATTTGGGGCAGCGTGTTGCGGATATGGTGGATGTGGCGATGGCGTATAGCGCTGGGAATAAGGGGTTGAGAGACGAGTTGTAGGGTTGGAGGTGGAGGTGGAATGTATGTGTGGGCTGCGCTGCGTTTGAGCGTGTTATTTGCATAGGCGACTAGCCATCCCTCCCTCTCTCTTGGATTCTCTTGAATTCTCAGGCGATAGAATGAATACGTTACGTTGCGCGATTTCTGTTCTTGTCCTGTCGTCTTTATCATCTACCCGTTCGTTCTGTTCCTCTCGAGTGTGAAGCCGATGCGCACTATCATCATTCACTTTCCATCACCTATCGCCGTCCGTTCCGTGCAGCACGCGTCAGCCTTCTTTTCTACGAAATGGTACGCGCGAGCGACATCAGCGCCTTTCTGGAATTCTTTTTGTGCGCGTCCGGCCGGGGAACGATCACCCCATGTGTTGTATAGGCCTTACTTTCAAGTACCCGCCAGGGTTTTAAATGATGAAAGAAGATTGTCCCTTCCTCGCACCGACGGACGGACCGCACGCACGCATGTGAGGATCGAGAGGGTGGTTTTCGTTTCCGTTTCCGGTCATGCTATTTTCGTTATTGATTTTGAAAGAAAGGAACATAGGCGACTGATGTGATGGTTTGGATCCGCTTTAAGCGCATAAAAGTGGGATCCTTTGTTTTTGAAAGGACACAAGGAAAGAGACATTGGCATCAGCGCTGGGTCTTAGGAGCCGAGGCCGGGCTCACGGCATCAAGTTGGGCTGGGTGGGATTTGAGTCCGCTTCGTGGGATGACAGTGGCGTGAACCGGGGAGGAAGGGACATGCTTTGTAAATGGGATAGTTTGGATCTGCTTCCGAGCGCATGGAGATAGTTGACGTCGTTTTTGAAATGAGAGAGGGGAACAGGCATAACGGGGAGCGCTGAGCCTTTGGTGTCGAGTCACGCTCACAGCAAACGCCTGCATTATTTTCGCTTGGAGCCCACCTCATGGTGTGATTGACGGTGGTTTTTGGTACGTGACTGCACCCCTCTTCTTGATATTGAGTCCAGCAGGGAGGAACAGGAAAGCATGAGAAAGATTTATTCGAGCTTTGGCGCTTCCGCATACCAGGTTATGGAGCAGGTTGGCGTCCTCCTCATGCGGGGGTGGTTGAAGGACTTTGGTACACATGGACCTTCGACAACTTGACTTTGATTCCAAGAGGAAGGAACGGAAAGAGAACGCATAAGAAGGGTTTCGCGGACCTTTTAGCTTCCACGTAGCTGAGTGGATGTCGACTTTGAATGCAGCAAGGAAGAGAACGGAAAGCATCACCAATTTGTGGCAAGGTTTTTGGCTGCCAGACATAGCCGAGTGGATAGTAGAATTGGAGTCGCGAAGGACATCGAAAGGCCGGAATGCGTGTTATCGCGTGAGTTTTAGAGGGCTAGCACGGCGAAGGAACATTCCATCAAAGATCTTTAACTTAAGTGTCGGAGGAAAAGACATGGAGAAAGATGTTCAAAACTTTAGTCCCCTGACAGAAGGGAAGGGAAGCCATGCGAACGATACGACAGACCTTTTGGCTCCCACATAGCTGATTGGATGGTAAGGAATGGAGACCAGGAAAGGCATCGGGCGTTTCGGCATGTGTTTTTGGAGGACGAGCACGGCGAGCGAACATTGCAACAGTGGTATCTTGTTTTAGTGTCGGTGGAGGAGGAGACGTTATCAAATCCATTGTGACCTTCAATCGTGTTGGAAGAGCGCGGGATTTGTAGAGCACGGAACGTCTGAGGAATCGAACATGTGATGATAGTTGTTCATTTTAGTGTTGCCAAAGAACCAGACATAGAGAAAGACGTTCTGAACTTTAGTCGCCTTGAAAGTGCGCGGGATCTGTACAGCACGAGCACGGCGGACGAACATGCAGTGACTTGTTCCTGTTTTTATTTCCGTTGGAAGCAGGAGACATAGAGAAAGCCGTTCCGAATTTTAGTCGCTTTGAAAGGGGCGTGGTGTGTGAAGTAAAGCTGTTCCATTCCAGATTTATCTCTCTTATATATCTCTAGCTCCAAGAGGCAGGCAAGAGAACATGTGCAAGGAGTTGTGCTTTTTTGGAGACGTCCAGCATGAAATTTCCAACGGGATATTTAAAGTCACAAACGCGTTTAAACGTGAGTAGAGATTCCTCGGGGAGCGGGCTTTGTACAGCTAGAGCACGAAGGAGGGACATATTGCCTTCTCATATTCTTTTAGTGTTTCCAGAGAAGACACATCTTAAGATAGGGTATGACTTTTAGTCGTCGAGAGGACATAATGTGCACAGAAGCGCCCTTCGTCCCAGACACGTCTCTTAGTTTAAACTCCACAAGAGAAGCGACGCGAACATGTGCAAGGAGTTGTGCATTTTGGAGACGTCCAGCATGAATATTCCGACATGAGATTCGGGGTCCATGAACATATCGAAGTAGAGGAGGAAAATCAGCAGAGCGTGCTTCAGGAGCACGAGGGAGGGACATGTTATGTTTTGTTTTCGCTTTTGGTGGTGCTGGAGAAAGACGCATCTTAGGATAGGGTATGAACTTTAGTCGTCGAGAGAGGACATTTCATGGTGTGTAAGGTCTTTGCAGTTCAGGCCACCGCAGCATGCTTCGGAGGGAGTGAACCTTTGGTTCACGGACATAATGTATTGAGTATACTGAGATTGTTCATAAAGGGGGCTTGCAGGCCCCAGCAGCGAAGGAGCGACATCGTACGTTACGAATGTGATCTTGGTGTTCGCCGAAGCAAAGCAGACTCATCGTCAAGAAGGTTGTGATTTTCAGTTGTCGAGAGAGGACGTGATGGGTGAAGTGAAAATTTTCGTTTAAACCACGGCCGCAGCATAGCTGTGCGGGTGAGATTGTTTGGTCCACGGACGCATGTATTCGATAGATTGGAAGTTCTGATAGAGTGGGCTGTGTAGGTTGGAGCCTTTGCGGTCCAAACCACGCCAGGTCCGCAGCATAGTTCGTTAAGCGTGAACTTCTGGTTTACGGACGCATGTATTGAGCATACGGAAATCTCCGGTAGTATGCCCAGGTGGGCTTGTACGTTCCAGCAACGACGGAGGGACATTTCTGGGCACATCGTAGGTTTTGGTGTTTTCGCAAGAAAGCGCAGTGCAGAAGATGAAGTGATTTTTCATCCGCTCGAGGAAGAGCACATGAGCTTTGCCTCCTTGGACCTTGTGCGAGGGTAGGCACTTCTGCAGTGTACTTGTTTTGCATGCGGTGAAATATTCATCGGAGGCATGTATGCGATCGAAAGCAAGTTTGGTGTAGCCGAAGTAACATATGCGAGGAACAGGGGAGACACTACGCACAAGTGAGAACGATCTCGCTCCGGCGTACATCATTCGTGGGTCTATATTTTGGTTGTTGGAGGAAGGAACATAAGTAAAATTTCAATGGTGTCCTGTTCCAAGCCAACTCCAGCATAATAATCTGCACAGCAGACTTGGACCTCACAAAGACATCGAGTGGCTGGAAAGTGGTTTGTTCAGATAGGTATGAGAGGTCTCGACGACAGCAGAGACATAGCATGAGACTCGTCTGCGTTTTAGTCCGGAGTCGATGCAGTGGTCAAGTAATGGGTGCAAGAGGAGACAAGATAGCTCTTATATAGTTATCCTCTTCTAAGAATGTTCCGCTGCATAACCCCATTCGCTGGACAATCACCCTCTAAGACCGCCTGATCTTCGCCGTAGTGAGTCTGGTAAAGGTCTTCGAAGGTGCTCATGCTCGGCACAGACATGAAGTTGATCAGCAGCATCTTGTTTCGCACTGTACTGCTGCGTGTCGACTCCCGGCAGTCGGACGGGAATTTGCTCCAACCCACGAACATTTCTGTATTTGTTTTTTTCTGAGCCAAAAGAACATGACTTCATCTGTGTTTGGATTTCCCGCAAAGCATCAGACTCAATGCAAAAAGCTTCATAATGCTCACTCTATATTGGAGATAAGAGTATATTGGTCACCACAAGAGGCATAGATGGACTCTAGCTCGATTCTGATCCTCAAGCGCACCGACACAGAAATACTGAAAAAGTGTAAAACCTTTGGATTTGAAGACATGCTTTTCTTACACACTCGGTTCGGAATCATCCTCATGATGTAAAACGCTTGTTCTTTTGCGCTCATCACGGCTTTGTCTCGTAAGACTTGGCCACCGATGAAAGAGACATGCATTTGTTCTTTGCGTTATTTGGCGATGACACTTCTGGATATGACTGTGGTGGAGACGTGTTCTCGCTCCCCAAGACATGAGGATGCTTAGACGGCTTGGAAACAACGACCGTGTCCTAAACGTCCTTCTGACTTGTTAAAATGGGTAAAAGAGATACTGGAGACACTCTCTTGGGCTCATAGTTTGGCATGGTCACATTTTTTGGTCCGAAAAGTAGAACAGTCGCGTGCTTGTAGGGTTTGTCAGTAATCCACGCTTTTGCGAACGTTGCATGGAGGGCTGAGCTTCCGGTCCCATTATACATCTGCACTTTGATCTTTTGTGACACCGAGGGCCATGGTATCTCTATTTTGTCTTTTGGAAGCACAAGGACAGGAGAGGGATGCGTTCACACGTTCGAGTGTATGGACAGCGCGTTGTCCGATTATATAGAAAGACGCAGCCCAAGCGCCACTAGTCTGTGATCCCTGCTCGTGCTGCTGCGGACATGTGAGGAAATGCTCGTCGCTTTCAGATCCAATGGCGTCGCTGGCGCTGTGGGACTTTTCGATGACAACAAAAACCATGAAAATCAAATTTTGGGGCTTTTCGTTTCCCATTATTAAGAGGATTATCCTGTTAAACATTTCTTTCTCCCATGTAGGGGCATGATTCGAGTCGCCAAGTAGTCTGTTGCACTGAGAGATGGTTCCAGAGGCAGGTTGGACACTGAATTGGGAGCTGAGCACATATTTCATGCTCCACCTACCCCATCGCAGGCCGTTTTGTTCCAAGGCCGCCGGAATCGTCCAAGGTCCAATCAAAAAGCTGATCAAATAGCTTGGCTAACCTAAAAACTCCGCTCAATTCCAGTAAGATGTTCATCCGAAGATCCATGGATGCTTGTGACCGTCGGCTGTCCAAGTTCAAGGAGATGTTTCTACTGCAGGCCTATAATGCTGTAAATCATGAGTGCACTGTTATTAGATAGCTTTATGATTCTGGAAGAACATAACATCGAGAAACTATTGACTCCTTAAGCGCAAGGTGCTGCAAAAGAGAGCGTGTATGTGGCCCCCTGGATTTCTAAATCTGCCAAACGGTTGTTTGACTTAGCTGACACTACAATGGAAGGCTTACAATGGAATCTGCCTCCAAAGAGAACACCTGGCCGAAAATTCAACCTGTCTGCTTCGGAAGGCGGTATGCAACCCAGTCATCAAGATTGATCGTGTTCTTAGGTTTTTGCGCTATAGAAACAGAAAGACTAGTATACTGCCTGTATGTAACTGAGGGAACCTGGGACGTCTGGGGCCTCTTTTTACCGTGTCAGCACCGATCTTGCTTATGGTAGTGCCCGCTTGGCCTTATTGATAATTTCTTGATCACCAGACGTCAGCAATCATAGACGAACATCTGCTCCTACATATATGAATGGCTTAAGATACGTTCATAAGTTTTCTGGCGACTAGATCCACCACCGGTTGCGTAGTGATTCCTCATCATGCACAGCTTTTCAAAGCCGAATATTTCATTACATCATTACAGTGTTGGCACTGCCCGTAATCAAACGTAGCGATTGACAGCCTAATAATATAACCTTAGCATCTAACATTCACAGCAAATACAGCATAGGGTTAATTTCTTTGTGTAAGAAAAACGCTCGTGCCGGCTGTTTCCAAACGGGGCCTATACTTGCCCACACTCCAGAGCTTCCCTGCGCCTTCACCTTTCGCTTAAAAGACACATTAACAAACGAAAATTTCGGTGAGCTGCTGCACATGATATTGGTCTGTGCTCCGGAGCCTCCCAGTCTTACTGTATATAAACACACCGCCACCTGATTTCACCCCTCCACCCACGGTCGAAAACGTAGCTTTCCACCCCTCGCCGTTGACAATGATGAAGTTTCTCGCCCAAATCATCGCACTCGCTGCTATGATACAGCTCCTTTTTGCGATCAATTCCATCCCCGCTGGCGATCGCGCCCTTCCCGTCCGTCAAGCTCACAAGAACTCCACCGGCGCTACGGGCCGCACGCTCCCATCCATGAGCAACGATGACAATCCTGCAATGGGTTACGCGGAATGTAAGCTGTTACGAACACGTGTGTAACAGAATCTTCACTGACCCCCTGCGATTTCAGTCATAAGTTCCGGTCACGTATCTGCCTGGCCGATGCGTCGTGGCCTATGGAAGATTGACGAAGGCTACATCCGAACGATTCCGTACTGTTTCGTAGACAAGCGCACATATGAGAACATTGGAGACTCTGGGAAATCCTGCAAGATAAGGGCTGCCTTCAATGTGTGGTCGGGGGCTCTCAACGGAAGACCAAGCGCGGCAAGCGGACATTCTCTTGGATTTCGCGTGGCGAACGATCACTTCTGCTGTACCTCCTATCGATATGGGACAGAAAATCAGCCACAAACCGACAGTGATTTTCAGTGCGATTGGGACCATTCCAGGTGGCCTAGTGATACACTAGCGATTCATTGGATTGACGATGTCAAGGCATCTGGTTCAGCTGGCTCATCTACCACAGGTTATGTCAGGGCCGCCGACAAGGAAAAACCAAACCGCCACTGGATGAGAGTTGCCTCTGGAGCTACGCCTGACGATATCGCCCATGAGTTCGGGCACGGTTAGTCTACACATTTCCATCCGTCAATTACGGCACTAACATCTTGGTAGTTATAGGTATGATACACGAGCACCAACGTTGGGATCGTGACGACCACGTTGAGTTCCGCTGTGATAACCTAGTCGGAATGTGGGATAAAATCAATACTGCGCATGTAGCAGAAAAGATATCTCCCGCCCAGGCTCATAGGGCCTTATGCGAGGATCTTGCCATGGCTCATAAATATCACGCCCCAAGCCAAGATTACATCAAGGGTGCCGGGCTTAACGTCAACTCGCAACCTCGGCTAGACGGACCGGGAGGTTTTGACATGGATTCGATCATGCTTTACGACTCGTACTCCTCTTCAGAAGCAGGTGATCAGGCTGATATCAGAACCGCTGTACTTGTCGCAATCCGAAGAGACGCGAACGGTCAGAAGATTCCCGGAAGCGAGACCATGATTCCTCATAGAACAAGACCGTCTGCTAAGGACGTTCAATTCGTCAAGGATTTCTATGCCTGGGATGAGGCAAAGTACCAAGAGTCCCAGAAAAAGGACCCAGGGGCTACATAGGGGCATCTATACTTTGTGTAGAGGAGCAGGGTTAGAGATAGGGATACACTTGGGATTCGTTGATGTGCGCACTGAACAACACGAAGACATGTATAACTAGTTGCCATCATCAAAAGATCGGAAACTCGGGCAATCGGTAATAGAATGGTTTCGAGTTCCCCATGTTATAAGCGAAGTTCATGTTTGCATGCTCCTATCACGGACATATTACTATCCACTGTAGCTTAGCAGCAGGTCTCATACTCACAAATACGGGAGGATTCTAAGACCCGGAAAGCACACGAAAGAGGAGTGATACATCAAGGATTGTTGTGATGTAGCAGAACAGGACTTCGTTGTCCAACTGAGTTAATCTGATCTTTCCGAGGATGAACATACGCCCATTCACGCTCGTTCACACCTGTTCACCCTGATTCACCCTGATTCACCCCTCACTATTCACTTTTACTCTCTCACACTCTTATCCATTATCATGCACTCGCCCTCTCCAGGTCGCGCTTACAATATTTAAACTCTTAAAGGCTTCCTGCTTCTCTTCGAACCAACCGACGAGCACACTAACTCAGGAGCAATGTCGAAAACTTCTTTCTCCCGCCGAAGTACTATGAAGGATGACGATGACTCTCAAATGGCAGGCGCCGGCTCCAACCCGAGCACCACAGCAAACAAGCGACTTGTCGATGATGGTGGCATCGGTTCCAGTTCCAGCTCGAACAGAAAGATCAAGGATGCCACCAGTGCAGGGTATAAGGGCTGGAAAGACGTCGTCGACCGATATTAAGAGGCGAATCCAAAAGCGAAAAGGAAGGCCATAGATCTTGTACCGGGTCTCTCAGTCTTCTACAATGCCTTTTGGGATACACTCTCTGACTCGCTTGATGCTGCTCCGCTCAGTGAGAAGTCCCTTGACATGTTCGTCCACAAGGAAATCGAGGATCAGGACCTCGAAGATCGAGCCCATCAGTAAACAACCGGGCTGAACGCCAAGTGAAGGAGGGGCTCTTGGAGTTCTTTGGTAAGGAGCCGGGCCCGAACGTCTAGACTCTCAAGGTCCCGTGCCAACAATTGCGCCTGGGCACCATAAATGCCCGAGAAATCCCACCAAGCGACAAGAGCCATATTCCGTATGGTGCGAGGCTACGGTCGACCCGTCAGACAGAGCAAGTAAGGAGGCCTTCACCAGCAGCGATTAGACAAATGACGCGTTTGTTTCCTACATGGAAACTAGCTGGCTTTAACATAGACACGCGTCTCATTTCAGCTGCTTTCGTTTTCCTGTGCAGAAGGTATGTTGCGGAGACTCCGAACATGGCCTTATTTCTCGAGTGCTCGTAAGCCGCGTTTCTGTGGGACTTAGATGCTCTATACGAGCGACATAAAAATGTTTATTCCGATTTCGTAAGGTCAGCCGCTTCCACAGACACAGACATGTAACTGGGGAATCTGTCTTTTGTACCCACAATGTGTTCCTACGCCGTGTATTTCGATACTTCAGGCACCAATGCTCATGGCTGAAGTATGTTTGGTAGTATGGTGCCTAAGCTTGAGAAAGACCATGCTTGGGAGTATCGATCGCTTTGATAGACAAGACGCTTTTCCAGGAACATGCATCACCAGGTCGTGAACTTGTAATCCTTCAGAATGTTGTCTGGTATTTAGTTAGTTATAGCAGGAGGCGCATTTCGTGTCGTCGATGAACTTTTGGGTGTCCTGGAGCAGAAGAGACACAACGCTGGCTCTATGAGCTATGTGTGCTGCAGTGCTTATAGATACATATTCTTGAGATTGTTCGAGGTCCTGAGTAGGACGGTCGAAGTCTCCCGGCAGTTCTTGCGAGAGTAGACCAGTCATGATTGATGAATTCCGTCTTGGATAAATATGAACTCAATTGCTTCGACCGTGCGAGATATCTGAGCTAAAGAAGCATGAAAATGTGACCCCCGGTCCTTTGCCATGATACTTCTCTGGGGAAGATCCTTGAGAATTCACGATCGCTTAACGCAGAAGACATGAAACCTCCTGCGAAGGGTATTATTCCAAGCGAACACGGGCTTTCCAGTGGCAGGAGCATTCCATGTGCTCCGGTGCTCATGGTTGAACTTTTACCCCATGTGGCCTTCCAAGGAGACAGACCCTCAGAGAAATCTGCTTTTTCCTTTGATAGTTTCATCTGCAGCAGAAGATGCGAAGTACATAATCTACTGACGCAGAGCTATTTGTCGTAATACATGCGTCAGCAATATTTTAATGATGTTTCGAAGTGCCGGCACAGGAAACATGTAGATTGGCAGTCCATAATTGGCTTGGGTCGCTTGACCCTTGGTGAGCTTGTTCATGCGTCCACTGTTGTGGCGAGGATCGGTATGATACTTATTCTCTCCCTGCAGAAGACGGATACATTGCCCGATCTTCGATTTGAGTCTTAATGAGCTGTGGTGGAGAAGCATTATACTGGACAAACCAGATTTGGGAGTCACGGAGACACCCACGAGCAACATGGCATCTTCCACAACCAGCTTTGGAGAAGGGCATTCATTGATAGACTGTAGATGTCGTCGCCAAGGTGCTCATGAAAGCCGGGTGTTCAGATTCAAGCATTCGAAAGACCAAGACACATGATATTCTTTGATCGAGTTTTCTTTTGTGTGGTCTGCAGCTGGGACGGAGCAACACATTGTGAATGGACGACATTTCGCAATATGCTTCTAGTCCCGAGAAGCATAGCTCGCATTTCCACCACTTTGAGACGTGGTCATATCGAGTTACCCTTCGCTCCTCATGGTTCAGACCTCCGGGGATTTTAGTAAAGATCTAGATTCTGAGTAATTCAGAGGCAGAGCCACAAGATTTAAGCTTCTCGCTCCGTTGCTTCTGTAGCTCGAACAGACCAACATCGTGACTTTTGGCTCTTGTTTAAGTTACGTAGAAGTCGCGAGAAGCATGAGGTCTTGGTTCTAGTCTTTGTGCACGGAGCTTGCCGCGTAGTCCAGTGGACTTTACGCCATAGCATAAGAGAAAAGATATTTTGAGGATGTCATATACTATTGGGTCCTCCAGCACTCTGACAACCGGAGCATTGCTGAGCCCACGAAAGAAACAGGACATGGATTGTCTTTTTTACAGGTCCTTTTGAGCTCAGATATCGAGATAGAAGAGCCGATAGTTGATCTTCTGGTAGGCTTCTCGAGCCCAAGAACCCCAAGAGGCATGTGTTTGAAGCGATCGAGTGCTTTAGTGTAGGCAGGTTCGGGCGACGAAGAAAGTTTTCCTAAATGCAGACTCATTCCATGATACGGACGTGGTTTTGGAGCATGCGAGAGTCAAGGCGAGTACATTGACGAAGTTTGCGTGGTTTTCGGTCCGGAGCGCTTATCGAGCTGGACCATGAGTATCTTACAAGACAGGGTAAGCATAGAATACCGACTTTGTTTAGTAGCCAGAAACCTCAAGGCTATCCCTTCTCGTCCTCTGGGGCGTCCAAATAGAAAAGGTTCACATTTCTCGTATAAGCCTGTTCTTTGGAGTCAAGCCAGTCCATGTCCAGGTAGGACAGTAATCTTGAGGTACTCAAGAAGACATGCTCTGTTCTTCCGCCAACTTTGAGTGGCGTAGACGAATTCCGTGAGAGGCAGAGGTTACGCTGCGAAGTGTACACGAGACGTTGAAGTAGCTGCCTTTATTTCTCCATGGTCATGATGTGATGAGCGTCGGATTAGTTCTCCAACGTTTGAATTCCACACAGAAACGAAAAGATGTATCCATGACCTTTAGGTTTTGATGATTGGAGAAATAGAAAACGAACAGATTGCGCGTCAAAGAAGTGTGCTCGCAATATACCCATGTAGTCTTGTGAAGCGAACAGACGGTTTTTGTTTGCATGCTTCAACACCAACAAGCAAGAGCTACGTCACTGCATCAGCGTCCGCATTTCTGCGTTCCAAGAAGCCAGAAACACATCTCTAGGAACTTTTGTTCTTTTTGGAGCGTTATCCCCACGCAGATGCATACATCGGTACAGATTGTTTTCGCACAGAACATCTTCGTTGTGATCGTCGAGTTTGGACTACGGCGACGGGAACACATTTCGCGACCTCGAGGTTTTTAAGGTCGCTCAGGCTTCCGAGAGAACATAGTACATAATGGCAGGGCTTTGTTCCACTGTACACAGCGATTGTGAAAGACACAAGGTCCGTCAGCATACGCAATTGATGCATCAGTCTCGGAGGAGGAAAAGCGCAGAGCATGGAAGCGCTACCAGGGCTTTTCGAACAGAACGACACATGCATACTAGTCCCATTGGTTTTAGTTCCACAAGCCAAAAGACATGACGTGTGCTAGTTTGTCTTTTTGAAGGGCGTATGCAAGCGGCGCAGTATCCGCGAACCCATAGTCTTGGTGACATGATATCTTGGAAATAGCCGAGAAGAGCGCAGCATATGATAGCTCCACAAAGGGTTTCGCTCCTTGGAGAGCAATACATCGCCCACATCACGTAAAGCTTAGTCTGCCACAATTCGATTAACATAGTCAAAATCATCCGTTGTTTCTGCGTCCGTATGTGATGCGAGATACTAGGGATGCGCAGAAACGTGCAGATGAACAGAGAGTTATCCGGGGAAGAAGAGAGCGCAGCATATGGCGTTTCTCTGTTCTTTTTTTTCAAGACAAGAAACACATAGTGAACCCAAACTGTAGCCTTCAGTGTTCCACAGGCCAAAGCGCATTGAACGTTGTGATTGTGGTTTTCGTTCATTTCGCGAATGTGAACTGCGAATCTTCATAGTCCTGTCCGAGTACACATAGAAGAGAAGCCGGGCAGGTTTTGAGAGCGATGTACCCTGGATGGGAGAAGGAGCAAAACATGTATGCTGTTCAAGGGCACTTTTGTGTCCCGCAAGTCCAAACGAACATTCCCATGTCTCCTGAATTCTTTTACGCATGGTGATATGAAGCGCATCGATCGCGCAAGCCAACACCGCACTGTTGTCACGCTTTGCAGGGGGAGACACAGAAGGACATGAATTGTTCTGGCAAAGTGTTTTGTAGAAGAGGAACGACCGTCTACCCATTCGCTGTGGACTTCGGAAACCATCCACAGAGGCGTAATGAGCGCCGTTGGTTTTCCTTTTCCTGGAGAAGAGGAAAGGGAACTCATCATGACCACTGATTAGTATCTTTTGGACTGGCAAAACAAACACAGATAGCACAGCGGTCTTTGCGAGCGCACTGAAGGCACATGACACTTTGTTGTGATTGATTTTGAGAGAGAGGCGGCACGGACGACATTGTTGCGCTGGTACCAGTCTTATAAAGAAGGATAGAACATGGCGATGGATGAGCAGTCTTCGATATCTCCTAGCGCACGAGATATAGCTATCGCTTCCCACGCCTGGAAGGAGGAAAAGGACTCCCATAGACTTGATATACCATAAGTCGAAGCAAAAGGCGGGCATAGAGTTCGGGAAACGATTCTTTGAGCATAATAGCACACTAAAAATCGAAGTGAACTCGATGCACAGTCGCCAGCAACAAAGAACCCTAGAAGTCTGCTTTGAAAATTGAAGAATAGAACCGATGTGCCTTCGGAATGGGACTAGGGATCAAGTAGTCAAACTATGAGATATGCGAGCGACAGGGAGCCAGAAAACATAATATTGGTCGTGGGCATTTTGATTTATGCCCAATGAGACTTCAAAGTAGGTAACTGGCCATTCGTGGCAGAGGCACGAAGACCTCGCAAGACATACAGGTTATTCGTGCTGAGTTTTGCTCTGGTGCTGTCGCTCGAAAGCCCGGACGAGGGAACGTTTGGAATCTGAACACCCAGGCGACAAGAGGCGACTCGGAAGCACTTTTGACGGGGCAAGCAGAGGAGTCCTCATCTTCCAACATTGACCAGGGTGACAGTCAATTCTGGGCGGTTTTCCGGCCCATGGGAGTGATCATGCAGAGAATAACACATGAGAGGATGATGTGTACATTTTGGAGCCAGGCGGTCCCAATATCTTCACGCTCTTTTCTCCAATGGGGTGTTCTATTCTCTTATTTCGTAATATTGCATGGAAATGGAGACATCCAGCATGTGTGATAAGCATTTTGGTCTAACGAACCGAAGCAAAGACATATATTCGTGCTGGTACTCTTTTGGAACAGAGCCGAGGACACATCTTCTCACCAGCTGATATTTTAGAGTGCCGTGGGCACAAGGATCAGTGTAAAGGTCAGAAGACGAGCGTGGGCCTTTTTATGTTGGAAGAGGTGTGGTATTAGTCAACAAAGACGAGTCTGCTTTATTTAGAGAAAGGATAAGATTGACGTCGCGGGTGCGATTGCTGGGGGATACCTCAGAAGAGACCACCGTGGGAGGACCGTTGGCATGGGCTATGACTGGACGTACTGTGGGATATGTATCTGTGAAATGAATACCAACAATACGTTCAGTTAGCCAGAAGGGTACCGTGGTGGGGACGGCCCGGGCGGTTCCGAGTCTCGTGACCGTAAGGCTTAGCGTGACGCTTGGTCGCGTCTTAGTATCTTAGAAAATTTGGGAGGAACCCCTTCGACATCGAAGCTTCCATCCACGCTTCTTTTCAATTACTTTTTCTGTTCATTCCTCGCCATCATGTACGCTGCCACTGTTTCATCCTTCATTCTTCACTAGAGATACTAATGCGTCTGATGTAGGTTTCTTCTCCGCCGCACAGCTGCCCGCGCGATTGCCTCGACGCCCTCGTCGGCCGTCTTCGTCAAGCCGCGTTCTATCTCCTCCATCACACCTATCGCATTCCACGCGAGGAAGCAGCAATGGATCGCTCCTGCCTTCCAGAAGAGATATCTCAGCGAGGAGCCGACCAAGGTTGAGACAACAGAGGCCGAAGCCAAGGAGGTGGAGGCAAAGGAGGGCTTTGCGCAAACCGCAGCAGAAGCTCCTGTAGACGAAAATTTGACCCCGGCACAGGAGGAGGTACAGGCAGCACCTGCCGATGCCCAAGACACTCCCGACTTCGGTGCATCGGAGCTAGAAAGCAAACAACGCGCTGCGCGCCGCGCTAACAAGGATCTCACCCCGAACAATACCGTCTATGTCGGTAATCTGTACTACGAGGTCACCGCAGACCAGCTGAAGCGAGTCTTTGGACGTTTCGGTGAGGTCGACAGCGTCAGGGTCATCTACGACAACAGGGGCCTCAGCAGAGGGTAAGCTATACATCTGCACCACGACCGATGACATTCGGGCTAACTTTTCGCCCTAGATTCGGTTACATTGAGTTCAAGGAAGTGAAGGATGCCCAGGCGGCGTGCGAGAACCTCGACATGCAGGTCTTCGAGGGCCGCAACCTTGTCGTCCAGTTCCACCAGCCCAAGGAAAACTCTAAGACACGTAGCGAGAGCGGCTCCATCGTCCCCAACCCACCTTCTAAGACTCTCTTCATCGGAAACATGTCCTTCGAGATGTCGGACAAGGACCTCAACGACCTCTTCCGTGATATTCGCAACGTCATGGACGTGCGTGTTGCCATTGATCGAAGGACCGGCCAGCCCAGAGGCTTCGCCCACGCTGATTTCATCGACGTTGCCAGTGCCACCAGAGCCAAGGACGTGCTCGGCGACAAGGTTATCTACGGCAGGCAGCTGCGCGTCGACTTCAGCAAGTCGGGTACGAGCAACCAGAGGGAGCAGAGGGAGAAGAGGGACAACAACAGTGACAACAGGGACAACAGGGACAACAGGTACAACAGCAGGGATAACAACAGGTACAACACCAGGGACAACGACAGGAGATGAGAAATGCAACCATAGGCGCATTGCAAGCATTGTTTCGATAACGGAGAGGGAATGGACAGGTCAAAAAGTTCTCAGGCAATGAGGGACGACGACGGCGTGAGATTACATCTAGCAGTTTCTATCTTGTCGTTTTGTATTGTGTTGATAGGCCTGTCAGGTCCGCATGTACCATACTAGAGGAGTGTCCTGGCGTTTGATTCCCCTCTCTTTCTGTAAATGATAGGGCGGGATGGCCTGCCGCGATGCTACAATATTTAATAGTCGACCTTGCTCTTCTTTCCGCTCCCAGTTGTGCTACCCATGCCCTATGGTCGCCACTTAGAAATCAGATTTACCTCGGCGATTTCGGCTGCGTTTGCCCCACTCCGCAGCCGCCCGCGACACGTTAACCCGCACTCATCAACACGCTCCGCAGTCGACAGCACCGTTGACAGCCGGCCCAATACTTGCACCCGGCGGGCGGCAGTCACCTTGTACAACAGCCACCTACAATCGATCTTGTACCACGGCCAGCACTCGAACACCCACCCGCGAGTTCTCAAACCATGTCCTTCCTTGGCGGCGCAGAGTGCTCGACGGCGGGCAACCCGCTCAGCCAGTTCACAAAACACGTACAAGATGACAAGTCATTACAGAGGGATCGCCTGGTCGGGCGGGGGCCGGGCGGAATGCAGGAGGGCATGCGCAGCCAGCAGATGGGCGGCGGTTCGGATGGTGTAAGTCTGGAAGGCACCTTCGACAATGGATGAAGGCCATTGCCGTGTACGAGTACAGCTTGGAACTCGGCTAACAGGTGCAGATGATGAACGAATTCATGCAACAAAACGCACAGCTTCCCCAAGGCCCCGGTCCCGCGTCGCCATTCGCCATGGAGCAGATGCGGCGAGAGCTAGAACGCGCACAACACAGCGGTTCGCCCGCCTGGGCAGCAGAGTTCGACTCTGGCATGGCGGCACCAGAAGCCATGGGACCATCGATGCAGGAGAGACCTGCAGGCTTTAACCCCGCCGAGTTCGCAAAGTTCCAGCAGATGAACCCCACCGCACGGACAGCGAGCCCGACCGTCCAGTCCCCGTCTTCGATGATGGGAGGGTACCAGCGGCCCATGTATAATGGTGGAATGGGAATGGGTATGGGTATGGGCGGCATGGGAATGGGCATGGGCATGGGCATGATGCACCAAAACTACGGGCAACAAAGCTTCCAGCAGCAGCAGCCGATGCAAGAAGGCAAGGGCAAAGGTCGCATGGTCGAGCTCGATGACCAGGACTGGGAAAAGCAGTTTGCCGAGCTGGAGCAGGTAGACAAGGACGCGCTGGACGTGGAAGCAAACAAGCGCATAGAGGAGGAGCTCAATGCAATGGACAGGTCAGTAGACGCCGCCGACTTCGGCGACTTCGAGTCCATATGGCGCGGCATCAAGGCTGAGACTGAACACGCTAGGCAACTGGCCAACGAGGAGAACTTCGCCGACAGCATGCATATGGGCGATCTGGACCAGTGGGAGGGCTTTGACGGGCTGAATACGCATTCCGTAGGAGACCCGCCCATGGGCGACTACCTTTTCGAGCAGAACAATCTCTTCAAAGACATCACAAACCCGTTCGAAGAAGGCATCAAGATCATGGAAGAAGGCGGAAACCTCTCCCTAGCAGCCCTCGCCTTCGAAGCCGCTGTCCAAAAAGACCCCCAACACATAGCCGCCTGGGTAAAACTAGGCGAATCGCAAGCCCAAAACGAGAAGGAAACCCCTGCCATCCGCGCCCTCGAACAGGCGCTCAAGCTCGACCCTAGCAATCTCGAGGCCCTCATGGGTCTCGCAGTCAGCTACACAAACGAAGGCTACGAAAGCACCGCATACCGCACCCTCGAGCGCTGGCTCGCGACAAAGTACCCGACGCTTATCAAAGAACCCCTTTCCTCAGATGCAGAAATGGGATTCACAGACCGCCACCTCCTCCACGAGAAAGTCACAAACCTGTTCATCCAAGCAGCGCAGCTGTCACCTGCGGGAGAGCAAATGGACCCCGACGTCCAAGTCGGCCTCGGCGTCCTCTTCTACGGCGTAGAAGAATACGACAAAGCCGTCGACTGCTTCGGCGCGGCGCTCGCATCGACAGAATCCGGCGTCAGCAATTCCTCCTCCCAAGTACACCTCCTCTGGAACCGGCTCGGCGCGACGCTCGCAAACTCCGGCAGGAGCGAAGAAGCCATCGACGCGTACTCCCGCGCGTTAGCCCTCCGACCGAACTTCGTTCGCGCGCGCTATAACCTCGGCGTGTCGTGCATCAACATCGGGTGCTTCACCGAAGCTGCACAGCACCTCCTCGGTGCTCTGGCAATGCACAAGGTCGTGGAGAAGGAGGGCAAGGAGCGTGCAAGGGAGGTTGTCGGCGACGGCGTTAGCGAGCGGGATCTGGATAATATGATTCATCAGAACCAAAGTACGAATTTGTATGATACCTTGCGTAGGGTGTTTGGGCAGATGGGACGGAGAGATTTGGCGGATCTGGTGGGGCCCGGATTGGATGTTGAGCGGTTTCGGGGGGAGTTTGAGTTTTGATTTAACGAAGACAGTTAAGGAGGAGGGGATGGAGACGGAGCAAGTTGTGCAAACAGCGGAGTGGGTGGAGACCGCCGCGCTGTGGGAGAGTGTAAATAACAGTCGACAGGCTAAAATGGGTGGGATAGGGTACGACGACTGGCTTCTCGAGAAGAAGGTTAAAGTCCAGAAAGTTCCGTGGGACGATGAGCTGGAGGTTGGAAATAGCTGTTGCTTTGGCACAAGGACCGTGGATATTGGGAAGGATTGTATATGGAAACTTCATGATGGCGTTTAGAGTAGCCTATCTGGTCGGATCATAGAGGCCGTGATTCATACGTTAGCATCGTGTTGCATGGAATGGAAAGAGATCTACTGAGCATATATAATGACAACATTTGATGGGTGAGTACGAAACGAGATGGCTTGGTTGTGGGATGAGGGAGGGTAGGGCACGAAGTGAAGATAAGCTCTGTTCTCTGCTTGTGTAGAAAGCTTGAACATGCAGATGCCAAGGAAAGAGCATCAGACAAGCAATGTGCATCGACTCGCCGTAACGTGCTTCCGGGCGGACATAATATGATCTTGCCAGCCGCAAAGCAAAACTCGAGCCGCTATCCAAAGGCTCTGGTCTGTTTCCCTCTGTGTGTGAGCTGTAGTACCAGGGCTGGAGGAAGTTTGTGTTGTTCAGCGATCAGTGGATTCAATGCTAGGGATTTTAGTTGTGTGTATCCAGAATTTCAATATCGAGGATTGAGGAGCCATCTGACGTGAAATATGGGTAGAGAAGACTCATTTTTTGGTCGTCCAAGAGGCGGCGACTTCGCGTCTCCAGGCTTGACAAGTGCCTCTGGAACGCTGCTCTCTCCATACCGCGTCGGTTTGAACGAAGCAAGCTTACCATAGTCGTCCATAACCAGCTTCTGCAGGATTCCCTGGACCAAGGGCTTTATCGTACCCGGCAAGTTGCGGATGTATCATGCGTGGAACTCCTGGGCTGCGCCCAGGAAGCAAAACGACTCAAGGTCTGGGCTACAGGTTCCGAGTTGAAGCAAATCCATGTCCACTGAACCGCGCTCTTGTCTGGCGTCTGATGACTAGTCGAAAAGGTACAGATGCTTCAGCTTCAAGTGGACTCCTAGCGGAGGTATCAGGGTTCAAATTGACTTACGGGACGTGATAGCGGATTTGCGCGGCGACTTCTTCAACACCGTGCTTCGTTGTGTCGATTCAGGTTTATTGCGTGTGCAACTGCAAGTATGGTGAGGCAGGCCATCTTTCGTTCCTACGACAGCTACCTTCCGTGGTCGACTCAGGTCCCACACTGTACGATCTCTCATCAATGCACTCTTGCAGTGATGATACGGCATACGCAGCGATTGCCTTACTGTTCTATGGGCGGCGTCAGCCCTCTAGTCATGTCGCAGGTTCGATCGTGCGAGTTTCCTTCATCGTTGTGTCGCAGAGCTGACTTCGGTGGTTAACTCAGTCCCATACTCTGTTACTTCGACAGGCGGTGTATCGCGCGGGCTGCCCTCGGTGATTGACTCAGGTCCTGTGCCTGGCGATTTCGCCATGTCAACGACTGCGTAGGGCTGGCAACAATATCTTATCTCTTGACCAGTCCTTCGAAATTCATGGGCACAGCTGGGTTTGTGAGGTGTAATCCTCCTACCAGTCAATGAACCTACCATTGTGTCTACGCTGTCGCGATACTTCTATACTTGATTATGGACATTTTCAAGTTCCAGTAAGAGAATGGTGAGGGGGGAGGAAGCAAGCAGAAACGCGCCTGCCAGTGAACTAGAACAGGTTAGCTCCAAACAAACCTCACCCTTATTTCCACGATTGTCTCAATCACTTTCTCTCAACTTACACCAATGTTCGAGACACACTATCATTCGCTTACCATCAGTCAAGAAGAACTATCAAGAACAGCCGAGGCGGTTTCCAATGTGTCAGTTCAAAGGCACTAGTAGGAATCCTATGCGGAGGTACGAAACAGCAACAGACCTGCAAAGACACAGAAAAGAGGCAGTAGCAGGAAAATCAAATTTCAGTATGTTGCTGACCGCTAGCAATGACCTGGGCCCAATTTTCCATTCAATCAACATCACTGGCACGCGCTTAGGTTTGCACACAGCTTATGAAAGGATTCTACCTATGCCGCTAAACGACCGCAAAAGCAAAAGACCACCCATAGGGACCAAGAGCGATATGTACAATGTCGACACATGACCCGCATACATGCCTCCAATGATCTAGAGACGCAGACAAAGATGGAATAGCTTTTTGGTGCAACACTTTTCCTGTTTGAATTTTGTGAACGAGAGTCCGGTAAGAGACAAAGAAATATGTTGAAGGCGATGTTCCCCAAGAACGCCACAATATGCATGTGCGCTCAACTCCGATGGAAATGCGATATCGACGGTAACGAGGATATGAGCAACGCGCTGATCGCGTCAAAGCATGAAAATGCGGTTCGAGCGAATGAATGCGACAGCCAGAGCGGCTGAGTCCGGTCAGTGGTGGCAGCACAGAAGATCAAGCCAGATCGGTCTCATAGAGAGCTCTCTACGCGAACCAATTCTTCAAAGGCTTCTCGCCATTTGTTGGTCTCTTCTTTGCTGGGCCTCGGAAGAGGCTTGCGGGCGTAACCGCCATATCCGAAATGTGCCATCAAGCCAGCTTTCGTGCCGATGATGCCACCCTGAATGGCTGCCCAGTCGCCACGAGCGATTACGGCCTGCAATTTGCGTGCTTCTGTGTATTTTCCCGCTTCGAAGAGCTCAACAAGTGTGACACACGCCTTCGGAGCAATGTTGGCCATTCCCCCAATGATGCCGGATCCACCGCCAATCAAGGTTTGAAGAGTGAAGTCGACAGAGCCGCCCATGCACATGAATCCAGAACCGGGATCAGATACAGTGGCTGCACGTGTAGCTGCTGCAATGCGGTTCAACTTGCCAGTGTTACCGCAAGTCAACTTGCAGCCGACGATGTTTGGATGTTGCGCCAGGTCGATGATGACGTCGGAATTCAAGTCCATTCCGGACACAGCTCCGGGATAATTGTAAATGAGTATTGGGATCGGCGAGGTGGTTGCAACATCCCGGAAGAAGCTTGCAACAGTCTCCTTGGAGAACAACCCTTGGTAATAAGCGGGAGGGAGCACTAGGGCATAGTCTCCGCCAGCTGCAGCAGCCTCCTCACACAGTTCGATGGCCTCCCTGGTAGATTGAGCACCACATCCGACGATGAGTGGCATGTACCCAAAGCCTGCATCATCAAGAGCCTTGCGGGTTGTGCTTGTTACCAAATTGCGTTCCTTGTGGGAAAGATGCACTGCCTCGCCGTTGGATCCCTGCGTGGTGATTCCAGCAACACCGGCTTTTGCGAGACGCACAGCGTGGTTGGCAGTAGTTCCCACGTCGACGTTGTCAGTGGCAGGATCGAAGAATGCAACAGTGGGAACGTATATGCCGGGTACCAAGGATCGTCTCAGACCTACATCGCCGGACTCGATGGAGCTGGTGTCGAATTCGTTGTAGTGGTTCATGGTGTAGATGGATTGAACAGCTTGGTGATGGATTGGATACTCTGCACGAGAGTTGAAGCTCGAAGCAGGCGAAGGTGCGTCGTTGTGCGGTGACATGATGATATCTGGGGGGCAGCTCAACCGACTTTATACTGACAAAGAGATGAAGCAGAGCGGATCCTTGTGACAAAGAATAATTGCGGATGTGACGGGGTGATGGACGAATTGGATACACCAGCGGGAGCTATGGTAGGCTACTGAGGATCGTCCCAGACTTAAATAATTCACAAGCCGGCCTACTGACGAGTGTGGGGGTCCAGCTGATGATGCGGTCAGAGAAACGCTAGGAGTCGCGGGCAAAGCAAGGTTCACAGATGTTCCCATGAAGGACAAACTCGCAGCCAGAACCAAAGGGGCGGTGACTCTGGAGGCGCAAGATCCATGTCAGGCACGGCTGTTTGTGCCCTGGCCAACAGGCCCAAATCCAGCCAATCGCTGTGACGTGCAGAAGGGATCACACTGGTTGCTTTTTCTCCTTACGTCGCGGCCACAGCTGGCAGGGTAAGCGGCCGACCCAGCTCGGATCTTGGCCTGAGGTGTTGGGTAGGGTCGCATGCCTTGTGACGATCTCCTGCAAGCCTGTCCAGGCCGCTCATAGGCCGGTCGTTGCCACCGTCTCGCCCGTCCGGAGGGTTGGCGGGGCTCAAGGAGCGTTGCAGCGCGTGCTCGGGGTTCCTAGTGTGGGGGTGGGGACTTGCAGACGGCGAATTGTTCAGAGAGGAAGCATCCGAGCTCTCCTCGTCATCTGATATCGCACGGCCTCCGGTCGTGGTCCCAGTGGACGGAGGCCGTTTATCTCGGGCGACTCCATGGGCACGCACCCCGTTGCTTGAGGAGCCGCAAGAGGATGCAAGACGTGGCAGACCGCGGCTGAGGCCGCCACCCAAGCAGCGATGTTCGTCATCAGACCACGCGACATCAGCGCTGAAGCAGTCATCGACACTGGTTTCCGGATCAGTGCAAGGGCTCCGGAGGGGACTTGGCTTCGTCGCCTTTGTTGCAGTACATGGCTGGCGAACAATCGACCCGGCGGTCGCGAACCCCCACGTTCTATTGCTGGCTCCGGTGGCGGACCCCAGACCATGGCTACTACGCCGCACTAGCCTACCGCAATTACACCGAGGTGATCTCAACATCGTGTGCTGTTGGATGGGCCAACCTCAATCTCGCCCCTCAAACCTCCGGGGCCTGCCCTCGTATCGAAGCCCTGCATTTGAACGTGCGATCACTCGGGCATCAAACGCCCGAGCCAACATTTGCGGTGCGCGCGAATTAAGCAGGTCATCCACATCCAACACCATGCCTGCAGCAGCTGCCGAAGGACGATCCGGCACTCAAGGCAAGCTCTCATGCCCCAGAAACGTGGAAAACTATCAGCCTCTCGTTGCTTTTGCTGCCGAATACAGGTTGCATCGGCAAAAGGGGAATTGTCTGAACCGTTTTGCCGGACGTGAACTGAACGCCGGCAAACATGTCTGATCCCCCACGCCAACGTTTGTGGCAAGAAGCCATCAGGAGACCGAACGATTTGTTCCCGCTGCACATCAGACAGCACTACAGCTCATGCATGTCCTTCTTGGGGATCTGCCATCAGATGCGTTGAGCAGACTCGCGATACCATGCTCTCCGACGGGGATCGAGGGCGGCCGCCTCCACCAAGGCACGAGACAGAAGAAATTTCTTGCACCTCATGCCCATCTCTTGTCTAGATCCTGCGTGATGTCTACCTCTGCATATGTGCGGTACGTACAGTGTAGCCCAGTGTGCGCAACAACACAGCCTTCGCGAAAAGCGAGGCCGAGAAGGAACCGAGGTCTGCAACCTGCGCTATTACCCCACAATTTGCCGATCCAGGAGATGCTCCCCCGCTTTATGACCACGTTCAGGTTCAGGTGCAGCATGGTACTGTGCCGCTCCCGATGGTCTCCTGGGGGCTTCTGACTTGCATGAGCCTGACGCCCAGTCGTCCCCGCGATCTTGCGCCTTCCGCTCTCCTGCATCAGAAGGCGCTATACGTGACAGTTCACGGAACCGCCGGTCTACGAACTGAGAAAGAATACAAGCAACGTCAAGAAACAGCACAAGGTGAAAGAGGAGCATCGGCAAGGATCTGATGTGCGGCCCCATGTGACACCTCCGCTGGCAGTGCTGGCATTCAGTTACGCCAGGGGTGAAATGCATGAAAGTGGATTTCAATGAATGGCTCGACATTACCGAAAGTACCACTTCCTTCGGCATCTTACCCTCAGGAAACCGTTGATTCCAACAATAGATCGCTCAGTACACATGCCTGTACGACAACTCACTCTAACATATCTCCCCGCATGTGTGACTCTTTGGTTTGGGCGACGACGACCGAGCCCCCCTTTGGCAACCCATCGGAAGTAACTAGTAGAGGGGACTTGAGGGGCGCACACGACTTGATTAGTTCCTGGATATTCGCCGAGATCGCTTATGTCCAGACCTTCAGTAGATCTCTTGAACTAAACCTTGCGTGGTACACTCATTGCAACCTTGTCATGGTGACGAAGTAAGGTTACGCAGTCCCCACTTCCTAAATCATCTCCTTCAGACTTTGAAGACAACTTTTCCTAACGATCGGCGCCCTACGCGCCCGGGGTAGCAGGCTTGGCCTCAAGCTTATACACCAACCTTGTGAGTGGTGGTAATGCGGGGTTTGGTCGCCGTATACGAACCGAGGGAAGCCCAACTTACACCGTTGATCAAAACGGTGCACCGCCGATCTTGTCTGGAACCTCGCTTTTCTTTGATGGTGCGCAAGAGTTGCACAGACTGTACGCTTGTCACGAGCCGCATGCGACTATTTTGATGCCATTGTGCGTGGGGTCGATCGGCTTTACGCGCAACCGTCGCCATCTGACAGCGTGGGATGTAGGGCCATCCAGGGTCTCGAATCTGCGTGCTGAGGGGTCTCACCGACAATCTTACTTCGGCTGTGGCTCCGAACGAAATGTCTTGCTTGTGAGATCGCAACGGCAGTGCTCAGTAACCCCCCACCATATCGGACAGAAGTGCGATTTGAACAAGACTCCCCACGCAAACCACGTTACGGCTCAGGGCAACGAACTCGAAGGCACATATTGCCACACTCAACGGATTTCAGCGGCAGAAGTTTCTCCGCTCCTGAGATGACTCCGCCAAACATACCTACAGAGCTAGGTAGTGCAACATTACAAAAGACATGTTGGCTTTGACGGCGCTCAATGGATTTGGCTTGGCCCCATGACTGTATGCGACTGTGCCTCAGGAAAAGAATTTCCCAGGTTTGCGAGTGGTACACGATGATGACCCGCGCAAGCTCAAGGACTCAATGCACAGCCCCGTTCGTATTTTACGGCACACCCAGAATTGGGTCACGCTCTGAATGGAATCTCATACATATGGAGAGTATTACCCAAGTGGGTCTGGTGCTGCAGCCATCTGCCCCCGCATTCTCTAGATTCAGGAGCCAAGGCCGCGATGTACTCGAGGAAGTAAGAGATCATACGACAGTGCAACATCACCCCGCGGAAAGGAACAGGGTGGCTTGTTTCCGCAAGCAAGTGAGGGATTTAAAGACCTGTGATAGAACGAAGCGAGATCCGATTCATCAATTCCGAGTAGTGGACAATTTGTATACCTCCGCTTCACCCTTGACTACTCAGCAAATTTGGGCGCATACATCGGTAATGGGTATGCATGTACAGTGTTGCACAGTATTAGGAGATCGTAGGGAGGCATCTGTGTGCTTACTGCAGAGGGATGGGGGGGATGCTTCTTGACGTCGAACGAGCGAACGAGCAGTCTCGTCAAGTGTAGTCGGAGACTCGTACGTGTCTCGAGCGTCGTGTTGTACGATGTCGGAGGCGAGGCTGCACCCACCGTGTACGGCAACACTAAACGACTCTAGCTTAGCTGTGGGTCTCTCCAGGTCGGGAAAAGGTGGAAGGAGTTCAGCGCCGGACACCATCGATGCCCCCACGCTACGGATGCGATCCATCCATCCGATTCTTACCGAAAAGGACTTCGCGATGAAGTAATGAACCGTCTTTCTGAAGGCTGTACTTTGCTCGCGCGACACGGCAGTTGCGAGCATCACGATAATTGCTAGCGTGGTCAAAGGGCTTGTTGCCGCGGTCTAGTACAGCTGGTCGGCCACTTTTTCTGCCTCCGAAATGTCTTCTTGTTGTACATGCTCGAAACAGGTACCGGCCTAGATCTCTTCATCCACCCTCGACGCAATCGTACTCCCCCATGCTCGAGATGGAAATGCCAACACTACGGCAAGCAGCCCGATCAAATCGGCCCGAGCGCGATTCGTCCATTCCCAAAGCGCCATCAAAGCGCCGTTCTTGGCCGCGGGACCGGGAGAGAACTGTACCGCTTCGACGCCCTCCGCTGGTCAATGCAACATCTCCCCCCGACCTTCCAAAACTTTACAAAGCGTGGGGTACACGGTTACGAACTTATCGATGAGATAGGCATTCCACCACGAGTCAAGTCAAGTTTCGGTCGACGACGGGTCGTGAGCCAACCGCGTACTTCGGGTTCCGCCCTGTTTGATCGCCGGAGAATCCCAGCTGAGCCACCCTTCGATCGCGTGAGATGTATCTCCTGTGGACCTCCGAAAGGGCGGTCAATTGAGGCTCTATCTGTCGTGGGACGCACATGAGGAGTGCATGACGTTGGATAGGTTGTACGGTGCATGTACGTGCGGACAGCGAGGTGACGCACGATGCAATGCGCGATGGCCAGGCCCGGTCCAACACCGCGAACATCGAAGCACTGCACCTCGGACGCGTCGAAGAAGCGCTGCGTACGTCGAACACGAATAGTGATCCATCTGCGTAGGTGAAGAGGATACCTTAGGCTGGAGCCAGTGTAGACGAGATTGTCTAGGGGAGCGGATCCTTCCCTTCCCATTCCTTCGAGTTCGGTTCAAATATTGGTCGTCACATCCCCTTTTGTGAGATGCTTACACTTTACACGCGACTACTGGACAATATTGTCGTTGCTTTTTGTATATCTGGTCGGATCTCGCTAGCATGCACCTAGGGTATGCACCTCGATCATGAGTATACCACGAGCCGCCAATGACCTTTACGACCTCATCCAGTCGACTCTCGCTCACTGCAAGAAACACTAATCTCTTTCCATATTCCCTCTCAAACGCCTACTTCCACACATACTACTGACTTTCAAGCACCAGCCCGAAGAAAAAGCAACCTCTCCCAGGCGCGAAGTCGGTCCGCAACCCATGCACACGCCCATGCACCAACCTCGCGAAGCACAACGGGTGGCTTCGGCAGGCTTATGCGACCTCAACGTGGTCTCCAGGCAAAGCTTGCTCGGGAAATTCCAGTCTCCATGATTGCTTTTGGCATCCTCCTGTCTCTTCACGATGTCATTGGCGGGGCCTGCATGCATCGCTTACCGCTCTGTCAGGTCCGTGCCTGCCCATTTCCTCGGGTCGACCAGTTCTACCCGGAAGTTTGCTTTTTCTCATCTCGCCTGGGTCCGTTCGTTGCCTGTTGAATGCCCGTTCGGGGCGCACGTTACAGGGCGTAGGCCACGAGGTCGGCGCGAACAAGGACGCTTGCGGACGTGTTTGGTCGAGCGTGTGCGCCTCCTTGGAGATGTCATCGTGACTGGACGTTCGACGCATCATGAGGCGTACGCTCACCGGAGGGCATATCTTGCGGTGAAGCCAACTTGCCAACCTGGCCGGCTGCTCCGTCAGGCACCCTTGCATGCCGTGGAGGGCGTTGACCACTCGGAGGCTCAACGCTGGTGGTGTGATGTCTACGCATACTGCGCAGCACGTTGCACGACGTCCGGAGCGATACGTGTAACCATGAGGAAGACACGGAACGGTAAGCGAGGCTGCAAGGTTGATCTTTTGGGATCGGCGGTTTCACTGGAGCGGGTATCTCTGCTGGGCTTTCCTGCCTGTAGGACGTCTTTTGATCTGATTTGATGGGTGGACGAGGTCTTTTACGCGCGCTGGCTGTTTGGTCGGTGTACGAATGATTGGGAAGGGTTGCAGGACGTCACTTGGTGGACCCCCACGGCGTTGTGAGCAGGACCTGCAGATGGTGTGGTCTAGATGGTACCGACGCGGGTAGTACATCGGTCGTAGGTGTTTGGCTCCGTATGCAGCGTATAAGCGATGCTGGGTGTCTGATTTGGAATGTGTTTTTCAAAGTACTCCGAAAGATATGCACGTTGAGCTCTTCGTGCATGTTCTCTGGCAGTTGTTCACTTGCTTCATTTACTCGGTCACAAGTAGGATAAGTTTGAGCTGAGCTTGAGGGTTAAGCAAGCTTCGATGTAAAGATTAGTCTCTCGCGCCCGAAGAGAGAATAACATCGACACAAGCGAAGAACGAGGTTAGAGACCTGAAGCTAAGGAGGGAAGTGGAGTGAAGAGTGTCTCTGCTAATTGTTTTGCACACTAGAGCTAAAGGGGGACTCATAACAGAGAGGATGTTTAGAAAGAAAAGGGTCTCGACTGTGCTATAAGAGCACTGAGTCGGATGGCAGATTCGTGGCCAATTGCATCGGGCAGTGGGTAGTAAGTTCTTGGTCTAGGAAAGGAACACAAGTAGAATCCACTCTGACGTGATGTACATGACTACATCAGATGGTGCGAGACCGAAGAGTGAGTCCTAAAAGGGAAGTAATGACCGAGCAATAGATGAACCAAACCAAGAATGAGTGGTTGTGCACTGCACGTGAGGCAGTCCAAAGCCCAGTATGTCACATAAGCTCGTGCCTTTAGGGGATGTTGACCATTCTGCCGATGATGTCCATGTACTCTCAACTTCTAGACGTCCCCCTTCGCTACCTCGTCATCGTATGTCGGCGCCGCCCTTTAATCGAATCAAGAATCGGGAATGAGTGGCTGCGGATAGAAGACGACTTTCACCTCGTTGTGCTCGTTGTAATTGACTGCCATTTGTATCCACTCCTTGAGTTCTTCGACCGTCCAAACCATCCAAAGTGGGCGGCCGTGTCTTGCGATGCATACGATCTTGCGTAGGTCGAAGTCAGACTCATCCACATGAATTCGCTTTAGTGCAGGCAAGTTCGCTCGGAATGAGCGACGCGACTCGTTCAGGTAGTATTCCAAGTAGTTTTTATTGATGGAGATATCAGTGATGGCGTCCTTGTGCGCAGGAGTCAAGGTGGCGGACCAAGTCTGGACAAACAAGGGGGCGCCCCATCTTCCCGTATCGAGGTAGAAGACGGTATCAGGATACGCCAAAGTTGCAGTTTCAGTGTAGATTTGGCGGCTGACTTCAGGCAGGTGGAAGGCGGCTACTGGCGTGTCTTCATGAAGATAGAAGGCATTGCGCCATCGGGTCGGACTGCCTTCATCTTGGACCTGCACAGCGTGGCCCTGAAAGGCGACTTGTATTTTCTCCCATGTCTTCACGTCGTCGTAGAGGCTTCGCTCGTCATCTTCGCTTATCTTCACGACGTTGCCGGTCATCGCGTAGCGCCAGATCATGTTTCGGATTTCTCCGGGCAGGCTCAGTAGCGGGGATCGAGTGGCATTGCGCTTCGCACTGTGATGATATCAGTCGATGCTTCAGGGTCCTATGCACCATGCAGAGTTTCCGGTGAGACTTACACCTCAAATCATCCACGGAGGTGTCTTCTCCATACTGACGAGCCCATTTTTCAACAAGCTGCCCTGCCACGACGGTTTCTTCCGGCCAGCTTGCGCTAGTGCTTGCGGAGAAAGTCTGGACATCCTCGCAATGTTGAAGGCTTTCGTTTTCTTGACAATCGCTCGTTTGCCGAACGAAGCTTTTGGAATCTTGGACGCGGTCGGGACGGCTTTCTTGCGGGGAGCCATTCTAAGTTCAGTCGTAGTATTTCTGGTTTTGAGACACCTCAGAGTGCTAGAAGGGAAGTGTGAGGACTAAATGGAGGGTTGAGATAGTGGGTTAAGGCAGCTACCTCCGTGCGGTCGAAAGCTACTCAATCACGTTACTGAGCAGCCAATCAGGAGGCTGATTCGAGCTCGGTGGGCGTCTTCTGATTGCCCAAGTGGTGTGCCCAACACGTGACTGAAAAGCATTAGGCCGCCCTAAGGTATATACACCTCGCCCTTCCCATGAGTCCTAGTAAGAGACTCTCGAGACGGGACCTTGACACCTTGAAACATTGAAGTAAGAGAGATGGGATATCCGATTGCCCTAAACCTCATAGTAAGATAGTCAGTAGTAAGATACCGTTCACCTTATCTATTGCTGTTCTTCAGTGAGAGAAGGACAGTAGCGTCCGCAATGTGACAGTGGAACGGTCACTGCATAAACTCGTAAATGTGTTATGCCAATATAACACAAAATGAAAACATTCTTGAAGCTCAATTATCATCATTGAACGGCTATAGTTACCTGAAGCCCTGCAAGTTTACTTGCCCACGTCGAACACCCTGAGGAGTTCAAGCAAAAGATATCAAAGACATCTATCTTGTATGTCGAAGGTGAAGTACTCATGCTTCAGCTGACTGGTATATGAAGCTACGAACACGAAAAGGTTTGACCAAAGACTCAACGACACAAGGTCCAGACACAAAGGCGCATCGAAATCAGTGTTCGCAGCTGAAGAATTTGACAGAAGATTGACCGGAGGCACCTGCATCTTTGAGCTCCTCAGCTTCCAGACCTCGCGAAAGACCACTTCCAGCTCTTCGCCTTCTCTCCCAGCTGACATTATCCACCACTCGTGTTACAATAGCTAGAGCATCAGCCGATCATGGCGAGTACCTGAGTCTTCCAACAGCTTCCATGAACTCCCTTCTTTGACATATTGGTAGCCAAATTTGCCGGATCGGTACATGTGAACGCGCTGCAACCCTGGGAGTGACTCACAAATAGGCTGGCCGGGTAAAGTCACAGGATATATCAACCAAGCCGAGTAGCTTGCTATGTCGGTGTCGGCATTCTTGTGTGCGGGCGTTAGTTGTTCGGCCCAAGTCCTAACATCTTGCGCGTGAACAGTATTGAACAAGAAGATGGTTCCTGAGTAGGCTGTCTGGCTGAGCTCGAAATATAGCTGGCGGCACACTTCTCGGAGACGGATCGCTGCTGGCAATTGGGGTGGATCTTGAAGATAAGTACACGGTCCGACCAGGGCGACGCCAAACTTTGTGCAGGTCGAAGTCATCCACGACAGGCGTACGTTGACGAAGCTTCCAGCCTTTACGTACTGCCATATCATCGTCCTGATCTCAACAGGGAGACGGAGCAGAGGAGATTGCAGAGCATTGCGCTTGACGCTGTGAAGGTTAGATAAGTTTAATGGCATCAAGTCTAAGAAGACTCACACATCAACTAGCCACGGTGGCGTATTCTCCATGCTAATGAGGCCATTCGTCAACTTGACGACTTCCCAAGACTTCCCGTCTGTCTCCGTTGAGGGCTCAAGTTCTGGTTGCGAGGTAGGTGGCTCCGAGACAGCGGGCTCCGATGTCTTTGGTTTGTCGCACGTATCAGGACCTTGCGGGATACTCCCAAGTACGGAAGCCACAAATGGCGTAGCCTTGACCGACATGAAGGCTTTGCGTGCAGCCGTGTTGAATGCTGTCGGTATTGTTGCTGAGTGTTGCGTGAAGTTGGTTCCGAGAGACTTCAGGAAAGACTTTGTGTCGTGGACGACTAGAAGAGAAAAGAAGTTTGAGAAGGTGGGGGGGTACAAGGCAGCGCACGAACATTTTATAAACCCAGTCGAGAGATCAAGTGAGAGAGGGGCGCAGTTACCTTGACAACAATGACGGCCTGTTTGACACAAGCGCAGTTCAGGTCCGACCTTTCACCTCGTCAAATGTTGATTGCGATGCGGCAAAATTGTAGTGCGTCATCAAAGATGCTGTTTGCAGGCTGACAAGATCTTTCTGAAGTGCAAGCCATCACCTCAGTAACTGCTAACATCAACCGGATCGGCAGACCAAGACACATGAATGCTGCAAGTCCGCTTTGTTTCAACAAGAGATCGAAGGATATAGAAATCCGAGAGGTACTGCAATCCTCCGAACGAAAGGAACTGCATCTTGCAAACGCATAGCTTCTATGAACGAAACCTCTGGTGTGTGCTATGTGTTGCTTCTCCGTGGCCTCGGAGCATCGAACCTATGCGCTGCCACTATCCGTGCTATCACCACCATCCTGCTCTAGATCTACACGAGCCTGTTGCCATCACCGTCTCGTCGACTTCCTGCGCCACTTCCGAATTCTTTTGCAGGCCTGTATCATGATTAGCATTACAAGTATTGTGTCCAACAGTAGAAGTATTACCGTGAAGACAGCCGTGAGCCCCTTATCCATCTTCCGTAACCAAAGCAACACAACAGGGCTTATTATAGCAGCAAGCATAGCCATGGCGAGGATGAGAGGTCCAAAAATGGAGATGAACCATTTTGTTTTGTTTGAGATTGCTGACCACAGAGCGAAGCTGAACCAGCCCAAGAACTTGTGTGTACGTATGCGCGCTCTATGTTGTAGCTCGATCTTCTCACGGATCTGGGAGAAGACGTCTTCCTTGTATGCAACGAGAGCGAACTCCTGATGCCGCGTCGCGCGGCATATGCTCCAAGCTAAGCAATACAGTACCCAACTCTTCGCTGGACTTCGATACGTCTACTTCTGCTCGTTTCAATCGCCCTCAAAACGCTTGCTTCGTTTGTCGTCGTCGGCTTATCCCTCCCCATTAAGGCTGAGTTCGAAAAGAGTCCATTTCAATGGGACCTTCCTCAATAGCAACCTCCAAATCTTCGCCTTCTATCTGGCGTATGATTCTCTCAATGAGCTTGTTAAATTGCTCCTGAGTCCAGCCGGCATATCTTTGATACGACTCCAACAGGTCTAGTCCTATAATCGTACATTTTCTAGCATGGCGCTCCAGTATGGAATAATCCAGGTTACTTCGTATTGACCGTACAGTCGTAGTTGATTGAGTGACGGGAAGGTGGCTCTAAGACCGCCCGCTTCCTGCCGAATCGCCCCAACTCATCCACAATATACAGAAGGTAACAATCGGCGGGCAAACTAATGCTGGAAATGGCAGCACAAAGTGATTCGAATGTATGAAAATGGGAGAGTGTTCCAACGGTATCGCATTCAGTAGATTTTAAAACAATCGTCAGAGCAGTGCGGGCGTGAAGAAGTCAGGATGTGCGAGCGACCCAACTGAACGCCGCAGGGAAGGCGCAAACACATGATCGGCTGATAACCCCATCCGATCTACGGTCTCGAAATGCTAGTGAGCTGGCTATGCGAAAAGCAAAAGTAATTCCCAGATTGATTAGATATCGTGCATCCGCAGCCACGAGGGTACATTCCAATCGCAATGGGCGAGAACCGTACGAGTCTGCTTTGTAAGCCTACCAACATCACGATATGATCGAATTCATTGTTACCATGGCTTCAAGAAGATGCTATTGAGCTGATTTCGATAAGAACAGCCGTTCATCTACGAGTTCTCCTGAGATGACTAAGTAGGGGTCATGCATCAAGCAAGCTGCCACAATGAGAAGCTTATCTGTGGACTTCCAATGAAGCCCTTAAAGACATAGAAGCCAGTGTGATACATGTACACATAGCTACTCAGCAATGTTCCGTCATCGTCTTCCTTGTCCGACCTTGTGTTCCCATCCATCCTGTTCACCGTTGTCTTTGTGGTTGGACAACTCCCACTGGCTATCAACTGCCATCCCATATTGCCTTTCTGTGTACTAGTCCTGCTGGAAGTAGAAAAGGTCTTTCGGCGGCCCGTCGAGTATGATCTCGACACCTTTCCCCTCGGCCTCGGTTACGGTGTGCTGAATGAGCTCAAGGAATTGGTCATAGCTCCATCCTGCATAGCGATTGTATACTTGAGCGTCGCTTACGTATTGGAACCTACGACTGTTCATGTCAAGCTCCGCTGATAAGACGGACCTGGCGAATCTGCGTAGTGGATAATCGCCACATGCGTAGATATGCTTGACGGCGGGGAAGTAAGCCGTTACTGCAAAGTATCGAATACAGAATCCCACAGCCGGTAAGTAGGTCTTTGCGGGGATCTTGATGCTTGAAATAGCATCGATTTGCGCGGCTACCAAGGATCGGCACCAAGTAATCGCTTCGCCACTGGCACCAAAAAAATCCATGTTGCCACTTTTGATGTAAAAGCTGTTGAGGGCGTAGCTTTGTGAGAAAAGATTAGTAACAGTCGATTATGTTAAACTGGAATACATCTCACCCTAGCGTCGCAGATTCGCTGTAAGCCTGTCGGCACACCTGGATCAAATAGAATGGCGACTCTTTGCGAATTGTGTTGATGTGCTTCTTTCCATCGCTTGATTTATACTCAATCCGTAAATCTAAGCTTTTATAGGTACGGTTTGATGAGTCCTGAGGACTTAGTATCTTGCCCGGATTTTAAAAATATTATAACTCACTCTAGCCCTGTTGTAGCTGATTCGGAAATCGTACCCGCTGAGAGCGAACTTGAAGATGCGGTTTCTAATCTCTGCAGGCAGGCGCAGCAGGGGCGATTCAGCCGCATTGCGCTTCACACTGACAAACGTTAGATCTGTAGTCCGCGACAAGGAGTAAGCACTTACACTTCGACCAAATGCTTCGGCGTCTCGCTCAGGTCCAGGAGACCGTTGTGGAGCAGCCGAACACTCTCCAGTTGCTTTGGCGTCACGTGGCTCCGAAGCTGCCGGTCTGAGGTTGTTCCAGAATCCATCGCAGTGCTAGTGGTGCGCGTGCATCGGGAACACGGGTTCGGGTTGAAGGAAGGCGGAAGTAGAGCGACTGCGGTCGACGCCTGAAAGCTGTTCACGCAGCTGCTGCCTGCTCGCTAAGTTGGTTTCGAGGAGTCAACGAGGGGGTGCGGGAGAATGCCGGGCAGGTGAAGGCAGAAGTGAGAAGCGCAAATAGCAGCACATACGACGTCATAAGCATTCGTCAACTATCGCAATCTTATTTTCCTAACTCTTACTTTTCGCCTTGGTTACGCCTCTTACGCCCCTGTCGAAAGATGCAAGTAACACCAAATGTTCGGAAGAAGCGCACTACCAGGAACCTATCACTGGTGGACCATCTTTCTCATGTAGTGAGCATGTATGGCCGTGGAGCATGCAAGCGCAGGAATGCCTACTGAAGCTCCTCTCCCTCAAGCTGCTCTTTTCACTTCCGAATTCCTCATTCTAAATCTCCCAATCCCCGTGCTCTGACCTCAAATGCTCCTCAGTACCATGCCCCCACCTTCAAGCTTCACATCCGCATCACTACCATGCGAGAATTCGAACTCGACGTTGATATCGCCCTCCTGATCGATTACGTTTTGCCGAATGGCCTGCAAGACTTCGTCGTCCCCCAACAACGCAAGCATAACTCGGTCCTCCTGTGGAGCGAACCGGCCGTAATAACGACGTATGTCCTCAACCCCTTCATCGAAGGCTTGCAAGCTGCGGAGAACTAGATGGGCAAGATTTGGAAAGCAATCCCTCACCCTCGCCCTTACCAAGGCGGGGAACGATAGTATCTTGCGATCCCAAGCCGGATAAACCTTGATCCATTCTAATAGGGGAAGTGTGATGCTGCTTATGACATCGGCATGTGCAGGTAGCTGTTTCGGTGCCCAACCCAGCACTCCATCTATGACAAGCCATGGTGAAGTCTTGCCGTCGAAGAATGAGAATGTGTTGAGCACGAAGCTGAGTCATATCGAAGTTAGTGAGGGCAATGTTCTTGGACGAACAGTGTCTTAAGCACACGTACCCTAGAACGGCAGTCTCTGCATATATCATCCTGCACACTTGAACAAGTGCGAAGGGAGGAACCGTGCCGAAATAGCTACGGCATGCCCAATTACAGTGAGGAAGTCCACATTTGGATGCGCATCCAAATTTGCGGTCAATCTCGATCGTGTCCCCGCCCAAAGCGTACTTGAAGATACGATTCCTGATCTCTGCAGGAAGTCTTAGAAGCGGTGACTCGGTCGCATTGCGCCGTACGCTACTCGCAATTAACCAAAAGACCTCTACGGCTACTAGGGTACAGTATACGTACGTCTCGACGAGATGTGCCGGCGTCTCACTCAGATCGAGGAGGCCGTTGTCCAGGAGCTTGACTTTGGTAGTCGTCGTCGATGGCTTGCTGAGAGCGTCTGCAACTAATCAGTAACTAGATTTGGTCGATGTGTGAGATTGACGTACCCTGGACAGCATCGCCAATCGCCTGGCTCTGTCCTGTATCCATGGCCACCATGGCTGGCGTATTGTCGCACATTCTTCTGACCCGATGCAAAAGTGTTGCAGAAAGTGAGTGGGCAATAAGTGCGAAGTTTGTCTTGAGGCGAGAGATTAAATATACCTAGCGGCGTGATCGGATCTGGAAGGCACGCTAGCGAGGTGAAAGACGAGGTTGTGGGTGAGCAAACAAACAAATCACCACTGCACCAGCAACATTAAGTTCAAGGGCGATAGCAGATGCACGGCACCAAATTCATATTTTGACTCAGCATGTACAATATCCACAGTGACATCGCTACTCATTGCGACGAGTAAACATGCCGGAAGGCTCTTTCCTCTTTCGGCCTTCCACCACCACCACCACCACCACCAGTGATACCGAGCAAGATGTGCGTCACGCCATATAAGGGTATGATGCAACCGAAGCCGGTTCAAATAGTAGAAGTAGACTCCCTAATAGGAGGAACCAGAACCCCGCCCAATGATATGCCTGGAGCTAGCGTAGAGAGATACGAACTATACAATGAACATAAGGGGGAGATCCAATCGTAACGCCAATTGAAGACATGTCGCTCGCGTCGATGTGCACCACGGAGAAGCGCCGCTGTCCGCACGTGTGAGAAAAAGCATGATGGGAAGGGGGAATATGTAGGTCGTCATTGCGTAAGACATATTAGAAGAGGTATCGTCGTGGTCCGCGCAAACGGGAGGAAGGACTACCGATTACCAGCCTCAAGTTGGCCCGGCGTAGGTTGGGCAGTCGCGCTGTTGTCGGCATTGCCGCCACGATTGCGTCCAAACCAACTTGGCATACTGGGTGCACTGGGCCTTCCAAGTCGTGCTCTCCAGCCTGAGACTTGTTGAGATTGGTTCACTGGAGTGGTAGCATCGGTCGCAGCAGTACGGTCTCGACGGCTGGGCCGGTTGAAGGCACTGAAACTGATCCCCTGCCGAGCATTGCTGTTACTGTTTTGCCGGCTAGGAGTAGAGATCGCTACGACACGGGACCGTGAGAAGGGGTTGCCACGCGCGTTCCAAGCAGCCGGGGGAGATGTAGGCGATCTGAGTCCAGTTGCGTTCGAACGGCGGCCGGAAGACGTCTGTTCCAGAGTCTCACCTTCAGGGCGAGGCTTGGGGACGTAATAGTCGGCTTTGCACAGTGGGCAACAAGCACGACGGCTCGTGAGCCACGGATCAACGCAGCTAGCGTGAAAAGCATGACCACAAGTCAGCCCCCTCACATCGTCCAGGTCCTCAAGACTATCCAAGCAGATGGCACAAGTGTCACCAGGCTCTGCCAGTAATTCTGGTGCGGCTGCTGTTCGAATGGGATCGTCGTCGTCCGAGTCATCGCCATCGTGCTCGTGAGCCTGTGATGGTTTTCCTGGTTCGTAGTGACTGGCAGCGGTTTCCGTCTGTACGAGTTCGACATGCTTTTCGGCCACCTCCTTATTCTCAGATGCGGTTTCCTTATTCTCTCCTACTGTAAGACTAGTGCGTGGTGACATAGTCTCCTTTTGCAAAGCCCCATCCGTAGCAGCGTGATCATCTTGGGCCATGCTGAGCGCAGTGGTGGGCTTAGGGCTCGATGCACCCTCCTGCACGGGTGCAACAACACCCTCAACATCCTTGATACTGTTGGCTCGACTCTGGGGTGCAGTGGCGATGCCACCCGATGCCGGTAGTCCTTCGTTCTCGCGACCGGCTTTCCATTGCTTGTATTTCTGCAGCGGGAAACGCTCGTTGACCTCTTCCATGGTCATTAACTTCTTCTCCCTTCTCCTCCTGTGCGGCCGTGGCATCGCCGTAAGGTCAATTGGCTCTCCATCTGCGGCGGCGCGAGCAGCCCGGTTGCGTTGGTTGTATCGGAAACAATACTTTACACCGACGATGATCCTAAGCATTGTTAGCGGGCGCTTCGTACCGCGGGATCGGTATCACATGAGCATACCAAAGGTTGGTGAAGACAACACCGAAGCCGAGTGCGACGAAGAACAGTAAAGGCGAGCTGGTCGGGCCACCTCCGCCTCCGCCTCCACCGCCTCCACTCGTCGGGGTGGCCACTGGTGCTGTTGATGTGGAAGACATTGCTACTCGCAGCGTCTCATGTATTTACAACGATCGATTTACCGACCTCGACGGTGAGTAGGTCGTTTGCTGTGGCAGCTATTTACAGAACGAAACGCAGATCGTGGATCCACACAATAGGCCGTCGATGGACCGGTTGCGGATGGTCGCTTTGTCCTACAAAGAACCGGATGCGAGGTCGAAAGCGAGTGCGCGACTTGTTGTTCGCGCGAACGAGGTCGGAGTTTACTCGAGCGACGTCAACGTGTGGGCGAGAGAACAGCAATCGGCCTGGGTGGCAGGCGTGCTGAGGGCAGCGGTATCGTGGCGAGCAGCTGGACCGGGCTCAGACGGGAGAGCACCGGGGCTGTGAGTTGTCGACGGCGACAATGGAAATCAGCGATGGTATCGGATCGCTACGCTTGCCATGCCCTCCGAGTGCAACGCAGACGGTCGGGATCAATGTCGTGCCTTGTGTCGTGTCGAGGCTGGAGAGCGGAGAAGGACAAAGGACTCCCGGGAGCGATGGCGTCGCAGAGCCGGACAGCGCGCCAAGCTAGATTGAGAGCGGCTCGGGTGATCTCTTAATGACAATTCGCGCAGACACTGCGGACAACTTGCCGAGCGAACGCAGTGGTGAAGTCAACGAACGGTGGCGATGGCGAAGCGAACACTTCATACGTATGCAGTGACAGTCCAGACCTGGTGAAAGGCAACTGCGTGCCTGCACTGCTATCGGGCAGCGCCTGCCAGCTCTGAAGTTGCGGCAGCCACGACCGCCGAGGCGCCCCTTCCTGTCTCAGCACCCTGGGCGCCTGTTTGGATAACTTCCACCAACATACGAACGCCATTATGAGCCTATCGCATCGGCGCACAACGACTTTCCAATGCTCCGCTCTGCCAGCTCCTCATCTGGACTGTCATGCGAGCCCACACCACACACGAGCTGGGCATCCAACGGAGCCGCTGGTCGGCGCGTGCTTTTCCGCCCGCTCGCTGCATCATCTGTTACCCGATGCGCTAAAAGCGACTAGCGCACGCTTGTTTGCGTTCATCACCCGCTTGACTTTTCCAAGCTTTGGCACCACGCAGTGTTGGCTGCCCACTTCGACATTCACCCCGACAGACGATCCCTCCCGCTTAAGGTGCCTTGCAGTAGCAGCTGACTTGAATACCGGCTTTGCGGCACCACAGCAGGCCTCCGACAGCGAGTCCGCACACTTTGCACCCCTCTACGAAACTCCGATTTCGCCAATTCTCGTCTAACGTCATCCATTTGCAACCATCAGGAGCCCTGCAGAATCGTGCACTGCCCCAGTCATGGCCGAGTCCGCCGACCCCAATCCAGTCGTTTTCTTCGACATCACGCTAGGAGGTATGCCGTATGCAGCCCTTTACAAATCCCAGAACCGGCCTATCGTTGCTTATCTATCTCTCTTTTCGTGTTGCCGCGCGTTGCGTTTGAGGTGGTGCTGGCGACTGGCTGCTAAGATGGGCAATAGGTGAGAAACTGGGCCGCATCAAGATGGAATTGTTCAAGGATGTAGTACCAAGGACAGCGGAGAACTTTCGCCAATTCTGCACTGGAGAGACCAAGAACAATCGAGGCCAGCCACAGGGCTACAAAGGGTGCAAGTTCCATCGCGTGGTAAGTACATACCACACTACCGAGCGGATGCACTTGGTTCTTGGTAATCATTACATTTTACCTGCACCATCTCACTGCCAGTGCTCAACAAACCTAACCAACATAGATCAAAGGGTTTATGATCCAAGGTGGAGATTTCATCAACGGCAATGGAACTGGATCAAGAACGATCTATGGCACCGAGAAGTTCGCTGATGAGAACTTCAACTTGAAGCACGATGGGCCTGGTCTGCTCTCTATGGCTGTACGTTATCTCGTGTGCCAACATCGTTGGCCATACTGACGACTTCAGAACTCTGGTCCTAACACCAATGGCTGCCAATTCTTCATCATTAGCTCCCCTACCGGCACACCTCACCTGAACGGCAAGCATGTTGTCTTTGGCAGGGTCGTAGATGGCATGGACGTTGTCACCAAGATCGAAAACACACGCGTTACGCAATCAGAGAACAGACCGTTGCAGGACGTTGTTATCGCGCAGTGCGGAGAGATGTGAGCTTTCAGAGACAAGCACCTTCCTCAGTTCAAGTTATTTCTAGCTCTGGTCTGGCGCAACAACAGACCCGTCTACTGGCCTAGGGGAATGACCATGGACTATTCATCATAGTGACTAACACTATCCTGCATGTCGTGTTTCCATGGTTCTCAAAGAGAAACCTCAAGGCTTAAATACTTGAATGATGAACGAGGACTACATGACGGCCAAAAAAACTTTTCTTCGTTTTCAAACAGAGACTAGAATAGTTGTACTATTCTTGTTACCAAAACGGTATCCTTGTCATCTATACATAAGTCTTGCTCGTAAAATCGACGTTCACTTTGGATTCGTGAAATGTTAGTGCTGCTCTTGAATGAAGATTCCGAGCATTAAGACAAATTGGGTTGTTTCCTTCTGGCACCCATAAACAGATAAATGCAAGGAGAGATTACAGAGCGTATTATCTCATTGCAACATGCCCTTCGATAATGCGCGTACTCAGCTCAGATCGACGCGAGTGCACGTGATGTTGGAAGGCCTTTGCACAGACTCTCGAAAAGTCACGAGAAACTCTACTTTTTGTACTAAAGAGGGAGGTAGCAGAGCTTTAGACTATTAGCTCCCATAAGAAAGATATTAACAAGAATTATGTGGTTGTGGTGTTGCAGTAACCTTTGAAAAGGCAGAGCTTGTTCGGCTATTCCTCATTTAGTTCCCAAGACCCACACGCACTAGTGTAGCGGGGATCGCACTAACATCTTTCTCGCGTGCGCTACTCTGACATCTTTCACCGACCCTCCATTTTTCACGAAAGCCCGCTCCGCGACTGCTTACAAGCTCGCAACCTCGACCCTCGATTCAATGTAACCTACGCTCTCACCCTGCAACCCTCAACATGGTGTCGCTCGCCTCTACCAATCGAGCTCCCGGCGTCATCGCCCCCAGCGTCGGTAGCAGCCTTAAGCGCAAACTCAACTCCAGTCCCGACAGCAAGCAGCAGCTCTCGAGTCAAGCGAAGCGCCGCCGAGTCACATTTGATCCCGAAGTCGATATTCATATTCTCGCCGACCCGAACGAGAAGAGTCAAGAGCTGGTGGGCGAGGAGGTCAGTCGTGCATTGGAAAAGCATGCCGCCGGCGACGCGACCGGCTACGACGTGTTGCGAAGCTTGTTCACAGCAAGGCCCACTTCCTCAGACGCACCCTCCACTGGACTGCTTCACAAATATGTCATCGCCCTCACCAACAACGTTACCCATCTTAAAGCTAGCCGCGGCTTGGTACACGCCGTCCTCGACTGCCACTGGGTTGCACGAAACGAGAACTTTGTGCGCTCATACCGATATTTTCTGCGGTCACTGGTACAATCTGACCCCGGCTTCACCTCTGGTATCCTCGCCATGCTGGTGAACTTATTCGTGGAGCCGCCATCGCCGAAGATGCGGCAGGAGGACGACCCGCCCATCCAGCGGGCACGACTACAGACCCGGGTGCACGATGCTTTACGATATATTGTACGCGCGAGCCCGATGACGAGCACATACCTCCAACCGGTCCTCAACTCCACGTTCCCGTTCCCGACCGATACATCCAAAGCACACACGGATTACATCAGCAATGTTCTCAAAGTTGCAGAATACTGCCCCGAGCTGAAGGGAGCTATACTATCACTTGTCATGGACAAGCTTGTGAAGATCGATGTCCAAATCCAGGTCGATATGGAGGAGCTTGACGATGACTTGGAAGATCAGCTTATCGAGGACTCGGTTCGCGATGATCTTGATGACGATGATTACGATAGCGACAACGAGTCGGTGTCGAGTGAAGAAAGCCTGGATGAAGAGGAGCGCCGCGTGAAAGAGATCAAAGAGTCGGTCACCAAGCTGGACAATATCATGTTCCTCCTCTTCAAGTACTACGATTCTATATGGGAGAAGGGCGATCTTTACGAAATCGACGTAACGTACCAGAGCCTCCTCTCACAATTCTCCAGCATCATACTACCCACGTATCGCTCACGTCATACACAATTTCTCCTCTTCCACTTCAGCCAGATGTCTCCCGACCTCATCGATCGCTTCGCTGGCTGCTGCTCCCAATTAGCTTTCGACCAAACCCGGCCTCAGATCCTCCGTGTCGCAGCAGCTGCCTACCTAGCATCTTTCATCGCGCGTGGAGCACACGTACCCGGCTCCACCGTTCGCGATGTCTTCGACCTGCTTGGATTCCACCTGGAGACATTACGACAGCAACAAGAACCCACCTGCAAAGGCCCTGACCTCCGACGCTACGGCACATACTACGCCATCTCGCAAGCCCTCCTCTACGCCTTCTGCTTCCGCTGGCGTGACCTCATCGAGACGCCCGACGGCCGGCCGCCCACAGACCAGGAAATCGTCTACCACGAAGGCGACTTCACCTGGTACGGTTCCGTCAAGGAGACGCTCTACAAGAACGTCTTCTCGAAGCTCAATCCCCTCAAGATCTGCGCTCCAACCATCGTACAGCAATTCGCGCGCATCGCACTCCACCTGCGCTTCATGTATGTCAACTCGCTGATCGAGACAAACAAGCGGATACGACTGGCAAGAGTCGTTGCCGTGGGCTCGCGGGAGACGGCGCTCACGATGAAGAAAGGCGAGGAGGGCTTCTTGCTTGACGCGTACTTCCCGTTTGATCCGTATGTGCTGCCGAGGAGTAAGAAGTGGGTGGAGAACGACTACGTGCAGTGGAAACCTATTCCTGGGATGGAGGTGCCGCGGGACGACGACGATGACGAGGAAGAAGAGGATAGTGACGACGATGTAGACGATGATGATGACGATGAAAGCACGCTGGACCTTCCTGTCGCCGCTGTCGGAGGTGTACCTGAGGAGGATCTCGACGACGGGACCGATGCGAGCTCGTCATAGGGGATGCGCAGCTTTGGATTCTGTTTTAGTATATTTAGCATTGCGAGGCGCTACTTGGGTCTCGGCATCGGTTATTGGGTACTGCATTTTATACCATTGTGACGTGTATGGGTATGATATCAGGGGTGTTACTGGGGTGCCATTGCACAGCGATTACGAAGTACGTTTAGGATATGACGGCATACGGTATCTGGATAAAAAAGTTTATACAATTATATCATAAAACTTCCCTCTTCCACTGCGCTGTGATGATTTGACGCTGACCGTGTCGCGTGTCGCCAAGCCACCAGTCCGAGAGGTGTCAGTTACCTGAGGGAACGCGTCCTCAATGACCCAAGTCGTTCAAACGAAATTGACATTTACCGGCCCAAAGGCCTTGCCGCACTATCGTGCCACAAACAATACGCAGAGAAGGTATACCGCCCAGGAAGATCCGCATCCAGACGCCTGCAGCAATGCACACGTGTATGCCACGCCTTGAAAAACGCCTTGTACTCCACCAGTCGCCGTGTCGTCCTCCGGATACCCATCAAAGAACATGCACTTCCAACACCTCTTATCGTACCCAACTCCTCCAGTCTTCCCTTTCCACCAAGTCCATCTCAACGCCCAATCAAGCCGAACGCTCACACCTAGCAGATCCACACAAAAGCAGAATGGAACTCACCTGCGTCAGCTACGCCTTAGTGACCCTGATCGTACTCATCCCTTCCGCACCCCCCTCCTCCTCACTCAGCCTCTCCAACGGCCTCACATCCTCCAACCGCATCGCCTTCAACAAGTCCCTACTCGCCCTCAGCCCATCTCTCAACTCCAGACTACTCTTCCAAAGCGCATTCTGCAGCAGTAGCGGATCGCCCTGCACACCGAGTAGCGCCTCAGGCGCCGGGCCACGCGGGATAGGAAAGTCGACGAGGGGGTTGCCGTTGGGGCCGACAGAGACGCGGATTGGGCGGGGCAGGTCGTCGTATGTAGCGTCGGTGGTGTATCCGTCTTCTGCGTCCGAGGAGGTGGGCTTCTCGTCGTGGCTATCGTTGCGGCGCAAGCTTCGTGGGTACTTTGTGCGTGCGAGGGTCAGCTTTTCGAGGGCGTCCCACGCTTCGTCTACGTCCTCATCGTCGGCGGATTCGTCGGTAATGACGCTTAGAGGGGGAGAGTCGTCGCTGCCGAGACCGAGATTGTAGGCTGCGGTGTGCGACCAGCCGAACTCGAGATTCGGGGAGCGCTGGGCGGCGCGGTGGTAGGCCGAGGGGACGTTGTGGGGTGGTGGTTTGAGCTGGGCTTGCATTTGTGAGACGGAGGAGACACCGCGGGCGTGCATGGGTGGTGCGTGAGGGTCAACGTTTGTTGGAAGGCCTTGCTCGTCTAATGTCTGGGGAGTGAATAGGCCGGGAAGAGCATGATTAGGCTCTGACTGTGACTTCATATGATACGAAGTGCGGTTGCTATTTTCGGTGAGCTGTACTTGGTCTTCGAGATTGAAAGGGTTGTCGTTCATCTGTTCTGTCGCAGCTGAATACGTAGTAGTGGATTCTGAACCAGCCGTACCGGGACGGTAGTCGTCAACCATTGCCATGTCTAGATCTATCATAGAGGTGCGCAACGGTGATTCGGGCGCAGAGCTGACCCGTGGATACTCGTCAAAAGTCCCTACTGGGGCTGTTGTAGCGTGCCTCAGACTAGGTCGAAAGTTTGACTCGAGAGTTGGAGAAGATGCGAACGGTTGCGGATAATCCGGCTCCGGCTCACGCTCTTCCAACCCACCCATGGGGAATTTGAAGTCCCGCGTCTTGCGATTGTTCAAGGGTGGCATGTCATTCGAGGATGGAAACTTCCAGTCTTTAGTGGCTCGCCGTGAGTTCCGCTGATTCTGATAGTTCGCCTCTGCCATGGCTGCATCGAAAGTCCATTCTCTCGTTGCTCGGTTTGGCTTCGGCGGGAATTTGAAGTCGCGTGTCTGTCTATTCGGCTCTGGCATAGGCTCTTCTGCCATGGGAAATTTCCAGTCCTGCGTTCGGCGATTTGGTTGGTCAGAGGATGGGAACTTCCAGTCTTGCGTCCGCCTGTTAGAGTCGTCGTTCGCAGTAGGGAACTTCCAGTCTTGAGTCCGCCTGTTAGAGTCTTCGTTCGCAGTAGGAAACTTCCAATCTCGTGTTGCGCGCTTGGTAAGCTGGTCATCCTCATCAAAACGATCTCGCTCTTCATCTTCCAGTTCCATCTCACGCATAAGGCTCTTCATCCTGTTTGCTTTCAGAGTAGGCACTTCACCCAAGTCAATACTAGGCACATCAGCAGCCGTAGGTAAAGAAAAGTCCAAGTCGATGATTGTCTCTCGATTCGGTGCGCCGGGATTGAAGTCACGAAGCGCGAGATCTGATGGAGGCCGGCCATTATCCGCGAAGTCAACGCCGCTGTATCGGTATGGTGACTTGTCCATATCGAACAATCGGTTCAGTCGCTCTTCTCCTTTCTTAATCTGTTGTTCACGGAATGTGGCCTGGAGCTTCGCGAAACGGTCCTCGTCATCAATCGGCATGTTCATCCCAACGAAGCCTTGACCTGATGTTGCTGAGAATGGATCGGGAAATGCTCTGGACAAACGATTTTCGAACTCGTCTGAGGTGCTAAAGGTCCAGTCATCGTCTTCGCCGTCTTCCTCCGGAGCAAGAGGGTCGGGCGCTTGAGCGCCGCCCGCATAGAATAATGAGGCTCGAGCGCCGCCTTCAAGTTCCCATTTGTAGTAGTCTTCGACTAGTTTCACCAGAATGACGGTGGGAAACATCTTCGTTGAATCGATAAGGAAGGGGTGTGCCAGAATCTCGTCAGGAGTAGGGCGATCCTCTGGATTCGGCTGTAGTATGAAAGAAATGAACTGTTTAAGAGTATCAGAGTGCCTCTCGCCTTCCAAGACAGGGACTCCGGTATCAGGTAAATCCCACTGAACGGTTCTGTGGAAAGGCGGAAAGCCTGTCGCCATTTCGTAAACGGTACAACCGTACGCCCAGATATCGACCTCGGACCCATACAGAATGTCCTTCGGTCTTATCCTACTTTGCGGGTGGGCGTCCTTTATCCATTCGTTCTGCAGTTCAGGCGCCATCCAATAAGGGGTACCAACAATGGTCGACCGTTTAGAGCTCTCAGGTTCAAGTTGTCCAGATACACCGAAATCGCACAGTTGCACACGGCCATCCTCGAGAATCAAGATGTTGTTACACTTGAGATCTCTATGCAAAACGCCGGCTTCGTGCACATATTTCAGTCCCAATGCGAGTTCCCGCGCAATCGGTATGATGAATTTCTCCGGCAGTCCTGGTCCTGGATCTCTGAGATTCATGGTGGGCTTCATTAATGTATTGACGCTGCCACCACTGGCATACTCGCTGACAATCCAGAGTTCATTATGGACCGACCGAGCTTCTTCGATGATGTTGACATATGGCCGTGCTTTGCTGTCTCGCAGCTGCTGGAGAATGTTGATTTCTTTGAGTGTTTCCGAGAGGTTCTTCGTGGTCATTTCTTCATAATCAACAGAATCAATGTCAATGATCTTGATGGCAACCAGTCCATCATTGTTGCGGTTTTTGCTGTGTCTAATCAGCACTGATTCCCGAAGGCTTTCTGCACACTACAAACCCCTTAAACACACGGCCGTATGCGCCTTTGCCGATCAACTCGTAAAAGTCATATGGCGGCGGCTCGTCACCACTACGCTTGGCTCTCTCAGCCACTATGTTCTGCATCTCCTTCGCTTGCATGATCGCGCGGCCCTTGGTGCCGGCGCCAGCCGGCTGTACCGACAACCGAGTGGGATCCATGATGTGCTTTTTTTGAGAATCTTCTCGTTGAGACTGCGATAGTAACTTGATAGCTTGCCCAAGCTGAACTTCGAAAGGAGACTCGGGTATGTCTTGAAGTGGGCTATCGACAAGCTCGCCTGCGGCCCAAGGTATTGCAGTGACTGGAATCTGCAACGGCGATAAACTCGGCACGGGTCCCCCAAACTTCAGTTCTGTTATAGATTGTCTGCGACTGACTGCGCGACTCGACTGTAAGCTTTTCGGCTCCCTCCTGCCCGGGCTCGAGTTCGATGTGTGAATGAAGATGGACGGCGGTGGGGAGACTTCTCCGAGCGGAGTGGTTGGAGAGGATATAACGATTGGGAATCGTGCGTCGGCGATTGGTTTCGATATGTGAGATTTATCGATTGACCGGCGCGGTGTCTTCTTGATACCTAAACGGTTTGTTAATTCTGTGATAGAAAACCCCCGCTTACCACGGCTACCCTCGGGCGCATCCGCGGGCGGAAGCGCCAGAGGGGACGAGGCATTAGAGCGCAAGTCCTCATCGAGTCCGGCTAGGTCGCCAATAGACGTCTTTGAACGCTTCAGGCGCATTGGAGCCAATCGTGGTGGATGTGTCGCGTGTCGTGTCGCATCGTGGAGCTTTGCGCGGGCGCGGGGTTTGTAGTAAACAGAAAATCAACTTACAGGTTGCTTGGTGAAGCGGTGTCTAGCTCGCGCTCGAGTGAATGGTGTTCATGTTGCCTGACCAGTGTCGGTGTGAGGCCGAATCGGCGAGCTGCCACTTTCGTTCGTAGACACTTCCGCACTCGCACTCGGCCCGCGAATATCGTACAGAAAAGAAGACAAGCTATGCAATCGCAAAACTAAAGCAAGAGATTCATGTAACGTATCGTAACCGCGCAAAGCAGCACTCGTAGAGAGACGTGGTGGGATGCCAGAGACATGCAGGGTCTCGCCGTCTGAAGTGGTCTGGATTTCTCCGCTGCTAATGCAACCTTATTTTATGCGGTTAGAAGCACTCCGCACCAGCCACCGGATTCCGTTGACATCATAGCGCCACATCTGAATGCATCTCGAAAGTTGGTTATTGGAGACGTAGAATAGTAACCTCCATACATCGCAAATATGCCTCCCAAACAAGCACCGAAGACTGGCCCGAAGGCGGTGACCAAGCCGCTACCTAAGGCGCAAACGAAGCCCCTCCCAAAAGCTGCTCCCAAAACCCCACAACAAGCGCTCCAGAAAGCTGGAGCGGGACCTCAAACGAAAAAACGGCTGCCGAAGACGCAAACGAAACCAAAGGCCAATGTTGCGAACCCGCAAGCCGCTAAGAAGCAGCCGCCTCAGCAACAGGGCTGGCTCTCGAAAATGGGTAGCCAGGCCGCGTCTGGCATCGGCAACTTTACTGGAGCTGTCGTATCCGCTGCTGGCAACGGTGTAGCGGGTGCTGGTAGGGGCGCAGGCACGAGGTAAGTCTCATGACCACTTACATACAGACGTACAGATGTTGACATGTCAACAGTCTTGCAAACACATCGCGCGGCTGGGGCGACACCATTCGCGAATACGGAAACTCGATCAAAGACGTCACTGGCGCATCGGGAGCTCGCGCGAGCTCAGCAAAGAACCCGCTCGGATTGTCAAGCACGCCACAGGGGGCGAAGGCCATCATGGCCTCGCGACCTGGGATCGCAGGAGGGTCAAAGGGCTCAGGAAGCAACCCTTTGGGATTGTGAAAGCGAGATGACTTATTATGTCAGAGGATTATGTCATGAGGTATGAATAAAGTGGGATCTTCGTTTATTATACAGTACCGGAGTAAGGTTGGGTATCTTCAGAAATCTTGTACAAGTAGTTTATCGCCTCGAAAAGTAATCAAACAACCAACCGATCGTTGAGATTCCGTGTCATGTCCTGTGCGCCAAAGCAATGCAGATGTAGACGCCAGCTAAAATCTCGAGAAGATGAATTTTGAGCGACTAATATGGCCACACCATGTTGCCTCAGGCTACCTGGAAGGCATCCAGATCACCAGTCGCCATATCAGGGACTCCAGCGTCGACTTTGGCCTGTTTGATCATGTCTTCTACCGCTGCCGGGGGGTGCGAGCGTTTTAAAACCACGCGGATGAATTCTGAGAGTAAATTGAGGCCAAGCTCCCCGATTTCTTCGTCCTTGAATCCGGCGTAGTCTTCCGGAGTGATATTCATCTTCTGCCACCGGCGATCCACGAGAATGTAGTAGACCCGACCTATTTGCTCGAGATTCGTCTTGTATACTCCACGGTGGTGAAGGCTTGATCGCTCAACAGGGCCTTTGTTGCGCATGTCGACCCAAGCGGCATGTCGCTGGATTATTTCCGCAGATATGTCGGATGGAAAGATGTCAAAGGTCTTTCGCAGGATATGCAGACCAACAAGCGAACCTGCCAGATCGTTCGTATAGCTGAAGCAGTGCATCACCAGGCTTGGCAGCGCCTTCTGATCCGTGGCGGCTAAACCAATCCGAAACCGCTCCGCGTCAGGTCTGGCTCGACAGCGCGTCCACCATTGGACGGTCTCGGCCAACAACTCACGTGGTCGAGGAAGGTTCGGGTCATCGCGAGCAACCTGGTCTCCAAGCGCAAGTCGAAGCATCTTCCACAAGCATCTGATGCTGGATCCGTCGGGAAAGACACCGGGTGAGCCCGCCGGTAGATCTGTCAACGATTTGTAGGTCTTCCAGGCTTCGCTGAATTTTCCTTGACGGCACTTGTTGTCCATGAGAATATTCATCAGCTCTGTGTTAGGCCGGATGCCACTCTCTTCTAATTGTCTCGTCAAATAATCCACGTGCTGCCACTGCAATCTATTTGCATGGTGCTTGATCATGATTGCAAACGTGGTAACGTTGGCGTTAGGAACATGCCTCAGAGCCTCGTCGTCTGGTACCAATTCTTTCCTCTCAGCGGCCCATTGTGAGATTAACTCGGACGCTGGCATGGCTGGGAGCTTCTCCACGGAAGCTTTTCGTGCCTCTGCAATCATTTGCCAACCGATATTTTCCGCTTTCAGGACGTATGGATTCTGCTCGGATTGCTCAAGTTCGGTCCGCATAAGTGCTTTTAGCAACATATTGAAGTGAACGGTCTGGGGTCGAGAGTTACGGCGGAGCATCAGATCTATAATTTGCCCTGCAGCGTCCGGAGCATTGAAGATCACCGCTGCCTTCATCCAATGAGCAAAAGCATGTGAGTGATATGCTGGCGGTAATGATTTGACCGCTTGCAAGCCAATGCTGGTCATCTTCGAGATGTTGGTTCCTAGCCGGTAGAGCATGTGTAGTCTAGAAAGAACTTGCTCTATCTCTACAGGAGAATATGATTTGGCGAGATGGCCTTCCTTGATCATGTCACGAAACACAAGCTTAGCGTACGTCAAATGACGAGCTTCCAGAAAGCCCAGAAAACAAGCGTCGTAGTCGTCGAGCATCATTTCTTCGCCTAATTTCTGCTTCAACTGTCTATACATTCCGTTCGCCAAATCATGATGCCGGGTATCAGAGGATCTGGTGTGAGCGCGAAAGACAGTCTTAATAACAGATGGATCCCACGAGGGATAAAGGTCGAACAGCTCTGCCATGATCTTGCGTGCGCGATCAGGGTTTCCGGAAAGCGCGTACATTTTGGCACCTAGCTCCAGGTGTTCAGGTTTGTAGTCGTGCCGTGAGAGGCCGTTGACACCTTCATGGTCTTCTTCCCATTCTTTCAAGGCCAGCTCTTCTTGTCCATTCAAATATAAACCGTCCAGGTATCTTATCCGACGTCCTACTGGCTCGTAATTTCTACAAGTCGCCATGTCCGTCTCCAATTCCAAGAGGTGACGCGAAGCGTCGCTGGTTGGAGATATCCCCCGCTCCTGTATCTTCCAGAGTATATCCCATGCTTTGTCTGGTATTGCATATACTGTTTCCGGAAAGCGATGCCGTAACCGACGATAGGTATTCCACAGCATCAGACGGAGTCCTGGATGATCCGACTTCGTGTCCGCCAGTCGCAGGAGATGGTTCAGTTTTGTTATTTCGGCGCGACCCTCGTGAGTATACGTGTCCGTGCCTCCAGGAAACACCTCGAATTGCTGCAAATGGCGCAGCTGCCAACGCTCGACTTTGAGCAGTTCGTCTCGCGAGCCATCGCGCGGATCGGCGAGAACGTCTGCCTGAAACGTGTGTTTTGTAGGATCCCATGGTTTTATGTACGTTGGTATCGGTTTGGGAAATGTGGTGACAGAGCGCGCATGTGAAGGTCGCGGAGGGCGGAGAAGACGGCTTATGCTTCGCAAAGGAAGCAGCATGGGGAGGGGCGTTCTTGATGCGGTCGCTGCAGATCTTCCCCTTTTCCGAGTGAGAAGTCCATCTGAGTAGTAGTAAGATTATTAAAGAATGCAATGGACCGTAATGATGAATGGAAATGTTCACGTCGCGTCCTCCTAAAAAGTTGCAAGTCGACACACCAATCGGCGGCCGGATCATCTCCGCCCGGATCACGTGATCTAATCGATAGGTACCTACCAGAGGTAAGGACGATCCTCTGCGAACACTTCTTCTCAGGCTGCACTGGGTGCTCGGCTGCTGTCCACTGGTCTTCCCAATTCGCATTAGTTACACGCGATAGCAACACCGCTTTCCAATGGCGACAAGATGCTGCTTACCAGATCAGACAGCGGAACGCCTTCCGGATACGGCTGCGGATGGATGAATTGTACGCCTAAACATGAACGCGGTGACACGGTAGCTCGCCTACACTGCGGGCCTTGCATCCCGTCCTTGAAGATACTTTGTCTTCAGAGGTATGCGAGCTTCAGTAATGATACGTTCTCTCCTTTCCGTGGGTTTTAGAATGCAGAACCGAAGACTGTTGATACCCCTGGAAACTCGATTGCACCCTCCGTATTGAGGGGCAAAATATAGCAGCCGTAACAAAACCTGGATTGACAAGCTTCTCAAGCCCGGTATCAGCCTGGTCTATGCTCTACCGGTGGATTTCTTGTACTCGTGGCTCCTAGACAGGACCAAAGCAAGATGCCCTCTCCATGCATCGGCTGCAGAATTTGGTCGCGTACAAACGCTATCGTTGTCTTCTCGAGTACGTTTCCATGCACAGCCTGAGTACCTCCATGTGTGCTCCTTTTCTGGCAAACGGGCGTGACCCTTCATTGGTGGGTTAATCAAGAAATAACAGATTGTTGGCAAAACAAATTGTTCAAATTTCCGGTCTAGGAACTTACAGCTTTGCAGAAGTGTCTTGCTGACCTTGAAAGCGTCGTCAGTGCATCAGCGTGATGCATGGTCGGTATATTGTGGATCGATTTAGCCGCAGTCCAGAACATTTCCCTTTGCCGCTCCGCACCCGTCGATCATCTGAATAAAGATCTTTGAGCATGGCTGTGCGATTCACAGCTAAGCTTTTTCCCCGCATGTTTCTATATGCCGGACATGCATGCTAGCATAACTCGTCGATCGGAACATTGACGCTTAGGACGCGGTCACCTTCAAGCCTCCAAACGGGCGATGTCTGGAGTCTGAAATGCTCCGCTCTACGCCGGACAAAGATCTAGCACATGTGCTGTTCACTCAGAAAGCTCAAAGCATCTCGTCCATGGCGTGCTGTGGCTACACTGTCGGCGCAATTTAAATTGGCTTCGAGCTTCGACTTAAGATCCGGGTGTGACCGAAATCTCATTGTATTTACATCCCCCGTTGCATGGTTGGTTCGGTTACCCACGCGCAATTTTCAAACAAATATGGGGAAGGGCCAGTGTCCCCAAGGTCGCAACATGTTCAGACGGCTAATGTGAATGCATTGCGCTTTTGTCGAGAATATACGTAAACCAGAACGTTGGCCAGCCATTACGGAAGCGCACAGATCTTTATATGCTCGAAATGCCGGTTCTAGAAGATTACCTGCTGCATCTGATCTTCGCCGCATGGCTTCTGTACCTGCCATTCGTACCGGTTTTCCTTTGCTTCCTGGGACGTGACCAAAAGCTCGGGCTGTTCCCTACGTTTCCCTTACACGAGAGGGCTTTCCTTCAAGATGCTCGCCTCACTGTTCTGGGCGACTCTGCTGATTGCCCCTTCATGGGCGCAAAGCCAGTTTGTAAAGGGCCAAAAGTGGCAGATCATCCTCACGGGCGTGCCAGATGTATCGAAATCACCTCTTCCGCCTACCGATGCACCAGTATGGGATATTGATCTTTTCGACAGCGACACGGCGACTATCACAGCACTGAAAGCAACAGGAAAGATTGTGATATGTTATTTCAGCGCTGGAACAGTGGAAGACTGGCGCGCAGATGCAAAAGATTTCCCAGCTGGAGATGTTGGAAAGGTGCTGCCGGAGTGGCCGAACGAGAAGTGGATACGGACAGGAAGCACCAAAATCAGGGACATCATGGCGAAGCGCATCAAGCTAGCTGGAGACAAAGGGTGCGATGCTATAGATCCGGACAACATAGGTACGTTTGGAGATTCTGTGAATGGATTACAATACTAACCCTTGCTTCAGACGGCTACGTGAGTGCATGTATTGCTTCGATGAGCTACCCACATTCCTAGAAATCTTTCCAAGCCATGCTCATGGTGAAGCACGTCCCCTACGAAAAGTTAGCTAACAAACTCCTCCAGCAAAATGACAACGGGCTCTCCCTCAAATCCCAAGACGCAATCGACTACGTAAAATGGATGGCCACCGAAGCCCAAAAATTCAACATGGAGATCGGCCTGAAAAACTCCCTCGACATCGTCGACGCCCTCACCCCAACCGTCGACTTCGCCGTAAACGAACAATGCGCCCAGCTCGGCGAATGTGACCGCTACACCACCTTCCTCGCAGCCAACAAGCCCGTCTTCCACATTGAATATCCCACCCCGCTCAACACCGCGGCTGCGAAAGGTGTCGATTGCACAGGCCCCGGCACCTCGGGCATGAGCACCATCCTCAAGAACATGGCGCTCGATGGCCCCGCAGTGTACTGCGATGGCAGCCAGGTGGATACCCCGACGAAGGGAGGTACGAGTCCGCCGAGGCCGACGAGGACGCAGACTCCTAAACCTACGACGACGAGGACTGCTACGACGCGCTCGAGTACCACGAGACCGTCTACTACGCCACGCCCGACGATGTCTCCAACACCTACGAGGACGACTGCGACGCCGGCGCCGACGAGCTCGGCGGGACCAGGGAACGGGTGCAAGTCGAAACACTGGGATCAGTGCGGTGGGAATGACTGGAAGGGGTGTACGGTGTGCGAGGTGAGTCTCCTTCTCCTTTTCTTTGCTCTGCTATTTGAGAATGTTGCTAAACTTGGACTTCGCAGTCGCCATACACGTGCAAAGGCGTTTCGCCGCCGTGGTATTATCAATGTCTATAAAGGTGGGAGAAGGTTAGGCAATTGTGTATTTAATCTCTGGTGTGTAGTACAAATATACCCGTTTCAGGCTTCATACATGACTATGTGTTCTGAAGGTGCGCTCAATCATTACCCAGCAACAACACATACTCTTCCCTTCCTTGAACGACGCCTCAAACGATCTTAACCTCTTGCTCTTCGCTCTCGTCAAAGCATCGCGGCGGCATCCCCTGGCACAAACCGACCCGCTCAAAAGCTCCTGCGACCGTTGTTGAAGGAACAAGGAGGAGTGCGGTGCCTTCGCCAACGTGCGTCTGCCTTGCTTCCTGCTCAACGCCAAGAAGGGAACATCGAACTCTGACGGGGTAGACGTGTTGGGATGTAGGCTTGGTGGGCATATATGCGGTAATGTCCGGGGAGGTCGTGATGTCTGAAGAGACAGGTTTGATCTCGGAGCTGAGCGTCTTAGTACGAGAGAAGGGACGATACCAGCGTAAGATTGGACGCTGTTTCAAAAAGGCCTTTTGCCCAGGTGTGGATGTCGCCAGGTCGGTAGGCGGGATGGCTGAGCGTGGCGTCCAGGTCGCAACACGAAGTGCATGGCATCCCTCGTCTTCTGGCAGGGATGTGTTACCAGTGTCTCTATAGTAGTCTCCTATCATTATTGACGAGAAACGGTCGTTACACAATGGCTCCGTGTAGCTAATTGGCATGTCCTGCCTCGTTTGCCGCCTAAAGGCGCCCAGTTGGGCGTAGACAAAGCTGTCAGCCAAGCCACACCACTCAGCCAAAGGGACTTTCTTTTAAGCCTTTCGAAAAGGTTGATCAGAAAGAGGATCTAGGTTTGCATCTGGGGTGCTACTGAAGTTTTGGGTATGTGAACTATGCTATGAAGGACGGATCTCATACCAAGACAGATGCTCTGTTGTACATCAGCTGCACCACTGCAATCGATCACTGTATCAGCATGTAAGGATACAACCTAGCCTTACCCTCCAAACTTTACGCGCGCCGAGCTTCAAAATCCTACTCAATCACTTTCCCCTGTTTCATATCCCACTTCCTAACCGCGTCCTCAACGATCGGTCTAATAATCTTCCTCCCCGCCCCCGACTGATGCTCCCACACCATCTGTCTCGGCGCCAACTCGTCCACCCGATGCCACTTCTTCAACCCCAGACTCTTATCGCTCTCCAGCGCCCTCTTCACGGCCTTGAACAGCGCATCTGCTTGCACTTTATCGATACGCACGTCGTCGCGCACAGTAAGCACAATCTCGCGGATCTTCTTTTTCTTGCCGTTTTCATCTCTGATCTTGTATTTGGTGAGGCAGATGTCGATGTCTGTATTGATTGAGGCGGTCCACGCAGCGTGCACCGCGAACCAGTGGAAGAGCTCTCCGAAGCCAGTCTTCTCGATTTGCTCGTCCAGCGAGTACGGGATGGAAGCGAAGCCCAGACTAACGGTGGGGGTGCGCGGAGACGGCGTATCCACGAGATCGCCTTTCCAGTCGCGGCGGAGGAGGTCCCGGACGGAAAGGTCGTCGAGGTCTTTCTTTGCGTCGCTGAGCACCTCGTCTACCGCCTCCATCTGCTCGTAGAGATCTTTGTCGGCCCATTGGCTGCGCTCGAAGACGCGCTTTGCGGTGTCGATGTCGGTTTGTGTTGCCTGTTCCAGACCTCCGGAGTCGATTGATATGGCGCTGAGAATGAGTTCGAGCAGTTCGTGCGGAAGGTGGTATTCTTCAGGTAATGCGTAGAACTCATCGAACATCTGGCGGGCTACAAGACTTGTGCAACTCGCTACCTTCTCGAAGACGCGGGGGGAGGCGTCAGGAGCCGTGTCTTTGTCCACGTGGTGATCGAAGATGCTGAGTATTTTCGCCCGCTCCCACTTCCGGAGTGGACTCGCATGGTCGACCAGCACTATACCTCTCAGCTTCATCGCCAGCGTCTCCGGATCCTCGGGTAGCTCGTCCATGGTAAGTAGATCATCATGACCGCTCGTCATCTTACTATTCTTCAACGCCAACTTGTTCTCTGGCCTCAGGTCTAGAGCATCAGTCTGGGTCTGCAACAACGCAATCGCCTTCGATGGATTACTCGTATTCTGCGTCGAATGCTCAAGGTGGTACGCCCATGTCAGGGCCGAAGTCATGGAGTCCAGGTCGCCAGCCTCGTTTCCCATGACAAACACCCATTCTGACTGCTTCCCAGCCTGCCAGTCAACGAGAAACTGCTTTTTGGTTGCGCGCGACCATTCTGAAAAGTGGCCAACGCCTATGTCCTCTGTTCGTGTGGGTGCGGCTTTTCCGGATGAGGCATCCAGGACGATCTGGGCGGGAGACGCGGCCGAGAGGGACGCTAAGAGCGCGGATGGCAATAGCCGGAGAGATTTCATCTTGACTAGGATGCTATCGAAGGAATGTAGATACGAACCTCTGCATCGCACACGGAATTTCTCTGTGTGCTGGTCTCAGCTGGATCGCCAGAGAAGCGCTGGGGCGACGTCATCGCTGGGAAACGTGCGCGGTCGACTGGCAGGAACCCACTGGTAGGTGGCGTGGCGCGGCGTGGCTGGTGCAATTCGCTTGAGCGCCCGGGCGACTTCAACATCACGTGTGAATGCCATGTTGCTACAAACCTTTCGTACAGTGAACTGAACCTTCGTCTGCCGAATCAACAACGTGGGTTCAACTGTTGGAATCTGAGCAGGGTAGAAGGTTTATAAGTGAAGAGAATGCGGGATGCATTTGCACATGTGAGCACCGTGTTGAGCATCATAGATTGCAGCTTTCAATGAAGGTTATTGTATTGTCTACCTATTCATCATTGGATAACACACTTCGAGGGCAAACCACAAGGTCCACTCTTGTGCTCACTTCCCTGCGGTTGACCAGGCACACCAGCACGGTGCGACCTAGCTCCAGCAGCAGCCGGTGCACTCTTCCCACCGGTCTCTCCACCATTCGCATTGTCGACTTTCGCACCCGTACCCGCCAGTGCGGCCTGCTTCTCCTTCTCTTCGGGGCTAGCTAGTCATTTGACAGACTTGGCCACAGTCTCATAGAACGTTCGTCCCTGGATGGTCGCAATCTCAATCTCCCGCGGCGAGGGCTGGCGCGATCCGTCCGAGGAGGCAAACGTGCCTGCGCCCCAGGGAGAGCCGCCATGGACCTCGCTGAGGTCGGCCATCTGAGCTGTGGAAATGTTAGCCATCAATCTCTTTTGCAACAACACAGATGTCGGTGGCACATCGTTATGTCATGGAATAGAGAAGCCACTCACCGAAGGCATGCTTGTAGCCAAACGGCACGAAAATGATTCCCTGATGTACCAGTGTGCTTAAGCACGACATGACGGTGCTCTCCTGTCCGCCGCCAAGGCCAGCCGTGGAAACGAAAACGCCTGCAAATTTTCCATGATAAGCCCCGGTGGCCCACTGCTTGCCCGCCTTGTCCCAGAAGGTCTTCCACTGCGCGGGGAAATTGCCGTACCTAGTCGTGAGACGGAGAGTCAGTCACTTGTAGAGTTTGGGACCGGGTGTGTACTGTGACATATGTTACGTACCGCGTGGGGATGCCGAGGAGGAAGGCATCGAAGGGCTCGAGCTGCGCAGGGTCGGTGAGGGTTTCGACGTCTGTGGGCTTGGGAGGAGCGTGCATCTTGGCGAGGACATCTTCGGGGAGGGTTTCTTCGACTCTGCGAAGAGGTTAGAGAGGCGGACCGCGAATGGTATTAGGTGGGGATAAGTACTGGAAGAGCGTCACGGATCCGCCGGCTGCTTCAATGCCTTTCTTTTCGGCTTCGGCCTGGTGATTGGGATTAGCTGGACTGTTTGTGCCCGAGGATTGAGCTGCCAGTAGGCAAGACAGCTTTGGGAGTAGTTTATCTCACCAATTGACGGATGTGGCCGTACCTGCGGCGCAAAGTCAGTATAACAATCGCAGATTGAAAAAGGGTAGAAATAGATATCTTGGCTAGCTGCAAATGTCTAAAACTTCACACTCGATCACCGAGTGTGAAGGTTTCAAACATCTTCATAGCTAAAACACCCACTTTGTACCCTGACGTTACTCACATGGAGTAGTACGCGATAGCAATCTTAGGACCCATAATGGCAGATGTCGAAATTCAAACTCCGAATGAAGCGATGCAATAGTAAGAGCTCACAAGACACTGTCTCACACGTAGCTATCCTCCAGCAACCCAGCGCAGGGCGTAAACCCCTCTATATACCCATCCCGCCAGCTTCCAGACCAAACGACGTACCCGTCGACTCGGCCCTCCCTCCTCCCTCCCCATTGGCCAATTCACTTGCTCGAACATTCCGCGCACCAGACAATGGCCAGGACCCCTCGCGAGGCTGCAGATTCTGGTCTAGTGCCCGGCTAGCCCTGCTGTTCGCAGTGTCAGGAGAGCATAAGCTAGCGTCATCCAGTCTATGATTGTCGCTGGTGCGGTGATAGCCTCATTAGCTCACCATTGGTAATGCTGCGAAATAGGTACGTGGTGCTTGGCGGACGTGCCCCACATCAGGATATCTGGGGCGCCGGCTTCCGTAAGAGGTGATTCAGCATCAACAATCAGTACTGGTCAATTGGTGACTAACAGACGAGTGCGAAGTTATTCCGCACTCTCGGAACGGAACAATTCAAGCCGTTGTGTTGTCGATGCGGTGAGTTCATGTAAGCAATTATGTGAGTGCACCTAGCCCAACTTGGTATACGCACATGCAGGGTGTCAAATTAGGAAAGAGGCACAATTGACTTCACAGTCTTCAGCAACGCTTGGTTTGTATAGTCGAGATTGATATTTGGATTGTAGTACATGGATAAATCTGCCAACCTAGCCAGGTAGACAGCCGTAAACTATTGGGAGGAAAGCGGGATCATTGCCCCAAAACAAATTTTCCTCCTGCCGCCATGCAGATGCATAGAAAACTTTTTTTTTTCGTGCGAAGCCGCTTCATTGCGGTGGCAACTTAGGCCTGGTAGTCCAACTCCAAGCTCCTCGCTGATGCAGTGAATCATGATTCGTAAGTCGATGAGCAGATTACAAGAATGAACAATAAGAGTAGAGGCCGTGAGTCGCGCTTGGTTGATGCTTAAGTCGATATAGAAAGGAATCGGCGTCGGACGCCAGCCAAGAAGTCGCTCTCGTCCATGCTTTGGAAAGGTCCCTCCTCTTCCTTCTCGTACAAGCCAGTAGATCCATAGGGTCCTTTTCCGCTGTAGTTCAGGGCGCCTGGCCATGTACCATTGGAAGATAATTCGGCAAGAGAGAAATCGCCGTGTACCAGCTTCAAGCTGGGTTCGAAAATGCAGTCCGCGAAGAAAAGCTCCACATAGAGATCCTTGGGAACAATGCTGGCAGCTTTGCGACTCACAAATTCGCGAGAGGTCTGAAGCAGCTTCTCCAAGTCCGTAGCGGCCTCTTGCGTGGAGCGGCCGTCCTCGTGTCCGCACAGATGCAGGGCTCGCACTTGGAGATCGCCGTTGAACTTCGCGTTCTGGTCGGAAAACAAATCTGCGCACACAGAAGGCAAAGAAATCGATAGCGTTTCCAGCTTCGGGCAGCTTCGGAAAAGCTCGCAGAGGTGCTCAGAATCGGAAGGAGAGCCGGGGTGAGGATGCCAGAAGCCATCCTGTGACCGCGGGCTGTGCTCAAGAACTCGGAGGGTGTTGTGCGCAGCCTTCACGATAGCCACGACGCCGTCGATGGTAATGGTGGAGATGCAGGTCATGTAGAATTCCTCCAGATGTGTCGCCGTGCGCGTAATATCGAACAGATCGCGATCTGTGATGGGCATGAAAGTGGTGTCGCCAAAAATCTTCAGACGTCGGAGCATGCCGAAATTGACGGACTGGAGCGGCTCCAAATCCATCTGGTTCTCTGCCTCGGCCGCTTGCTGCGAGGTCGGGTCTGTCGCCATCAATTCCAAAGATTCAAGCGGCTTTCCGCTGCCCAAAAGAAGGGTCCGCCATGCAGATGCATCGAGGTGGCGGATGGTAGTCCAAGGAAGCGTCACAGATGTCAGATTCATGCAGTTCCGCAGCGACTCGAAAACCATGCGATCGGTCTGGGCAGTGTAAAATCCGTGGAACCACATGCGCTTAATCTTAGCAGCTACGCCCGGGAACTCGTTGAACGTCTTGACGGTTTGCTTCAGAGAGCCGAAGGGGTCGCGGTAGACGGCGGTGCCGGTGGGCTTGTCGATGAGCTCGTATAGGCCATAGTTCTCGCGGCGGCAGGACAGTTCGGCCCATCGCTGTGCAACAATTAGTATCGGCGCATCCAAAAAAAGCCTGAAGAAGGGAACTTACCTCTCCGCCTTTCCAGCGGCGAATGTAGACATCTTTGAGGGCATACTCCAAGGCCCACTCGTGCCATTGCCAGCAGACCAGGCGCATCGCAGAAGTGGCGTCCCATCGAAGCATCTCAGTCGGGACGGGTCCTCTCACGAAGCGCTGGAGAGACGCCCTGCGGCCAGGCATGGGCGGCTGGGACAGCCCGAAAGTGTAGGTCGGGCCATCGCGTATATTGGCTTTGGCTGCTTCCTCAAGGATCTTAGACAGGATTTCGTAGGGGATATCGGTAATGTGCATTACACTGGATGTCGGATTTTAGGGGTGGTAGGTAAGGCTCGAGTCTGAAAGGTACAGAGCAGGAGCTCAGGTTCTGTGGTTGACTACACGGTGGATGACGTGGGAAAGGGTCTTTGACAGGTGAAAGAGTGAGTCAGTGGTTGAGTACGGGTGGCAAAAGTCTAGAGAATAGTAGCGGGCAGGTGCTCTTATAGTAGCTTCACGGGAGGGCAGATTTTTATTATGACAAAGGGAATGCGGTACCGATGTTAGTCAACGTGCAAAGCTTCCCCAGTCTCCTGCAGGACGCCATGCGGCCCGGCTGCTGGCAGTGATGCCGAAGTGGATCGGCCAGGGGCGCAAAGCGAGTGAAAGCGCCCTTGCGTGCCAATCATGGCACCAGGTATGGGCGCACGCGTGAGCTGTCGCGGTTCGGAAGCGTGGTCGCATCTGCTGCTGTTTAGCGGAACTGCGGAGGAGGAGCGATGGTCAGGGCTTGGCCTTACATCACTAGCGCCAAACAGAGCCCTTACGACTCAAAGGGTGGATTTTCTCAGTGCGTGACCCGTCACATGAGCAGCATTTGGTAATAGATTGCTGGTTTTGACACCACGAAATTCAACCTGGAGCCACCGACCCCGACCGTCGACACGCAGACGACTCGGGAGCCTGCCATTTCGCACGCCCGCCAGCGCTTGCCTGTTGGACGCGACATTGCTGTTGCCGCCAGCCTCCTACAACCAACAGCACCCAGCACCATCGCAATCAGCCAGCCGGCGTGGCACTTGGACACTGGCACTGTACGACCGGCTCACGACCTCCGTTGACATTCCACCCGGCGGATTGTACTGGACATCCATTCCAAGCTCCGTCCGGTTGCTCGCCCTGGCTCGGGGTTGATGAGGTCGAACTGTCGCCATCCGCTTTGCGTCTCACGTCTTCGGTCACGACAGTTCTCGCCATGACCACCAACTTGATCGCCAATGCGCTGTGCATGTCGTCCTGAGTCGCTAGCCCGTGTCCTCGAATTATGCTCCAGGACGTGACCATTTCACATTGTCAACTTCTTCTTCACAAGCATCACGAATTCCGATTGCCCCAAGGGTTACCGTAGATCTTCGTTCCTCACAACAACTGCACCACGGCACAGAGACTTCACCAATAGCGACTCCACCTGCTGACATGCGTTCCTTTGTCTGCAAAGGATCCGCTGCGCAGGCTCCACTTGCGCGTGGTTGACTTCTCGTCAAGTAAGAGAATCCTCTTACGTTTCGAAACCTTCCCCGCCTTGTGTTGCGATGCATCGTGCTCATTCATGCCAGCGTTCTCTTTCGGGAACCAGATTAGCCCCAGCGCCAGCAAACTACCCGAGCGCAGTGCTCTCGGCATAACGAGTGCTGGCATAATTTGGTCAGGACAATCGACGTTGTCTTTCCATTGGCACCAATTGCCATCTGTCTGTAAAGACTCGGAAGTTGTTGCGTCGCTGACGTTGCGTATAGCCACGCAATCTAATCTACACGGCAATGACGTGCCGTCATCGATTCCACCATCACAGAGGACCATGTTGAGCTTCTCCCCAGATTCACAACCTAAAAAAAAATAGTTACCCCGCAAATTCGCTCCTAGAGCGTCTAATCCGCGGCGCTAGCCCTACCGCTTCCCGAGGACGCGCTACGAAAAAAAAGTCTGATTGAATAATCGTAGACGCCATTGCGCGGCGTGCAGCGGGCATTCACGGCCTAACGTTTGTGCCGACAATGTCTATTCACGACGGGGCTGAGGTTCGGTCACCAGACCATCGCAAGCGGCTGCGGACACGACAATGTCCGTGGGCACGGTTCGCAACACTACAAATGAGCATCGTGACCTCTTGAAAGCGCGGTCTGGCACCGGGACCGTGTCGCCTTCCGCACCGACCATGGGACTCGTGACACCTTTTGGCGGAAGGTCCAGAGTATCGAAGCTGAGCGGCTCAGGAGAAGACCGTCTCGCCCGTCGACCAACACCTCTTGACAGGACACTACCCATAGCTAGCGGATCCGCTTGTGGGGATCGGAAGTCGAAGTTAGTTGTGCGTGACTGACTCCAGTGCTGGGGAGCAGGAGCCTCATTTTCGCGTTTAACGGAGGCCGCCGCTGTCTCCGAAGATTATCGAGCGAAGTTCGACTAGTGCGACTTGCCGACCACAATGCGACGCGTATACTCACGGGCGAAGGAGGCTGCCGACGGTAGCATGTAGCTGATTTGAAGACATGAATTTCCGATAAAGTAGGGCTACACTGTACTATCTGTACTCACGGCGACGGACAGCCGTCGCTGTTGTGCATTATCTTCAGCGGATAGGTATCTTGCACTACTTCGACCGATGACGTTGCAAACAACCGCAATACCTCGTAACAATCTGTTAGATGCAGAATTCGGAGAAAGCTTAGCACGCTCGCAAAATCTCCCCTAATATGCTTTAGCTATTATCCTAACTTCAACTGGCTACATTCTAGTAATATAACATAATACCGTAAGAATTTAAAAAGATCTAAAATCTATGTAGTTTTTCTAGGAGTTCATAGGTAATATAGAGGTGAGTTTAGAATGTTATCCTTCATATCCCTTTAAAAAGGTTGTAATGTTCTGCATATGACAGATGCGCCCGCCGTATGATATCTTTTTTTGCAATCATGATATGCAATTCTATCAACGGGTGGGTATCTTGTACGAGGGTACAGCCCATCACAGACTATCTACGAGGAGCTCGTTTCGATTGAGGAACACGCGCTAAGAATACCAAACACTTCACAACGTCGCACAATCACCGAGTCTCTATAGGTTTTTTCCTTTCTCTGATAGCAGAAATAGAAGAGCATTACTTGTTATTACTTCGTCTTTTTATAGTACAAAACCTCGTAGTGGTGGAGTTCTGTTCTATTGGGGTAGGATCGCTGTTTAGTAAAAACGAGGTCCTGGTAATACACGCCTCTGAGAGTACGGGGCGCTGTAAGAGATACTAGCTCGCCACGTATCTATGATATTTACCTTTCTCTAATAGCAGAAATAGAAGAGTATTACTTGTTATTACTTCGTCTTTTTGAAGTACAAAACCTCGTAGTGGTGGTGTTCTGTTCTATTGGGGTAGGATCGCTGTTTAGTAAGAACGAGCTGCTGAGATACTAGCTTGCCACGTGTTTAATGTATCTTATCGAGACTATTACGCGTTATAAAGGTGGCATTACGCGGGAAGGGTACTGTTGAGGGTGAGGAGGGCTTTCCTACGGTAGAAGAGAGCTAGCGCCTCTCTTATAGATATTAAATTAGCATGGAGGAAGGATGGCTGGCATAATTTGTTTCTGCATATTCCACGTGAATGCAAAATTGTATTCGATCTACGTGACCACTCAGGTTAGACTGAGGAAGAGAGCATATCATGAACTACTTAGGTGCGCTGATAACACGTCTCTCCATGCTTTGAATTATATCCCGCACTTTCTTGTAGCCATCGTCATCTTCGTGGGTAAATTTCACCATATGCTCATGGTCTGCGTTAATGAACACCGTTCTCTCATTTGGATAGCCGAAGACGGCGGAATCCTTGCGAACGACCTAAAACGTTATTAATATCGTAGAGGGATGAGCTTTGAATAGATATCTAGCTTACCAATTCCCCTACTTTCGGAGTTATCTTCGTTTCTACACAGGTATATATCACCAGGGAAATAAGCTCAAAAACAATTCTTCGGAAACGATCTGTAAGAGCAAGAACTTCGTCTGAAAGAGACCTGAGGGCATATACAGAATTCGGAGGCACGTTCGTGAAGGACATCTTGGCGATGTTCAGCAGGACTTGAGCCATACTGCTAAAGCTGCTGTGAGCATTAGGAGTTCCGAAGAATACGACGGCTCTTGCCGCAGTATGAATACTACGACGGGGGTCGGCCTCGGTTGGTGTTTCCGAAGCAAGAATGAGCGCCTGTTTCGACGGATCAGAACTGTACAACTGTGGTTGGACTATTAGGGCTATCACTCACCTTTTTAACAACCAGCCCGCCGAAGCTATGAGCAATGAACACCAGGGGTCTGTATTGCTCCTTTACAGTTGCAGATTAGTTCTGACCTTGGTTGTTTCCATCGATAGAGTTGAGCTTACAAAAACTTTCTGCCTTCGATCTTCAAGACTACGGATAAGCGTTATAGCTGGCCCTTCGATCAATTCGATCACTTTGGACTGCATGTTTGGTGAAAACTCGACATCGTATCCGTAAACCATTACACGAGCGTCTGGAAAGTGCTTCCGCAGGTCCCAAGGCCAAAAGAACTTGGTGTCGCTATGTGTCCAAGTCGTCTCTGGGTGTCCGTTCCATCCGTGCACGAAGACAATACTGGTGATATCAGCCTAGCTGGGTGTTGCTGAGACATGGGAAATTCTAACTCTATTGTGCTCTCCTTACCCTTGTCATAGAGCACAGTGATATTATCTCTTAAGACGTTCGGATGCCTATCCTCCGGTTCTTGAGGGGCCTTGCCTGGCGCAGAGGTGTCCGCCTGGATACTTGGTTGTGGTTGCAGTTGCGGTTGCGGTTGCGGTTTCACATATCCAAAGATCTTTTTCATATCGCTGAGCGGGTCCCGGGGTGAGGGTAGCTCCTCGTCGTCGACACTCTTCAAACGCAGTTCTTCCGCCCGTTTATTGAGCAATTCCGCAATTCTAGAAAAGGCCGGGTCTGTTTCAATCAGCTTTGTCATCTCGAAATGACTCTTGTCGATGGGGATTGGCTCGAAATCGGGGAGGACGGCCCATTCCGCAGATAGATACTATGGAGTCAGTCAGAGATTATTTTTTGGTCTCTCTCCTTAGAAATTAGGGCACAATGCTTCGTTGGCTGTAAGGCCACTCACCAACTTGCTTTTGGGAACGAATCTGGTTGCGTAGCAGGCTGCGATATTTACTTTAACCTGTGTTCGAATAATGGATCGGAATAGTCTCTGCATGTCATCAATCTTCGTTATCTGGGTCTTGAAACCCGACCAGTCCTGCTTCTGAGCCGTGGCTGCGCACGGTATTCCGAGGCGCTGAGCACAAATGACGGCCCACTCTGCTAATCCAGCACCATGATGGGGCGTATCAAGCAGGATCGCTGCGTGTCGTCGACTCCTCCCTTCCGTATTAGGCCCATACGAAAGTGCAAGAGCCTGCGAAGCTTGCGTCAGCCGGGCGGCAAAGAAGATCGCTGCGTTCCATGCAGGTGGTTCCTTGGACCTACCTGTTCGTACACCAAACCACCGAAGCCGTGGGCGACGAAGATGACGGACCGTTCTATACCGACTGGAGTTTGGATGAGACCTGGCTGTGTCTCCTGGGTATCTCCATGCAGTGCGTCAGACGGAGATGTTGAAGAGAGACGGAACGGATAGTCTTTTAAGAGCTCCTTGGCGTGTTGTTCCAATTTCTCCGAGTCGAGCATGTCGCCTAGCTTCGCCATCTTACCAGCATCATATCCGAAGGCGACAATCCGCGCCTTGACTTGGCCCGGTAGGAGCTGCTTGGGCCAGGGATCATTCGACTCCGTCAACCTCCACGCCTCGTCGCGGTTTTCAGTCAGGTCATGGATGAACACAATGCTACATGTACATGTACAAATAAGCAACGGTGATTTGCGGATGACTGAGCAACGTGAAAGGGAAATGGGGCGTCGTCAGAAATGGAGACACTTGGTCATGTATGAACAAGGACGGACGAACTCAACTTCAACATCTTCCGGCTCGAAAAGCGTATACGACCCTTTCGGAAAGGGCTTTATTCCATGGGACAGAAGTCTCGAAATGGTCCCACTAGACGACTGCTTGGGAAACCATGGCCACATCGCGCATGAAACGATATCCCCAACCTCGTTCCCCGGATCGTGATGCCAAAGATCTTAACGCTCTTGTGTTGCGGACGACGAAGGATCGAGGTCAGGCTGAGGCATTGACGAACACAGCTTATCATTTTCAAGGCCGAAAGGGACCGCCCGGCTGCTCGCTGTCCGACATGGGTTCGCTAGACATATTACCAATCGCAAGGCAACACATGGTACATGTATGCCATATGGCCACACTTGCATACGCTGACCGGTTCTAGTCTCGCCGCCCGATGATTCGCCGAAACTTGTCACCATGCAGCCGGTTATGCAACTTCGTGAAGTCCATATTGGCATGGGCCGCATCTGGACATATCTGGCGAACCGCCCTGCCTACCATAGGTATTAATAAGAAATGTCGCATCCCCGGTCAGGGTGTCCATCGACTGTGAGTTAGCATGAAGATTATCGTCTGTTGCGACGGGACATCAAATTCTGAATACATCGAAAATAATCCTCCTACTAATGTAACCCGAATAGCACGATGCATCGTACCAATAGACGATGACGGCAATCGGCAGGTAGTTTACTACCACCCCGGAATTGGCACGGATTACCGGAATCCATTGAACGCCTATAACCAAACCGTCGGACAAGGTTCGAAAATACCTATTCAGTCATTTCAGATCTGCTCATCAGAGCGGGCTGTGCTAACAGACCATATTTCAGGGCTCGACCAGATAATCTTGGAAGCCTACAACTTCATCTGCCGCAACTACAGCGCCGACGTTCAGGATCAGATTATTCTGATCGGATTCTCAAGGGGCGCCTTTGCAGTCAGGTGCATTGCAGATCTTATCGGCTGGGTCGGAGTGCTTCAAAGGCACGAACTCCACCGCGTGCACGAAATCTACAAGAGCTGGAAGAATCCTGCGCTGCGCAATGCTGGTTTACAGCCATTGGATCCGGCCAGACATTCAGCTCGTATCACGGCATGCGCGGTCTGGGACACAGTCAGCTCCATTGGCGTTCCCTTACCCCACCGTCATATCGGGCATTGGGGGTTCGAATTCGTGCACTCAGATGTTTGCCCTTCTATTGACAACGCCTTCCAAGCTCTGTCTCTTCACGAACATCGCTATCACTTCTGGCCAATTGTTTGGCGAAGTCCTCAGCCCGAGCGTACAAGACTCGAGCAATGCTGGTTCTCGGGCTACCATGCCGATGCCGGCGGCGGGAACGCGAAAGATGCCCTTGCACAATTTGCCCTGGTGTGGATGATGTGCAAACTGAATACATGGTTGCAATTTGACGATGTGGGATTTCGCAATTTCTCGCTAGCAGGGGAAAGCTGGACAAGTAGCTGGGTAATTGGTGGTGATGCGGGCATTCGCAAAGTGGGCAATTCATGTAAGTGTATCGCAAGTCTTCGCCTGCCGGATTGTTTCTTACAGTCTCTGCTGACAACGCTCCTTTTTAGATCGCCTCCCAATCGAGGACCCAATAGGCTTTCATGCCATGGGCGCGCTCTATTCTTTCGCAGGCTCAAGATATCGAACACCCCAGACCGAATTATGGAATGATGAAGGCGTGTACAAGCCCAACCAGGGTCACATCGTTTACAGAGAGGAAATGCATGCAACTGTACGGTTCTTGACATGTGCCAACCTAGTCAAGCAATGCCGCTCTCTCGCCGGCATCGAACCAAACGGTGGAGTGATGGGATGGAGCTGGAATCTCCTCTCAAGAGCTGAAACCCTGCTGCAACGGATCGGGAATAAACTGCAGGCAACGACAAGCCAGCCGGGGCATGCCATCATCCACGAAGAAACGTTCAGCCAGTTTGAAAGGGATGTAATCCATGCGTGGCTCGACCACGAGTGGCAGGTATTCGACGAGATGATACATCCACCAGGGCAGCCAGCTCCGCACACTATTCTGGCTGATCTTAAAGCATGGCTGGGTAACCACATGGTAAATCCTCAGCCAATATTGGTTAATTGAAGTCTGGAATTGTCGATTGAGTTTCTAAGAGCACTATTGAAGTAGGCATTGTTTCCAAAGAGTTGAGTTGGTTGACCGGAGGCATGGCAAAGGTTGAGTGGGGGTCGCAAGGCTGGGGAGCTGAGATCGGCCCACCCGCGAAGACTCCGCACAGCTACAGACCTAGCATTTATCACGAATAACAACACCGTCATGATTATTTAGGTTTTGGGGTCGTTGTGAACTAGCTGAAATTAGTAGTTGGTTCGATCGGAAGTGCCGCCTGCGGTAGCGGCCTTACATGAATTTGCGCAGTATAAGGCTGAAAATAACTTCTTAGCACTATAGCGAGGTTCTAAGGCTTGATGAGACTGTCTCTAAGTATCATGGAGTAGTAAGGGCTTCATAGTGGTAGCAACGATATAAAACGGAATAAATGAGCAAGAGGCGCCCTAGATCTTCAAGAAGGGCCAAAGTATATAAATCATATATAATTTTAGTGAAACTTGAAGTGTGTGCAAAGTCATAGTCGCAAAATACCCGTCAAATTTTACGGCACGGTGGGTTTTCCGCTACGCATGGAGGGACGTTGCTCTGGATACATACATGATATACTCATAGATTGTCCCTAGCATTGTCCACTGTTCCTGGATGCACTCAACTGACATCTGCAGGAAGGAAAAAAAGTTTGGGTATCATTGATCTAAGTTCGTAACAGGCCGTTGACAGCTATGCATCTAGCCATTGTCCATCTCCCCTCGACTCAACTCCAATCCCTACCTCCCCCTCCTCACAGCACTGCTCTCCACATTATTCGCATGCGCCAGCAGAAACTTACAGCACGTAAGCGTATACTTGCACGCCTTTGTCCACGCCTCATCCTTACTCACGCTCAGCTTGATACTCTGATCGTGAATCTTATCCTTCCGGATCGCATACGGCAAGCTCATCCCTCCACCTCCGTTGCCCACGCCTCCCAGTCCGCCTGCAGTGTGCGGGCCCTGGGCCTCTACAAACTCGCCCAGCTGGCGGAGACACTCGAGGAAGGCGACCATCGCGGCGTCGATCTTACGGTGCGTGAAGCCGAAGTTGATGGGGAAGTCGCCTGAGGAGTACAGCTCAAGTTTGTGTCTGCTAACGCTGGGGGAGGACGCGTTCCGCGCATCTGCAGTCGAAGGGCCGGGTTTGTGCTCGAGGCGGATGATCGTAGAGGTCGAGCCCATGGGACACAATTCGTACCCGCTGAACTTGAACTGCAGACGCTCAGCCAGCGTGGCGAGCAGGAGACATGTCTGGCCCCATGCGGCGTTTAGCTCGGGCCAGTCGACGTATGGATTGTTGAGGCGGCCGAGGCGCAGGCCGTTGATGGTGGCGAAGTGGTTGTCGTGCGTAATATTGAAGGTGTCGTTGTATACGCTTCTGCGCTGGAGCTGGCGCAGGACTTCGGTGTCGTGCGCGTGTTTCACCAACAGTGCGTCGCGCTCGCTTTGGAACTCATTCAGTGTGATGGCGAAGGCGTTGCGGTCTTGCCAGAAGGCGGATTCTTCCTTGTCGCAAGCGCGGGCTTGGACTTCTTCGTCTGCGAGCGCGGCATCAAGCTCTGCTTTCTGCGCTTCTAGCTTCTCTAGCTCAGCGAGGGCTTTGGTTTCGGCTTTTTTCGCTTGCTTGAGGGCTGTCTCTGCGGCTTTGATTTCTTCGCCGCTGGGCACGTCGGTGTTGGCGACCCGGAGATAGTGGACGTATGCATCGCGTTCTTTTACCGCGACTGCTAGACGCTTTCCCAGACCTTCGATCAGGAGCTCCGTGCACTCTACGCAGATGGGGTGGTCGATGTCTGAGCGCGAAGAGAGGATCTCGAACATGCGGTTTGTGGTCTCGAGGGCGTCTGCGAGGCTGCCTCCGCCTATGGAGCCACTGTTCCCTGCTGCACTTGCTCGTCGTGTCAACTCTGGAGCAGTCGACTGTGCGGATGCCGGACGTTCTGGTGTCCGCGATGCGCCTGGCGGTGAAGATGGTGTTGCCATCATGGATTCAGATACGTCCACGTTGATGAAGGACATTGCCGTGTTCTGTGCGCCATGTTGGCCGTGCCGTGAGGGAGGTACATTTCGTCGGAAGGTCGGATTTCGAGCGGATTGTATGGCGGCTTCGTAGGTTTGCTGGCGAGAAGAGGGGTATGTTGGTCGGGACTGGCGGGTAGGCGTGTGCTTTGCTATTTGTTGTTGTCCTGGGACTGTGGAATCTATGAGAAGTGAGCCACAATCCAAGGATAAGGACATGCATCCAACCTACCTGTGAGAAGCTTGAAGGCAGCAGGGTTGAGCTGGTCTATCGAGGCATCGATGTCTATGGGGTTTCGACATTGCTGGCAGGATAATGCTGGCCGCCTGTCTTTGGCCATGTTTGCTCGAGATTCAGAGATATGGCCAACCGTCAGGAAAGTTCATGCGCAAAACGGGCCCTGAGTCGTGTATGGTTGCTTTTGACTTTTGAGCGATGTTGTCGGAGGTGCACCTGTGAGATCATCTGCAGGGCTCCCGGTGCACGAGCTCTAAATTAGCGGCCCCCGCGCGAATCTACGCGTCCCAGCCATCGCGTTCGTGCTTGATGCTTTGCGCCGCGAGCAATAAACCCCCACCCAACATTCATTCAACTCAACGAGCTATACAGCGCTCGAATCGCCCGCCATGGAGCCGCCGGCGAAACGAATGCGCATACTGCAGTCCATCGGAGTCGACGAGGTGGACGAGAGTAATCCAGAATACATCAAGGGCAAGCAACAGAACAGCGAATGGCTGAAGAACAAATGGAATTCGATCTATGCAAAATACGGTGCCATGCCGGATATGATGAGCGACGAGGTGGATATGCGCGGCAACGGGTCAATTGTTGTGGACAGAGGGCACATGAGGAAGTTGGACAAGGAATACCGAAACCGACTGGGACGACAACGGAGGACCATGATGCCCGCAGAGGACGATACACAGCTCGTGGACGATATGTTCGCGAACGACAAAGAGATGAATTTAGAAGAAGAAGAGGAAGACCACGACGAGAGGGACGAATTGGCGCCGTCGCAATCACCAGAACCTGCACCTCTCAAGTTGAATTCGCTACCACACGGAAGCGCATCGCATCAGCATGTCTCCCCTATCGCTCGATCAAACGGTCAGACCGACATACCTGTTCCGAATACACCCACAAACGCGACGCTACAAGCGACGCTCGCCGCTTCTACGAACCCAGCCGCGGACCTGATACAGCTTGTCCAGTTCCCTCAAACACCGGCTGGGCAGCAGGCACGGAAAGCTTTCGAAGCGCAAACCGCGCAAGCCGTCCAACAAGCCGTGGCCTCGATCTTTTCGAGCTTGCTGTCCAACGTACCATCGCTCCAATCTCCACAATTGAACCTCCTGCAAGAGCCCGAAACACCGGTCACACCTGTTCTAGACACTCGCGAGGTTGCGCCTGCCACCGTACCCAGCCTCTATCATCCCTCTCCACCTGTGGTCTCAGAAATACCCGCCGCTACGCAACCAAGTCCGGTACCTGTTCCTCAGAATGAACGGAAGAAGCGACGTTTATTTGCGGTAGGTGTACACATCAAACCCAAGCGGCACGATAGCACTCGGGAAGATATCCCTCTCGTCATGGAAAACGACGCGACTCAAGCTACGGAGGAGCTAGCGAGCGAACTCTCAATCAGCGGCGACATGTTGAACAACGATCAGCTTACAGTCGAATCTCCTCAAGAACGGTATACCAAAATTAAAAAATGCTTTTTTACCGCAGAAGAGGATCAGTACATTATCGAGTCGAGAGTATTGCACAATCGTCCGTGGGCGGAGATCATAAATAGCCGACCGCATTGGCAGAACTGGAAGAAGAATAGGTTCTGGGCGCATTGGCGCAATGTCCTGAGAGAGAAGGCTGCAAATATGAATCCTGGGGAATCGGGATTGGTGTCAATCGGGATTCAAAATGATGCTGAGATAATACCAAAAGAGTCAACTTCTTTGAACAAGGAACGAAGACCACAACCCCACAGCTCACCTGCAGCTGCTCGACATCTACCTACCCCAAGTTCGCTCGGGCATGACGAAGACAAGCAACAAAACGAAGAGCCTATTTCCAAAAATTCTGAGAACATTATCGCTTCTGGGGGCCATTTCGACGAAGACGAGAGGGATCTATTGTCCCTGTATGGAGACACCGGTCCGATGTGTGACGTTCAGGCAGATTCACTAGGTGGGAACACCGACGAAGACCTGAACGATGCTCGAGAGATCCCAGAAACGCCGCTGAACCTCACCCAGGAAACCTCACTACAGGCTGTCCTGCAAGGCACAGTCACTCGTGAGCCCACGGTGGATGTCACCATCGCATCAAGTGCTCACCAGACCAAACCGTCGCCGACGAAGATCACCAGGGCAGCAGCTACCAAGGCGAACGGAAACACGACCAACGTACAAACCCCGTCTACGAATAGGCCAACCGCAGGTCCCACATCCTCTGTATTAAAGAAGTCAACCAACAAGTCCCGAACCAGCATCACCTACCGCGCCGACCCGGACTCCGACTCTGACGTCGACCTCATCGCTAGCGAACCTCCATCCTCAGCCCTCCCCTCCTGCCCCCTCTGCAAACAAACCTTTCCTGCACCCGCCCTCCTTCAAACACACATGACCCAACCGCACCCCAAGGAAATCCATGTCCGCGCATCCTCCCCCCTCCCTACTCTCGACCAAGCCGACGAACTCCATACCCAAACCCCGACCACACCTCTTGTCGCCATCAAACGCGAACCCCTCGACGACCATGACGACCCACCAATCAACCTCCTTACCACACCTACCTTTAAAACGCCCACATCCGCGCCGCAGCGTACGGCGGCGGGGGTGCACTCCTCAGGCGCAAAGAGCACGGGAAAGATGAGCCGGAGCGCATATAATCAGGTGAAGCGGTCGTGGGCAAGGAAGGGGACGCCGGTGGCGAGGAAGAGGCAGAGCCTAGGGAAGGTGGAGGTGGCGAGGAAGAGGTTCTGGGATGACGTTGGGGATGGGAGTGAGGATGAGTTGGCGATGTGAGGAGGGCTGTTGAGAGGCGTATGATAGAATCATGTGTTGTACGTCGGGAAGGTGGGCACCGTGTTACACATACTAGTGTAATACCATACGATCATCTGTTGTCGGAATAGTCAGGATGCAGTGTATATAATTCAGAATGTGTCATGGCACAGTCGGCATAATGGTATGCCACTCGGAATTGATATCCAGTTATACATGAGAGCGTCGAACTTGAGCTTTGAAGATAGCGTAGTGAGGTGTTGTCATGTAATGACGCTGTACCAGACCATACCAAATACCAGGGTTACCAACCCCATTCAAGTACAATTTTATCGCGAGCCTCGCACTTCTCCACGCACATCGCGTCAGACCGGCTGGGACCCTGCATCCTTACCATCCTAGGCTTGCACAATGTGCTCCAAACAAAGTTTTGACTCTAGACAGCCAGATCCTACATCTCTGATACAACCCAGGCTCGATCCCAAATTTCCAGCTGACTGAAAAATTCTATCTAATTGAGTAGTCCCGTCTCACCAACGAGTTCTATCTATAATATCTAGTAGACTCAGTCTGTATAATATACTCCGGCATCCGCCACGACACCAGCAAGCCTAGAATTCTCCACAAGTAGCTTCATTCCACGACCCAAAGGACAAAAATCAGAGTGCTATTATTATCCTTTTCAGCGTGGAGAGCTCGGGAAGAGCTCTATATCTACAAAACTAGCAGTCCACAAGTCAAGTCGTCGTGCTAGACGTTACAATGGAGTAAGTAGATACGCATCATCCTCCTCCTCCTCCTCCATATAACTGCACAGAGAAGTAAAGAACACACCGTATACCCCGCTGCGTCTTCTCCACGTGCCCATCTTCGCAATGGTTGTCTTTACACTTACACCACGAACTTAACACTCTATGCCTAATACACACCCTCACAAAGTCCCTCCCCACCCTTACGCCTTTCTCTCCCCAAGTAAAGAATGCAGCCCCCATCTACACAGACACTCCTTTTTCCGAGCGCGGAAGTAAATAAACAACGGGAAAGAACTGCAAAGGCAAGAGCCGCAGTCCAGTCTAGTCCACAGGAGCGAGCTGCGAGGTTGCAAGTAAGACGAGAGCTCAAGCACTTTCTGCTGGATGGCATGTGTAGATCGAATCCAGGTATGTCTTTCCGTCCCAGACCTAGGAAGAACAAGACGAAGACATTGCGGAGAGCGAGCGGATTTCGAGCTGCCGAAGCTTCGTGTGGACGACAAGGTAGGTATATACTCTTCGAAAAGACAGTCCATTAGGAATGAAGTGGTGCTGGTAAGTAAACGCCATCAAGTAATTTTTGTCAATGCGAGCAGATAGATCGACGAAGGGATTGCTGGCACCTATGATTTTGCAGAGGCTTTTTGCGATTTTTGGGTTCACGTTTTGTGTCTTTGCCGTTCGTCATGTTCGAGCGGGGTTTCCGGGACAAATGGATTTCATCAAACATACACTCTATCACCTTTCCAACTCAGGGAGAAGATAAAATTTGGCTGGTATGCAAGCAGAACCTACACTCCACTCCATCTCGCTAATACACTAGTAGGTACCTAGCAAGCAAGCAAGCAATGGCCATATGCATACACCGTAGACTACAGCACATGCCATCTAATCAAACAGAGCCCTCGCTACACGATATCGTATCGTACTGTACCGCTCACTCATCCTTTCCAATTTCTCGCCTCAATAATACAAAAAAGATAATCGCCAGAAATACAAGCCAGCCAATGGACTCGCTCGTCGTGGCCGTAAGTGGGATATCGTCATCGCATAAGGCCGTGCTCACCGTTCGTTACAAGGAAAGGACGCGAGTCGAGGCCGCCGGCGCTTGCGACAAGGTTGCTCCGCCTAGAAGTCCCAGTTGAAGTTGCTCGTCGCGCCCTTGCGCCCGCCCATGCCGTTGCCCATCGACCTGACGCCGGCATTCTCCTTCTTCGCAATCTCCGGGTCCTCGTCGAACATGTTCCATTGTGCGGCGTTGCTGCGGCCACCCTGTGCGTCCAGTTAGCAACGACTGTTTGAAGAGGACTGTATTGACACGTACCATGCCGTTGCCCGCAATCTTGATCTTCTGCTGCTGCGGAGAGGGCTCGTAGTTACTCCAGTTGGCATCCATAGTCTTCAGCACCTTTTGCTGATTCTGGGTAAGCTTGTTCTCGGGCATCTTGTGACCTCCGGGGCTATCATCCTTCATCTCCCAGTGAGCACCGAAGTCTTTCTTACGGATGTCATTTTGAATATGGTGTGTGTCCTTCAGAGGATCCAAGGTGTCGCCTTTGGGTGGTGTGTCGAATTCGTTACCGAGATCGCCTCCCATGATGTGGTCACTGTACAGCCCACCTTTGTTGTTGTTCTGGCGTCCCTTGAACGTGGCCTGCTTCTGTCGGCTGGGATCAGGAGTTCCGTCATCCTTGAATTCGAAGTGCATGTCTGCATCGCGGCGCGGTTTGTGGACGACCTCACGGTGTACTGGAGATTGTTCATCCGGCTGCTGTGTAGGTTAGCAAAAATGTCCCAAGAACGCGCGAGAGAAACCAGAAGAGTGGGTGACGAGATCTCGACGACCTCTGAGACTGCATCGCATCGTACATGTGCTGCCCAAGGATGGCTGCCAATCCCCGTCCACTGCAGATTTCAATTTGAAGAATAAACATACCTCATCATCACTCCATCCAATCGACCGCTGGTTCTGGCTCAGGACCTTTGGCTTTGTCTTCTCCGGCGTGACAAAATCTTCGAAATCCCACTGGGACTGGTGCTTCACGTTAACAGGTCGTGCCGTTCCGCGAACCTTGGGAGTGTCCTCGTTTTCGCCATCACCGAATTCGAAGTGGTCGTACTTCTTAGAGCTGGTCTTTATGCCCATGGGAGTCGGCGCAGGCTCGTCGTCTTCGTTAAACAGACGGTTCGGCTTGAAGTTCTTGCCGCCGCCAGCTTTCGATGGAATACCAGGAGCGTTGTGGGGTGTGGGCGTGCCCGGATCTTCTCCGACCTGTCAGACATGTGGTCAGCTCAAGTCACAAGTTTGTGCAGCTTTGCAAACGATTCGAGAACGGCGTATTAGCCCTGGATGGGCAATGGGCTATTTGTAGGCCGCCTCAACCCAAAATTATGCCCGGATGCAAGAGCCATTACTTACAAATAACTCGCCCAGGTTACGGGCTGGAGGTTTGGCGGATTGCGCTCGTGATGCTATCGGATGCGACTCATATTCGCGCTCCTCCTCAGGCTGTCGGTTCTCGAAGAGCGAAAGGGATGCATGGGGATCGTTCATCGCATTGTTCGTCGCCGTTCGCGCGGGGCGCTGGCGGACTGAGACCTCATCGTGACCACGGCCACGGGACGGCTCAGTGGATTCCGACTGGTTTGTGCTCGCTGCGCTGGAGGAAATGAGACGAATTTGGTCCTTGCCATCACGGATCGGCCAGTTACGCGCGCGTGCGCCGATGACATCGATTTGCTTGAGGAGGGAGCCTTGGTCCCAGTACTTGCGGATCTGGGTGATCTTCCCCGCCTCAAAATGGACGATGTGGACCTGCGTAGCTCGCGTCAGCCTCGTAGACACAGAGTGTGAAGGCCTTCAGTGCCGATCCTCGGGTGACACAGGACACTAAGCCTTGAGGGCTGGATCCCTTCAACGTACCATTGGGAAAGTCACCGTCCTGTCGGAGACGAAGTTGTCGTCCAGGCCGGGCAAGTACGCGCCACCGCCTTGGACAAACTCAATCGTGACCTGCAGATCGACGCACAGCCCGCCATTGGCGCTCTCAATTGCATTTAGCACCTTGTGCTCCTTCTGCTTCAGCAACTTCTCTTGCACCGTGAAGTGCTTGATTATGGCCGGCGCATCGTTGATGGTTGTGAGCGTAGTGATGTAGTGCAGCGATGCATTGTCGGCGAGCGCGCCGGACGAGGGACTCGCCAGGAACGCCTTGTATGTGGCGCTGAGCGACATGGCGGCGCGCGAGAAGGGAGTAGAGTCTATACGGGGTGCGATGTGCGCTGGGTGGTGTTGCCTGTTGTTTATCGATACGCGGCGTTGTGGATGTTTTGGTGGGGTGGGTGGGCGGCGGGAGGTGTAAACAAAGACCCTTAAATTGCGGCGGGCGGGAGGTGTGAGGAGAGAAACGGTGAGCTTGAGAGCGCGTTCGTAAACAAGGAGGTCGCGAGCCTAGTCTACCACTGCAGGCGCATCGCCCTGAAGGGGCATGTTGCTGCGGCAGGTGGATCCCTGCATCCTGCATCTTGTCCCGCAATTTGGCAAGACCCAGACCTGCCACTCAAGTCCACTGTGGGCCGGCCATTTTCAAGCACGCGCCACACCGTCGCAGCCACAACGAATACGCACAGTGCGGAGAACTGCGGAGAAGACCTTAGCAACGGTGAAATGATAATATATTGGCCGCTATACACAAGGACACTGGTCCTACCCGCTATCCGCCGCTTTCATTGACGTTGCATCGCACACCGACCAACCGTTTCCGCGACTGTGTCAAAGATGACACCCGGACGGGCATTGTTTGGCGTGTTTCAGATGCCGGATGCTGGTCGCTGGTCATCCCCTTTCGTATTCCCAGGCAGACAGAATTCTTGTCGCCTCAAATGCCTAATTTACACGTGAAGAGAACGCAGAACAAATCAGGCGCGAAGCCGAATTAGCTTGTCGAAATGCAACAGAAAGGGCGCACACATGTGCCCAAGGATTGTGCTGGAAACAATGAGAAAAACCGGCTGAAGGTGTAGCATGGCGTAGTTATCCAACGATTTCGTAGATGACATGATACATGTCCAAAGGAATGTGAGCTTCTCGATTCAGGATAGGAAACTTTCAAGGGTCGAACTCGCTCTTCTCTGCGTCCGCATCGTAGCATGTTTCCCAGCACAGAACTTCGCTGGGAAAGTCACGCTCCACGCTTGGTCTCTCGCGGACGAAGTATGCCAGCGCAGCTCCGCAGCTGCCGAATAGCATCAGACAAGTCCACAGTGCGAGGTTGGTCGTTGAGACGCTCAGGTCATCGGCGAGATAGAAGCTGGCCCCACTGACTGCCACCGCTAGCGCTTTGAAGAGGTTGGCGATTTGCATGATACCGACCACAGTGCCCGCTGAGTATGCGTCAGGCGTCGTGTTCAGCACAAGAAGCGTAACAAGAACAGTGGCTCCACCGGTGAGGACATGCTTGGTGAGGAGACCAATGGCTGATGTGACAGCCACGAAGTTGGTTGAGCATGCCGAAGCTGCTGCAAGAGCAAGAAGCGGGGTGACGACGTAGATGGCAGGGAACAGCAGCGAGGTCGAGCGGTAGAGTTTGAGCAGGCCGAACTTCTCTACTGCTGTAGGAACGACGTGCTTGATGGTGATGCCAGCCACGCCCTTGACGACCATAACGGTAAGGCCGAGCCATTGGCATGGGATCCCCATGCCACCGTCCTGTGAGCTTTGGTGACCAAGGTGGGGCAGAACGACATCGAAAACGGAGGCGTGAAGAGAGAGCAGAGAGAAGGAGGCCAGTAGGACAAGGAATGAAGGCGCCTGCATGAACTGGTTAATGGTGATGGGCTCGGGACGGACAAAGTCGATCACGGCAATCTTTGGGGCATCTGAGTCGTTCTCAGACAAGAAAGCGGCCTTTTCGCAGTCGAGGTCCATGCGTGACGAACTTGTGTCAAGAGAAAGAGTCTAAGCATTGTTAGTACTTGAGATACGCTGTGGTTCATGGGTCGGTGTATACCTCTTGAAGGAAGAATGTAGCGGCCAGTGCAATGGACAGCACGAGACCTCCGCATGCAAGCTGCGACCCCAAGATGGGAAACTTCTCCCAGACTGCACCAGGCGAGTGCAAGCTCTCCGAAACCATGCCCTGAATGATGGGACCGATTGAGCCAAATAGTGCGATCAACGGTAGGAGAGCCACATTGTGAACACGCTCTTCAAAGCTCTTACTCAAATCTCCGATCATGGTAAGCGTCGTGACCACCACAGTCGAACTTGCAAGTCCTGCAAAGTAGCGGAAGAGAGTACAGCTCGCAAGATCGGTCGCAAATCCCATGCTTAGGCAGCAGACGACCATCATCCAGAGACCCATCAAAGTCACGCGGCGCCTGCCCATACGGTCTGCCATGTAACCCCAGAAGAGGCCTGTTGTGCCTCCGAAGGCATACGCGCAATCGAGGATGCTCCTCAGGTAACTCGTGGAAAGGTTGCCGCAATAGTCGGAGTCGGAGACCAACATCTGCAGCTGTGGCTGGAGCGACGACGCCATGATACTGCACTTGGCATTAGCTTCTGGACCCTGTACCCACACAGCCGATCGCAACATACGCTTCTGCAAGGAACACGACATAGATCAGAGTAAGTTGCCTTGAGCGCGTCTTATCCGTAGCTTCAGAGACGTCATCAACCAGTGTGTCGCTATCCTCCATATCCATCTCTTCTTCCTCTTCCTCTTCGTTCATCGGCACCATATCGTACTTCGCGAGATCCTTCACGGGGATCAAACTCCTCGTCCTGCGATGAAAACCCAACATCTTGCTTGTAGTTGCTATGACGAAATTGCGCACGCGTGATAGGGATTGTGTTTCGAATCGTTTTGCGTTCGATGATGCTCTCGATGAGCTTGTAGACGGGTACACGGCCGGCGTGTTCCCAGTAAGGATTGTCGTGGCCACAAAGGACCGAAGGTTGTGAGAGAGTGACTGGATGTCCAAGGGAAGGACTGGCTCCGCCTCGAGAGAACGACGAGGTTGAAGAGATCAAGCAGACGGCATCGGAGGGGGCATGCCTAGTTACATGAAACGCCCGTGCGGCATTGCACCCCCTGTCTGCTCGTGGAGTCCGTCTCCGTCATTGGTCTCAGCTCAGACGGAGCGCTATTGGCGCTAACCCAACGGACCCTCGGATGCCAATGGGCGTGATATCGATCGTCAAGTCCGCATGCGTTCGAACGGACTTGCTGCGCGTGTGCGCCCGCCCAGTGGTGGATCCACCGACTCATCGAGCGACGAAAGTGGACCAAAGCTATCTTGTCTTACCCTGCACCCTAGGAAACAGTACGCGAGCAGTTCGCACCTGATCTTCCTTTTCAGTCAATCCAGGTATCAACTAGCCTAGGGGATACCAGGGATTAGAGCTATCAAGGACGACTCCGATCATTCGCATCTGGCTGAGTCATTACAAGCTTACAATGGTCAAGTCAGTGCAAAGTGGCACAGTAGAGTCCTCCACACTTTCTGTATTGTACACTATCTGGCGATCTCAACCCAGCCTGCAAAAGATAAGGGGGGAGATCAAAACGAGCCAAAGATATCTATACTAGCCGTGAACCCGTGAAAACAAAGATCGTTTGTTTTTGTGGATTTTCTGTTATTCTCATGCAATCGCACGTTGAGAACCAGCTCCCGGCAAACCCGAATATTCCATCAGCCAATGCTCTCGTAAGAGCTCATCCTACCATCGCATATGAGGCCTATCCTAAAACTCCTGAATGATAAGAGGCCGTCGCTACTTGAAAAAATTGAGAAAATGAAGTATGCAAATGCTCGCTGGAGAACCATCATGGCAGCCTACTGCTGGTTACCGTAGTTTCCCATCAAGTCGTCCAACGTGGTTGTTGGCTCGACATACATGTTGTCGAATTGGCCACCAAAGTTGTTCATGTCAGGGAAGAAGCCAGAGGTGCCACCAAGCCCCATTGTAGATGGAGCAGCATCGCCAAACAGCTCGAAGTCACCGGTCGGAGCAGTGAAAGTGTCCATGCCTTCGCCAAAACCCTCATCGAGGTGCATCTGAGGTGAGAACAGGGTCATGTCAGCCTGTCCGCTTGGAGATAGGTGAGGAACATTGTTCGCCCCAGTTGTAATTGGGAACTGCAATGGCTCGAAATCAAAGCCAGTGCTCATTGCAGGAGTAGGCTGTTGGAAGACACCAGTGAAGTTTGTGTTGATATTAAGCGCACAGTTGTTGTAGATATCATTGTGGTTGATAGCGGTATCTTCAGGAGTCACTGCATCCTCGAAAGAAGTCGGTTCGGTGGGAGAATGGCCGGATGAATAGGTAAGCGCCGATCCGTTGGTTGTAACGGAGTCCCGGCGGAAGTCTGGCTGGAAGCCGTTGACACCAAGGGCAGGAGTGCCAAATCCATAAGGATTGTTGAAGTCGAAGTTATCGATCAACGGGACAGACGGAGAAGGCGCAAAGGGTGTCATCGGTGTAGACAGAGTTGCTGATTGAGGAGTACCCAGGAATGGCGTCAGAGGAGTTGGTGGAGACCGTTCACTTGTATGGGGCTTCTTTCGGCCATTGCTCTTGGATCGGACGTATTCCCAACCGTGTGCTTTCTCCATATGCTGCTTGCAATTGGACTCACGCTTGGATGCATATGTGCAAGGTGGGTACAAGCACTTGTACTGCGCAGGAGCATTGGAGTGCTTGTCGTTGACGTGACGGTCACGTTCTTTCTCGGTCGGCCATCCAAGATCGAAGTACTTGCACTTCTCTTCAGTGCACTTCCAGGGACGAGAGTGCGTCTTCTCGTGCTTGGTGAGATCGCAAGGGCGCTTGAACTCCTTCTTGCAGTCACGGCAGACGTGCATGATGTCACCAGCCTTGTCAGACTTTCGTCGACGAGCCATGGATCGCGTCACCTCATCGACGTCCATCTCATCATCCGACAAGGCTCGCTTGCTGGCGAATCCGGTAGCAACACTGTCGGCGCCTTCAGCAAGAGGAATGGTCATGCCGTTCTTCTCCCGGACCAGCTCAACAGGGCGGCCATCATGGCTCAGCCCACCCCGTAGGGTAACCTTCTCATCACTTCGGTGAATTAGCGTTGTGCGGATAGCCACAGCGAATGGCGTATTAGCATACCGAGAGTAGTCCATTTCGTCGAGTTCTTCTCCACTCTCTTCTTTGCGGCGGGTGGCGGCCATGATTGCTGCGTATCTTCGGATCTGTTCAACCAAATCGAGAAAGTAGTTGTTAGTGTAAGGGCGGTCGGAAGGAAGTCGTTGGTCTTGTTCAGAGAGTCGGTCGACGGTCGCATGCAAGAGTTGAATTGATCGCTCGCAGAATTCAAGATACGATGTCGGAGTTGCCGAGAGCTCCTTAAAACCACGAAGAATGCAATAAGCTTCTGCACTCTCAGATAGATATCGAATGCCACTTACCGGTGCCAGGAAGATCAAAGTCTTTTCGAGGTCGCGGAGGTTACAAATGTTCTTCTCACCAATCCGACGAGGAACGTCGGTGATCAAGGGATGAAAGTCCTTCAGAGCCTCCTCAGCGAGGATTGGTTCTACAATATACTGGCGAATCTGCTCCGAGGCATAGTCACTCAAAGTGTGCTTCTCCTCCGAGCCTCCAAGTGCACTGAAGGAACGCGTGATGGCAGCGTGTGAAGAGGAAACAGAAGTGCTGATGGACTCGCGAGCAGTTGATTGTCCTTTATGTATGTCAGAAGGCGGACCCTGCAAGGCGGGATCGTGCAGCCGAGCCTTACCGTCTTTTGAATCGACACTGGTACCAAGACCACTGTCGGATGCGTGTTCATGCGAAGCTTGTTGGGTCTTCGGTTTAGGGTCAACATCCATGTGGGTGGCCTCCAGGCTCGTGCTTGTTAGGAACAGGCCGGGAACCGGCAGGACCTCCGGGTCAGATAGGATGCTCGAGCCAGTCGACGACGACTTGTGGCCAGCAACCCTCTTGTCGAAGTCGTCGAGTAAGTTTTGGACCCGACGTACACTGGAGTCTTCAAGCAGTTGCTCCAAGCTTTCCGGGGATGTTGGCGAGCGACGCGGCATGTAGTGTTGGTTGTCCAAGTCACATACATCTGACGCAATCGACTTTGGTGAATGGAAAGTACCGCTCTTTCGCAATGACATTCCATGGGTCGAGATGGTTGGGGATGATGCCTTTTGAGGACGGCGGCGGGGGTGAGAGTGGGATGCCGACATGATGGCTGTGACTGTATACAAGTACAATCAGCTCGCAACTCTCTGTGTGACGATCCGGTTATGAGTCACGCCAGCGCCAGACTTGCAGGTCTGGTTTGACAGCTGGGAGTCACGGATGGAGGCCGCCCTACCGGATCGGGACGAAAGAGGATGGAGCAATCCGAATGGGCGGGCTCTATAGGAAGAGCCGTCGAGTGGTCCGGAAGTCACGCCTTCATAAATGTTCCAGGTGAAGCGGGGATGAAAGGCGATTGACAAAAAAGGCGTGGGAGTTGCCAGAGGTTCTGGGTGGATTTGAAGGGCGCTCGCAAGCGTGTCAACTTCCAGTGGGGGGTGTCCGTATATGAGGGCGGCGCAGCGTAAGACGGCTGCGGCACGGGAAGATAATGCAACGAGCAAGGGCGGATAAAGCGCAATAGCCAGGTGACGAAGCCTCAGGACACAAGCTGACGCAAAGCAGCGGACGCAGGAGAGGATATGGAGTGGGAGGGAAAGGAAGGTAGTGGTCGGCCTCGAGAAGTTGACGACCACCTCGTCAGGTTGCTGCCTATTTTGCCAAGCCGCGACGGCTCGATGGGGCTAACGCTGACTTATTGACGATGGGGCTTGGAGATGCACAATACGAGGGAATCCTATTATTCGCTGTCGCGGCGCCGTTTCGACGCGATATACCGCGCGAGACGTGCCTGCGTCACCCGGCTGCTCGATTTGCAGACGCAAGCCGTGTCGTCGCTGCTGCACGCCGTCGTGTGCATTTCGTGGCGAATGTGCGAGTCCGCCACTTCCTCACCGTCGAGCAAAAAACCCTCCCAAAAACTGCGCCAAAGAGCGGTAACGGTGATCAACTTCCCCGCGGCCGGTGCATTGCCAGCGTCCAAACACTGCTCGCCATGTCTGCTCTGAGACGCGAGGCTTGGACCGGTGAACCCTACAAGGAAACGCTGCATATGCATCTAACGCTTGACGTTGCTCACCAGTGGGCACACGGCGCAGGGATCAGCAGCGCTTCTGGCGTGCCTGAGGCTGTGGTTCACGACTGCGCCATCATCAGCACCCATGTCGCACTCCCGCGCTGGGGTTCGAGGTCTCGGGCCTTTCGTCAATAAGCCGAAGAGGGCTCCCATACAAAAGAGGAGCTTTGCCCATCCTCTCCCTCTGCGAAAGCCCTCGAACTAAGATGCCATCTGTCCCCTAAAACGGGCTACGTATGGCTCCGTTCCTTCGCTGTGGCGAGTGCAACAAGTGCTCACCGGATAGTGTGGGGGCCATGGGAATCCCGGCAGCAGCCCGCGGAGTCCACCGCACCGGCGGCGCAGTTGTGGGCCCGATCACCGTTGCTCGAGCGTTGCCACGCGAGATGATAAAGGCGCGCAACATGAGCGGCATCGTGCCCGATTTTGCGCACTCGTTGAAACATGCATCGCACGTCTGCGCGTTAGCAAACTTTATTCGGTCTTGCAACGACTTCACAACTGAGACATCGGTGGCGAACAGATAACCGCCCACGTTGTTTACGCCGGTGCACTGATGTGGGTTTGCGCATTTGTGCACATGATTTCGAGTCTTGTTTGCACCACTGTGCCAAATTGCAGTCCACTCATGACCACATGGTTCATTGTATCTCCTGCGTTATAGCTGCATCTATCTATTCGTCCGACGTGCGGTTCTAGAAACGGGAAAGCCTCCTCTTTCCATTGCCCAAGACCCTGTACCAGTCAAAGGTCGATTTCACGTTTCCCCAAAAAAGGAATGTCCCCGAGTGGTGCATTGACAAACACGAAGTCCCCAGGTGTAAGGTCTACTATGCCCGACCCCTCTAGACTCCGATGCTTCGCCTCAACCCGCCCTTGACCTGGCTATGTTGCACACGGTTTCTGATTGGAGTGTATAGAACTACGCCCCGAATCGTGGCAAGACTGGAGGGAGGGGAACTAGCAGCGTGTTCCATGCAAGGGTAAACCTCATTCATGGGTGCTGCGTTATCCGGATAAGCTCTTGCAAGCGCGTCGGGCTACGCCTTGATGGTGATCAGTGTGTCATGGGGTCAATCTGCACGCTGAATTCGAAGTGATCCAACGAATGAGCGACCACGGAAATCTCCTTGGAACACGAGAACAGAAGAAGAGCCGAGGTGGTGTAGTCGAATCCTTCCGAAGATTGTTGTGAAAAGTGCCTTTGATGGCGAGAATAGTGTGGGTTCGTATCCTTCGAGTTACCCTTGGCTGGTAAGTCGGAATTCGGATGTAGTCACGATCATTCGGACAAGCCCCTTGTTGTAATCAAAACTTCTTCACAATGTTCGTAGCGCAAATGGCAATACGGGGCATGGGAGCGTGCCAGTGCCAGCTGCCAAGTATAATCTCCTGCCGACTGATATGCAGACTGCAGAAGCGCATCATCGCGCACGACGTGTACGGGTGGCAGGCCGGCTGTTGGTAGGCCTCGGCGAAAGGACCTGGGGCGCTGCTGGTGGAGCACCTTTCTTGGAAGCAGCCCGAGTGCTACGCGCAGCTGGTACCGGCGCCGGTGCTGCTGGCTTGGTCGCGGCCTTGACGCGTTTCTTCGGCACGCTGAGCTCTTCGTTTTCCTTATCGCCATCATCTGATGGGCGCTTCTTGCCACGAGTTGTCGCTTTCGGAGCAGGCTTTGGTGCGGCTTTCGCAGGCGCTGCTCTGGTCTTACGTGCGGCTAGCTGTGTAGCAGTACGAGCAGGTACTGGCGCGTGGGCGGCAGCTGGCGCAAGGTCTCTCTTCGCTGGCGAGGGTTTCGCGGTCTTAGCGGGACCATTGGTAGATGGATCAAGCAATTCTACGAGGCTCATGTCGCGCTTGCTGTTAGGTATGCGGTTGACGCGTCGTTCCAGACGGGATCGAAGACTCGCGACCTGAGCCTCGCACATCGCAACGAGTTTCTCTCCTCGCGCTTTCACTGTTATTACGATTAGTGGGCGTAGTGAGACCGCGTACGTAGTACATACGCTCGAGCTCCAAGTTCGCTTTTACGGCAGCTTTTGCCTCGGTGGTAAGATGTGACATAGTTGTTGATGCTTGTTTACTGCTGAATTGGTGGATTGAAGCCACCGTGCTGATAGTTATGCAACTTGGAATATAGGGCAGAGGTATGGAGAAGCGCGAACAATTGTGAAAATTCTGCGCCCGTGGGTATGCGATTTCTCAATCAACTGATGTATGTTTGTGAACGGGAGAAGGTGCGTTGTGTATGCCGCTAGATCTCCGCCGCACGGGGCAACCGTATTTACACTAGCAGCCGCGCGCTTGGCATCGACGCGGAACCCTGTGATCCTAACAGGTACGATTTTCAAGACAGTTTCTAATACAGAACTGCATCAAATCCTTACTACGACTCGAGAGCTTACGGTGGCTCTTGTACCAATCTCACATTATCTTTGGAGCTTCGCAGAGCTTGTTGACGGCCTGTCAATTTGAGCTCAAGCGCTCCAGCACTCCGCGTCCACGTGACCGACATAATCCCCGGCTTTACCTGCACTATTCGCGAGCTTAGGTAGCTCCGACGTCTCCAACAGCCACCACTTCGCAAGCACAACCCACCCCACCACCCTCTGCACCCCACAATCGAGCCAGCGAAACCGTCATTATGGTGTTGGAGGCTTCTATGATAATGTCAGTTACAGGCCAACCCCACCAGCCATCGCTCGCTAACTATTCGCAGCGTTGACAACAGCGAGGCGAGTCGCAACGGCGACTACGTGTACGTATCGTGCTATCGCTGATGTAGCTGCGGTATACTAATTCAGACCTAGACCCTCGCGATGGGAAGCGCAAGCCGACGCTGTGAACCTCATCTTCTCTGCAAAGACTGGGGCAAACCCAGAGTCGTCGGTCGGTCTCATGAGCATGGGAGGCAGCACACCCGAGATTCTCACCACTCTCACTACGGACATCGGCAAGGTCCTCGACGGCCTACACCGCACAAAGATAAAGGGAACCTCGCACTTCTCCACAGGCATCAATGTCGCCGCAGTACGTCATCCATGCATTTGCCTCCTACACCATGGTACTAATGACGACGCAGTTGGCACTCAAGCACCGTCAGAACAAGTCACAGAAGCAGCGGATAGTCGTCTTCACCTGCAGCCCGATTGAAGAGGAGGAGAAGGATCTTGTGAAGCTGTCAAAGCGCATGAAGAAGAACGGCATAAGTGTGGATATCATCGCATTCGGCGAGCTTGGAGAAGAGACAACCAGGAAGCTTGAGAAGTTCAGCGAGGCATGCCAGAGCGCGGAGGGATCACATCTTGCGGTCATCCAACCCAGCTCGAATCTACTCAGCGACTCCCTCGTCACCACGCCAATACTCGGAGGAGATGCTAGCTCTGGCGGCGCAGGTGCAAGCAACGCAGGTGGAGAAGGCGGAGATGCCGGCGGCAACTCTTTCGAATTCGGAGTAGACCCCTCTGTAGACCCCGAGCTTGCATTGGCGTTGAGGATGAGTTTCGAGGAGGAGAAAGCACGACAAGAGAAAGAGAAGAAGTCTAAGGAGGCTGCAGAGGGCAAGTCCGAGCTTGAGCCGGTGGCTGAAGGCGATGAGAAACAACCCTTGTTAGATGATCAGGGTCAGCCAAGTGGAAGTGGAAGCAAGGATAAGAAAGACGATGATAAGATGGACACTGCGTAAGCCCCGGACTATGGCGAATAACGAGCATCTGAGGCGTTCACGGGTAGAAGACTCATGCTGGCGCATACCACTGTCTGGCGCATCTCATCGTAGATGCGATTAGCGGCTTTCCAAATAGAATACATTCGAACATCCACTTGTTTCGGTATTCAGACGTATGAGCAAGAAAGAATGGCTCCTAGCTGTGACAGATTTGTTCGCGATTAAGAACCTTCCTCACCGTGTACCGGTCCTCTCTCCTCGGCCTTATTGCCAGAGTTCTTCGCCCCAGCTCCAATCCCCTGCAACTCAGCGTCCATATGGCGATCACTTGCCCTTTTGCTAGACGCTCTCTGTGCATGTGTCTTTTTACCTGTCTGAAGTACTCTTCAGTCGGCAGAGGGACTCCATGGTTTTGACCCTGTGAATCGCCGATTTCAGGTAACGTCAACTTTCTCCAACTTCACCCTTCAGCCCCTCAGTTTGATGAATCCATCCAGCCCGCGATCAAATTTCTCGCACCTAATCGGCATCTCCACTGTATAGAAAGGGTTCTTCATCACGAAGTCCGCATATAACTCATATATCTTCTTCACCATAGTATCAATGTTCGGTTGTTGGGGTTCAGTGAACAGGAGAAACTTGATTCCGGTGAGAGTCTGAAAGCATTGCATGCGGAATTGTGAGGTCTCGAGGACTTCGATGCCGGTTGCGCGATGGATAAAGGGGAGGGGCGAGATTCGCGGCGGGCGCGGAGGAAGGGGCCGGGGGTACGGGTGGGTTTGGACAGAGCTGCTTTGTGATTGCGTGCATGCTGATTGCGTAATTAGGTTCTGTTGTTTGAAAGCGAGGATGGGAGAAGGCGTACCCGTGGAACGAGCCCGCAAGCATGAGGAGGTCGTTGCTGCTGAGCTTCTGCAAGCCGGCATGGAATTCGCGGTTGTATATGAGACCGCCAGACTTGCTGATTATGAAGAGCGCGAAGATAGCCCTACAGATATCAGTGCCATGTCACAGCGAGCATGGCGCAAAGCGCATGCGAAATAGCTCACATCTTGGGGACCAAGAGCACCACGCCCCCACTTCCTGCCCGTTCACAATCACCCTCGGAAACAGTTTAAGGGAAGTACGCCTCAAGACCCCTCAATTCTGTTCTTATGTACGCTTTCGCGCCTCCAAAATCACACGGGTCTGTCACTGCGAATGCGGTGGTGTTTGGACGATGTCGTGCACGGGTGTCGGAACCCCCAACTCTAGGTGACCTAATCCCTGCTCGCTGCCCCACCCCAGTGCACTGTGATGCTTCACCCACGCTCCACACTTCAACCTTGACCAGACGGCGGCGGCCTCTGACCTACACTTAAACACCCGCCACCGTCCTGTCTTTTCTCAACTAACATCCGTTGACTAAACTCACACACAGTCTCAACTCAGGCGGCGGCAGCTCCTGCCCTAACTCTCCCTGCGCTTGGCCTGCCCAAGGTCCTCACAATGTCGAACCAATCGATCCTTCGTATAACACGCGTACGTATCCCAACGCGCGTATGAGACCTCCATAAGCTTACAATAATCAGGAACTGAGCGAGATACAGCGGGGTTCGGATCTGTGTGAGTGCCAATAATTGTTGCCTAAGGATTACGCCAGCTGCTAACGTATGCCAGCTCTCGCGGTTGCCTGCCGTGACATCGACGTTCGGCATGTGCGTGCCTTGATCATCGGACCTCCAGACACCCCCTACGAGTTCGGCTTCTTTGAGTTCACCGCCAAGTTCACCAAGGAGTATCCCACGAAAGCCCCCAACGTCCAGTGCATTACCACCAACAGTGGCCACACTAGATTCAACCCAAATATCTATGCTGGAGGCAAGGTCTGCTTGTCAATCCTTGGGTATGGAAAGCCTTCTGCATAGCAATTTGGTTGGCTAACAGCAGTGCAGCACATGGCGGGGCGAGCGGGGCGAGGAGTGGTCTTCGGCACAGGGTTTGGAATCTATCCTGATATCCATACAGAGCCTTATGTCCTCAAATCCCTACGAAAATGAGCCCGGCTTCGAAGACGCTAAATCTGACTATGACAAGAAGAACCAGGCTGCCTACGTGGCCAAAATCCGACATGAGACTCTACGCATCTCCGTGATCGAGCGACTCGAAGACTATCTAGGCATTAAGCGAGGAAAGCCGTCTCAGGTGACTGTCTACAACGCGGAGGAGGATTATCAGTCGGGTGCTGGCGATGCACCGTTCGAGCCGTTCAAGGATCTTTGCAAGCGTCGGTTCCTTTGGTACTATGAGTCGTATCTCGCTAGCATCGAGGGCGAAATGAAGAAACACAAGGACGGCGAGCGGTTCGAGAAGATGCCATTTGAGGGCCCGGGAAACACGATGGAGGGCAGCTTTCAATATCCGCAACTTAAGGACCGCCTCCAGACCATCCTAGCGAAGCTGGACGAAGAGACGCAGATCTGGGCTACTGACGGCATGAGGGCTGTTGAGAAGGAGATGGGCATAGCAAGTAACCTTCAACGACAATTCGAGCAGATCGTCGAGAACTACAAGAAGAACGACGCGGTGACGCTCGATCTGGATCTAGTCGACAAGAACCCTTTTGTCTGGCGCCTAGTATTCTTCGGTCGGCCAATGACGAACCTTGACGGAGGCATGTTCCGCATCATAATCCACCTTAGTCCCAAATTCCCGGATGTTCTGCCGCGCGTTAAGTTCGACACGCCGATCTTTCACCATCGAGTCTCTCCGGATGGTGTGCTATGCTACAATGCTACCAGAAAGGACGACATGCGGTCACACATTGAGGCTATTATCGAAGCCATCGAGGAGGAGTCACCCGCTTATGATCCGCGTACTTTGGTCAATCTTGAGGCTGCAAAGCTCTTCTGGGGTGGTCCCGACGAAAAGAAGATCTACAACCGACGTCTGCGACGGTCGGCACAAGACAGTGCTGAGTAAGCGACATCACACTCCCAGCCTCATTCTTGGTTATGCTAACGCGGAATTGATACTTGTAGGAATTGCTTCTAGGTCGACTTGCTGGATATCTTTACCTGCCTGCGGGCAGTCTTACGACGACACGGCTACGCATCGATGCTAGATTGAGAGTTGATACCCGGGCCCCTACCACTTGGGTCCACGCAACTGGAGTCTTTACGGTGATTTACGGAGTTTTCCATGTGGTATATTAGAAGGCATTTCAAGGCTAGGTGCATCCACGGGTACGGCGCAATACTGTAACTTTATGCATGAAAAGGATGGCGGCCAATTACTGGAATTTCAATGATACGACAGATCCAGGACTGAGGGATCTGAGTAGGCAATTACAATATTTACAAAATTCCCGAAGAAGTATTACAACGTAGCCATGATGTCCTTATGCTCTATTGATCCTTCTTTTGCGCCGTCTTCAACTCATTCTCAAGAAGCCACCTCACTCCTCTCCTGACACCCTCATCCAGCTGCACAAGCGGGTGGTACCCAAGCCTCCGCTTCGCTTTGTCGATACTGTGATACTTAGCGAACGTGCTGTACCGAACTTGCTTCCTCGTAATATTCGGCGTCCGGCCAAGTACCCAGAACACATTTTCGAGCAATGCACCAACTGCGAAAGCAAAATCCTTGTCGAGCTTCCACACTTTGTTCAGTGGTCGCCGGTCGCCACACTCGTGCCACACCGCGCGCGCAAAGTCCCAGAAGTACACAGGTTGTCCGTTCGTTATGAAGAAGGCTTCGCCGTCGACCCTTTCCGTGTCGAGCGGGATGGTGGGGAGGATCTTGTGCGAGTGCAGCAGCGCTTGCACCGCAAGGAGGTGTCCAAACGCCACGTTCTCCACGTACGTGAAGTCGAACAGGTTGTCGTTCGCCCCAACCTGGAACTTCGTCTGGCCCTTGCGGAACGCGCCGATCATAGGCGGCAGCAGCTGGACGTCGCCTTCTCCAAAGATGCCCGCGGGTCTGATTGCGCAGGTGAGAAAACTTGCGGGTGTGCGGTTCGCTTCGAGGACGGCGGTCTCGGCGTAGGCTTTCGTCGTGGTGTAGTACTCTGGCTGCGCATCGCCTGTGATCATCGGCCATTCTTCCGTCGCGTTTACGAGCTCGGTCTCGGGCCCGAAGATCACGGAGGCGGAGGAGGTGTAGACGAAGGCTTTTACGCCTGTTTCTTGCGCGGCGGAGAGGAGGTTCTTGGTGCCTTCGATGTTTACTTTGTCGTGGACGGCTGGGGGGAGGTGAAAGTGTGGGGATGCCGTGTGGATGATGGCGTCGGGCTTCAAGTCTGCGAAGAGCTTCTTGAGGAAAGCGAGGTCTGTGATGTCGCCGTCGTGGTACGAGACTTGTGACGAGGCATTGCGGTTCGAGGAGGTGCGGAGGTCAAGGACGGAGACGCGCGTGGAGGGATGGCGCTTTACGATGAGGGAGACGATGTGCGAACCGAGGAAGCCGCAGCCGCCGACTACGGTGACATGACCGAGGGAGGGTACGGGGTTTTTGGCGGCCATGTTTCGATTTGAGGGTTCAATGGGGGGTTGTTGTGAGTGCGGAGGATTGGGATGTTTCCACAATTTCGACGCTATGGCCCCCGCAGACCCAGGATCTGGGCACCTGGGCGATTCGAGCCGTCTTTCCGCCAATAGAGCCTGAACAGGGCTTTTTCCTTTAGACGACAAATATGAGTCCAAAAGATACTTCAAGTGGACCAGCCAGCCCGTATGTGGTGAGATGGCAGCGGACATTCCTCGGCAGTGATATTTCGCCCTAGCTCGACAGCTCTCGCTCACTTCACCTCCCCACCGTCGAAAGCACCAATATGGCTTCCGCGACCGCACCATGCCGACCTCCAGGCTCCCCGCGTCCGCCTACGACGCGCTCGGGCTTCCAGAAGAGACGGTGAAGATTGCGACAACCCCTAAGCCCAGCGCATCGCCCGCGCAGATCGCGTCGCCAAACCTACTGCAGAATACGCAAGAGCCCGAGCAGCGCCTTGCGATGAACGACACCTCGATTACGCTCTATGCGGAGCTGCTTCTACATATCCGGACAGTCACCTTGTTCGCGTCGCTACATACAGTACACACGCGGCAGACAAAGGCGAAGCTGGCCAGCGATGGCTGCGCCATCACTGTTAGTCACGAAGGCGCGTCAGCTACAATAAAGCTTCCCATACAAGTAGAAGGAGGAGGCGACGCCGCTCTTTCACTACCAGCCAATCCTCCGAGCAAGGATCTGACTCTGCGACTCCAGATCGAGGAGAAAGAAGGCTCTAATATGCTTGGGACACTACTATCGGAAGACCGCAAAGCCAACATCGTGCCGTGGGATGGCGCGTCGCTCAACGACGCGACAGATGTGACCATTCATTGCAAGAGCTGCAAAGAGGTGATCGTCCCGGCAGGTGCGGTGCGCGAGTGGAGGGACCTGCCCAACGAGAACTGGGCAGAGATGATGGACTTCTGGCATTGCCACAAGCCGGATGAACACCATTTGCACGATCACGCAACCGAGGAGGCGATCGGGAACAAAGGCTACGCTGCTGGTAACCGGCTGCAAGCCACGAGAGGTATAGGATTCGTAGATCTGGCGAGCTTCTTGTTCAAAGACGAGGATTGCACAGGTGTCGAGGTAGGTCAACAATGCTCTCGTATATCCACAATCACCACAAGTTGGTCAGGTGGGCATCAAGAAGGTGGCATTCAACCTTTCCATGGTAATGTCGTCGATACAAATGCCCTAGAATGAGCGGCTCCACACACTTATTTCGCACACCTTCAGATCCTCTCCCCTGGATGATGGGCTTGCTGGTGCTGTGACGGAGCGGCCTGGTCGTTTCACTGCCATACCCAAAGGCTCTTGGGAATGGCGGGATAAGAGCAGGCTACATTCTAGATCCACATCGAATCTACTCCCATTCCCTATTCGTCCACTCTTTTGCCTTACTACGTGCGTCGCATGCTGACCCGACAACCAGACATCAGAGACCTCTCTCCAGTGCACCAATTGCAAGCACATCCTCGGCACCCCCGACACCACCTCCTCCGGCCACCGCATCTGGAAATGGTGCATCGCCATCACCTCTCCTCCCACCCCAATCACTTCCCATCCTCCCCAAAAATGGATATCCGCCCGCCTCCTCTACCTCATCGAAAACCAAAACGTCCGCCGCTTCCACGTCCACCCTCCCACTCCGTCTTCCTCTTCCTCTTCTCCATCCTCCGAACCGGTAGCAGCCCTCCTCCTCTGGGTCTTCACACCCGACCTTTTCTTCTCCTCGTCTATCAACTCGCGCGAGCCTACCCGCGCGATGAAGGTGTTTTGGAAGCGAGAGACGTGGGCGCCTGCACAGCCAGGCGAAGTAGAGAAGGCGGATGAGGAAGAGGTGGAGTTCCCAGATGAACTCTTTGAGGAGTTGAGAAGGGGGTTGGAGGCGAGTCAGGGGTTGATTCCGGCGAGTGCGAGGAAGTTTCAAGGGTGGGAGGTGGGGTTGGTGGAGAGGTTTGATGTTGGGGATGTGAAGCGGGAGGAGGCGGTTGGAGATGGGAAGGGGCCAGACGGTCCTGTTGGGGATGGTGGTAAGGTATCGTCTGCGAGAAGAGTGTGGAATGAGATGGTCGGATAGACTTGATGCAAGGACCCGCCAGTTACGGGTGTGGGAAAGGCGGAACTTCACGATGTGTAAGCAGATGCGAATGGAGAACTACCTCAGGATCATGATAGCCATAGTTAGGACTGTAAACATTATAGTTTTTAGTTATGTTTATCACTCTCCATTACGTGACGTTTTGTCCGATGGAGGCGGAACTCATCGCTTCATTGACTTCCATGGATATCGCCACATATTCTGCAGCTTTCTCCTCCCTCTGCCCAATAGATATTATTTCAGCTACCCTTTATACTGGGCAGCAAAGTTTTCTTATATTCAAGGACTGTCCGCACGGTGGCCTGCATGATACAGATTCACATATGATCATACAAACTGAGCTCCCTGGTTGCGTGCTGGCTGTTCATAGCCATAACATACCTCCGATGAGACCGATGTAAGCTTCCATGAAGCGGGAAGGATAGGCTAAGGCTACAGGAGCCTTACCAGTTGCTGTTTCGCTTGCAACACTTTGCGCACTGCTCGCTGCCGGTGTTAACGCCGTCCCAGTCTCGCTTGCAACACTTTGCCCACTAGTCGTTGCGGGTGTCGAGGCCGTCCCAGCGGAGCTTGTCGGCCTCAATGGGGCAGTGGGAGACTTTACCAATGCAGTAGTCAATGCTTCCGTAGAGGACGCAGTCTCTGAAGGGGTTGCCACGCTACTGGGAGGCGAGCTAGCTGCTGCAGTCGCAGCTCCAGTAACGGTGCCGGCCGTCACTATTGCCCGATACGTTGGGAATGCATAGCCAGTTCCAGGAGGGTATTGCTTCGTATCCGAGCCGGAACAGCAGTCGTGATCCGGCCAGTGTGAAGTCAAGGTGCACTGAGCAGTCGTCGGCTCACCGGAAGGCGAGAGCGCACACGACCAGACTGTAGTAATGCCACCTGAGGGCACATTTGCTGCGCTGTAGATTGCCGTGGTTGGGCCTTGGATGAGCGTGACTGGTCCACACGCGAAGTTCTCACACCCTGGGTTGAAGAGGTACGTTGTTGCTGTAGCGTCCTGTTTGGGTTTTAGCTTTTGCGCACTACAAAGCATCATAATGTGTACATTGCCGGCTATGGAGACTTCGAACGTGTTCGAGACGTATTCTTCTGGGACGAAGAGGCTCGGCACCGAGACCTGACCGGTCACGAGTATGTTGTGCGCGAGCAAGATGAGGACAATGTGATCCCAAGACATCTTCGTTCACAGATCTTGACCCCTGTGGAAGAAGGCGCGCCCTTTTCCTCAAGTGCTAGACTCCCAATCTTGCAGAAAGAAACATTCGTCTTTGTGAGGTACATTGGAAGTTGGAATCGGCCAATGTTTGTTAGTACCTCGTATTCGTTACGGACTAGCGCCAGTTCTAACCACAATCGTTTTCGCGTTTCCTCTCGCTATTCTAGCTCGCTGCAGGCGCAACCACTTCCGTTTCGGACAGCTCATGGACAATTGCGGACGAAGGTCTTTTCCAATCTGCATACATAGACCCCCTCACTTTCTGGCAATGGACAGAACAGTTCGAATCGTGTTACTCCGGGCCGTAAGTTTGCTGACACGTCACTGTGAGCTGTGTACCTCGCTCCGCGTTCTTATGGCTTCTCACGAAGTATAAGAGTACAGCAACTGCTTTGAGATATTTTGCACAGGATCATACGGTTACAAACGTTCATGAGACTGCTCAGAAACCATATATCCAACTTCCAAATTCCCCACGCCACCCAACGCTTGCGAATCTCTCCACTACGTCCACACACCATATCACATCCTCCCATAAAGCCCTCATCACAGTCTATCAGAATGGTCGTACACAAAGTTGCAGCTCCACCCATTGAAATCGCCGCACCACCAGAGCGTGTCCGAGAAGTGGTAAGACCCACCCTCACATATATTAAATACGAACGTTTCCAACAACACTCAGTTTCTCGACTTCGCCAAACTCCCAGAATGGCACACGGGACACTTCCAAAGCATCGTGCCGCCCAATGGCAAACTGGGCAAGGACCTGCAAAAAGGCGACACAATCCGCGTCGATATGGGCATCACTATGAACGCAGTTGTCGTTGTGCGTTCTACTTCACTTCACTTCACTTCCTCCTCCCATCTTCTCTCGTCTTCTTCTCCTATCCATTCTTCATTGCCTAAAAGCACTCACAGGAAAACTCCCCAGAGCGCTTCGTGTGGGACGACGGCTGGCGAGGCGTCCTCGTCGGCACGCACTTCTTCGAGTTCCAAGCGAGTAAAGTAACGCTGGGACACACGACGTTTGTGAATAGAGAGGACTTTTCGGGGTTGTCATTAGCTCTGGATTTCTCGGGTGAGACAAGGCATGCGGGGCCGGGGTTTGATCTGCTGAATCGGGATTTGAATCTGGATCTGAAGAGGAGGGTGGAGAGCTTGAAAGAGGGAGTAGGAGAGGGGAGTGGGGAGTGAGGCGGATTTTGAATCTTGGATTTTGGATTCTTAGTTGTTTCTTTTGATACCAAAGCGCGTGTTTGATGGTTTGGCGTCTGCTGGTTATTAAGTTCAGTAAGGGAGGCGCGACTTAGGGGCGGAGCCTGAGCGCGCGCTGAGGAAGGTGTAAGAAAAAGTCGATAGACATCTATCTTCGTAATCACAAGGAAATCATCCACGCTTTAGCTATCCTAGGCACTCAGATCCAATCTGCACAATATCCATCACCTGGATAGAAAGCACTTCCCAAACTGGCCCAATGACAGCATCATCGTCATCAACAAACGCAGTCGTCTATAGAACCCCCTAGAAACCCAACAGCAAACACCCCTCCGCCAGCTCAGTCAACAATCCAATCCATGATGCTGTAGTTTACCTACTGCCACATGTCATGTTGATCCAACCCCGCACGTTGCGACCGTTGACCCACAAGCCACCGCCGGTACGCGTGGGGTCCATGTGCATGCATGAAAGGAAGCGCCCGGCGCCCGGAAGCCGTACCAGGGTTCAACACCAGCGCGGCGAAGCCATGGTTCGCAACGTTGCAATTGTCCGCATGCAGCGGACCTTGGTTCAGAGCTAGAATTTTCACTGCACGCTAATGCATGGAGAATAAACAAAGTGCACAACTTGCATTTGACTCCGCGGAACTTTTATTATTCGTAGTGTGATAGGAACGGGGGACGGTATAGCGGGGGAGGCGTGTTCTTATTTTTGAAATTGGATGCTTCAAGGTTGTTAAGCTCGCTGTGTTGGAAGATGTAGTCATAGTTCATGAATGTTTGGCTCGTTCGCGGACGATGACAGTGCGACGAGGAGAGCTTTCTTGATGTACGATGAAGAGCATCGCAAGCCTACCGCAAGCCTACCATTGCTCAGGAAGGACTGGCAAAGAAAGAAGCAGGATTTCATCAATATCTATCTTCTTTGAATTCTCATAATCCTCACGCAACTGCGGACATCGGCAACACATGGTTAGGTCAGCGATTGCGAGACTCACCAATGTCTAAGACAAGCCACGTTATTACGAGATATCAACAGCTAAACGCTTCTCTGTCTATCAAATTAATAGCCAACATTGAATATCCATATTAACATTTTGACACAAGAGTAAGCCCCCTAAACCCATCCGCATCACACCCCATCTCCTTTCACAACGCACATATCGCACTCTACCCACCTTCCACAGCGGGGCGCCCCATCGCACTCGCAACAACACTACACCATACACCACCTTACTATGTACTTCCCAGTCTTCCCGACATACATCGCCTCCAAAAATCCATGCCCAACCCGCACGCTTCACTTCTAAAGAAAAGAAGGCCACCCACTAACCAAGCTACACTCCCCTTAGCACCACCACCGCCGTCGATCACCACTTCCAGACCGCATCCGCCTCATGTTCTAGAGTCGAGAAGAGAGCTAAAAACAGCCCGCCACTCCAGCCCACTTTTCCTTCCCACGTTTGGCGGGAGCTAAATAAGGAAACAAAAATTCAACATGGCGGAGCGTGGGCACGCATGGCTGCGCGGGAGGTGAAACGCGCGGGATGGGCGGTGAAACGGCCGGACGAGTGGTGGCTGAACTGGTGTACAAATCATTCCATGCTTGCTTGGATTCCCATGTTCGTAGGAGTATGTAGATCTGTAGATATGGGGGAGAGAGCGAGGCCGTGTAGTGATGCGTGTCACGTGGATATCTGACCGCGCTTTTGGAATGTCCCGGGAGCTTTTGTCAGGGTGTCACTTGAGTGTGCATGTCACCGAACAGAACGTCCAGTTCTAGCCTGCGTTCTTTGCGAAGTCACTGTAGGGTGTGAGGGACGCAAGTCTTGCTTGCCCTACGCTTCTCTGTCGTGACGTGTACAGCAGCGCGACCCATCTTTTGTGCATCGAATACGGTGTATAAGTCGCGTGTGCGAGGCTTGTACTGTGCTTAGCTTCGCACTCGCGTTTCTAGAATCCAGAGGCGCGAGGAAGTGGGTCCTTCGCATTTCGATTCGATTGGGTTGATGCTTGCACCCGCCTCGCACATCGTTGGTCGGCGCATCTGCCCAACCCAAGTGCCGACAAGACAAGATAACGGAGTGCGTTGGACGCCGGACAGAAGGATCTGTTCCCAGCCCAGTCGTGAGGGAACAAACGTATCGCGAGACAGGGCGAGCGAGTGGAGCGCGTACGTGTAGATACCTCTTTGATGGAGGTGAACTGGCGTTTGTAGCGTAAGACCAATGCTTGCTTGGAGTCTACTCTAGACTGCCTACCTAACTTACTAAAACCTGACTTGATGCCCGGCTCGAATCGCCGCACGACACAAAAGTGACATCAACAAGATACATCCCATGCATGCATGACCGAAGTCTAAACAACATCGCGTCAACTGCCAGCGCTTAGGCCAATCTACCAGTAATGATTACGTTACATGCGCGAAGCATATTTTTGACATTCGATCGCGTGAGAGCATATCGAGCCTGCATTCCTAAGCTCCATACGCGCCTGCGAACCCACAAGTTTCGTTCGCGTCCCGTCTGAACAACAGTACTCCACTATACGCCAGAATGTTGGTAGTGGATATCTCGAGTGTAGCTGAACTGAACCGCTCTTTGAGCCCCAAACTTCTTGCTTGCCGGAGGTCCACTTGCCTCACCAGCGCTGAAAGTTCACACCAAAGCAACCGGATGCCAATTGATCCGTCTCTTATATTTTGAAAGACAAAGGAGAATAGTGCCGTCGAGGACAACACCGAGGTGAGTATATGTGACAGAATCTGTGAGTCATGGGTGATGCAAGAGTATGCTATTGTACAGAATATCGGTCAACTTTTCGCGTACCATCATTGTAATTATAGGCCAGACGTCCAACTGGACTCGTGGCGTACGTGGTCGGATGTGGTCGAGAAATTTTGTTTGCGTCTAGATCGTGGACAGACGCCACTAGCGGTGAGGGTGCTCATAAGTTCGAGGACCGGCGAATTCAACTCCTTGCATCGCGGTAGGAGCAGGAGCTCCCCATTGTGGTGCTTGTGGAGGATTCTGTTGCTGTTGAAGCGGCGGTAAGGTGTTCGTGGTCGATGTCGGTGTATTGCCATACTGCTGGGCAAGCATGCCTGTCATACTTCCGTATACGTGGGGTTTACCCGGGTCCGCCCGTTGGAGATGCTGCCAAACAGCAGCTATCTCATTGCGCAAAAGCTCGTTCTCTTCTTGGGCTCGGCGACAGAATTCAGCGTCAGGTCGTAGCCGAGCGTTCTCAGCTCGGGCAGTCTCATGAGCGCGTCCCAGGTTCTTGATATACTCAATAGCTGCGAATTATTAGCAAGGTCGTCCCCATGATGTTTAGAAAACTTTACATTTGGTCAATATTTCCCATTTGCTGGATTTGCTGCCAGGCGAGTTGGGCAAAATAGCATTGAGTTCGTCAAAAAGATTCTTCATCTCACTCCTTCGCTTTCTTTCAGCCATTTTGTGGCTCACGCGGAGCTCAGGGGTGCGACTATAGTTGCCACCGCCTGCAGCGGCTGCAGCTTGTTCAGCAGCAGTCTGCAGGCTTGTGACGTTGCGGTGTTGCATCGAGTGGTGGTGGGTAGTAGGGATGTCTGCTCAAATTAGTGGATGATGCACTTAACAGAACGTACGGCTGCATACCATCGTCCAGTCTCTTCTGCCCAGTCGGGAGGCCGGAGTCGGTGGTGAAGATACTACTATTGATGGAGGCAGCAAAACTGTTTTGACGTGACGGACCAGACTGTCCAACGCTGGAGTCGCCACTGCTGGATCCCCTTCTGTCGAATTCGGGCTCGGCAGGGAAAGCCCAAGCGTAACCCTTCGTCGGTGCAGCAGCCATGGGATCGGGCATACCCGACACACTTCGCGGGTTGGGGTTGATCACAGGTGCCCTCCGTGGGGGGTGGTTTGTGCGCACTCCAGCTCTAGGGCCAAGGGGCGATAGTGGTGAGGCGCCATTGGAGTTACGTTGGTCGACCGGGTTGATGCCTCGCTGTTGCTGTAGATTTGATACAAGGGATACGCGCGAAGCGTTTTGGCTGTCGTAGGGAGATCCGGGGCTGATGGCAAGATGGGTCATGCCGGCGTTCATGCGACTATCCACGCTGCTGCGACGCGAATCATATACAGACTGCTGTGAGCCTGCCTCCAAACTAAGACGGTTGTCGAAGCCCTGATTAAGCGAGGGGAGAGCATTTGGCTGCGACGTCATTAGTTGGCTTCAGTGGTAAAGAGAAAATACACACCGGCTGATGTACCGAGGACACGCCAGAAGGATACCGTGCCGACGAAGGTGTGTCGGGCACTCCATTGCGCGACGGCGAGTCCTCGGCGTTCAGGATTGTCTGCAGTTGCAGACCCATAGTGTTCGATACGCCTGAGGAATCTGGCCTGGGTTAGCACAGTATTGTACCGTGGAATTGGTGAGGTTGGCAGATGTCATGCGATGCGTTGAGATGGAGATGTGATCAAAAAGGGGATGACAGGTCAACACTCACGCTTGCTCTGGGAAATGGACCAATTGCCCGAATCACGGATTTCGCGAGACTCTGAAGGCTGTCGCAGGCGCACAGGGCTTTGCTCGGCAGACAGATTGTTGGTGAGGGATGCTATTGAAGGCAGTGCCTGAGACAGGCTTGATGGGAGCTGAGGCACTCATTAGCAGAAGTCCGGTTGTGTAGTTGCTGCGTTTGCCGGGTCCAACCGCGCGGGCAAGCACGTGTGAAGGTGTGATGGGGTACCCAAATATGGCCCACGTTGTTGGATGGGGGCGTTGAGGAGCGCAGCTCGCAATTGTGGAGAAGTGGGAATATATAACGTACCTGTGGTCGCTGATGTTCCATAGCGGCAGACGCAGCGCGGTCGTCGTGCACTTTGCACTACGGCAGTCTAGCAACGACTCCCGGGCGAGCTGGAGGTTGGGAGGGTGATGCAGAGAACGCCAGTGGAAGGGCGGGCCAATGGCAAGCGGGAACGCTGACTGCCTTTCGGGGCGTGTCCTGGGGTGCTATACTGACTTGTCGACGGCAGCGGGTGCAGCAAAAGAAGGAATTGGCAGGAGAATGGAAGCAAAGAGCAGCGGGACAAGAGTGAAGGAGCGAGCGGGGCGCAAGAGACACAGCAGGCAGTCGCGGCGCACGGGATGGTGGCCGTCGGTCCCTTCTGGGAGTTCACTCACGGCGCGAGGCGGGGCAGCAGCAGCAGATGTCGCGTCGCCAAGCAGCGCTCGAACTCAGGGAGCAGGCGCAGAGAAGCGTCGTCGGTGCCGAATACCAGGAATCCAGTCACTGCGCGGCGTGGGCGCTCGCAGTGCTGGGTGGTGCTCCGAGGGCGCGCAGCAGCAGCAACACCACGCCAAAGCAGAGATAGCCGCGTCGCCTCTACACGTCCACCATGGAGCAGCCGGCGCGCACGCGGCGAAACGGGACGTGGCTGCAGAAGTGTCCGCCGACGTGATGCGGTGGAGAGCACTGGCAGCTGCGGAGCGCACGGCGTTGAGATGGCTGGATCTGATCTGGGGGGGCCGCGATGAGGGCGCGTGCTGGGTGCCACTGGGGAAGAGCCGGGTCAGGACTCGAGGGACAGCAGCGAGTAGGTTCAGGGTGGCGTCGTGTGCCGGTCGCACAGCAAGAAAGGTCGTCGTCACAGCGCGGTGGGAAGACGAGGCGGAGAAAACAAAGGTGGGCTGGGATCTGGCGGCGTGTCTGGGGCGCACAGCAAGCTCAATCGTGGTCATTCGAGTAACTCGGGCACAGCAGAGGACCGGTGCGCAAACATATCCCGGGGCAGAACAGAGGCACCCTGACCTGGACGAGGAAGGGAGCGCAGGGCACGTCGCAGCAGGCTCCCTCGAACGGGTGGGCGAGGACAGGCGTGCCTTGCATGCAACGGCCCAAGGCCAGGCGCGCGCACTGAATGGCCAGCAGCAGGAGGACACGGGCTCGAGGGGGCCGGTGGTCTGGACGTGTGTACAACAGCGGGACGGCGGACAGTCGAAGTGGAGGTCGCTGGAGCTTTCAGCGGAGCAGGACGTGAGGATCCGCAAGGGCACCACGGCGGCCAATTAATGCCAGCAGGACGATGCCGCTTGCACGTGGGAAATCGTTCAATAAGGCTTCGTGTATCTCAGCAGGGCCCCTAGTGGCGGCTACCTGCACCTAATATGGCGCCCTGTCTTGTGCGCGAACAGGTGCCGGCTGGTCAGACAGCGGGGGAGCGGACGGCGACAGCCAGAGACGGACGGGACAAGACGAGAGAGCTCGGCTCTTTGCGCAGCAGCGCATTCCACCGCGACCGCGCACAACGAGGGCGAGGGCGGCATGCGAGCGAGGCATTGAGGCCCCGGAGCGCGAGCCCACGGGCATGCCTGTTCGTCTGCCGCCACGAGGGCAGCCCGCGTCTGCCCAACCAAGAAGGCCGCCAGCGGAAGAAGCAACTCAGTGCCGCGCGACGATCGCCTCCGGTGCGGGAGCCCCTCGTGCGCCGGGCGGCAGACCATCATCGATCGCCGTGTGCGTGTCGTGGCCCACGGCCTCTGCCTGCAAAGTTAAGCATGCAAGACGCCAAACCGCGGTTTGCACACGGCGCTTCACCTGACGGGCACGGCCAGACATCGCAGAACCGTGGCTCCTCGTCCCTCGTCCCCGGCCGCTAGCCCACGCCCGCCCACGTTTTCATCCATGGTTGGATTCCCCGGCCCTCACAGACACAGCCGCCGCCAATGCGCTGCTCCTGGTCTGCAGGCCTGCTGAACCCCGATCCCAGAACGACTTTTCGACGGCTTGCTGCAACCTTTGTTTGGACTATCATCTATTACCAGAACACAGCCTCATTTGCCCTGCCAATGACAGGTGCCAGGAATGCTGCCTACTTTGCCGGTGGGAAACGGCTCTTCCCCAGCACAGCGTGTCCGAAGCACCTTGTACCAGACCTTTTCAACGGTACCCCGTCGCCGTTGTGTCTCGTAAGGCGAAGAATGTCTTTTTCGGAAGCCGGTTGCATCTCGACACGTTCGGTAGCTCGGGATCGACAGCCTCAATCTCTCATGCCAGAGACCGCGTGCTAGAGGCTATGTTTCGCTGCAGCACGCTCCATGAGTATCCAGGAGGTAACACAGCATCGCAAAGTCACGTTAGTATCACACTGCAGCAACGCCAGGGTGGTGGTCGCTCCAAGCTTCCCTTGGCACGGCTTCTCCTCGGCAAGGGAGCACCAGGGCCAGTCGGAGCCTGAACCGGCGACACACAACGAAGCGAAGCCATCAATGTCAAAGGCACGTTGGATCGTACGACCAGCGGAGATTTCTTCGCATGTCACTGTTGTTGATGACATAGCCATCTGCTTGATAATAGCCGTGGGGGCGTGACAAAGAGGCAGCATTTGTGGTCCATCCATGACCCTTGCGTTACACAGCCAAGAGGCCAAAAGCCCTAACTTCAGCTTCGAGTGGATCCACGCGCTCTGGCACAAAAAGAGATACTGCTAACTGCCTGACGTGACCGAAGCGCTCCACCGATGGCAAAGTCTGAGCATGTCTCTCGATTGTACCCGTCCGCTTCCTTCCCGACTCCATTCACCTTCGAGCTCCGTGATACACATCCTCGAACGCTCCAAAGCCGCATGCAACGCAACGGCGTGTCGCCATGTCACCGTCCTCGTATCGCATCCGAGCTCTGTGTGCGACCACACTCGGATCCGAGAACCAGGTCTTCGTCAAACGGCTTTGTGTGAGGCGTATTTGCATGTCTTGTACCCTTGAGGACGAGACAAGTGCTTTCCTGATCTGGATCGTAGACCCCGCGTGCCCCTCATTGGTGCAGCGATGTCTCGCACAGAGTTCTCCGTCTAGGTACGGAATGAGGAGTACCAGCCTCTCTTCTTCGTAACATTCAACGTGCGCCGTACTGCATATGGTGAAACTTTAGGAAGGCACACAGCGTCGGTAGCCGGCTAGAGATGCATTCGCTCTCCGTTACAGAGCTGCTGTGTCTGGACAGCAAACCGATCATGCAAGCATTCTATCTAGTACGCGAAGAGGTATGTGCTCGACAGTGCAAGTACCTTGCAGAGCATGCCTTCCGCGGTACTCGGTACATCTAGAGCAAGGATTTGACAGGTATCAATCAACCAGACACGTGGTCGTACGATGTATCCCACGGCCCTGACTCCACGATCTTAGCCACCATATGGCGTGCAGAATTCGTAACGACACATGGTCGTGCAGACAGACGGGACGTTCATAGGCAAGGAAAACTCCGTTCAGACGTCTTCTGTCGTGCAGCAGGCGTCAAGCTGCCAGTAACAGTTTCGTCCCAAGGTACGACTGTTGGGGGCTCGATGGTGGCACGATCGTCCTACACTGTCAGGCAAGGTATGCGGTCCCCCACCAGCAGGGCACTCTGCATCGAGTGTCTGATAGAGAAACACGACATGCAGGCGGTTCAGGCGTCTTCGCTTGCCGGAAGGAGGACGATTGTTCCTGACAGTTGATGAGTCTGCCTTACCGTAGATCCGAAATACGGACAGTCTTCCCTGCAAATGTTTCCCAGACCAGGGCAAGAATTGCATCGGTAGTCACAAATATGATCAACATCCATCGATCGTGCATGTCGACCGAACGCGAGCCCGCAACTGCATATGTACCTCCTCAAACGGCGCGGACGCGAACCCAATGCAGACAGGCCTTCAACAATCGGGCATGCCCGAAATGAAACTAAGACTTTCGATATCGGGGCCAGATGCGCAACAAGACGATTGACGGACGGACTTCGCGAGGCCGCGATCCTTGACCGGGGCAATAAAGGATTGCCGCGCTGCTGCAAGCTTGGGCGCAGTGCTGAAAATCACCGAGGATGTCAAGGTTGTCGTCTATGCAGGCCATGGCCCGTGCGCCAGCTTTCGTTACGAGATGGCGGCGCGCAAGTCTAACCGACAAGGGCAACTGGTAGAGGGCGGGGGAATCACGTGCCAACGTTTGCCTGGAGCTTCACGGAGCTTGGAGAAGTCGCGCCGCGGGGTAAGCAAGAACACCAGACGCGTTATGGAGCCCAACAGAATCGCCAACTTTACTACACTAGATCAGACCATAGCGCCCAGGCGTGAGCATCTTGCAGCTGTGAGCTCTGATCGCGAAGACAAGTTTCCTTTTCTGGAGCTGCCGCGAGAACTTCGCGACCAGGTAAGTGCTACCCCGCTGTAGTGGGCAAGAGCAAGCTCACACACGACAAGATCTACGACTATGCCTTCTCAATTCCAGATAATCGCGGCGACCGCGCGCTTCGCATTGAGCGACGACATTTGATATACTTCACACCGTCTGCCGCGTCCATCCTTCTTCTTCTGCACCACGAGTACTTCCTCTTGAATCGCCAAGTTGCCCGTGAAGCTCTTGAGAGACTCTTCAAGAACCATACTGCGTTTCTTAGCTGTGGCCTTTATGTGCTCAAGCAATTTCTCGCCAGTATTGAGGCCACCGGTGGACCTGGCAAGCAATGGCTGAAGCGGATGAGGAAGATAGAGCTCAACTGGGTTACCTTCCCCAACCTCCGGAACTACCCGCCAGAGCGGAGCGATGGCAAGGACGTGTGGTGGTGGGAGAATGACGGACAGGAAGTAGACGTGGACTACATTCGAGGCGCGCAGTACAACGGGCACTACGACGAGCACGACTACGAGGGAGGTTACTACGACGACAACTTCTACGAGGCAGAAAACACCTCGCTCTACCCCTCATGGCCGCTTCGCAACGCTGCTGCCGCCGCGTCAAACGACCCATTCGGCTTCACCAACCACTACCCCTTCGCCGACCCTTCTCGTCGCCTCTCGCGCGATGCCTCTCGCACAAACGACCTCGACACCAAGCTCGACCTCCTCGTCTCTCTCGAAGTCGCTCCCTTCTACGATTACCTCTCCAGCCCCACCTTCGCCCTCTCAAGCATCACCGTCCCGCTCTACTTCATCTCCGGAGCCTCGCTGCGCTCCCGCAGCAACACGCGCGTCGGAAAATTGCCAATCAAGATAAGATACTGGGTGCATAATTGTATCCACGCGCTGCTCATGCTGCACAATTCGTCCACGCTGCAGGAAGTCTGCGTCAAGTACGCGCCGTGGGATACCTGGGCGAGCATGGAGCCAGCGGACGATCTGCACCGGATGGTGAAGAAGGGAGTGTGGTTCAGGGATTCTGATGACCTTTATGCTGAGAGGGAGGGCGAGGGCGAGGCGTTCCGTGCCGTGTGGGCGGGCTTGGAGGACATGGGTGCGTGCAGGGGCGACGAGAGGCTGGGACTGGCGGCTGATGTGCGGTTTGTGAAGTGGGACGGACATATGGAGCGCGTTGGTGATGCGCTGTTGGTTGTGTTCACGAAGGAGGTGGCGGGATAGACATAGGCATGTGCAATACAAGGAATCTGAAATATACCACAGCATGAGCAATGCAACTCGCCTCACTCCCCATGAGTGACTCGCCGTTTTAACCCGCGTCATGAACGCAGTTCGATAGAACGCTACCCTCGCAGCACGGGATAAGAAGCTCGTGCCAAAAACTCTTATCTTGAGATGTGATGCCAACAAACTCCGTGCCCTGTTCAGAGCATTCGTCTCACGTCTCTCCGCCTACGTACGCTTCCTTTTCCCAGCTCAACACTGCAAGCTAGATTTCCATTAAGTCATCTTCCTCCAAGACGGGCAATACCCAAGGAAAGGAAGATGTACATGTCCATTCCATTCTATTCCATCACATCCGCTCACCTTCGGGTGTTGCGTTGAGATATTATACAAAGCGGGCGGTGTGCTTCGCCGATAGGATACGTTATTCGCACAGCTTGCAAGGCTATGAAGAGGTCAGGACAGGTCTACTGCTGGGCAGACAGACAGACGAATGATGAGAGGGAACAAACGTTGAGACGGATGTGCATGCGTGGCGGTAGAGGTGCTGTGAGGTGGTCTGAGTCAAGAAGCAGGGCCTTGTGCATGTATGGATACTTGGGTACTTCGGTTATTGAGCGTAGTGGGAGGATGGTTGGAGGTGTGACGCGGGGCTGAGAGACGTGAGAGGTAAGCATTTAGTGGAGCGGCGCTCGCAGTGGACGAGGCACAGTCGTGATTATCACCGGCATATGTTGAGGCATGTGTTGAGGAAAGGTGGTGAAGATTCGACGTCGTGGAGTGGACGAAGCAAATAGGTGGGAGAAGTTGGACACATGTTGTAGCATAGCCTGCATGAGGAGACGGGAGTGCACTTAGATTCCCTTGTGTGGTAAGGGGCAATCAGCTTTCACGGACGTCACGAGTTGATACCGAGTGTATAACTCAAGAGCTAACGTGAGGTTTTCGAGTAGCAAGAGGAAGGAGATTGGAACGGTGTGCCAGACTGGCTCACAAAAGCGCGTGTAACTTGAGATTTTACGGCGCTCAATGTTCAATTCACTCATGTATTCATCACCACATGCAACAAACAAATCATCAGAAAAACTTGATATTCATTTGACATAAACAATCGGCGAACCTTTGTCCTCCAACACTACAGTGTTGCTATCAGAGGCAAGGGCGCATGAAAACTACTTTTGATCCGTGACGCCAGCCAAAGCCGTGGTATAATGACAGATTACATCGCAGATGTCAGGACATGATTGAACCTTCATAAAGCTCGTTCATGTATGACATGCGCGCATACTCAACACTTACCGACCCATCCAAACGAGGGTAGATGATCATACATGAGAGACGGTCATAGCAAGGAGCTTAGAAGGTCATCTTCGAGCCCTTGAAGTCGCCGAAGCCGCCACGGTTGGTCGAGAAACCACCACGGCCGCCGCGGGAACCTCCGCGACCGCCACGTCCTCCACGGTCACCAAAGCCTCCACGGCCGCCACGACCGCCGCCGCGACCACCGAAGCCACCGCGACCTCCGCCACGGCCACCACGGTCGCCACCACCGTTGTTGTCACGAGCAGCCGCGAAGTCGATGCGAATGCTACGGCCATCAACATCCTGGCCGCTCAGACCGTCAAGGGCAGCCTGGGCCTCCTGGACGGAGCCGAATTCGACGTATCCGAAACCCTTGGGGGCACCAGTGTCGCGGTCCGTGGGCAGAGAAACACGGGTGATCTCGCCGAAGGAGCTGAAGGCCTCGCCGATGGTGTCGTTGGTAGAGTCGAAGGAGAGGTTGCCAATGAACAGAGTGTTGCTAGGCGCACTACGCTTGTCACCAAACTGCTTGGCGCGAGCAGCGCCCTTGTCCTGCTGCGGGGGGCGCGGCTGGCTGAAGTCGACGTTGAGGGCACGGCCGTCAAGGTCAGAGTCGTGGAGAGCCTCCTTAGCAGACTTTGCTGCGTCGGCAGTGCTGAACTCAACGTATCCGAAGCTGTAATCACATTAGTAAATTTCGTCGGATGGCGATTGGAATTGACCTACCCCTTGGAGCGACCAGACTCGCGGTCGGTGATGATGCGGCAGCCCTCGATCGTGCCGTAGGGCGCGAAAGTGGAAGACAGCCAGTCCTCATCGACGTTCCAGCTGAGGTTGCCAACGAACAGGTTCTTGATGCCCTCCTCGCCAGAAGCCTCAGTCTTTGTCTTCTTGACAACAGGCTCAGCCTCGGCCTCGGCCTTGCGCTTCTTGGAGGGAGCCTCCTTCTCATCGCTGTCGCTGGAGTCGTCCGAGTCGGCATCGGAATCATCAGAGTCATCAGAGTCGTCCGAAGAGGCCTGCAGTATTTTGTTAGAGCGTGCAATGTAGACATGGGCAGTGTTAACATACATCAGCCTTTGCCTCCTTCGCAGCCGGCTTGGCCTCCTCCTCAGACTCGCTCTCGGAGTCGGAGTCAGAATCGGAAGAATCAGACTCATCCTTCTTTGCGGCAGCCTTGGCGAGAGTGGCAGCCTTAGCAGGAGCGTCAGCCATCTCCTCGTCACTGTCGGACTCGCTATCGGAAGAGTCGGAGCTGGGCTCCTCGACCTTGGCCTTAGCCGCACCGTTGGTCTTAGCCTTGGTCGTGGTCTCTTCCTCGCTGTCAGAGCTGTCCTCCTCAGAGGCGCTGGAATCAGACTCCTCAGACTCAGACTCAGGCTCAGGAGTAGGAGCCTTCTTGGACTTCTTCTTCTTATCGGCGCCAGAGGCAGCAGATTTGGCAATCTCCTTGCTCTTGGCCTTGGGGGTCTGAGAAGCCTTGGTGACGCGGCCCTCCTTCACCTTGGAAGGGGCGTCGGCCTTCTTGGCCTTCTTGTCGGCGGTAGGCTTGGTAGCTTTAGTCTTAGACATGGTGATGGTGATGTTCTGTTTCTACAACGTATCAGTACCCTGTGGAGATATACCTTTGGTGTAGGAAAATGAAGAAGAAAAAAAGCAAAGGAAGAGAGGTAAGACACGAAGGTCTCGAAATTCAAGCGCCAGTCTCGAAAGACCAGATGCGCTGGTAGCCAACTGTCTCAGGTCGCGAAAAGCCCACAGGAATCTCTCAGTGAAATCTGCACCTTGCGGCGAGTTTTCCGAAGCCCACGTAAAAGCCCACGTTCAAGGCGCTGTGTTCCCACAAGATGCCGAGAAGACAAGAAAATAGCCCTCAGTAGCGAAAAGCCCTCTGATGAATATCGCCGCGCTCTGATGAGCGACCGGCGGGCCCTCTGATCCTCTGTGTGTTAAGGAAATTGTTCGCATGTGCCCACTGACTTGATAGAATGTGTATTGGAGAGTCGCAGTTCTCTCGTATAACCCTCAGTAGCTCGCAAATGCCCACAAAGCCACGAATAGAGCCTCGACTGGTGTGTAGAGGAAGAAGTGTTGTTGCGCGAAAGAAGATATCGCGGAGGATGTGGAAGGAAAGTGCGATGGCTGGCGCCTTCCACTTTTCAAGACTTTTTGGCCGCCAAGAGTTCTACCCGCACGGACCCGCTGTCGAAATTTCAGCGGGGCGACTCGAAGGCGGTGAGCGCTTAGCAGGGTCCCTCGCTAGTGGTGCGCGCGGAAACGTCGCATCGCCTAATGCCGCAGCTCCGTCCTCAACCACGTTCGCAACGTTGAACTGTCTCTCCAATGGCTTCGCCGTATGGTCACAAGCCTCGTCGGCGAAGAAAGATTGAAGAGGGCTCTCTTGCTCACGTGACCCACGGCACTCTCGACTTAGACCAGTCCAGCCAGGCTCGCAAGCCCGCATTTCCCCTCGTTGCTTTCCTCTGGCCCGTCAAGGGTGTAGTCTCTCAATGGATCACCATACCTTTGATCCTCATGGTAGTAGGGCTCTTCCGGTGGACAACTGGTCTTTGGGGATATTCTGGCTTCAATTCACCACCCATGCACGGAGACTTTGAAGCTCAGCGGCATTGGATGGAACTTACTCAACATCTCCCCGTTTCGCATTGGTATTTCTACGACCTCGGGTGGTGGGGTTTAGACTATCCACCTCTTACCGCATACCATAGCTGGCTTTTGGGCGTCATGTATGTTTTTTCCACGTCAATATCTTCCATAGCTAATGTGAGGTAGTGGTTCCGCTATCAACCCTCAGTGGTTCGCTCTATTCGACTCCCGAGCGCTTGACGATCCATTGTTGAAGATTTATATGCGTGCCACCGTTCTTGTTTCCGAATACCTCATCTACGTTCCGGCTACGATCATCTACTTGCGACGATACTCCCGAGCCGAAAAGGTCAATGTGTGGGAAGCCACGATCGCCCTTGTTGCGATCCTCATGCAGCCTGCGACGTTACTGATTGACCATGGACACTTTCAGTACAATACCGTTATGCTGGGTCTTACAGTGGCGAGCTTGTCGAGCATTCAGGCTGGACGCCACTTGTGGAGTTGCGTGTTTTTCGTGGGGGCCCTTGGCTTCAAACAGATGGCATTGTTCTATGCGCCTGCTGTCTTTGCCTATCTCCTCGGCGTCTGCGTGTTCCCGCGGATCAACATGATGAGGCTCTTCTTGATCGCCGTTACTACAGTCGCGGCTTTTGCGCTTCTCTACCTACCATTCCTTGCTGGAGTCGCATACGACGCTTATAAGAAGGTGCCGCTCAAGGGCCTCCCGCTTCCTCCGTTACTGGAGACTCTCCCAATATCTTTGGACTCTGAGGCTTGGTACTACCCCTACGTCTTAGAGCTGGCCCAGTCAGTTCACAGAATCTTCCCGTTCGCACGAGGACTGTTCGAAGACAAGGTTGCCAATATCTGGTGCACCATTCACACCTTCCACAAGCTTCACAGATATTCTGGTCCTCTTCTTCAACGCGCCGCTCTTGTCGCAACCCTAGCCACGATCACACCGCCATGTCTCATCATCTTCCTCAAGCCACGCAAGCAGCTGGTTCCTCTTGCTTTTGCTACCACTGCTTGGGGCTTTTTCCTGTGTTCGTACCAGGTCCACGAGAAGAACGTTCTGCTGCCGCTTCTACCAATGACCGTCTTGTTGAGTGGACAGGGCGGCCTACTACCTTCTATCCGTGCTTGGGTAGGCTTGGCCAACATGCTCGGTGTTTGGACAATGTTTCCGCTGCTGAAGAGAGACGAACTCAGAGTGCCATACTTCGTCATTTCGTTGCTCTGGGCTTACCTGCTTGGGTTGCCACCTGTGTCATTTTCCGCCTACCATGAGGGAACTTCGGGTGGTCTCAGCCTGTTCACAAAGATCTTACACCTCAACATCTATGTCGCTATGGTAGGGTGGCACATCGCGGAAGCTTTCTTCGTTCCACCTGCAGACAAACCGGATTTGTGGATTGTGGCGAACTCCATCATCGGTTGCGGAGGCTTCGGTCTCTGCTATCTGTGGTGCCTATGGACGCTCCTCGACAAGAGCGGGTTATTGGGCTCGGGGGCAAAGAGTAAGAAGCAGTAAGCCAGACTTATGGATTTTGTTTCCTGGTCGTTTATCAAGATACCCATCTCTTTGAAGGTTTTTGAACGGAGAGAAGTTTGGTTTCATTCATATGCAAGTGGGTATGTAGCAGCTCTAGTATTGTCCCACAATGCTTGACGCCATGCCGATGCTTCTATTGTACAATATATGCCGGTTCCAACAAGTATCATACAGCCCGTCCTCCAAGTGGATTCTCATATTTCGAATCCGTAGCCCTTCATGCAGAGCTTGTATTTCGTTACGAGGTCGGCGCATTCTTCTTGAGGGTTGCTGGCGTTTGAGAAGAGCATGCATTCGTCGCGCTTGGCTTTCTCATCCGTGCAGACGCAGCAAGGCTGAAGAGAATTTAGCCATTGTCATGGTAGACCTTCAATGAGCTCATACCTTTGGTTTCGCGGGTGTGCTGGGAGTCTTAACGTCTGCGCCCATGTTGGCGGCCGTTGGTGGCGGAGGTGCCGGTGCTGTCATTGACTTAGTCTATGCGAGTCACCAACAGACTGGAGTACATACATGACTGATTTGAGCCCATTGTGATGTGTGATGTAAGTGAAGTGCTCCGGAGCTTGACGTGCTTAGCAATGTGAAATCCACCTGGAAATTGCTTGGCTTCGCCGCGGCCGATCATCGAAAGAAGGTTCGATCGAACGCACGGGGCGCCACAGTCATGCAGGGATCCGGGATAGTCCAGGCCCCAGAAACCCCCACCAACACACCAAAACAACAATTCTTGCGCAGCCCCTCGTCACGGTAACCTGTATTCTTTCGGTATGTTTACCCTCGAGAACCTTACATAGAGGCGATTCACTGACGTTTTCACAGTTCGAGTTCACTGAACATGTCCGAGTCGAAGATCTTCTCGTTGGAGGGCAAGAGCCTGAAACTTGACACTGCCGAGGATATCGAGCCCCATATCAAGGCGCTGAAGGAGAACAACGATGTGGAGGAGGTACGATTCTTGGGAAATACGCTCGGGATAGGAGCTAGCGAGGCGCTGGCCAAGGTCCTAGAGACCAAGAAGAAGTTGCAAGTACGCACACCCTCACGCGCCACTATGTACCCCTCGACTAACAATTACTCCCCAGGTCGCGAACTTTGCCGATGTTTTCACTGGACGTCTCCTCTCCGAAATCCCGCAGGCGCTGTCAGCTCTCCTTACCTCCCTCCTAGCGCTACCCAACCTCTACACCGTAAACCTTTCCGACAACGCGTTCGGCCTGAACACCCAAGCGCCCCTCGTCGACTTCCTCTCCCAGCACGTACCCCTCCGCCACCTCATCCTCAACAACAACGGCCTCGGCCCCGCCGCCGGTGTCCTCATCGCCGATGCCCTCACCGCGCTCGCCGAGAGGAAAGAAGCCGCCCGCAAGGAAGGCAAGGACGTGCCCAACCTCGAGACTGTCATCTGCGGCCGCAACCGCCTCGAGAACGGCAGCATGGCCGCCTGGGCCAAGTCCTACGCCGCGCACACGGGCATCAAGGAGGTTAAGATGGTGCAGAACGGCATCCGCTCCGAGGGCATAACGCACGTGCTTAACCACGGCTTCGTCCACTCGACCAAAATCGAGACCCTCGACCTGCAGGACAACACGTTCACCGCAACGGGCGCAAAGGCCCTCGCCAACGTCGTGGGCAACTGGCCCGACATCAAAGAGCTCGGCGTCGGCGACTGCCTGCTCAGCGGCCGCGGCGGCATCACCTTCACGAACGCGCTGCAGAAGGGCAAAAACGCCAAGCTCGAGATCCTGCGCCTTGAGTTCAACGAGATCAACGCAAAGGGCGTCGCTAGCCTCGCCGCCGCACTGCCCAAGCTCCCCGCCCTCCGCCGCATCGAGCTCGAAGGCAACAAGTTCGACGCCGAAGATGCATCTATCGAGAAGCTCCGCGAGGAGCTCGCCAAGCGCAGGGAAGCAGCCGGCGTCGAGGACGAGGACGACGAGAACTGGGGCATTGGCGACCTCGACGAGCTGGAGTCTGAAGATGAGGACGAGGAAGACGCCGAGGAGGAGGCAAAGGCCGGAAGCGACGAGGAGGACGAGGGCGTAGACGTGCAGGAGAAGGCCGCGAGGGATATCATTGCGGACCAGCAGGCCGAGGAGGCGAACGTGTCGCAGAAGAGCGACAAGGATGTTGATGAGCTTGCGGATGCGTTGGCGAAGACGGAGATCAAGGCGAAGCAGGGTTGAGTGTTGCGCGGAGGGGGACCGAGATGGATGTTTTTGGCGGGCGTCTGCGCTTGGGATTTGGAGTGGGCATGTGCCTTTACGATTGATGAGATACCATGGGTAAGTCGGGATAGGCTAGGATAGGATAGGATAGGATAGGATAGGACAAGTAGATGCAGCATTAATCACGTACTTACTCGCTTCCACATGGTGACCCCCCTTGAGATATCACTGGAACCGGACGATGAACATGTCAGGACAAATAATTTGAATTTGCGTGAGACAGGGATCTGGGCTATGCTATGCTTGGCATATGCAGAGTCCAAGGCGAGCATGAGCAACGCTTATTAAAAAAGCTGAGTGTGCTACCTCAGGAAGCATCGAATTGTGTCCCGTTGTGTCAAGCTGAGCGGACAACTACACTGTCAACAATTACACATGCGGCAAGCGGAGAGACCATGGATGGATACGAGGGTTGGAAATATTGTGTGGACATGGTCTGAGGGCGAAAGGTTGATAACTATTGCCATATGTACTGCGTATGCTAAGACGAGACAGCATCCTGTTGCATGATCCTCCTTCCAGTCCCAGCTATTCATGCACCGCAGCTACATATACATGTGCCTAAACCACAATCCATGTCTCATTCCGAGCGTCTGCTGTCGTGAACTTGAACCTGAGTAGTGTGCTCCAAGCCCTAGTGGGCCTCAACCGCCTTCTGCTCGCTACCCTTGCGGGTGTGGCGGACGGGAATCTGACTATGATGCGCTGAATCGACCTTGGGAGCAGGGGAGTCCTTCGGTTTGTTCTCCACCAAAGATAGAGCAGCGAACTTTCCGGAGGTGTCTGACGTAGCAGGAGACTGGGATTGGTCCTTCGAAATGTTGGAGCTGTCGGTGGGGATCTGGCCATCGTTGGTGGAATCGCTGAGAGATTGGGTACGCTCGCGCTTCGCGGCGACTGACTGAGCCTGAGCTATAAGTCCGCCCTTCTCGGTATGGCCGTGAGCACGAGCTTTGAGGGAGTGGAGACGGTCAGCTTCCGCCTTGGTGACAGTGCCTGCCTCAACTTTGGGACCGATTCTAGCAAGTTCCTTTTGAAGGTCATCCTCCAGTTCAGGGTTTGGCGCGTGGGCTGCACCAACTGCACGCTGCATCGCTGCGAAAGAGGTCAATGAACGAATATCAACCGCGTACACACAGTTAAGTACTGAGGATTCGAAAGTACTTACTGCTGACGATATCTTGCGTAGCCTTGAGGAGATCAGCGGTCACGTCGTCGGGATGATTGTCAACAGCCGCCTTGAGATCGTTGACGAGATTGTGTTGAGTGTGGCTAGGAACCTGCACCATCGGTGGCGAGTTCGTCTGAGGGTCCAGCTGCTGCTGAATGTCCTCGCTGGCCATGGCGAGAGACTCCACCGCGGAGACAATTTTAGCGGAGCGACGGTCAGTGACTTCGACCTGCTCGCTCAGACGCCGGGCATCCTCGGGAGTAATGCTCAGCGGATCGGTTTTCAACTTATTGAGGACCTTCGCGAAGTGTGAGTGACGCTTCGACATGCTGAACTGGGAGAAATGTTCAGACTGCAACTCCATATGGACGAGACGACCGGCAGGGATGCGAGTCGCAGAGGTCTCCAGGAAAGCCCATCAGCAAGCATGAGCCTGGCTGAGAAGGGAGCAACGTGAATAGAGGAGCTAGTGGTGACTTACGGAACGCTCGGTGGAAGTCGACATTGTATGATGCTTGGTAGAGAGTCAAGTCGTCGAGTGGAAGGAAATTTGCCGATCGGGTGCTGCGAGCGCAGGTCGATGGGTTGAGTGGTTGTGATGTGCGTTTGGAAGCTTCTTGCGAGGGTGTTTATGTACAAGGTGACGTCGGTGCTCGCGAGGTTGGCAGGTGCAAACGGCAGGCACTTCAAACGCGGTTCGCCGTGACAGGGACAGGAAGGTACGCAGCAGGCCCAGATATCGACGTTCACGGGCGCCTCATGTTCATCGTTTCCCTACAGAAGGCTGCAGCGATTTGTTAGAAGTGACAAATTGAGCAAGAGGACTGTGCAACACTTAGCAAAATTCTAATCCCTTCCGTTGAACAGACAAACTGGGAATCATACTTTTCTGCATGACTGCTCTCAACTCCTGTCTAATAAACTCGATAAGCTAAACAAACTTATGTACCGTACGACGCACACTACATGATACATGAAGCTTAGTAAAGACCATATCCACTGATTGACCGTTGATCTACACTAAGGGACTGAACGGATTTCCCAACTTATTTTCAAGACACGCGCAAAAAGCTGTACTATCCAAGGGAACGGAGATCTTGGGATAGCCACCTTAACAGGTAGGAGCGACCAACAGGTGAAATCGACTTTGTCCGGACTGTATCAACCCTGAGCCGTACTAGGATGCGTAATACCGCAGGCTACTCAAACCCGGTACTAAATCGAACGTGAAGAAGATGGCAGACCGACTGCCAATATGCATGTGCAGAAATGGAATGATAATAATCGAGATGAGACAGATGAAGCCTTGTGTTGATAGCTCTTTCCGGCGCAACTGTAAATATTGCCAGTGTCTAAAACACACGCCTCAAAACAAAATGATATGCTGCATCCTACGTTCGAATACGATGAAACTGTACTACACTACATATGTACCATTGCCCGTATGCCGTATTGACCGGGAGGAGCGCGACTGAGTCAGCTTTTGCTAGTCAATCGGACCGACGTCATCCAGATTCGCAGACAGAGTATGCCAGTAAGAATATCGTTGTAAATGTCTCTAGGCCACCGAGACGTGCCGCCTGCCGAAGGTCACTACCGACATTCTTCTGCGGAGGGTTTGATGAAAGCAAGACAGGTGGTGGTCAACGACGACGTCGAGAAAGGCGTCCCTCAGCACATGAGATGGGACGATCTGGAGATTTGTGTGGGACCGTCGACTCCGGGTCGGAATCTCGGCGCATCCGTCTGGAGCGTCGTCGAGTTGCCCAGGTGTATCGATCGTCCGCTGTGGACCCCCCACGCAACGACAGATGCAGCCAAGCCCATCAGGGGCGCGCCGTCGCCACCATCCTTGAAAGCAGCCGCCCCTTGCACCCTTATCGCTATCGCAGGCACCTGTTTCAAAGGGTCCGGGAGGGTGAGGCATGTGGAAGCGAGGCGGACACAGGATTGGACAGGAAAGGGGTAGCGAGATTCGTCGTTGTACAGCGTGCGTCGCGTAGAATGCGGCGCGACATATCGTCGCGAGTGCCATGGCTTGGCCAGCAGTGCGTGTTCTGCTTTGGCGAGGGTGCAGTGCGCAAGTGGGACCTGCATCGGTGACGTACGCGCGCCAAAAGACACCGTTTGGCCGACAGCGAACCAAACAATCAGTTGCACGCTTATGCACGCGCAACGTGCGGCGGGAAATCTTTTTCGAGACAGTCTCCATTCCCAACACCGAATGGGCGGATCCACAGAAACGCCAGCATTGACGTTGCGGCCCTCTTGCGCTTGCTTCCGCGACTTTCATTTGCAGTGACCCAGTTTTCTTATCGACCGTCGCTCCGATCCTGGCTAGAGAATGAAAATCGTTGATCAGGGCCGCTCGCCCCAGCTGATGGCATCTCGCCGGTGATCCTCCATATAGACACACTGTCCCCCGGGAATCTGTCCCTACTATTTGGGTTTGGCATATCGCCGTCTCTCCTACAATACAACCGCTCCACCACCTCGCACACGCACTCTCTTACGTATCGTCACTCGCTGAATAATTTTTTAATCCGTCATTCTTGATCCCAGATACACAGAAGGGATTGACAACGTCATAAGCAGTTCGCACTCGGGCGAACTGGCAACGCATACACCCAAAAAAGTCGATCAAATCAAGTACACATTGGACGTCCATTATGGTCACTCCAGTCGAGCGGCCGGAGCCTACCTACGCCATGGACAGCTCAACCCACCTACCACCAGGGCCTGCACACGGACAACGATCTTCAGACGACGACGGCACCTTTGTGGGAGAAGAACTGAGCCAGAAGAACTCGAACCCAGGCCAGACGGCACTTCCTCAGCTTGATACGGGAGCTCGCCGAGCCCGAGCGGGCAGCCACTTGACGGTTGATACAGTCCACCTCGGTCCACCAGGGTCACTGCAGTCTCCCTCGCAGAATCGGGAGCAGGCTAGTCGCTTGAATGATGACCTAGCAATGCTCCAAGTCGAGCGCGAGGTTTCTATTGCCGAGGATCTCGAAAAAGGACAGTCGACAAATCGATCCGTGCGACGAACCCGCTCACGCAGGGACGAACCCGAAGACGAGTTCGATGTGGCTACGAACCCCTTGCACGAAAGAACGGCCATCTACAAACCGCCAGAGAATCCATCCACCCGCGTGTCCCGCTTCTTCAAGAAAGTCCACAACTCGAGTTGGGTTGTCCGGTACTTCACCTACATTACACCGTTGGTTCTAATCATTCTCATTCCTCTTTTACTGGGAGCATTGCTCTTCAAGAACGCGTCCGTGGGTGGTGTCAAGATGTCCTGGTTCTGTATATGGCTCATGATCATCTGGTTGTCTCTTTGGGCTGGCAGGACCATCGCCAAATGCCTGCCTTGGCCTATCGGACTAATCTCAAGTCTCTTCACCAACAACAGCAAGAAATGGCGAGACATGGGCAAACAACTTGAACTCCCTGCGACGCTGTTTTTCTGGTTCCTCGCCATCGAGATATCATTCCTTCCTACTATGAAGCACCACCACACCAACAATGACTCCGCCACGAAGAACTGGGAATCGATCCTGAACAAGATTCTTATCTCGCTCCTTGTCGGAATGACACTCAACTTCATTGAAAAGATCATTATCCAACTCATTGCTATCAGCTTTCATTTGCGCACATACGCTGACAGAATTGAGTTGAACAAATTCCAAATCGGGAGCTTGGCTAAGCTTTACAAGTATTCGAAAGAGAAGATCGCCATGGAGGACTCTGAGTTCGAAGCACAAGGCATGGCATCTGGTGCTCGTACACCAGGCCAGTACATTAAAGAGGCTCAAAAGAACACCAAGGAAGCCTTCAGCAAATTCGGGGACATCGCCGGAAAGGTTGCTGGGGATTTCACTGGTCGTGAAGTTAATGGGAGTGGTCACCCAAATCAGGTTGTCCTGACGCTTCTCGGTAGCACTTCCGGCAGCCAGGTCCTGGCGCGCCGATTGTATCGAACCTTTGCACGCCTAGAAACGGAGACCGTGCACTCGGATGACCTTAAAGACGCCTTCGAAAACAACGATGAGGCAGACGCAGCATTTTCCATGTTCGACAAGGATATGAACGGTGACATTTCCATGGAAGAGCTGGAGGCGGTTTGTGTTGAGATCGGTCGTGAACGCAAATCCATCACTGCGTCCTTGAAAGATCTGGATTCCGTGGTCAGCAAGCTCGACGACGTGTTCTTGTTTATCGTTATCGTCATCACCGTCCTTGTCTTCGTCTCGATCATCTCAACTTCTGCCGCAGGCGTCCTCACCTCTGCTGGTTCCTCGGTTCTTGCTCTTTCTTGGCTCTTCTCAGCCACGGCGCAGGAATTCTTGCAGTCCGTCATCTTCGTCTTTGTAAAGCACCCCTTCGATGTCGGAGACCGCGTCACCATTTACGGTAACACTGGTGCCGCAGGTCTCGGAGACGATTACTTTGTCAAAGAGATTGCATTGCTCTACACGGAGTTCAAGAAGATGGAAGGCCATGTTGTTCAAGCACCCAACAGCTACTTGAACACGCTGTTTATTCTCAACCAACGTCGTTCCGGTGCTCTTGCGGAGGCAGTCCCTGTCGTCATCAAATTCGGCACCACTCTTGAACAGATTGATTCTCTCCGCCAACGGTTGCTTGAATTCGTCACTGCTGAAAAGCGTGAATACGGGTCCAACATCCTCACAGAGCTGAGACAAGTCACCGAAGTCCACTCGCTCACACTCAATGTCGTCTTCTTCTACAAGTCCAACTGGCAGAACGAGCTGCTCCGTCTCCAACGCCGCAACAAGTTCATCTGTTGCTTGATGGTGTCGATGCAAGAATGCGGGATCGAAGGACCGCGCATGCGCTTCCCTGGTCAGAAGGAGTCCTTCCCTGTGTATATGCAGAATCTTCCTCACCAAGCGACACCTGGCGTCGGTCACAATGGAACACCCGACAACCCGAGCGGAATGCTCCACCAACAACCCCAGGATGAGCCTATCGTTGCTCCGCCTGTTTATGGAAGTGATGGCCCCGCCGATGGCAAAGATCACGAAAGTGTCCCTGGCCGACAGCATTCCATTCTTCGTACGGGTGGTGGGCGTGCTCGCGGTGAGTCCATGGCAGCCATGGGCCGCCGTGTTGACTTCTCGCTTGGTATGAAGGATGTCAGCTTCACCGAGATGCCCGGCGATGTCTTCGAAGACAGGGAGAACGCTATCCAGCAACGAGCTACCGTGGTCAGGGTCACCTCACCTTCTCGCCACTCCACAGAGCGCGGCTCGTCCAACGACATGGCTCGCTCCACCTCAATTGCCTCCCGCCCGAGCCACCAGTCTGGCCGTCTCCAGCGCGTCAACACGGATAGCTCACAAGCACGGGAGCGAAGCAACCACAGGAACCGCTTCTTCAGCCGCAACCGGCACCATGGCCAAGACGAGGAGGCCGCCATGGCCGACATCCCCGAGAGCGCCTATGACTCCAACTCCAACGGAAGCAAAGAGAAGCTTGATCCGCGCTCCGGCCTCATCAGCCCCCAAGCGGTGCGAATGAGCAACGACGAGCCGCGCGCGACGGAGAGTTCTGGCGCCCTCCCCACAGAGAGCATAGACCATGCGTTCCACGCCCCAAGCCGCTCTCAAACGGACAACTACGAGATGAGGCGGTTCCACTAAGTCACAAAACCCACTCTCCCTATTTCCTTTGTAATTAAACAGACTGCATTGAATCCAGCGCGGATAGCAGCATCCAGATAGAGAAAAGCGTTACCATGGCGGATAGACTGTTTGGCGTTGAGTCCCAGTGCTGTTCAGCAGCAGGTAGTGGGCTACGAAACTTTTCCCTTTCTTTTTTGTCGTAATTAGCATCACGGGGGTATTTACTGTAGACTGGCAGAGGCTGAAGCCTCGTAACTAAGCGCTGTTGCGAACTTGATTTTGTTCTTGAGAATGGTGATGTGTAATTGTGAATTAAAGTATTGTTTAGCGCACGGGAATTCTGAAGGGCTTGGGGATGGGAATGAATGCAGCAGTGTGTAGCTCACGAGCGTTCTAAAGTGAAGGTTCAGTACATCGGTCCTCCATCAAGGATGTGTTTTTACAGCTACACAAGCCTAACAGGCGAACCGTCGTTAGATTAGTTATGCATTGACGCGTCCAAACCGCGTTGTAACCTTTCGATTCGTCATACAGATAGCAATCTTGAAGTCAACGTGAAGGTTGGCCAGAAGCCCTAAATCAAATTTGTTTTCGTCACTTTATCACGTGCTGTTAGGCAACGTCGTGGGAAAATCTGTTGATGTGACTTGTTGGGTTGTTGAGTGGTGTTGAATGGGATGGCACCGTGGATGGCGAAGGGGCTGCTTGCTAGCACTGAGAGCGTGGTCAACCTCTGCATTCCTACTCTCATCCTCATAGACGATAAAGCTTTCGACATTGTCTGTGCGACAGAGCAGCCTCGAATGGCCTCGGCTATGATATGTGCATGGTCGACGTTCACTTTGACGCGAGCGGCTGCGACAGCGGCTGGCGGATAAAGACAAGTGGTCCAATAATGTGTAGAGCCCCCTGCCGCGCTGGTCTATGCGCTAAGCTAGGTCGTAAACACACAACTGCGGGCCCCGCCAAACCCACAGCACCACGCCGCTCACCGCTTCATCGCATAAACGGCAGTACACGACAACCCCCCGGTCTACGTCCCTTCACCCTTTTCTTCCTCTGTCTGTTTGATACAGCGCTGAAGAACGCCCAACATGCGAGGAGAGGTACGTATATCAACCCACACAGCGCGTTGTTTACGTGTATCGAGGGGTAGGAGGGGTGCTTGCCTTGGCTGTCCAAGGAGCCATCTCGAGTATTGTAGAAGAGTTGTTGGGACAATTCGTGCCGGACGTCAATTGTTGCATCGAAATCTCGCTGACCACTTCTTTTCTCCAGATCTGCCACCTTCACATCGGTCAGGCTGGTGTCCAGCTCGGTAACAGTGCCTGGGAGCTGTACGCGCACTTCTCCGCCACCGCATACGACCCATCTCGACTGACCGCAGCCTAGGTACCTGCTGGAGCACGGCTTGGGGGCTGACGGCAAACCTGACCCTGATGCCAAAGATGTCGCGGAAGGTGGCTCTTATGAGACCTTCTTCACCGAGACTGGAAGCGGAAAATACGTGCCGCGCTCCATCTTCGTCGACTTGGACCCCTCCCCGATCGATGAGATCCGCACCGGCGCCTACCGCCAGCTCTACCACCCCGAGCTCTTGATGAGCGGCAAGGAAGACGCTGCTAACAACTATGCCCGCGGTCACTACACCATTGGCAAGGAGATGGTCGACAGCGTCATCGAGCGCATCCGACGCGTTGCTGGTAGGACTTTGCCTCGCGCTGGTCATACGAAGGGCGGTGACTGACCTCGCTAGACAACTGCTCGTCCCTTCAGGGCTTTCTCATCTTCCACTCCTTTGGTGGCGGAACTGGTTCTGGATTTGGTGCTCTCCTTCTTGAACGCCTCTCTACCGATTACGGCAAGAAGTGCAAGCTCGAGTTCGCCGTATATCCTGCTCCTCGTGTCTCAACTTCCGTTGTTGAGCCCTACAATGCTGTCCTGTCCACCCACAGCACCATTGAGAACTCCGACTGCACTTTCCTCGTCGACAACGAGGCCGTGTACGATATCTGCCGTCGCAGTTTGGATATCCCCCGCCCCAACTACGAGCATCTCAATCGCCTGATTGCCCAGGTCGTCAGCTCCATCACCTCCAGTTTGCGATTCGACGGTGCGCTCAACGTTGATCTGAACGAGTTCCAGACCAACCTGGTCCCATACCCGCGTATCCACTACCCGCTCATCAGCTACGCTCCTGTCGTCTCAGCCAAGAAGAGTTCTCACGAGAGCTTCAAGGTCTCCGACTTGACCTTCCAGTGTAGGTGCTTCAGGCTCCCAACATATTCATTGCTGACATGACCAGGCTTCGAGCCCAACAATCAGATGGTTGTCTGCGACCCGCGCAATGGTAAGTACATGGCTGTCGCACTTCTGTACCGCGGAGACATCGTTCCTCGCGACTGCACGGTGGCTGCGGCCGCTCTCAAGGCCAAGTCATCCTTCAACCTCGTCGAATGGTGCCCTACTGGCTTCAAGCTTGGAATTAACTACACCAAGTGAGTATCTAGATCCTGGTCAAACCTTATATCTCTGCTTACCCCCTCTCAGGCCCATCAGCCCTCCTGGAAGCGAGCTTGCCGCCGTCGACCGCAGCGTCTCTATGCTTAGCAACACCACTGCCATCGCCGAGGCTTGGTCTCGTCTAGACCACAAGTTCGACCTCATGTACTCTAAGCGCGCATTCGTCCACTGGTACGTTGGTGAGGGTATGGAAGAAGGCGAGTTCTCCGAGGCTCGTGAAGATTTGGCGGCGCTCGAGAAGGACTACGAGGAGGTCGCCAGCGACTCTCTGGAGGAGGGTGCTGAGGAGGGCGAGTACTAGGCAATATACCCTGTGAACAGCAGCACGTACGCCTTTAGTGACTTTGTGAGCGTTACATTGATTGTCAGGTTCCTGTAATGTTGGCATAGAGACTCGTGTAGGCTGGAACGTCAATATAAGCGTCGAGCATTTCCAATGAGCTGGTCCATGGTTCCAACCTAGTGAACTCGGTGACGCTTTGCTTCTGGATCGAACATCCGAGTATCGCCGGGATCATGGTGTCAACGCACAGACCATATCGAATCATCATAGCTCTAGATTTCCCCGCAGATGCACCGCAATCTTTCTTTCCACCATCCTACCAGCTGGAAAATGTTCACTCTCCCGTCGTTCAAGCTACCGGCTTTCATAACCGCAGATAGAAACGAATATCCGTCCATTGACATAGCTCCCGTGGAGACGCACAATGTCGAGACGGCTGCGGAGAAGCGGCCGCGAACGTTGAAGCACCTGCTCAAGGCGAACCACGCGAACTATTCGATTATATATCACAATCTGCAGTACCACAACCACGCACCACACGTGAGCGCAATCGAAGGCGACTTTGGCTGTTAGCTAAGCTTGCATCTCAGATTCTGGGCTCGGCATACATTCTGGGCGGAACGCATGAGCACCTGAACGACATCTACGAGAAGGAGTCGGAAGAACTGGAATCATGGCATGATGCGCCTGGAGAAATATCAAAGGATGACTGGAGGGAGTTTCTGGGGAAGCGAGAGTATGACATGTGCCATCACGGGCTTGCCAGTGCTGATTGTCTGCAGGTACCAACGGGCGTTTGTGGACTTCTTTGAAGACCAACTGGTGGCGAAGCGGTATGACTCGAAGGTGCTTTTGGAAGAGTATATGTTCGAGGGCAAAGAACCGTTGATCAACGGCTTGGTCTCTGGACGTAAGTAGAAGCGCATCGGCTGTTGATGCTGATTTAACGAGGATCTAGTTGCTCATCCGCTCATTCACCTTGGCTACGCCTACGAGCTCAACTCAAGAACGGTCGCGATCGAAGCCCTGGCCCTCGGGGCATGCTTCTACGGCTCCCTCCACAAGTACATCGACGACCCGAAGTATACAAGACCGAGCCCCATTCAGTCGACATCCCTTGTCGACATTCTGCACAAGGTCAGGAAGGATAAGAGGTTCGATGGACTCTACAAGAAGCGCAGTGGTGACATAACGAAGGTGCTAGGAGAGCAGGAGGACGCTTTCCTGGAATACTTCAATGCATGGGACCTCTCAGATCCAAGAAAGCAATTCGAGGAATCACAACAGGCAGCGGTCGCAATACTTGTTGGTACCGACCCAGCAGAGGATTCCCGGTTCGACTTCTTCTTCGTCCACCTGCTGACGTCTTCTCACGCCGTGCGACTACTCCTTCCACTCATCCCAACCAAGTTCCACATCAGCCTGGTTCGGCAATGGTGGCTATTCACGCTGGCAGTGTACATTGCGCAGACCCGGCCGGAGATCCAGCTCGACAGGATCAACGAATACGACTTGCAAGGCAGGAACTGGAAGTTTGTGCTGGACAAGGCACTGAACTCATCTCATTCGCTGGACGCGCACTTTGTGAAATGTGAGTTATCACGCAGTGTCCAAGTGGGTCGGGGCTAACGATAGCAGCGCTACGAGCGATGAAGGTTGCGTCAGAAACTTGGGGCGACGAGAACCAATTCTACCTCAAAGCCGCAGTGCAGGTTGCAGACGAGTTTAAGCGATGGGGAGGGTTCGAGACCGGCGAGGATGACGTGTTGTATGCGTATCCCGAACTGCAGTAAAATAAACCTCTGTAGATCTCTGGGGAGAGAACAAGGCAAACAGTGGAAATGACGACTGTTCACTGGGCGGTGTCTCAGAGTGTGTGCGCTGGATGATTTGAGGGGCTCCAGAACGGTCGGAGCTATATTAAGTTGCAGTGCTAAGACGAAGGTTTGGAGCAGGATCAGAGAATCTCACGCATTGCGTGTTGGCAAGTTGGTATTCCCGCATGCCGTGCCTGATACGAGCCCTGAGCCGGTAAACATGTGGCACAGCACAGACTGCGGGCAATATCAGGGAATAGCCTGCGGCGCCGGGGTCACCAGGGTGCATGGCAAAGAGGGCTAAACCTCGCTATCCACAGTCGCCGACATCTGCATGTGCATCAGTCACGGCCTTTCCCATGCGCGCGAGAGCGGACACAAGCGGTTAAGACGGGCGCCATGTGGGGTGAAGTGCATGAGCGGGTGCCAGGCTTGGGAAAGCTTCTGAGAGCTTCGCTACACTTTCGCACGCCGAGGTGCCCGCCACATCGAGAGAGAGGTGGCTCGAACCGGAATCAGACGGATGTGTCAGCCGCACTGTTCTGAGTAAACCACCATGGCGCCCGCAGAGAATGCGCACGCCGCCCGTGTGCGGAGGCAGGAGGCCCAGAGCAAAAAGGGTCTGCTCCCCGCTGTTGGATCCGCTGAGCGAGCACGCACTGCTTTGTTGTCTTTGTCCCCTGGTGAATTGGGTATTCCTGGAGCGTTTGGACATCACGACTGACGTTGCCCTGACGTACCCGAAACTCCCGCGCTAGACCGACCTTCCATTCCTCATCGGTTTCGGCCAGGCCAGCACGCGAAAAGAAAGCCTTTCGTCATCAGCACACCCGTGTGGCCCGCGCAGAAACAAGCCACTGCAGGACGCGCCCAACGTTAATTATACGTCCCGGGCCGCATTGCTCAAAGAAATCCCCTCACACAGCTTCCTCACCCACCAACTCTTTATCTTCGCTCCCCCGCGGCCGCTTCCTGCCCCACCACGGCCGCAATTGCGTCACGCCAGCTGAAGTCAAGGCAGCTGTGCGAACCTAATTCCGACCATCCTCCTGGGAGCAGCCGTCGTACGGCCCATCTTACAAAATGTCTCTCAAAAAAGTATTGGGAAAGCTCAAGACGGGCTCCCACAGCAACCCCACCTCGGACGATGAAAGCGCGGGTGGCATCAAGTCACCACGATCCGGTTCCCACGCGAACGGTGGCGTAACGTCCCCACGATCTTCCGGTGTCTTTGCACACCGAGCCAGTGGGGATTTCAAGCGGGGCCTCGACAGCCCCTCCGGTGTGCTCTCGCCCGCCGACAGCAGGACCAGCATAGATAAGCACTCCAAGAATGACAGTGGCATCTTCCACCGCCGCACCGACAGCCCAAGCCGCAGCCGGACCTTTGGGTCGGGCCATGGCCGCTCTGGCTCCGGTGCCACCCACTCCCCCATCCGCGCCGTCAAGGAGAAGCTGCACATCGGCGGCGACTCGTCCAGCGATGGCGACACTCCGCTCAACCGCGAAGGCGAGCCCATGTCCAAGAACCAGCTACGAAAGCACGAGAGGCAGGCGCAGCAAGAAGAGCGTCACCAGGAGGCTCTGCAGAAGGAGAAGGAAATCGAGCGGAGGAAGAAGGAAATGGAGGCTCAGGCCGCGGCAGAGCTCACTCCAGAGCAGAGGGCGAAGTATGGCATGGTCGCGCCCAACAGCTATGCTGCAGAGTGGAAGCATGAGCCGCGTATGCAGATCCTCGACTTCACCGCTGCTGATGTTGGCAAGCAAGTTGTCTTCCGCGCTAGAATCCACCACCTGCGAAAGATGAGCTCCAAGTTCGTCTTCTTTGTCTTCCGGCAGCAGCTTGCTACCATCCAAGGTATATTGGTCGAGCATGCAGATATATCCAAGTACATGCTCTACTGGGCTGAGCATCTCGAGGCTGAGAGCGTTGTGCTTGTCAAGGGTATTCTCCAGGCGCCAAACAACAAGCAGGGCGACGTCACTGGTGCTACTATCCATGACGTCGAAGTCGCTGTTCACGACCTCCATGTTGAGGCTGCTGTTACCGAGCACCTTCCGTTCAATGTCTACGAAGCTGAGGTCACGCAAGCCGAGGTCGACGAAGACCTCGCGGGCGCTGACCACAAAGAAGGCCACACCCGCGTGAGGATCAATGACCGAACGCGCTTGAGCAATCGTGTCATCGACTTGCGCACAACAGCATCCCAGGGCATCTTCCGCATCCAGTCCGGCATTTGCAACCTCTTCCGCTCTCAGCTAGACCATGAAGGCTTCATCGAGATCCACACTCCTAAACTCCAGGGTGGTGCGACCGAATCCGGTGCCAGTGTGTTCAAGGTCGAATACTTTGGCCGTGGTGCTTTCCTTGCCCAGAGCCCTCAGTTGGCGAAGCAGATGTGTATCTCTGCCGACTTTGGCAGGGTTTACGAAATTGGTGCTGTCTTCCGTGCGGAGAACAGCAACACATACCGCCATTTGACTGAGTACACTGGTCTTGATCTGGAGATGGCGATCGACGAGCACTATCATGAAGTGCTCCGCGTGCTAGACCGCACATTCAAGAATATATTCAAGGGTATCTACGAGCGCTACCGGCCCGAGATTGAGGTGATCAAGAAGCACTTCCCTCACGAGGATCTCGTTTGGTTAGATGAAACTCCCATCATTCCCTTCGCAGAAGGTATTCGCATGCTTAACGAGTCTGGCTGGAGGGACGATGACGGAAACCCTCTGGATGAGAACGAAGACATGGGTACACGTGATGAAGTACAGCTTGGCCGTGTTATCAAGCAGAAGCTTGGCACCGACTACTACGTCCTCGACAAGTTCCCTGCCAACGCACGGCCGTTCTACGCGATGCCCGATCCGAACGACCCCAAGCTCACCAACTCTTTCGATATTTTCGTTCGTGGCCAGGAGATTCTGAGTGGTGGCCAGCGTATCCATGACTCAGACATGCTCCTTGACAAGATGCACCGGATGAAGGTTGACCCACAGACCATGGAAGAGTACATCCAGGGCTTCCAATGGGGTGCTCCTCCGCACGGCGGTGGTGGTATCGGTTTGGAACGTATTCTCATGCTTATGCTGAGCCTGGGCAACATCCGACATGCGTCGCTGTTCCCTCGCGACCCCAAGAGTTTGCCCGAAAAGCCCGTGATCAAGCAACTCCGTCACCCAGAATCCAGCACAATGCACCCGCCGTGGGAAGGCCAAGATCGAGCTGCAGCAGGCATCGACTTCCAGCCCATCACCAAGCTCATTGCCAATTACGGAGATGCTACGAACACATCCTGGTTGGAGCCTCGCACAGAGATCTGGCGAGACGATTTCACGGGAGCTGCTGTGGGCTTCGTTCCCCAGGATGGTTTCGCGATCACCGTGGGTGATCCTCTCTGCCACCCGAGCCAGTATTTGAAGACCATGACTGGCTACCTCAAGTACATCAAGAAGGAGCGTAACCTGAAGCCACTTTGGCTTCTGGTAGGTCACGATGCTGAGGAAGTACTGGCCACCAAGTTCAACTGGCGGACCTTCTCCGTCGTCGCTGAACAGCGTGTCGACCCTGCGCACAACCCTGCGTTCAACGACTCCGACGTACAGCGCAAGGTCCGCCATGCCGAGAAGGAGGGTGTCAAGATCACCGACTACATTGTTGGCACCCCCGTACCGGACGAGATGAAGAAGAGGGTCGATGCCCGTGTAGAAGACTGGCTTAAGGGCAGGAAGGGCCGCCAGGTGCATCTTACCAACATCCACCCATGGCAAGACGAGGAGCACCGGCAATACCACATCGCCATGACACCCGACGGCACCATCGCCGCTCTCGTCGTCATGGCCCAGCTGAGCGCCGACCACGGCTGGCAAGTCAAGTATTCGCTCGACTTCCCGGGCGCACCTTCGGGCTCCATCGAACACGTCGTGCTCCACGCCATGAAGGTCGTCGCCCAGGCCGGCGCCACGACCATCACCTTCGGCGGCGGGGCAAGCAGCAAGTTCACGCCTGGCCACAACGTAAAGGGCACGCGCGTCAAGGTGCTGAGCCGCGCGTACCAGGCCATCGCGACGGAGCTCAAGCTCACGAACAAGACCGAGTTCAGAGAGAAGCTGGGCGCCACGGACGACCCGAGCTATATCTGCTACCCGCCGCATGGGCTGGGCCCGATGGCGATCAAGGCTATCTTGAATTTCTTCGAGGATGATGACTAGACGGATGAGTGAGTGGTAGATAGTAAGTTAGCAAAGAGAGGGGAGGCCTCACAAGAGGTCGAAGGCGTGAGAAGAGGATGGATTGGCGTGATTGACACGACACCTATGATACCTGATAAGATACCATGTGAGGGCGTCCGGAGTGGCCTTTTGAGCCCTTTGGCGCGGCACTTTTTCTTTTGTGACTTCTCTTAGCTATAGTTGCTCATGCCTAATATGATTAGTTGCATTGCGCAAACTTGTGTTTTCTGTGCACATTGCGTGGTTATGTTGATCAACGACGGCGTTCCCGAATTGAGCCCTCTGGGAGAGTTTCAAAGGGGATGGAGCAAATAAGTAAGTTGCCTTGATACGGCTTCAATCATTCGAATTATCTTGTGGAAATACCGACAAAGGATAGGGCAGCTCCAACTCGTAAGAGATCATAGGTCATCAGGAACCATGCGTAGACGTTTGTTGGGGTACAAGTGGCATTTCGAGACTGTCTTAGATTAATATCTAGATATCTCATCAAGTCTGGAAGCAAACTGGATGTTTCTTGTTTTTACGAGGAATTTGTAACGGCGGGACGACTCTCCCCATGCTCAATAATTCTCTTCAACCACACTCGCGATAGCTATGAAGATCTTGGGTCTGCATGGGCTCCACCACTCTTTGCATGGATTCTCATTGCAGGGTTTGTGTCTTAAGTGTTGGACTGGAACGTCTCTTTCAGCTCTTCCGCTGCATCCTACTCACCGTTGACAGCGCTGTAGTTTGATGGCTCCACTCCACCTCGGCCGAGGATGCCGTACACATCCCCAAGCGCACGGCTTCGTTTAGGCGTCATTTCACGCACCGTGATGAAACCCATCAAAACCCCAGAAACCGTTCTTCGCTGCCGAAGCCTCTATATGTGGACTGGGGCGGACGTATCTCGGTGGCCCATCAGCCCTACGCTACTGAGTCAGGCGCGCGACATGGTCCGGATCCCTGTTCCGACCGCAAGCCACCAGCGCGGGGGAAGCTCGGAGGCCTGAACCCCGCAAAACACAGGCCGGAGTCCAACGTCGGGAATCGTGAGCTGCATTACCCATGTGCTGATTGGCGCGCACTAAGCTCAGAGAGGGATGGACCCATCGCATAGCTCGCGTGGTGTTGAGACGTTGTGGGTGCGCGAGGGCGGAAAAGGGTCTACGAGATGAGCTGGACGGAGGGGACGGGAGCGGGAGCTGGGCTGGTGACGACGCCGCGCTGGTGCAGGACGGTGTATAAAGACGAGTATGCCTCTGATTACTGTAAGATACGCCTGGGATAGCACACGCATTCTCTCCCCTTCTTCTGTTGCACGTCTTCTTTGTCTTCAGTGTCTTGCGTCAAGGCGCCGGAACCGGAACCATGTTCCTCACCAACCTCCTAACACCTTATACCCTCCTCCTCTTGCCTGTCCTCTACTACATCCTGCCCTACCTGCGCAACTGGTCCATCCGCGCAATTCCCGGCCCTTTCGCGGCGAAGTTCTCAAATCTATGGCTGCTGTACCAAGCACGGAGAGGACGACGGTTCTTAGCCGTGCACGACGCTCATAAAAAGTACGGGACGCTCGTCAGGATTGCGCCGAACCATGTCAGTATCGCGGATGCGGAGGCCATTCCCATCATCTACGGACACGGCAACGGCTTCTTGAAGAGGTAAGACTCCCCTTTCCCCCAGTCATCTCTTGAGAAGAGCAGTGAAGAGACAGGATGAAATACAAAGCTAAAATGAATAACAGCGACTACTATGATGCCTTCGTCTCCATCCGTCGCGGCCTCTTCAACACCCGCGACCGCGCTGAGCACACGCGCAAACGCAAAACTGTCGCTCACACCTTCTCCGCGAAGTCTGTTGGCCAGTTCGAGCAGTATATGCACCACAACCTCGAGGAACTACAGCGCCAATGGGACCAGCGCGCAGATGCCGAGAAAGGAGGCTACTACAAGATGGATGCGCTGAACTGGTTCAATTATCTCGCGTTCGATGTAATCGGGGATCTGGCGTTTGGTGCGCCGTTCGGCATGCTAGAGAAGGGCGCGGACGTCGCAGAGGTCCGCAAGAGTCCTGATGCCCCGCCGACATACGCGCCTGCAATCGAGGTGCTGAACCGTCGGGGAGAAGTCTCAGGGTACGCCCACCCATCCTCCTCCTTCCCCCGTCCACTGACCCGTCCAGAACCCTCGGATGCTTGCCTCAGTTGAAGCCCTACGCCAAATACCTCCCAGACCCCTTCTTCACCCAGGGCATCGCCGCCGTCGAAAACCTCGCCGGCATCGCAATCGCCCGCGTAAACGACCGCCTCCAGAACCCCTCCGACCGCGTCGACCTCCTCGCCCGCCTCATGGAAGGCCGCGACGAAGCAGGCGCCCCCCTAGGCCGCCAGGAACTCACCGCCGAGGCCCTCACCCAGCTCATCGCAGGCAGCGACACCACGAGCAACACCTCCTGCGCGCTGCTCTACCACTGCCTGACCCATCCCAACGTAGTCAGCAAACTCCACGCTGAGTTGGACGCCGCCATCCCAGACGTAGACCACGTGCCGAATTTCGCACAGGTCAAGGACCTCCCGTACTTAGACGCAGTGATCAAAGAAACGATGCGCATACACTCCACCTCCTCGCTCGGTCTTCCCCGCGTCGTTCCCCCAGGCCCAGGAATCACCATAGCCGGCGCGCACTTCCCACAGGGCACCGTGCTCTCTGTCCCAGCTTACACCATCCACCACAGCACCGCGATATGGGGTCCTGACGCGGAGGACTTCCGCCCTGAGCGCTGGGAAAATGTTACAGAGCAGCAGAAGAACGCTTTTATACCGTTTAGCTATGGGCCGAGGGCGTGCGTGGGACGGAACGTGGCGGAGATGGAGCTGGCGCTTATTGTGGGGACGGTGTTTAGGCGGTATGAGTTTGAGCTGCGGCAGGGGGAGATGGAGACGAGGGAGGGGTTTTTGAGGAAGCCGTTGGGGTTGGAGGTGGGGATGAGGAGGAGAAAAGAATAACGTTCGAGAACTTGGCTTGGTGAAGGGTGAGGCGGTGCTTGTTTGAGAGATCTGGGGGTGGCATGGGCACTGGAGTTACGTAACGTTTCGTTCTGTCATACTAGGTTTTTTCTATGATGATTTCGATTGGTATATATTTACTAGGTACATGTACACTTCCAAGTGCCGAATGAACAATTAGACTGTTGGAGTCGAGCGCTTAAACCGCTCCCCCACCGTGGTTGTATCATCCTCAGCAAGATCAGATTTTGCCAACGATTAGTGTGCTCAGATGCAGAACACGTCGAGGAACAGCCCCATGAAATGCTCGTGCTGTTGCCAAAAACAAAACGTGCATGGATATTACGATGTACGGCAGAATGTCGAGCAATTGTATGCGCATTGCAACGTAATGCTAATAACGCCGTGATTGCTATGGCTGTGCTCAAGAACAAATCCAAAGCAGGAAGATGGGTGTAAAGGCTGGATCACATGCTCACGCCGTTGCGATTGTGTCGAATCTAGAGTCGTTAATCGAGTGGCTTGGTTCGAGTAGGTTTGTTTCTTACAAATAGTGGAGTCTTGAGGACTGCCCATTGTCTCCCATCCCTGGAGAAGTGACGATACTGCCTATCTTCCGTGACCGTCACATCCGGTGGGATTTCGGGTGAAATCCTGTTTCCAACGAAACGACCGGCATCAAGCTCCGGCCATTCCCAGTCGAAGTCTATGTCTCGGGGCTCCCATTTCGTAGCAGTCAACTTCTCTCGCTGCTCACGAAACGCCTTGGGTTTCTTGTTGCCCTGGAACATGTCCAACAAGGACTCGGACAAGGCATTGGATTTCTGTTCTTGCTTCCCCTGGTAGTCGATCCAGCGTTGTAACAGAACCTCTCGAATTTTGGCAAGTCTGTCCACATCAAGTTGTTCACTGGCCACCCGAGCTAGATGAAGGACTCGGGCAATGTTGCTAAATGGCTGGTCACCGAGATCATCCCACATATCGTGCCCGTAGGTCCCGGTGAAATTCTGCTTCAGTAGGAGCGAGATGAACTGTTCGACTTTTCGCAATTCCTTCCTTATCTTGTCTATTTTGCTTTGTGAAAACCCCAAGGAGCTCGCAGGGGCTTCTCCGGATATTTGCATCATTGATTTCTGCCATTCCAATTTGTAGGCTTGGTATTCGGTTTTGAAGGCATCCGCATCAGAATCGGGTCGGGCGGGGTTGGATGGCAAAGATACAATATCATGAAGAGCCGGCTTTTGAACATTGCCTAGAGCCTTGAAGGGCTCTGCCGCCATGATCACCATACTCAGTACCTCGTGAAATCCCCAATTGTATTGCTCCCCGAACTGTAGCAGTAGATCGAGGCCTCGAAGTTTAAAGTTGCCGCTATCCGCGTGCCTGGGCGCGCTATCTCCCGGCCTGATAAGATCGATGAACTTCCTCAACCTCTCGCGAGTATGGAAGACGTGGTAATCTTCTACTGTGATAGATTGTCGGTTACGATAAATTGAACATCCACGGGGAGTTTCTTGGTGACTACCTAAAGTGACTGTGATCCTGAAGTTGCGAACACGCTTGAGCACTGGTAGTAGCCGGCCTGTGACAGCCAGGTCGAAAATGGAACCTTCAACTGATCTTGCCCTTTGCCAGGGAGAAGGTGACTCCAAATGATTGCCGCAAAAGATTGTTCGATATTCGTCGACGTCCACTTCGAAAGGAACTTGCTCGTACGCAACTGCTAAAACTTCTTTGCTGATCTGTAGGTTCACGAACAAGAGCGAGAATTTATTTGCTTTCTTTCCCTCCATTCCTCTCCGGTATGATTGGCAGGTAAGCTTGCCAGATATGGTCTCCGGTAAAACGTGTCGCCAAATCATATCTCGAAGCTCCGCGGGAAGGCCCAGGAGATAGCAGGGAAGTGTGTCGGTACCATTCGCATGCCAGTCGCAGAAGTGAAAAGGCGGATTGGCATTTGCAAGACGATCGCAGCGTCGGCCACACTCTCCGATGGCCTGACAATTGCCCGCAGGAATCTGTAAATACCTGTGCTGTCCGCAAACCGGGAAATACTCAGCTGAGAAGATCCTGGGAGCGCGGCGACAGGTGAGGTTGCGGGTAGTTGTCGCATTGCATTGGCTCGACAAGGCAGACTCGTGTAAGTCACAGTCGACCTCATGCTTTTCTGCGGGTGGGCCTGGCTTTTTCGAGCCCGCGGACGTTGCAGCCATGGTCGAGGGTGGCCTGCCTGCGGAGGGCGTGGGATCGAAGCCGTAACTTTGGGTGGACTGTGGAAGCGAAGTAGAAGCGAGAGCGTGGGTGAGTGGTTAATTAAGTAAATGAAGCAGCTACTGAAGTAGGTGCGCGCCCTTCGAAGCAAACACGCGCTTAATGAGGCAAGAACGCGCAATCACGTGCCTGTGGACGCGCCCGCGCCCGGGCTCCTGCTCTGGTTGAAGAACAAACCCACGAATAGAAGCACAAGGCTTCTACGGAAAGAGGATTCACACGCTCAGATGAACGAATCACAACTAAGAGTCAACGATAGTATTCCCGTATTCAAAACACCATGTGGCCGTATATACAACCCCCACCCCCCAGGCTTCTAACCGCCTCATCTAAGACTGACCAAGCACCCAAAGCTCACCGTTCGACACATCACTCGTCATATACAACCTCCCACTCTTGTCAAACTGCAGACCCGCAGGCCTAAAGCAGCCCGAGCTAGACGACGGCCCGTTACCCGCACACTTGGTAACATCCGGGTTGGAGAAGATATCCTTCGCGGCGCTGTTGCTCGTGAGCGGTTCCGTGGGGACAATCGTGCCATTGTCGCCCTTTTTGAAGTCGACGGCGACGAGCTTGAAGCCCGTGGTCGGCGAGCGGTTCCACGACCCGTGGTACGTGATGAACATCTTGGAGTTGTCGGCGTTGAACTTGCAGTCGATGGGGGCCGAGTGCGGGAACAGCGTCATGGCGGGCTTTGTGGCTTTCTGCTCGCATGTGTCGTCGTTCATGGACGTGCTGGGCGTTTGCACGAACCAGTCGCCGACCTTGAACGTCTTGTCGGTGAAGTCGCTCGGCTGCCAGACGGTGAAGCAGGTTGGGTAGCCGTACCAGTTGTTGTTGGGCTTGGTCACGTCGCCGATGAAGTGGATCTTCTCGCCGGGGTTGTTGTTGTGTACGTCCTTGCCGTTGCGGGTGAATTGGTCACCGCTGTTTTCTACACCCCACAACCTGTGGTTCGTTAGCATGAGTTGAATTATCCGATTGGTAACGTTTCGTACTGGTTGTTCACATCCCAGCACATGCCGACCTCGTTGCGTTGGCCGTAGCCAGCAGTGTAGCCTCCCGAGACGTAGTTGTATCCTCCGCTTGGGAGTTTACTGAGGTCAAAGACCTTGATGATGGCGCGACCAGTAGCTGGGTTGGAAGTGGCAGTATCGATGTTCGCGTTCGAACCGTGAGACACGACAAGAAGGTTTGGCGCGTGCGGCGCGATCTCAAGCGTACGAGTCAAGTGCGAGCCGCCGTTGACCATGCCGGTGATGACGGTGGAGCGCGTGCCTACTGTTGCAGCGGCGGAATCATACGGCCACGAGAAGGCCTGGGTCATGGAACTGGCGTACAAGGTCTTTCCATCTACACTCAAGGTGAGGCCGTGGTTCAGACTGTTCAAAGAAACCAACATCTTTGTCGAGGTGATGCAGCCATCGGTACCAACAACGTGATATGAGATACCCTTGCCAGCTTGTACCACCAACATGTTGCCCTTGTCATCGAATTTGATGCTGCGAGGGAGAGTCAATCCTCCCGCGACCTTGGTCGCCTTCCAGCCAGTAGCGAGTGTACCCGGGTACGCGGGGTTTCCAGCACCGGAGCACGAAGCGGGAATGGCGGCGCCAGCATTGGTGGTGCCAGTCGACCTAACACTGGATGTGACGGTATTGGCAGGGGGAATAGCGGTGGCGCTAGCTGTAGGTGTTGTCAGTAACAGATTGCTCTTCACCAACTGGTCAAAGTTGTCAATGCGAGCGGCGTTAAGATCATGGGTCCAGTGTCCAACATCGGCATGTACGTTAAACGCAGAGTCATTCCGAGCCGGATTTTCCACGGCGGAGGTGCCGAAAGCCCACGCAAACTGGGTAGTTCCCGTGCTATTCAGAACGAATCGGTTTTCGTCGACGTCTTGCCAACCAGTGCAGCCTTTGCATAGAGCGTTCACCGTCCAGTGTGTGCTGTTCTTCGTGGTCCCCTTCATTAGGAAGTGCTCGGCACCATCATAGCCCTGGGGCAAGGCGATGGAGCTATTCTTTGTCAGAAAAGGACTTTTAAAAGCCGAGAGGATTGCGTACTAGGCAAAGCGCGCTGATGCAACTCCAGAGTTTCCATTTGGCCAGGCAACAGTGAGCGGGTTCCATACCATCTGTCCGCCCCATGCGAAGCCGGCCCAGGTATGGTTTATAGGAGCCGTGATTTTGATGATGGCATCGTATGGATCGGTGACGTTTTTCGGGAGAGCAACTCCAAAGGTCAATCCGGACGCAGCGTTCGAGTACGACGAATAACAGATCTTTGTTTCCGCATCGCAGACAACTTTAGATGAGATCTCACCTTGCGCGATCACTGCCAGCGATGTCAGAAAAGCGCATACGCAAAGAGGGTCTATTTACCGTAGCTGGCAAGTGCAATAGCACTACCGAAGAGCTTGTAGGAAGGCATATTGGTGGCAATGGAGGAAGGCGGTCAACTCATCCGAGTATGTCGTCTCCGGGAAAGGAAGTCTTTATGCCTGCGAAAGTCGCATGCTGTGGCGACCCATGAATGTGTGGAGCCACCGCGGGCCATTACCAAGTCCTGTGGCACTTCCATATGGCCCCATATCCTGTGATGTAGGTTTAATGAAGAAGATTGCGGAGAAGCCTTGTAGAAACGCAGACGACTGGCCAATCCCGGCCGATGATATTACAATATACACCGGCAAATCCAATCGCAGTCATTATTCAACAGCATACCCAGGTCACTCTCCTGGGTATGTTTCATGCCGGGCGTGGCAATCGGAAGGGTATGGCGATTGGGTCGCTTCGGCGTTGCCCAGGATGTTAAAAGGCTAATTTGACGAACCATGACCATCTTCCCTATATATTTTGATGGACTGAGCCCGCAACTGACCCGGATTTGGAAGGGAACACCAAGTTTAGCACCTGATGTGTTATCAAGCGTCGGTTAGGCATAGACAACGTGGGGACCAGCGCGGCAGATGTTAGCAACAAATCGTGCGTACGAAGTGTTGAGCATGACCCTGACTGGTTCGACATGTCCCATTGGGACGATGCCCGTTTTCTTCTCACTGAAGAAATATACATGCATAGAAGCACTCGCTGTACGCTTGCAATTCGATGAGAAACCTGGGATTGCATTGTAGATTGTGTCGCATGGACAGCAAGATGACGTTTGTGGGTGAACGCTTAAATTGAATCCAGTACTTTGCTCTGGAGAGAACAGAGATCTATGATAGTAGCGATGTTGTTGATATTCGATCGGCTGCTGTGCAAGCGCTCTTCAACGGACTCCAAGTTGCGTGTCTCGAGCTCGGCAACGGCCGTGCCCCAAGGCTCGATCCCTCGCGACCCGGACGGTAGAAGATGGCTTTCGTCAGCGAGTCTCGCTAGCGAATCGCCCATTGCCTCGTCCGCAGATGATATCTGATTTTGCAGATAGAGGGTTTGTAAGAGCATAAGGCGCTCATTAGTATGGTGCCGAGCGAGATGCGATAGATGAGGGAGAAGGCTAGCGACGAGAACCTTGGAGCTCCCACTTGTAGTATTCTGAGCCGTGGTGTAGGTATCTTGTTTGGCCTCCTCAAGCTCTCCTTGGCGTGTCGCTGGAGGTTGCTGGAAAGAATGGTGCCCCTCGATAGCATTTGCGCGGGATGCTGTGTATTGATTGTAGCAACTCCGGATTTGAGATTCCGATGAAGCGAGATCCTGGCCGTTGGGCTGGGCAACAGGCCGCTTGACCGGGGAAGCATCTTCAATGAACCCAGATTCTTCATCCATCTTAGACAATTCGCCCTGCACCCATTCTACAATCTCTTCTCGCGCACGACTGAGCGCATATACCTGCACAGCCAGACTGGGTACATCCTGCGATGCGCCGTGTACTTCGTTTCGTGCCGCCCTTGCCCGGTCCATGCTCGATCTTGCCTCAAGAACCTCGTTCTTCAGCTTCAGAATAGACGAGGCGCTATTCTCAGCATGTGCCAGACTCTCGAAACGTTCCGCAGGGAGACTGGGTTGCTCACCGATCGAGTCCTTGACAAGATCGCGCGGATCCTTTAGGCCTTCGATGGGGTTCACGTTGAGTAGTTTTTCAAGAGATGCCTGTACAATCTCAATTTCTGCAAATCGACGCCGCTGTCGAAGCAGGGTTATGTAGCTTTGGGCCACGTCGGTTTCTTGAGGAGAGACTTTGACAGAGGACTCGACGACATGGCGTTGCTGAAGTTCTTCCAACGAAGCTTGGAGTCTCTCGAGTTTCGCCTGGGCAGCCTTTTTACTCCTGATTGCTTCTAGATATGCACCGCGGGAACCTTTGAGTCCTGGAGGATTTGTACCGACCGCACCAAGGTTGTGTGGGATCTCGTGATTGAGGTGCTGATTTTGAGTCGCCGCATTGACGGGTCGAAGGGAAGCAGTCAGGTATCTGGAAAGCGTACGGCGCACTCTCAATGTCTCTTCGCGTGTGTTGATATATGGGGACAACGCCCGATCGATGTCCGGAACTGGACACCTCTGCATACTGGCGGTTCACTATAGACTCGATGACGGCAATCGAGATGCGAACAGCCCGAGGAGGTTAACCTCACTTCTAAAGCTGCGCTCAGTAGGCTGCGGCTTGTGAGACGGGAGCGGGCTCCGGTTTGGTGCATGACAACAAAACACCTGCATTTAGTGTCGGTGGGGCTCACGCAGCAGCGGCTAGCGCGTCTTCCCGGGCCGGGCTGGGTCTAAACCCTAAACGCGGAATCACATGACAGCCATTTGTCCACGGGTACGGGTCCACGGGTATGCATAAATTCGCGGCATGGGCAAGCTGTTTTATAGCTTCGCAGTGACCATCCATTGTAGTATGTCCGCATAATAGATGTGTCGTGGAACAACAGACAGTGAAAGTGTACACAGTACATCAAAGGCTATAGGGGCATTTCCAGTCACCAGCTTCCAATGGAATCAGAACTTCAGCTCAGAAGTTCAAGCCCATGCCAGCGTGTCCTCCGTGAGGCTGTTCTACTGCTCGAATAGGAAAGCTGGTCACCCATCAGTTGACTATTGTGGCTTTCATTCCTTCATGTCAGGAATTGCAAATGCTGGTGCAACGAATGAGGCAACGTGGGGGAGCTGGAGATGAGTGCAGCGGGTTCCTAACCAATGGCCCACTGCTACGGGTGTGGCGCGTTTCGCGATCAATGGCGATTAGGTTAGTAGCGGTACTTTGTGATTCATGCGTGATTCGGACCCTTCTGTCGTCCTCCGAGGACGCGCATGCAAGTGAGGGCTGCGGGAATGCGGCTCCAGGGAAGGGTGCTCAGAGAGGTGCTCTCTACGCTGGAGAAGCGCTCATTACCCGGACGCATGACGCCATCTGTGGCAGCGGCATGGTGGGGGTTGTTGATGAGCTTCTTCTGACGAAGGTGCTGCTGCCTCTGCGATCGCTGGTATGGCCCCGGGCGGCATGGCCACAATGAGTACCGGTGCGGTGTGCCAGCGAGTGGTACGGGTTGACGACAGTCTCGCAACGTAACAGCTCCTGATTCGCCGAGTGTGGACGAGGACGACAACGCATCCAGGACCCTGAAGCGCCGCAGCAGGGCCTGTGGGAGATGAGGCCAATAGAAGGCGCGTGTAGCAGCACCCATCCGAGGTCGTCGCCGAGCGCGCGCGCAGAGGCTCGGAAAGCAAGATAATGGAGAAAGCTGCGGTGAAGCAGAGAGCCATGTACGAGTGCCATAGGCAATTGGGTCGCTGCTAGCGGCACAACAAGCTCGACCTGGGCTTGGCAGTGTTTCGTGGCGTGGGCGCGCATTGGGGCCTGTGAAGTTAGTTTACAGGGCTCATTTCGCTTTTTCGCAAAGGGGTCAGGTTGTCTGTCAACCACACACACGTCTCTTCCACAAGCCGAAACTTTACACTGGTAACCCACCTCCGAGGCAGGCTGCTTCGATACACCACGCCTCCTATCAACAAACCGTCGCACGCCCGTCGCTCCGCCCAACGCCCGCTGGTGACCTCATCCCGCTCGCGTACCAGCATTGAAGCCCCTCGGCTCCGCCCCGGTCGCAACCAGCGCATGCCGCCAGGCAACACGGCGCCGCCTGTGAATTGACCTACAGAATGCCCTTCTTCAAGAAGGTCTTTGGGTCCAAAGATGGATCGCGCGGTGCAAAGGCAGGCAACGCCAGCAGCCAGCCCGTGGCACCGCCGAAGCCGCGCTGGGAAGAGTCCTGGACCCGCAAAGAGGTTGCGCCCGACGAGATCCAGGAGCTCATACACGTCTGCACACGAGAGATGAAGTCAAGAGGTGCGATCAATTGCGCATTGGAACCCACACATGGCTGACAAGTGCTAGCACTGGACATTCCCTTCATATTGCTACCCTTCCGCCCAACATCAGAACCCAGCGCCGCTCGCAACTTTGTGCGCAACTTCTTCAGGGCTAATTACGAGGGGAGCAGGCAATTCACTGGCGAGGGGTTGGCGCAGGAAGTGCGCCTCGCAGAGCCATTGGTAGGCGCCTCGTCACATTGAACCCGCAACGGTGGCTAACTCAGACAGACACTTTGTAGCATAATGAAATGGTGTTGGAGCAGATTGCCCGGCGGCGTCGTCAGTTGGGACGCGTACGAGCTTTTCCGCATCGGGGAGTCGGGTAAGCTGCAGATGCGGATGCACATGAGCACGCGTAACCGTGCTAACGCGCGCCACAGATTCCAACTTCGCCAGACACGCCTTCGATACTTTCATTCCACTCAGCGTCGAGTCGGAAGCCCGCAAACGTGTCATCTTCGATTTCTTCGATCTGCTCGCTGCCGTAGCTGCACGAGGCAAGAGTAATGGCATGGGCGGGAGGAAGCTGTCTCGTATGGCCGGATGGTGGGCCTTCGAGTTCACAGACGATGGCAAAGGCTTTGACGGGGGCTACCGCGCATGGGAAAAGTACTGCCTCTCCACTCGCCTCAATGACTGTGTTCTGACCCAACATTAGAGCCGCCGATGCTGCTAGTCATTTGTTCTTCGCCTACTTGCGCTCTCTATCTCCGGACGCCAATGTTATGAGCGGTATTAATGCTCTTCCCAGATCACTTCTGTCGTTGCTATCGCAGACCGAATACCCGCCACAAGCGCCACAGCTCATGTTCCAGACCACCACCAAAGTCGTTATGATCGTGGACTCTGTGTCTCCTACGCCATTTGCCCTTTTGCGCCGAGCGAAGAATTTTGAATACCGCGACGATGACGAGGCTCTGCAGGCCTTCTCATCTTATGACGATACCGTCACAGCATTGACTGACGAGTGCCGCAGAGTGCTAGATTCCATCTCTTCCGCCAATCAATCTGTGGCAGCAGCGGCGGAGGGTTCGAAACAAGATCCATCCTGGTCCAAATTTGAAGATCTGGGTTTCTCGGGAATACTAGATAGTCCATCGCTGAGTACTAACGGTGCGCCAAGTGAGTCCGGTACACGCGAGTTCTCCAGCATGAGATCAGGGGCACGCTCGCGGAACAACGACTTTGGTCGACCTACAACACCTTCCTGGGCTGATTTCCTTTCCACTGGCTTTCCAGACGAGAACAACAATACGTCGACATTACTATCACCTTCCGCAAAACTTCCACCCATTGGCGAAGCTGCTCGCGTGCAAAGCTCACAATCCCACGTGCGCAACTTGCGCGGCGAGGAGGATCTCGATCCTGGTGAACTTGCGAGCATCACTCAGCTTGACCTCGACGATACATTCTGGTGGGTCTGGATGACGAGTCTAGCATCCGAGGAAACCACCGAGCGCAAAGCTGCCTTTGGGAGATGCACATTGATCGAGACGAAGATTGCAGGCGCGAAATGGCTCGTGATGGAAGAGCAGGTCAAGGGCGCCTCGCCTGGACAGGAAGAAGGAGCTTATATCGCGGAGAAGAAATCTATGTTCAGCTGGACCAAGCGGGGTCGGTTAGGGCGGAGAAAATCTACGGGCAAGAAGCCAACAGCTAAGGAGCCGTATAACCGCACAACCCAAAACACGCCAATGAGCAAGACCAGTATCGGTCCAGATCAGCACGCTCGTGTCCAAGCCGCCGCAGCAAGACTAGCCCAAGACCAGAGAAACCTACAAGCTGCGGAGCAGCTTGCCCAGCGCCGCGGTAGGAACGATGATGCAAATTCAACCAAGACGAACAGTGTCCTCACACTGCAGCCCCACCTACTGAGTGAAGCTGGACCAGCAATGAAGTGGGATAAGAGGTTCGGGGAAGGTGCAAAGGATCGTGATGCACTCCGTGCTCAGTACCTCGGCGACGTGGCAGCTGGCAAAGGCTCGAATACCAACCTTCTGTCTACTGCGAATGGGAATGGGAGCACTGCGGCTTTGTCTCACCGCAATCATTCAAACCGTGATCTTCCTGCGCTGCCTACAGCTGAGGAGAACGCGCCACCATCCCCTGCACCTCAGGCTTTCCCGGAGCCGCAGTACAACGGAGCTTCGAGCTCGGCTCCACCACCTCCGGAGAAAGCAGCGCTATCGCCTGCCGTTTTCGATGATAAATCCGGTCCTGCATTAGACCAGCATCCAGCGCTCAGGAAGCCTGTTCCAGTGCAGCCTGAGACACGTCCCAGTGACGAGCATGGTCCTGTTTCAGACGCAAAGAAGTCCCCTCCTTCGAAATTAAAGAAGAACAAGAAAGAGGGCGGTGGTGGATTCCGAAAGCTTTTTGGCAAGAAGAGGGCTGAAGCTCCAGCGCCAGTGACCACTAAACCCGACGACGACGCACGCCTACGTGCAATTGAGGCCACCAGAAGCGTTTCGCGAATCGACGATCACGGCGACGCTCGTGAGCCCTCCCCAGCCCGCAGCGTTGAGAAGCCATTGCCCCCACCAACTTTCCCTACAGATGCACAGCATAGTCCAGCGTTATCGGCGATCTCGAAGACGTACCATGAACCGGCGCTCCAAGTGACGCCCACCCCGAACAGGCACCAAGACCCAGAGGCAAACGCTGCGTTCTCCACTTTCGACCAAGGACCCATGGACGACATGCCAGCCTTCGTGCCCGATGATTCCGACGACGACGATGCAGCTCCGAGCGTGCCTCGCTACGCACCTCCAGCAGTGCCGGAAGAATCTACGCCCTCACGACGCTCCATTGACAACATCTCAGAGGAGTCAGTGGATGATTCGGCGCAGGCACCTCAGACGCAGGACCGCTGGGCACAGATCAGGAAGAACGCCGCTGAGCGCGCTGCCCGCTTGAGCGAGGAGCAGTCTCGCAGAAGCCACAGCCAGAGCGTGCGCACCGACGAGGGAGAAACCAGCGGCGAAGAGACGATCGAGAGCCGCGTCGCGCGCATCAAGGCGAGAGTCGCGGAGCTCACGGGCAATGTCGACGGTCAGCCCGGGGCCCAGGCGCCGGCTAGGCGATAGGAAAGAAGATGTTTGCTTTTGTAACAAGGTTCGTACGCCTGTTTTCTATCTGAGGCTTCTTCGAGCAAATCCGCTAATGCGTGCAGCAGGATCTTCATCTTCCCGCACACGTACGCGCTTCCGTACGCGCTTCCCTGCTTTGTCAAACCTGAGCGTCTCTTGCGCTGCTCTGCTCTGCAACACTCTGCGATACTCTGCTCTTCTGATACCCCTTTTCTCATACTTCGAATAATACCCCTTGTTTGTTTTCTCCTTCTATCCTATCCCGTCCTGAAGTAGTAATGCCACTCCGATTACACTGGAACTCTTCTGGTCGTTGCTTTACCTTCTAATACACTTGTGTCAAGGTGGATTAATCGGCGTGCTTTTCTTGGCAGATGAACGGCTTTTATGGAGTGTTTGTTTCTGCCCCTGTGGAGGGTAGGTGGGATCGGGTTGTTGTTTTTGGGGCTATATATCTAGATTGATTGCACGGTTTGGGTGTACACGCACGATATACCAGCTTCGAGCTACCGTCATCGTGGAATCTGGCTTTTCTCACTACATCCTGCATCTGCTGCGCTTGTGATGTGACATTGCATGATGTATTTTCACTCTCATACTAGTATCTATGGATATCAAAACGCCAAATGCAACACGCCCACCTTCATGCGTTGACGCGAAAAGCACTATCTCCCCTTCGCAAACTTGCTCTTCTTTTTCTTGCCGCCCTCCTTGAACTTCTCCGCTTCCTTGTATGCCTCGTCCACGGCTTCGCCCGCTTTCCGCTTGTTGGCTTTGCCCGTCTTGACGCTGACGGTGGAGCTCACCGCTCCGCCTTTCTTCGCCGCATCACGGACCTGGCGCTCTGCGTCGGTCCAGTCGGCTGCTCCGGCTCCGATTTCGTACCTGTAAATAAACATTAGCATCATAGGTACGCGAAAAGTCGGTTCAATGCATAGCCCAGCCTGAGTGGTCTCGACGCATAACACCGTAGTAGGGATCCACTTACTTCCCAAGCGGCAGCGCATCAATCATCGCCTTCGCCCTTTCGCGCTCCTCTCGCAGAGCCTCATCACCGCCCTCCCGTAGCTCCTCATCGAGGTCCTTCTCGAGCGGCTTGAAGCGCGCAGCACCGCCTTCTGCATCGCCATCCACACCGTCATGCTCTACCTCCATAGCCTCCGGCATCGTCTCTTCGATAGCGCCTTCGACGATGCCGCGGAACGTAGTGGCGACCTTACGGATGACCTTGACAAACATGGCTAGCAGCTGACTATTGCTGAGCCCAAGTTCCTTCTCCACGTCTGAGAACTCCTTCCGCTGCAGCCCGATTGCAAGTAGAATCGCAGTCTGCACACCGCTCATCTTGACCTGACCCTTGAGTCGGCCCGTGAAATAAAGCTCTGCGATCTTGGGCAGCATGTCGAGGATAACGTGGTAGTCGAGCATGTTGTTGGCGTACGAATCGAGGCGCTTGAGGTCGTAGGCGCTGAGGAGGTTGTCTAGTTCTGCTTTCGCGATGGGTCTGGGAGCGAGGTCGACGTCTAGCTTTGAGCCTGCGGAGGCGGACTCGTCTATTGAGAGGGAGGTAACGGCAGGGAATGTGCGGAATTGGTAGGAGAGGAGAGAGAGGAATCGTTTTTGAAAGTCCTTGGCGAAGGCGGCCACCCAGCTGCCGTCCGAGGTCGTTGTCTCGAGCGACCGCAGCATGACGCAGGTGTGCTCTCCTGTGAGCTCGTTGGCCGTTTGTCGAAGATATACGGGAACAAATGAAGCTCGTTTCCAGAACTTGTGTAGTTGAGGCGTTAAACCGTATGAAACGCCGACATAGTCGAGCTGAGGTGCTTTGAGTTCCGGTAGTCGAGCAAAAAGTGGAGGCATGTCCTTTGCTTCCCTGACCTTCACATCGTCCTTCAGGAGTGTCGCGCTTTCCAGCTCTTCCTCAGTCACTCTCCGCATGCCTTCGAGTTCCTTTGGCTCTGTTTCCGAAAGGCTCGCAAGCTTGCCGTCGTAGAAGTCAACAAGAAGCTCCAGTGCTCGTGAACCGTAGCCCATGTTGGTGTAGTCGGGGTTTGTTGCTATCCGTATTACACGTGCGCCTGAAAGTCCTGCAAAGTTCTCATCCTGGAATTGCTGGGAGACAATCCAAGGTATGAGATCACCACCGGCGCGCTGTCCTCTGTTAAGACTGCTGAGCACGCTCTCTCTGCTAATCTGGCCTTCAAGTGCTACCTGCACCACGCAAAGTGGCTCCGGAAGCTTGTTATCCTCTGTTACTGGTGGGACGAGGACAAATAGCTGATGTGCTGGGGCGTCCGACATAAGTTGAAGGTCATTAGGTGAGTTCTTGTAATGACTCGCGACGTAGAGGGCCATCATCTTCTGCAAGAACTTCTCTGCTGCTGGATTGAAGGAGAATAGGGTATCGCGATTAACATGGAGAAGCTGACATTCGGACGGATGCGGGCATCCCTGAGTGTTCATCTTTGACCGTGGAAGAGTGGCATCAAGGCAGAGCACGTCGTTGAGCCATCGCTCTACAGAGTCGCCCTGGGCATAACGAATAGGTTCCGAGAGTGTGATTTCGCGCAGCGAGCGACCAGCCATCGAGGTCTCGGTGCCATCCTTCGACTCCTTGCCCGTCGAGCGGTCGATGACATGGTCGGCTCCATTTGCTCGCCCTCGAGATTGTTCTCGCAACTGTTGAATGAGCTTTAATGACAATGATCGTCCAGTGCCTTCGTAACCGTTGATTGTGGATGCCATGAAAACGAGATACGGTCCCATCAGTTTTCGTACCAGAGGCAACGGTATCGCCGCCGCTTCATCGATAACAACCAACTCAGCCTGGCCAAGGGTGTATGCATCCTGGGGCTGAATGTACTGAATGGTCTGTCGGTGTTGTCGGTGCACGTTGACGCGCACGATAGCCTTGTTGAAGTCCGGGTTCGTCGATTGCATGATGGTGTAATCTTGGTGATCCATGTATCCAAGCGCATCGAAACCCTTGAAAACGAACTCAAAAAGCGTTTTCAAGTTCTCCGGACTAGGCGAGGTAATGAAGATGTTGCTATAGCCGTGGGCGACCGCGGCAGCTACAGCAACACCCAGCGCTGCAGACTTTCCGCGACCACGAGCAGCAGTCAAAGTCACAGTGCTCTGCAGTGTTTTCTCCGAAATTGCATCGACAAATGTGAGCAGTGCTTTCGCTTGATCTACGGTCTTCGCAAGCTTGACCAAATCACCGACCGGCGGCGTGTCTGCCAAGGATTCTTTGATCTCTTCCAACTCCTTTGCCTTCGGTGTCTTACCTTCAGCTTCCGGGTCCGGTGGCGGCAGTTGCTTAACGCTTTTGCCGCCTGAGAGGGGAAGCACATTCAGCTCGTCGTCCACGACCAAACACGAGTCGCATTTCCCCAATGACAGTATAAAGCGCTCGTTGAAGCGCGCGACCACATCGCTATGCGCTTCAGTCCGGTACCGCGAGTGGACGTCCATGGATAATGTGTACAGCTGCTTCAAGCTGTTCATGCCCTTAAGCAATAGAATCACAAGTCCACCTCCTTCGACGGTTTCTATTGTCCGGGCGAGCAGATTCGGCGTGATACCCTCGAAGTCCTGCAATATGCACATGCCGTATGTGTTACCCAGAATCTTCTCGGTCTCCTTATAGTAAACATATCGGACGTTTTGCGTTGAGACGAATAGTTCGAAGGGGTCTTCCGTATCGATATCGCGTATCCCACGCTTTACTTCGTTCTTGATCTTCTTCTCGCGCTTCTTGCGGTGACTATTCAATCACGTTAGCCTCTGCAATTGCCTAATGCGGTGTTCGTTCCCACCTTGAGAAACCCAAAAGCTGCTTCTTGTATGCCCAAAGAACCGACTTGTTGAGCTTCACGTCCACGTTCAGCAGGATGTGGTACAGGTTGACTATGACATCTTTCTGGCGATCGCCAACGACCACGAAGAAGCTTCGTTTCTTTTCTTGCGCGCCATTACGAATCAAAGCGGGTATCCGCGAGTCACTGCGATCCAGTCAGTATAGCCCTCATGTAAGTTTCTGTATATTGCGTTCCGTACATGGCTTTCTTCGGCATGTTGACCGCTGCGCAAGCTTCCCCGCCACCTCCCACAGGTAGTGGCTATGTCCGGCACAATATTCTGAGTAGCTAGAGATTTCCTACGCGAAAGAAATCTTATAGCTTCGAGCGATTCTGAGGCGTGGGTGCACTTGGGGTGCGTTTGCGCGGGTTGCGGCGGTCGTGAACTCGAAATCTTGGCTCGAAAAATGTTAGCGGGCGGCAGAATCTAAGCATTGGTCGGCGTTGTGGGATGCCAAGCCCGACACCGCTTTCCTGATTGAGTTCCACCCGGATGGGACATACAACAGCCGATCGAGGCTTTCTAGAGCCATCTGTACTTCAATACCGTTTCCAAAAATCTTCGCATTGCTTGTTATACGCTGGTTAGGAATGGTTGCAGAATGCCAAGCTTGACACCGCACACCTTGAACGAGGCCAGACAAAACGGCCGACTGTCGAGGTTCGAACAGCTCTTCTTCGCTCATCGTGACTAACTACCATTCTCCTTATCCCTGGCCTGGTGAAGTTTCGCTATTGTGGCAGACACGATCGCCCGCAGCATCGTCTCACTCATTCGCAGTATGTGGATATTTCCGATATAATAATCTACCTTCTACGAGTATAGAAGACCAGGACCATAAATCAATTTGACTCCGCAGCAATCTTTATCTACCATACATCGAGACCCATTCAATCTCTAAACCAGTGCTCTTTCAGGGATACGAGATGTCTTATTATCTCGCCGGAGTCTATGGAGAACTCGATGTTTTGCCGCGCGCCAGTGCGCCCCATGCAACCAACCAGGTTGTGCAGGATCTAGCCCTGAGGCACAAATGATGCAGCCTTGTCTTGCTGAGCCTCTTGGCCACCAGCCGAAGGGGCGTCAGAAGTCTCTACATGTCTCATTAGAACTCTTATCTCTGTTCAGATGATACTACATTCCTCATCCGACTGTTTCCCACCGAATTATTCTTTACCGTGGATTTACCTCTAGCGTAGCGATGGCGCCGTCCTTGCTATATGCCCCACTTCCCGCCGACACATTTAGCATCCGCCTAATCAAGCTTCAGCCATCTGACAACCCGTCGGCACCGATACTTTGCAAGCTAGTCACCTACCCGATTACCGGCGATGGGTCCAGAGCACATCCCTACGAATGTTTGTCGTATGTCTGGGGCTCACCGGAAGACCGTCGATCTATAAGCATCGATACCGGAGAAGTAGTCGTCCCCTTTGAGGCAACACCAAATCTCTATGAAGCGCTTCTACACCTCCGTGACCCTTTTTTCGAACAGATCTTATGGATCGATGCCATCTGCATCAATCAGCAAGATGTTAGAGAGAAGGCAACGCAAGTCGCTGCGATGGCGCGAATTTATGGCCTTGCAAAACGTGTCGTTGTGTGGTTAGGTGCAGAGGCAGATGGCAGCACATTTGCTTTTCAGAAGCTGAGGGATATGGCACCAATGCACCAATCGGCAGATCGATCTCAATCTGGAGAAAATTTGTCATGGTTCCGGCGTGAGGACAATGTCATTGACGGCGATGTTGACAACGATTTCGATAGAGAGGTGGGCAGCCTGGGTGTTGAACAGGCGATTCTACTATTGCTCCATCGACCCTATTTTCGGCGCATGTGGGTACGCTGAGTCCCTCTCCATCTCGTTCTTCGTGGTTCATACCAAGTATGTTGACGTTTCAGAAGATACTACAAGAAGTCACTGCCGCTCGGAACATGTTGCTCAAGTGTGGTGATGCAGAAATGCAGACCGTGACATTCCTTGCTGGCCTCGATGCGCTCAAAGGCATATATGACTGGGAGCTTCGTAGCCGCATTCTAGCATTCTCGCGCCTGATCAAGACTTCGAACTATCGAGAGAGTTTCAAGGGCCAAGCTCACTTGAAAATCGAGCCCTTGACTGAGCTCATCGATCGCTTCCATGCTCACGACGCTACTGATCCACGAGATAAAGTCTATGCACTATGGGGTTTGTCTTCAGATAGCGACTTGATGATGAGTCTGCAACCAGATTACAAGAAAAGTTGGAAAGAACTCCTCCAAAGATTAGGCAAGATCGTATTCGGCGAGGACTCCAGTGTTTCAGCGTCCGCCTGTCGCCAAACGATGTTTGTCCGTACTACAGGCTACGATATCGGAAGAGTAGAACATATTGCCCACGGGGATGAAGGGCGGCTATGGGAGAATACGCAGGTAATTCAGATCACTTCCACAAGGGTCTCCAGGTTTCCAGGGCCCGGTCGTGTCTGGAGCGTATACGTTAACATACGAGTGCCCTCAGAACGACTACTAGAGGATGATATCGTCCTGTTTTTACCACATGCGAGTAGGATCATCTTCGCGAGGCCTACAAAATATTATCTCCAGGTCGTCATGGCGATTGGCAGTCGCATTGTCCATGTACTTGATTCCGACGGTAGGCGAGTCAAGTCTGGCTGCGAATGGTGGCAGTCGTGGTCAGACGACATTGACGAAGATACAAAGGATTTTCCTCTCCTATGGAGCTGGGAGAAAGACTGCGGACAAGATGAAGAAGAAGCGTTGAAGTTGATGAGCGACCAGGTGATGACCTTGTATTCTCCAACGGACTGGGACCGCCATCGAACCTTACTACAAGCAACAGCTATGTCAAACATGGCGGCCTTGTTCATGGATTTTGAGCATTATCATCAGGCATCGACCCTACTTACCGAAGCGGTTCTCATATATGAAAGTCTATATATCGAAGAACACGCTATTGCAGTTGCGGCTCGTGGTCGGCTGGACAACGCATTGGACAGGAAATTCAACTACCTCAAAGCGCAAGAGCTGTTCTCCAGACGTTGTGAGCACGAATCAGAAGACAATATGGCGGATCTGTACGCTTTGGTAATCCTCCTTAGCATAGAACCGGCATATGTAGAAGTTACTCATGGTATCGTCCATGTATCGTCATCCAACCTTTGGGCGGATTTTGCTTCGAAGGTCATGTCAGAAGGAGTGAGCAAAGAGATGCTCCTGCAAGCTCTACAGCATCTCCCTTTCCCAGAGGACACCACGGTCAACTCTACTTGGGCCAAATCCCTCAACATCAAAACGACGGCACCGTCTATACATCGTGCACTCGGAAATGTTTCCTTAGCACAAGATTATCTCGAGTTTCTGTTGGCAATGGCCAGCGATGACATCACCATATCAGCCTCAGAGTTACTCACCGCTGCTCGACTGCAGATAAGGTCTACGAGTTTCGTCCGGCTTGCCGAGCGGAGCGACTACCCGCTTCAAAATCTACCCGAAATCCTCGAGGCATTCAGGTCTCGTCAAATGCTGGGAATGTATATGCGAGAGATCGTTGTAGATCTTGGTGATCGCATCGTTGTTACGCCCGATGCAATAAATGTGGCTGCAAAGTGGAATGCGGACACCTTGTCAACGCTCCTTAAAGCAGCGAAAGGTGCTCCAGTTGTGGCTCCTGCCGCATTCACGATCGCCATGCAGAATCTGAGCGAATTTACGCCAGCCATCGTTGCAGTCCTCGCCCAGCACGCAGAGCCCGGTTGCACAATCCCAGAAGAGGCCCTCAGACTGATTGCTCATGACGACAGGCTCGATAGGACTGAGCTCCAATGGATCTTTGTATCATTGCTAGAACACACAAATCTCGTCGTGAATATTCACGAGAGCCTTTTAGTCAAACCATCCGGGCTTTATGCAATAGAGAATGACATCTACGAACTACTGCACTTTCGACCGAAATCCCATTTCCCCCGCGCCGCGCGCATGGAGGAGGCATCTCGGTATGGCGACCTTAGAACACGTTCCCTCCTCGAGAGCACCGGTCCTGTCAGGCCAGATGCTATAGACGCCATTCCAGGCAACGACATCGTCGGCTACGCGAGCTTTATCAATCTGGTGCGGTACCGAAAACATGAGTTTAGAATCACGCGAAAACTCATATTGAGGGTTGCAGGGGAAAAGAAAAAAGCTGCAGCAAGTGTATCGTGGCTGTACGGCGAAGACGAAGCCCCTTGGGAGTCCCTGCTCGTCATCGACAGATGCACGGCGTTCCTCATCAGACACACCGACAACTATCTCATCGGCTATCTCGCTTCAACTTCAGGATTGATCGACATTGCTGCGTCTAGAGGATTGGTGCGCGTGCTAGAAACACTGCAACGCCGTTTGAAAGGACCTTGTTTGAATTTCGACGCCTTACACATCGTCGCTGAGCTATGCCAACTGCTGCAACGGCCATCGCAGCCTGGCGAGTCTTATACTGCTATGCCGAAGATCATAAGCCTTGTGCAAAGCCTTGCCAGGACGGAGCACAAGTCCATCTCTGACAATGTAAAGCGGGAGATGTTTCTGCACGCCAGGCGCGAGCAGGATAGCGGCGCGGTGATAGATTCACTGCTCGAGAACGGAATCTTGGATGAAGACGTCGTCAAAATTTGGGAGGCGCAGTCTTTGGACACCGAAGCCGGTCATCAAGAGACTGAGAGTGGGATACCGGGCCAGATCTGGGTGGAGTCGAACTAGAAGAACCTTTCCAGAGGTAAAGAATCTTTTTGTATCCGCCACCCAAAGAAACCTTGCTGCAGGCTCGTGTAGGAATCTTCACGTCGGTCTCTCTTGTGTGCTTTATCAAGAATCGGCCGGTTCTAGTAGCCCTCGCAAAGCTCATCTATTTCCATACAGTCTTTAATTCCTCTACCACCGGGCTTAAGATCCGCATAAGATATCCTTGTCTCACCGGCTTCAACATCGCATCGCGTGTTTAGCATTGAACCATGCCATTTTGACTAGCTGAGGCGAGAGGCGCACCCTTCACTACGGGAATCGTAAAAGCACCCGCGACCTACTATTAAATTACACTTATCCTTAAAATACATTCGACCTAAGAAAACAGCTGGTATATTCCTCACCCCTTACCCTATACTAACGCTAATCCTACCTAACTCATAAAACTACTAGCCATCATCCTATCGAAGTCGGGTGGAATTTGACGCCCCCCTTCACTACTCCTCGTTGCCCGACTCAGTCCAAGTGCTCCAAAGCATCGACCTCGTCAATAATTCAACCATGATCACTTGTGCGCCAGGCATCAATCTTATAGAATACATTCTCGTAAATGTCTATGGTACAGCGCTATAAAGCAGACCTGTGAGCGCAATCCGGGTATAAGCGCAACTATCAAGGAAAGACATGAAGTTCGTAACGCATCATCGCACACCGCATTACCCCTTCCTTCCTTCCTTCCCTTCCTTCCTTCATTCCAGTCTTCGACGCACAATCAACCGGGCATGGAGCAGTCAGTCTGGTGCCCAAAAGCAACACAACACCTTCAACTCCAGCACCAACGCAACGCCAAATCAAACAAGCAAACAACACCACACACAGCTCAAGCTTCGCGCTCAGCCATGCTTAGCAGGCTCGTAAGCCACCTTCCTCCTCCGCCCCACACACGTCTCAAACACCCACATGGCCATCGCAACAAACGTAAGCGCCGTAGCAACCCACGTCAGCGCCTCAAACTTCTTCCCCTTATTCGCCTGCAGGCCGATCTCGTTGCCCTTCTCGTTGATGACGTCGCCGCCCTTCTCGATGACCGCTGTGACGAGCGCGCTCGCTAGCCCGATGACGAGGAAGGAGAGGATGCCCAGGAGGAGGTTGACGCATGCGGAGAGACGGCCGGATGTGAAGACCGCTACCAAAGCGCTGACGAAAGACAGGAAGATCAACCCGATGGCAATGCAGTACAGTACGAACGCCGTGACGCTCACAATGCGCAGGGCGTCGAGGCCCTTCTGGACGTCCTCTGGCCATTCCAGGTCTGCAAGCGTGACGCCGAGCCCGGACTTGTTGAGCGCCTGCTCGATGATCTCGTTGGGGTTGAACCAGAACATGGCGGTCTGGTTGGAGCAGCCTGTGACATTTTTGTGGATATCTGACGCAGAGATGGTGGCGTTGGGGGTTTCGGTGGGGGTGTATTGGCCGAAGCAGTAGTCGAGGAGGTGGGCGGAGTAGAAGTCCTGGATGATGTTAGTAGTGCGCTGGAAGGAGGAGGGAAAGACAAGACGTACTTCGATGCCGAGTTTCTCGGTGATGACGCCGGCGGCTTCGCTGACGTCGGACTGGATGCTGTCTGGGACGAGGTCCCAGAGGGAGCCTAGAGTGCCGTCGTCTGAGCCAAGGGTTCCGTTTACGACGCCCTCGCCTAGGCGAGAGGTGTTGAGCGTGAGGACGTGGTAGTCCTCCATGAAGTCCTTCTTGTGGCCTGCGAAGAGACACAGGAAAGCGAGCACCAGAGCTGCGGCGCTCAGCAGCGCCGGTATCAACGCGGTTGGTCGCATGTTGTTGTTGGTTGACGCTATGGTATGGTGTTGTGATGATCTGTTTCGCAGCGAAGGTGGAGTGTGAGTAACGAGTAGAACAAGGCTAATGAAAGACAAAGCGTAACCAAGTGATACCAAAGACAAGACTACAAAGGGACGTCCCATCTAAGTATACATTCCAGAAGGCAGCCTGCACGTCACTCAAACAAGGGTCCTGCGCAAGGCAAGATGCGTCGCAGCCCACAAACTTGCTTGCGCCCCAGTCTCCACCCGCCACACACAGCCATCAACAGTCGAGATCTTCAGCGCTTATGCCTGACAAAGGCTATTAGGGCCGTTGGTTGACGTGGAAATGGCTGGTTGAGCAGGGCTGGTTTGCTTGGACGGAAACGTCATTAGTGCAAGGGTACGCATGCAGGGACAGGGATCACGGCTCGCTTGCGCAGGGTCGACGCAACGACGTGCGACTGGCAAATGATCCACGACGGCTACACTGGGAAAATTGGGGATAGAAGGCCCGTCGTTGCACAGCCTCTGCAACCACGCGTTTATTGGAGAGCGCCAGAGAAGATGAACCAAAGAAGAATATTGAAAGGCGTACGCGTTCACATCGTGAGCCACAAACGCGACTGCGCAGACCTGAAAACTTTTTTCGTTGCCGCGTACGTGACCCACCGTAGAACAGACGTTCGAGTGTGAAGGGGCACACAAAGTCGACGAGCGCCCTGAGCGCGGAGCAATAACACCGAGTACGCAGCGCCAAATTGGTATGTATTGTGCACTGCATCTAGGACGTTGTCCTTTCTATCGTAAAGCGTCTATCATTGAGCGTCCGTGAAAACGTGACTCGTAAAGGAGCAACCTGTGCTCGGTACTTTTGGAGGTGGGATGCAATGTCGCACCTGATCTGAGTGGTGTGAATAGTAATAGTCTGAGGGTCCTGCGATAATACTTCATGATGGCGATTTGGACTTCTTGGGTCCTCGCCATGATTGAGCGGCAGCTGGAGGCCCGCCAACACCGTCCGTGAAAGGCGAATATGGGGCAGCAACTCGATGGGGTGGCGCTCTCGCTCCTTGCTGCGTTCGTGGAGGCTCACTTGAGCCTGGGTACCGTTTCTGCTCTTCATGCATCTTGTCCAACGACTCTCCGACGACGTGATACTTGGCCCAATTGACCGGTGGACACCTCACAATATTCTGAGGTTGCGGTATTGCTGGGAACTTGGTGGTGTCTTTGCCCGGCCCCTCTACTGCTGCAGAGTCCTTTCTCACCGCTCCGCTCTCGCCATTACTATCCTCAACACTTTCGCTCGCCGCAGCCTCGGCTATATCGGACAGCGTGGGAGTGAGGATATCGGTGGGTTTGCCCGCAGCTTCCTTCTGCTGCTCTTGTAGAGAGCGCACAAAGCCATGAGGGTCCGACACGGCGGCTGCCTTGAGGTCTTCGAGTGCCTTGAGGTCGCGCTTGCTCTTCTCGCGTTGGAGCTGCAGCAGCGAGATGGCAGAACGGAGTGCTATCGCATCTGGGTTTTCGCTCTCGGATATGGGCACAGAAGGCGGTTGCTGTCTGAAGGTCGCAGTCGGCGGGGGCTGCGGGGCTGCGACACGTGGTCGCGCGTCGGAGGGCTCAGGACGTGCAAGTTGTGCGGCGGCAACAGTCGGTGTGATAGGCGACACGGGCGGCCGGTTGGGCGAGCGCGACTGGGACCGCCTCTCCGTACGCTGGTCTGAGGGAGTTGAAGAGCTGCTGGGCGAGGTAGACGGCGTACTAGTACCTACCAGGAGCGCTGGCATGGCGGAGGTGGAGAGTCGGCTGGGAGGCAGCAGATGCGGTCTGCGGTACCCGTGGGGTAGAAGCGCTCCAGTGGCTGCTGGGAGGGGCAAGGGCTGAGGTCGCTGGGAGGCCTGGGTGCTCCGACCCGGATCTCACGCTTGGCGGCTTGCCTCGGGTTGTCGCCTGCAGAGAAATGTTATGGCAAAGAAATGTCGCATGCAGCGCGCGGGGTGATTGGTTTTGGCGCGCAGTGCTAGTGAAAGTATTTGCTGCTGGTGTCTTCGTCGCGTGGCGGCTTCTGGACGGCGCCGGCCACGCCTCTGGCTAGAGCTGAAGATCTGGAGAACGGTGGGCGGCGGCCGCTTGCTGCATCGCTAGACCCGACTGTTGAGTCCCACCCACACGAGGTATTGGAGTTTGGTGGCTTGCGCTGCTCCGTAGCGCGCGGATGACTCTCACATGCTGCCTCGCCGACACCGTCCGTAGTCCTTCTGTGAGGGGTCCAATAGTGCCGGCTATTAAGAGGCAGAATGCGACGTTGTTGAGGCGCATGAGGACGGCAAAGCGAGGGTATACTGGCAAAGTACAGCAGGCATGCGCTCCACGCTGACTACTCACTGCGAGATGCCATGACGCACATGCTAGCTCCTGACGGACACTCTAGGGGACCAGAGTTACAAGTCGCAAGTACCTTCGTACCTTTAGCTTGTACGAAGCTCTACTCTTCACATTGCGTAGAAGTGGTGCGAGATCGGACAGTGATTGCAGACAGGTGCAGTGCTCTGCCTTCCTTTCCCGGCCAACGCAAACTCAATTGATTGTCGCGCCACGAAACAGTGCATTGTGTTACTGTTGAATTGTCAGTGGACGTACCTGCCATGTGCGCAGTTCACCAAACTCGGCGGACTGCAGCCTCGCTTATCGGGCAAGAACAACCTGGTCGGGATCGCTGTAGCCTGTCATCCTCCATCAACCCACAGCCGTGGGCCATCATCACCATGGTCAAATGCCGTCCCACGCGCCTTGTGCCCATGTTTGCTGGTTCTGGGGAAGCACCGTCTTCTTGTCATCTGCGGCAGAACGGATGGACTGTGCCGCCAGTGTAGCCGGCTCGCCAATGAGTACTGTCGGGAGAAACTTCCTACAGTGTGCAAGCCACGAAGACACCGAGGCCCGTACTGGAAGCTCCAGCTGTCCACCTCGATTGGCGTCCGCCGCCGCCAGCCCCTGCTCACCAGCCAAATTGCAGGTTTGCTTCTTCAATGGTTCCGCTGAGCATGGCGCCTGCCCTCGCGTGGATGGAGCCTGCTGTCTGCGGAAGGCGCCAGACGGTCCCTCTCAACTCTTATTGCGACGCCTGCCGCTCACTCTTCATCCAAGTCCAGTGTCACCTTCACCCTCATTCATCTTCACTGCACCACCTCGCGTGCTACTGCAAGAAATGCCCACTACGCCATCTACGTAGCGTCCACCGCAGGTTCCTGCACTGTCCCCACGCCCTAACCGCTTACCGTAAACGCCGATCGTCGCCCGTTTGCTTGAGTGGATTGACTCGACGAAATGGCGCCCGCTGCAGAGCTGGCACGTCCGCCCAGGATACCGAAACTAACCTATCGTAATCGCTTGCCCACTGACGACCTTTCCCTCATTTCCCGAACCTCGTCTGCCTCTACTGATATACCTAACAACGACACATCCGCAGACCAGCGCTTGTCTACGCCGACTTGTACACCAGTCTCAACGCTAGACTACGACTGCAGAAGCACAACATCGTCCAAATCCGCCAGCCTGGCGTCTTCCGATGAATCAATCTCCCGCGAGTCCAAGGCGTCGTCGGCGAAGAAGAGGAAGAATGGCGTCCTCAACTTCCTCACTCTGAAAGAGCCATCGCAGATTGCACTGGATCAATTCGCCGATGCACAGCGAAAACAGACAGCAGCAAAAAGCGGCCAGTCGACACCTGTCGGCCGCCACGGAATCTCTCCGCAGAAGCTGCCACCCACCGTTCCCAAGGTCAATTCAAAGTGGGACGGCGTACCGGAATCTCTGAAATCCTCGCGAAATTCCATCACGTCGAGCAAGAGGGCGAGCACAATAAGCAGCACATCATCCCAAAGTTCGCCATCAAGTCACACAATTCGCAATCCTACGATAAACTCCTCCACAATCTCTGTCGCGACGCACGACAGCCGAGGGCCTCCGAATTCTCTGGCTTCACCAATGCACTCAGCAATCGATGTCAGCGAGTACACTCCTACCAAACTTCCTCCGCGGGCAGACTCGCCTTCATCTGCCTCGCTACCGGAAATAACGTACTTTTTTCCGGCTGATCCGAGCTCTTTGGGTGCTTCACCAGTCTCTAGTGCAGAACAACCTTGGAGTTCACCTCCTCGCCTGGACCAGGATTCGTCTCAGGCCTTCGTCACTGACTTTGATGAGAAGCTTTCCATTTCTGGACCAGACACGGTAACCTCTGATGAGGTGAATGCAATCTTCAGGCGGTTGAAAGGTGCAGCCGGAGAGCCCCAAGGCGTCTATTTCGGTGCAGAAGATGAAGATCCGGATGTCCCTGACACACACGACTTCCTCTTCGACGTGAACCCTATCATGAACACGCCACCGCCAAGAACCTCATCACACCAAGCTCCCGCGCAACCGGCCCCACCTGTACTGGTCCCACATTACGTTCCCACTCGAAGACCTACAGCCAATTTCTCGCGACCACGTCCAAACCAAACAGTCTCAAACCCGCCTCGACCTAGCCCATATTCATATAATCGGAAATTCAGCGCCCCGGTGTTACCCACACTCTACGAGGCTTCTATAGCCAGCATAGACGATACGGACGCGGCTTCCGATACGACTGAAATAGGGCGAACCGACACTCGTGGGAGCACGGACAGCACCGAATCTCTCTCGGCGCCTTCCATCGCACCTTCAACGGCCCCTTCAGTTGCAACCTCTTTCACGCCCTCAGTGATGTCGGCTTCCTGGTACCGCTCTTCTCGGGAACGGCTGGGCCTGGGTGGACGCATTCGAAAGAGTGACGTCCTGCCGTGGGAACAGACGGAGCAGGTGCGTCGAGGTAAGCCCAAGAAGAGCCGTTTGTCTGTCTTCTCGCGGGGCTAGCTTGTATAGCGTGGAGGGAATCTTCGCCTTCTTGGCTACACGGAAGAGCGGTCAGCCCATTTTGGCTAACTTACCATCTAGCTGCACCTTTTCTTCACCCTTTGCACATGCACCCTCCGGATGTTGACAAACGTCGTACGATCTGATGAGCAATCTCTTTTTCGATTCTACAGTCGCCATCTTCAATATCCCCCGAATTTCATTGTCATACCACTGGGCTCTCTCGCTTCTCCCGCCAGTAATCAGATTCTCTCTTCATGTATATGCGATTCTTATATACCCTTGTCAGCATTTCGAGCGATTTCAAGGCTTTTCCAGCGAGGAGCAGGGGTTCCGGACTTTCGTTTGTCATGGGTTCGCCCACCTTTTTCATGTTCGTCACCGAGGGAATTCCGAGCTTTTATGGTCAAGGCATTCGCTTTCGACACGCGGTGGAACCTCTAGGAAGAGGACATTCCGGTTGATACGTGGAGACCATGTATCTGCCATCAGAGTCACCGCTCATGGCTTGCTTACGAAAATAATGGAATAATAATTGAAGAAAAACTCCACATATTCTACGTGTAACGTCACATAAGGGTCAGATTAGTGAAAGTGAACATCAGCATGCATTCATTCGTAGGGTATCTATATGGCGTCTCTCGTCCCATTCCCTCTCTTGCGCACCTAGCTACTCTGCCCATCCAATCGATCCCACTGTCTGCAACCAATGCACGTCCGTAGCGTCGTCACGTCGGATCCCTCCCTCCCTCACGTGGACCGTCCACAAAGAAAGTCGTCTTCATCTATCAATCCTATCTTTTATCTCTGGCGAATGATTTCTAGTAAAGCCCCGTATCAGTCTCAGCCGAGATGCTGTTGAAGAGGAAAAGTGTTTGCGCACCTGTTAGGAATTCCTCGCTGTATCGCTCACCTGTTAGCCTTGCTTTCTTTTTTGTTTTCTTCTCCGAACCATGTACAGAAGAGGATGTACAGAATGAAATGGGCGGATTGGGTTGTGTTGTGTTGCAACTTACAAGCTCAACGTAATGTACCCGTCCCTATCATCGTCATACTTCTTGAACACATCCGTCATGCGCTTCAGGCTGATGCACGCCTGCACGAAGAGGTCGAAGCTCATGTTGTTGTCGCCGCGGCGGTCGTACGTGCTGTACAGCAGGCCTATGAATTGCGGCGACAAACGATATCCGAAGGCGACGAGGGCGTCTGTGAATTCGTTGTAGGAGATGCTGCCGCTGCGGTCGGCGTCGAAGCGGTCGAAGAGGTTGCGCCACGCGGAGAGGAAGCCCCAGAGGCCGCTTTGCACAGTATCAATCTTGTGTATTGGAGGGTGGGGAGGGGAGGGGGAGGGGATTAACTCACCAGAATTCCTCAAAGTTTACGGAGCCGGAGCGGTCGGTGTCGAACATTCTGATCTGTTCTCAGCGTTCTTTTCTTTTCTTTCCTTTGCCTGCGCGGGGAGTTTCAAGAAGGGGAATGGGGGAGCGTACCGTATCATCATGCGCACCGTGTGCGGGTCGAACGGCGTCCAGTCGCCATTTACGAGCGCCTTTTTGAGCTCGGCCTCCGTCAGGCTCTTGTTTTTGTCGCTGTCCACCTGATCGAATAGCCTTCGCAAAGCTACAGTGTCGTTTCCGTCTCGCGGCGGGGCAGGTGTAGGCGGGGGTCGCTGCTGGATGGGCGGTCTTCCGTGATGGAAGCCCGCGGGCGCTGGTCCATGGCCGTAGTTTTGCGGTGGAGGCGATCCGTAGCCGTCATATCGCGGGTCGCGCGGTGGAAGCTGTTGCTGGTCACGGCGCGGCTGCGCGTCGTACCGTGGGCGGTCGTCGTAGCGAGGGTCGGACGCGCCCGGTCTGGTGTCGTAGCGAGGATCGGGCGCGCCATATGCGCCTGGCGGCGGTCTGCTGTCGTAGCTACCGTAGCTGTTGCTGTGGCCGCGCCCGTAACGGTCGTCCTGGCGGGAGGGTGGAAGGGGCTTATCGTTGTAATCTGGGCGCGCCGATGAGGTTCGTGGTGGGCGTGCAGAGTCGCGTCCGCTTCCTGAGAGCAGGGCTGCGGCCTGTTCTTTGTTGGCTTTGTTCCCTTTGTTCGCTTTGTTCTCATCCGAACAAAGGTGAGATAGAAGCACCTACCTGCTCAGGCTCCGCATGGGCAGGCAACCTGTCCGGGTTGAACTTGGAATTGTATGCCATGTTGGCGGGGGAAGTCCAGTATGCGCGCAGAACAAGCTTCAACGAGAGGTTTTTCAAAGCAAGCAAAGGACGGTGAGCGACAGGGGCGCAATATAGCACGGCAAACAAGAGGTACGGTTCGAAGGCGGCTCAGACGGTGACTCCACTTGCACACAGCCTCTGGTGCGGCTGATGACTTTCGGCGCGAGCACAGAGCACGCGGGGGACGCTTGGCCCTATGACGATGCCGGTGAGCCCTGCGCGAAGACCGCTATCAGGTCCGCACACGGGAAGCTTGCTGACAGCTCGGAAATGCGGAAACAAGCGTCGGGCAAACTTGGACACTGGGAACAACGATGGGCATCGACTGACTTGCAGGCAAGAATGCCAGCAGGGAAGAATGCTGTTTGACGTAGGTTCGCCTGCGATCGACTTGCCCCGTACCGAACTGGTGAGGCTGGGATTACCCAGTACAGCTTGGGCTCCTTCCTGCGACCCATTTGGGCAAAGCTGCACAAACTGATTGCGCTGAATCGTTCGTGTTCGTATTCGTTAACGAGCTGTATCGTGTAAACACGTTGCGAGCCCTGCTTCGTTATCCGCAGGTGACACAGCATCTGATAGGAAACAAGATGCAATCGCCTTTTCAGATCACCAGAACCTACGACAACTGCAACAAGATTATGCGAGAACCATAGAAATAAGAGATAGTGTGTCCATAATCACACGGTCGTATCGAGATTGTTGGCATAACATCCGTTGGTGCAGATCGGAAAGAATTCAAGATGCAGTCGATGACCTTATTGATAGAACTGAGTGGTTCTTCTGTCATTCTGCCTTGAGTCTGCTGTTGCAACACTGGGCACAATGAGTCCGCATACCATATTAATGAATTATACAGAACTCATAGCATTTCAAGTCAAGTTGACACTTCGGGGTAGCCCACCCTGACGCAAGAAAGGGGTTCCTGGTGATATCTCGAACGTCGACAACGACGTAAATTGTATGACTTAGGTGAGATTCTCTTGCAGATTCTCGCCAACACCCAAAAGGAGATGCGCAGGACCGTTCTTTCCCCTCCTGTCGTGCCCGAGAACAATTCAATTCCTTTGCCATGATGGCATATGACACCGTCCCCAGCGAAAGATGTTGCCGACATTCTGACAGGCATGCTGTCTTCGGATTCATCCCAGTAAATCCTTGTGCCTGAGACACTCCACGGACACAAGTCGTAGTATACGGTTCAACTTGGAAGTGTCTCTCCCGATCCATGAGCAGGCTGTATCCAGTCTTCCTCGATGCGGAAAGAACAACGTGTTTTTTTGGGACCAATGACTGAACAAACGGTATCAAGATCCATTTCAATGTACGGCAACGAAAGAGCCGCCTCGCTTGACAACGGCATGGAGTCTGGAAGCTCGAGAATACTCACACCGGCTAGAGCACAACAGAAGCACAAGTGTGAGGGCTCATGAGCGCTGAGAACTCGGTGGAGGAGGTCCTCTTTGGAGCATTGGTAGTCCACATCGATTCTTGAACGCTCATCACAGAGTGACAAGAGAGAGAACACACGGTCTTGCGGAATGCTGCATTTCTTGTATCGAAATTCTTCCATCAGTTGTACCAGTGGCTTCCTACTTTCTAAGGGGGTCCATTCCGATGCATAAAAGCTTCGCCGTTTTAAGAGGTTCATAAAACTGAGTGATACATGGTACTTTTCAGCAAACTCCCGTAAAAGTTCCAGGGATATCTGTCTGGGTCCTATAATAATCACATGATGGCGGGCAAGCTTGATCTCCTGGGTGACCCACGCCCGGCGCCAATATGGGTTGCCGAACATATACTCAATGAGTTCGGTTTTGTGCCGCCCTGAACCCCTGCTCAAAATTTCTCGTGTTTTCCTCGTTTCGATGGACCCAAAGAGAAGAGGGATAGATGGGACTAACGTGTCGTCACATTCACCAAGCCATGAGACGACGACGGCTGCCTTCGAATAGATGTCGCCCATTTGCTGAACTTGATGATTCCTCTCTGCATTGTCTTGCTGATTGATGCACAGAGCGTCGATCCAGTACAAGTTTGGAATGTCTGGCTGCGTCTCAGGTATTCTTGGAAGGCTTTGTAGCGTTCCAGCCTCATCCAGGAAGTCGAACAGATTCCGCTGTACATGCATTTCCCTACCATCGATAATGATGGCATGGGAGGTACGCGGTGCCTTTGGCGGTTCCCACATGTAAGACAGGCAAGTGTATTCAGCGTCGGTCGTTGCATGAAGCATGGTGCATTGAATCAGGCCGTCCGGCGATAAGTCGGGCAGCACCTTGAGGAGTCGTATAGAGGGTTTGCTGTGGTCCAGAGGCTGATGGGTGAATTTTTTACGGTGGAGTGGCGACTGCCGTGGTTGTGGATGAACAGTCTCCATCGTAGTGAAGGTCAGAGAGGGATGAAGCGGCGGTGCCCAACGGCTCGGTTCGCCGTTGTGAAGCGCTCTTAAAGTCTTATTGATGGTGAAAGGCTTTTAGGAAGCACAGAAGTCGTTGTGAAGTCGCCGTAGGTGGCGTGCTATGGGAAGTTGACGAGGCCGAGCAAGGTTGACCGGGTAGGAACAGCTGATCAGGCTGCAGCGGGTTGTCGTCCATCCTGGGACGCCTGCATACCAACGGAGCGTAGCTGGACTCTGTGGACAGAATGGATTGTTGCATGTTGGATGGAGGCGCTCAGTAGGTTATCGCACCATGTTCATGTTTACAGCGCTAGTGTGCGACTGCCCTCGAATGAGCATGGCTCTTGCCCACCAAGGCCCATGGAAGGTGCCGGTTTCGCTGTAAGCGCTGCTTCAGTATTCACATGTCACACAGCACATGCAGCCAAGCGCAGGTATTCCGTCAAAAATCGATTACAAGTATCTACACTCGAAACGACAAGAGTCTTATCTTCATAACCCATAGTATAAACGCCATTTTGCCCACTCGCATATCATACCAATGCTGCCGTGAAAGCGAACGAAGACAAGCATAACAGAACACCTCTTCATGGGTATCCGCAAACGCCGCGAACCAGTACAGGGCCCCAAAACGAAGGTGTCAAGATATCGACGTGCTGAATTCATCCACCGGCTGTGCCTCGAACTGCTGACAAGAAGCAAAGACCGCCGCACCAATAAAAGTACAGAAGAATAGGCGTGCTTTTGAAGTGAAATATTGCGAACAAATGATTTGATAAGTAGATGGTTGGTATAGTACGAGCATCAGCACATGATGCGTTGGCTCCATCATCAAGCCCTTACTCGCTTCTGGCTGCCTGCATCGGAACCCTCATCAGAGGGTTTACGCTTGCGATCGGCAGGCTCGTCGCGACCGAAGCTAGGACCGTTTGGGGCCACTGGCGTCTGGAAGGGAAGCGGGCTGGGCAGCATGTTGGAATCTCTGCCAAAGCCCCACTCAGGGTAGAAGCTCGATGGTGAAGGCAGAAGTCCATTTTCGACGAAGCGGCTAGGAAGCGCAGAGATGGGAGTCTCCATTTCGCCACGGCTCCCATACGATCCGTTGTTGGTAGGAGGTGCTGGTCGTGCGAAAGGATTTGGCGGTCCAGTAGCTCCAGCGCTCATGATGGAATTAGCGCTGGGGGAAGGTGGAGGCAGAACAACGCCGGAGGAGTGCGTGTCAGTGCTAGTCCTTGCTGGGGTTGCACCGGTTGTTCCAGAGCCTCTGGGCGATGACTCTGCTGTTTGGCTTCCATTCTGCGATTCATTGTCGTCGGGGATCTGCAGCATCAGACGTGGCTTTTGAGAGATACTATTGGTCCGAGATACCGAAGAAATAGGCATTGAGGATGCAGATTGAGTCCGCTGAGGGTGGTTTAGCACGTGAGGAGGGGATGGGCGCGGAGGGGAGTTGCCATTTGCCTGAGTTCGTGAAACAGAAACAATATCAATCGATTGCGATCGGACTCCAGGCTCAGTCTTGATCGCTGGAGGGTCACTACGTGGCGGATCTGCATTGCTCGATCCCCATGAAGCGAACATAGACTGGCTATCATCAATGGGTGTGAAAATGCTGTGCTTGGCGGCAGAGGGTAGTGGTTTGGGTTGTTGCGGCAAGGGAGGGCTCTGGAAGTTATTGCGGTTTGGTTGCGGCGGCGATGGTACGGTTAATTGTTGGTTCTGGGGTGGAGCCTGCGGTTGAGGTTGCGATTGGGGAAGCTCTTGTTGCGGCTGTGGTTGTTGCGGTTGCTGCGGTTGCTGGAAAGCAGGGGGCATCGACTGCCTCCGCGGCTCCTGCTGTTGCATGTATTGGACTTGCGGATGAGCCGGAGGGTGGGTGTATTGGAATTGGGGTGGGGCTGGTGCTGGTGGGGGCTTAGGCGCCATACCCTGCGCAGCCTGGGGATTGTAGAAAGGCGGGTTTGGCATGTACGCATAGTTGTTCTGGGGTGGTGGCGCTTGGGATGGATGGTGTGGAGGAGCCAGATTGGAGCTTGGTCGACGCATCTGAGCTCGGGAATCGGGTCGAGAAAGGCTTCCCGGTTGCGGAGAGGGGTGTCGGGCGTGATACGGGATACCGTTGTGCATTGGCGGGGAGTTCGAAGGGGTGCCATGTCGCATGTGCTGGAAGGAGGGGTTGGTCTGCAGATGGTGTCCCATCATGGAGTGTTCGGGAGGGGTGTGCGAGTCTCGCGGGGGAGAGCCGGCCAACATGCCGCCCTCCTCATCGTCGTCCTCGTCATCCATGTCCTTCTTGCCCATGAAGTCTTCAGGCCCCTTGTGCTCGTGTGCGCCGCCATACTAGATAGTTGTTAGTGCAATCATTGACGGGTGACGCGCGGTTGCCTACATATTGGTACCGTCCGATGGTCTCGTTGATGTCGCCGGAGGAAAACTCATACAGCTTCTTGTTGTGCCCAAAGATGATGACTGCAACGTCGACGGAGCAGAGCACCGAAAGCTCGTGAGCCTTCTTGAAGAGGCCGCCTTTGCGCTTCAGGAACGTCCTGCGACGAGTTAGTTTCAGCCGCGACCGGGATATAAGAGCGCGGGCAGCTTACACAGAGCGGTTGCGGTCGTCCTTGATGGCCTTGATCTCAATCTTCCTGCGACCCATGGTGACTGGATGTGATCAGACCGGAATGCGCATGGATGGGTGATGCGGCGGCGTGGTGTGGCTGGAGAGCGCCGCGTCAAAGGAAAGTGCAGTCGGCGGGACGGGAAGGCACGCGGTGAATGGCAGGCGTGGCCTGTGAACGACGGCAGGAAAGCTGCGGCGCCGAGCGACGAGATATATGTCTGTGGTGGTTGCGCGACAGTGTTGACTGGGGCCGCGACGCACGACGTGAGGCTCTTGGGTCGAACACTGGAGGGTAGAGTCGAAGATCACTCGAACGTGGGCATGTCCTAATAATAGAAGACCAGTGTGGCCTGTGCCATCTTTCAGCCGTTAATTAGCGGACTTTGGCACCCTCGGCGGACACGCCCATTGGTGCAGCAATCTATTCTCCCATTCGTCCTTTGCAAAAGAGAGGCCTGCAAATTGGCCCGAACGGGTTCGCTCGTCTGTAACAAGTTATTTTAAGGACCTTTCCGCTGCAGCGTGATGCCGTGCCGTGCGACGGCTGCCCGCTGCGAACAAGCACATCGCGACAGGGTCTGCATGAGAGATGTGTGTCGTCAAGCTCTTCCCCGGCTGGGAGGAAGCATAGGAGACACATCTCCACACTCCATCCGCATCAAGTAGTCAGACGACAAGCATCAGACTGGTACATCTGGCTCCCTGTCTACGAATCGTCCTCTGATATCAACGACCAGCGAGGGCGTCAACTGTAGACCGGACAATCCGTTCAGCCAGGAACACGACCCCCAAATCGGCTTGACAGGTGGGCAAAGCCGGTGCAGCCAGGCACAACTCTTGTGCGCGCTGTGCTTCCCGGTACACGGTGGCCTTGTGCCTCGGTGTTTGCGCCAAGCCATGCTCAACTCCCTGCAACACACGATGGCCCACTGTGGTAGGTCGCTCAATCTCGGCGGCCACCCTCTTCGGGACGGGCTATCCTTGGGGGCTGCCACCAGCCAGCCCGCGGAGTCTGCTTTGCTTGTGTTTTGGACGCGCGAAGTGCGGTGTTGATGCCGAAATGGTGGATCCATACTGTTCCTATCTCGCAACGTCAATCCCTGGTGTCTTCTGCTGCAAGCGCGCTGAGAAGATGCATGTCAAGTTGTATCGAAGCCGTCATAGGCCCCGCGTACCAATGAGACCGCATGAAAGACTCTCGAATACGGTTGACCGGTAACACGAGCGGAGAGGAAGCACGCAGAATCGGTGCCGGTGGACGTTGAACGTTGTGGCGGGCCAGGGTTGCGCCAGTTGTGGTCGTGGCTCCCGCATTAGTGGCGATCCGCTTCTAAATATATCCCAACAGGAGCGACCCGATGACGCTTGACCCAACCTCACCACAGCACCATACTCGACTTCTGGATCTCTACGCCTTTGTAATCTATGAACGCCTGCCCTGTCCTTTCGCATTCTGCCCCGCAAACGGGTCATCACCGTGACATAATCTCACATGCGTAGACGCCTGCTCGTATATCTGTGAAGCCATTCACATCTCCCTCTCCCCAACCTCCTCAACGCTAACTGGTCGTATCGCAGCCGGTCATCTTTCTGCTACTCCACATCTGTCCACTAAGTCCTCCAAATAGTTACCGATGTGCTTCTACCCCGCCTGTCACGCCGCAATCCTACAATTCGTAGCGAGCCGAGCGGGCGTGAACCAGGCCCACGGTTCTTTTTTCTACCCCTGTGAGAAGCTTAACGTTTCTATAACGAGCTCACAGTACCTTACAGGACTCCAAGCGAGCACCATTATCTGGACTACATCTTTCTCCCCAAGCGACTGCCGCGCGTGCATGAAACGAAACATCAGCATGCACACATCACAGACCTTCATCCACCCTTGTCCACAGTCTACTTGCCAGGTTCCGAGCGACCCGTTGGCTAACCCTCGTCCTACTTGGAGACCGCCCTCATCTATCAGATGCAGGTACCGTCCCAGCTTACCTATTCTTAGACTACCGAAGCATATTGACAAGTCTCGTTGTCTCTACAACCGCCATTGAATCCTTCACGATGCTCAGTACTACAGAAAAAGAAACAACTCATGAGATGCACGAGCCGGGCCGCGTGTCTAAATCTCACACCTCCCACTACCTATACACTGCACATTCTGTTAAGATCACCTAGACTGACCCGGCGTACCTAGGCGCTCTACTACAGCTGTGATGATCTTCAAAAAGGCAACAGGCATGCAAGAATAGAACACCAATGCTGTCACACTGCAAGAACATCTGCTGAAGCTTCAGTCTAGATGCCGTCGACTTAGCAAGCACAGAAAGAAAGAGATTGCAAGGCAGACTCTGTCGGGTCCCCTGGAAGAACTGGACAGGACGTTTGAAGAGTCTGTAAGTTCTTACTTGCACTCCGCGAGTTGAACCACAGCACTATAACGGCAAGTACATTCTAGTAGTTTCATAGCAACATCACATCCCCCTGACTATTACATTCCACCAATACCTTGTCGGTCAACATGCACCTAAAACACCATTCGATTTCCGGGAAGGTTCTCCAACCCTATGATGGTTGTCAGTCACATACGAGAAACCACAGAATGAATCAACTTACACCCATCTATGTCCTCATTCACAGTTCGCGGAACAGTGCACTTCATTGCTTCCTCGGGCGTTTGGCTCTTCAGTGCTGGGCAAGCATCGCCATTGCATCTTGTATCCATTGCACGTTGTAGAGCATCGTCTTTCCACCCAAAGACGTAGTCCCCGTGGTTGGTGTACCCATGTCTGTAATCACGCTTTAGTCACGGTGCTGTGTACCGTATAAGTCTGTGGCTACACTTACTCATCTCCAGTGCTCCACACAAACGGCTGCGAACCGTCTGCCGGCCACAGGCTCTTGTCATTGAAGCCTCGCGTCTGGTCGTCGTCTCGTCAGCAATCCGCTCCCATGTTAACTACTTCAAAAGCTTCCCAGATAATAGGACTTCAGGGTATACTCACGTCCCAGATAACCTCATACATCACCTGCGGAATAACAACTGGATGACTCTTCGGACACGTCCCCGTGGGGCCCACGTCATTCGCCTGGCTTCCCGTCGCATACGCAAGATGACTCCTAAATGACGATCAATCAGTCACTCACTGTGCAAGTCTACCCGAAACACATCTTACTTATGATCCGGACTATCCAGATTCTTCCCATCCCAGCACGTCGGAAACGTAAGTATCGTCCTAATACCCCCCGCACATGTCCCCTTCGGCAGCTCCTGTGCGTCCGGCGCCCCGCAGTTGATGTTGCTATTATCTCCCGATGCGGGCATGCAGCGGTGGCACACTTTGCGGGCAGGCTGAGGCGTCGTGGCCGCTGCGTCGCCGACGAGCATCCTGAAGCCGGGCTTGAAGGCCGTCACGGTGGTTTTATTCTGCGTGTCTGGGATGTAGTACACTGTGATGCCTCCGTTGCCTTTGAGGCCTTCGCTCGGGGCCTGCGGCACGCGCTTGAACGTCCCGTTTCGCGCTTTGAAGTATAGCACTGCGGTCCAGTAGTTTGAGAAGTCCTCTGAGAAGGTGCAGCTTGTGCAGGTAGATTGAGAGGGGAGGTCGTGTTGCAGCGTTGCGTTGAAAGAGTTTCCGCCGACGATTTGGTGCAGGTGGGGCGAGGGGGTCAGGCCTGGGTTCACGAGGGGGTCGATGCGGTCGACGACGAGCTGGGAGCACTCGAAGCGCATCATGGGGGGGATGCTTTGGGTTGAGGCGAGGCTCGCGAGGAGCAGGATGGGCCACTTCATGGTGGATAGCATTGTTGCGATGTGTTTTGCGTGACTTGAGAAGAAAACTGCGATGGGAAATCTTAGAGTATTTGGACGCCGACTTCCATGTACTTGGACTTGGGCTTGTTTGTTGGGGGGTGCCCCACCTCCCATAGGGATGTGCGGATTGATTTAATCTCAATGTGCATGTTTATATGGCAAGTCATTTAGGCGAGCGCTCGGGAGATGGTGACGCCAATCACGCAGATTCTCATGGCCCCTCTGACCGTGACAATCAACGTTTATTTCCATGTTCAGGGATCCAATTGCTGTGTCCCTGCTTTATTGAGCATGCTGTTGATATCTCGTTCGAGAGACGATCGTGGTAATCCCTCGCTGAGCACTTGGCGATAGTGACATGGCACCAGCTTTGGATTTCCTACATCGCTATAACTGCGACATTTAATGGTTTTGATTCACATGCCATGTTGGCAAGCACGTTGGTGCTTACTTTCGGCCCTACTGCAAGCTGAACTGATTGGCTGCAGTGACGTGCTACAGCTGAAAGCCACCAGAGTTAACGCTCATAAGCTATCTCAATCGGGGTATATTAGCAGTGATTTCTCTTTGTAGGCATGACAAGGAGCACACAAAAGTCTAAGACAAAGGGATGCCTTCGGTAAAGCTTCTACCTAACATTTGAACTTCAACATGACAGAAGTACGACAAAGGTAGGCTATGTCACCTACAAAGAAAATATCCTCTCGTTAACACTGATTGTTCGTTTTGCAGCCCTGAACTTTCGCTCTTGCAATAAGATGGATTATTCAGGAGTAATCCTCCCAACAAGATGAAGACAGTCCATGAATGCGGTGATGAGTATTCTCTACGCTCCAACAGACAATGGAGGCTAGTGATCATAATTGCGATATTATAGCATTTCTAATACGCTCGGTCCTCGTAACACACAAAGTCTGTATGCATTGACTCAACCACATCAAGCCAGCCAATCCCCTTCAACCCCTTTCAACAGCTCTGCAAGCCATGGCTCGTCCTCCTCATACATATTGCCGTCAAACCCATGATCCCCCCGGCGGCGTCTCCAATTCAAACCGCACCTTGGGAAACAGCTCCCTCGCCCTCTGCACAAACCTCTCTGTCTCCGTCACCGGCACGTTGGTATCGTCTCTCCCATGCAAGATGTACGTCGGCACAAAGAACTTCGCATCCTCAATTCGCGTATCAGGCATGAGATGTTTTCCCGTGCCGAAGAACTCGCCCCAGCGCCCGTGAGCGCGTAGCATGGGCGCAACAGCGTCACGAGCGGGCGGTCGGGCAGCGCTGATGATAGTCCCAGGGATGATGCCGGCAAGGAAGTCTTCTAGGACTTCGTTCGATGGGATGGATTCACCCATGATAATGTCGTCTGGGTGGGTGGGGATCGTGCTCAGCACCGGGTACGCGAGGAGGCAGGCTTTATATGTGGATCGAGGCAGTTCAAGAACAGACTGCAGTGCGGGCCAGGCGCCCGCAGATTCTCCAGAAATAAGGATACTGGAGAGGTCGGGCTCGATTGAGGGTGCCTTGGATGCAAGGTACGTGGGGAGCGAAGACGTAAGCCAGGTATTGAAATCGCGGATGTCTTCTAATATGTCGTCACCGGTGTGCTCGGGGACCAGGCGATAGTTTGGGAGGATGGCGATGGCATTGTTGCGGAGAAGGAAGGGGACGAGGTAGCCAGCGAACCAGGGGGCGTAGACTGCTGTGCCTGCGGTCTGATGGGCAATGTCAGTGAAGGTTTATATAGTTTCTGTTGGGTTGCATACCAGGCCGCCGCCATGCCATTTGATCATTACTGGACGTTTTCCTGGCGTAATCTCTTTAGGGACAAGAACGTTGACTTCTATTTCATGATCGCCAATCTTCTTGTATGAAGTTGTGTATATATTAAAATTGTCGAAGCGGTTTGCCGCTGTGGTGCGGAGTGACATGTTGATCCCTGTGGAGGTGTGCTCAGTTTCAATGTCCGACTTTGATTGAAGACTGTAGTTTGAGAGCTCTGAGTTTGTATGCTGAATCTCGGGCTATGATCTTGATGATGTTGCGGTTCTTAGGATATTATGCTCTTGCTACACTTTGAACGTAGTTCTATGATATAGGAAGAAGCCTGTACCCAAGTAAAAAAAAAGTACTTGATAGTCTCGCGCTGGGTTTAAATTAGTGGATTCGCGCAGATGTAGCATTTTATACTTCTACGCCGCTCGCGAACTCCTGCGCACCGTAGGTTTCGTCTCGTACGTGTCATCACTAATGAGGCCACATCACATGCAGAAATGGGTCGAGGGCGTCAGCCCTTGAACATCGCATACTTCCTAGCCATGACAGGAGATTTTAGGTCGTGCGTTTACGCCAGCGACTTGCTTCCTGCCAAGTCGGGGAATTTCAGTCTGTGCGCAGACATGACCCCACTTCCTAGAGGTGCATCACGACATCTGCGATTGGTAAGCATCCATTTGCTACCACTAAGAAGTCTGAGTCTGCCTTTTAGCCACCTGTGGTGGTTTTGATATCAATAAAGATAGTATCAGTTGCATTCATACGACAACCGTAGCACCTAGGTCAATACATTCGATACCCTTATCCTCCCCTTCCCAACCACCACCCTAAGAATCTTACCCTCTTCCACCCACCTACAAAGTCTCCTCGTAAATAGCTGCATTCTCATGTCCGCCTCTCTCCAAGAAGATCTTTGCGCTCTGTAGCACTTGTGCCTTCAAATCCGGTCTCGTCACATTCTGCCCCATAAACCCACCATACGTACTCTCAAACTCATACCCCTTAATACTCTTCCAAATCCCATGCACCTTGCTCGGCGGCAGCGGAATCATATTCGGGTACGCCCACATGAAGGAGAACGACGTAGTACCTGGGAGACGGTCTTTGTGGTAGAACCCCGAGGGCACACTCATCATTGTGTCCGCGATGAAGAGTTTGCTGTCCCAGTGCAGGAACGAGGAGCCGTCGAAGTGGCCGCCGGCTTGGATGGAGGTTACGTCGGGAAGAATGGTGGTGGCGCCTGAGATGAACTTGCGAACGCCGTGCGCGTCTTTACGTTGTAGCCTGTGACCCATTGTTAGGACGCAATGTGAAATTTGAACTGGGAGCATTACCATTCCTTGTCCGCCTCCTGTAAATATACTGGACATTCAAAAACCCGTGCCCACTCCAAATGCGTCGTCCAAAAGTGCGGATGGCTGATGACGATGGCTTTCAGCCCGCCTTTGCTCTTGATGAAGTCGACAGTTCCGTCGTCGAGCCAGGCTACCAGATCCCACAGGACGTTGCCGGATTCGGTTTGTAGAAAAATGGCGCGCTCGCCGATGCCGAGCTGTTTGGTGGAGGTCGTAGAGTCGCTGAGTCCGGCAGGCATGTAAGTTGTCGAGGGCTTGAGGGGCTTCGTTGTGATGTAGTGGATGCGGGAGTCATGCGGGTCAGTGGTGAATTCGTTCTGCTGCGAGGAGGATTCGTTGTTTAGGGACGTCCTGAAATAGATCAGTGTCTGGTCATTTCTTCCTCACACGTTTGAATAGGAGGGGTGAACGGTAGTTGTATGTTCCAATGGTAGGTGCTGATACCGATATATGCCCTAGACATTGCTATCTACTAATTGTACATTACGTTCATTGACGAGAATCATTAGAACTGACCATTGTTGACCAGTGGGCGGAACGTATTGGCGCGGATCGTCACAAATGGGGCAGTTTGGAGGTGGAGATGAGAGCGGTACATCAAATTGTGTGCCGCATGTAAAACACACAGCGAGATCGCCGCTTTCGTAATGCATCTTGAAGGTCGGTGATATCGGAAATGTTGTATGTTTGCTCGTCGAACGGACGTTGTCAATGTATACAGTTGCTCTGATTTGACGTAATGCTAGGTCTCGAAGAGTGGGGTGAACGCTACAATCAAATAGTACACAGAAGGTTTGGCCGGCCCCTCACAGCTTAGCAATTGCTCACATGGTAACTCTAGGACACATTTTTGCAATACGAGTAACGCGATATCGCGGAATATTTCTTTACGTATACAGGTAGGACTAGGAAGATAAAGGTGTGGTATCTAAGCTCGAATGGCGAAAGCTTCATGTGGAGCAAGCCCGCAACTCCGTTCGCACAGGTCTAGGCAAAAACAAAACTCGAATCTAATTATCAAGATGCCAGATCATCAAGCCAACGAGCCTCCGATTACCCAAACTTCACCGTTGGACACTTTGTCAGCAACACTCGTCACTTCGATGTCGGCGGGCTGGATCTATTCACGTTGTCAGCAGGCTTGCCAAGCGCTCCGAATACCGAGTCATACCTTTTTCTTTCCATCCTTGGTTTCCCACCAGACTTCATTACCGCTTAGTGTCTTCACTTTTTTACCCTCTGCCCATGGGCTCTCGGGTACAATGTGCCTCTCCACAAATCTCCGTAGGTTCTTGTGCGCGCGATCTTCTCCGTCCTGCCCTTTGTACGCCTCCGCCCCGAATGTATCGTAGTCCTCAGCATCTTCCCATGGCTTTCTTTCCAGTTTCTTCATGGCGCTGTTGTCGGGCGCTAGGACGGTTGCGTTTTGCGACGCATCGTCTAACCGGCCAGACACAGGGTCGATGTCGCGTGTGAGACCCGAAAAGATGGCGATGGCTTGGGTCTTTCCGATTACATCGGATATAATAACGCCGGTGGAGACAGTTTCGTCGGCTGGCATATCGGCGAGAGGGTTGTGAAGTAGAGGCAACTGGTGAATGTCGAATGCTTTGATTATATCGCTGAGAGGTCGGGGTGTCGCGGAGGCAGCGAAGATGAGGCAGATGGTGGCAGCGGGATAGGCGAAGAGCGAGGTGGGTCTCATAGTGAAGTATGTGGGTAGTAGCTAGATGCAGGTGGGGTATCGATAGGTTGGTGGTGCGTTCGGAGTGGTGTGAAGGCATAGACGTCATTTCCCCAGATTTGATGCTGCCAAGCCGCCGCCGTCAGATCGGTCTCGTGATCGCGTGAATGCCTGCGCCAACCTTACGTGAAATTTAGTCTCGTTCGCTGCAACACGCGTCAACCCAACTGCAGCTGCCCATCCCGTCCTAATGCTGTTCGCACATATCGATGGAGCTCCAGATCCCCACCGTCTCGGTGGTAAGTGCTTTTACTCTTGTTAAGAAGGTGCTTCTGCTGACATTTCTTCGACAGGATGACCTCCGTCAGTTCCATGCGAAGCATTTCCCTCACGCGCCTATTCCCGAACACTATCTTCATGGCATGGATCATGAAGCTCAGGAGCAATCCCACGATGACGGCGACGATGGCCTCGGCTATTACGACGACGGCGTGAAGCGCACACTCACCGACGAAGAGATCGCCATCTTCCGACATTCCGAGATACAGCGCATCCTCCTTGAACGGAGGCGGCTAAAAGAAGCTGGAGAGCCAATATTTGGCACTCATAGTCCGCAGGTTTTTATGGAGGACGCACCATCGCTACCCGATGCTGCATCCGCGCGCGCAGCCAGCCCAACCTCTGACCAAAGCACACCTATGTCTATTAGCTCTGACGACGAGCAAAGTCAAGCTACACCAGTGGAGCAACCGCAGCAGAAGTGGGCGGTCACCAGTGAGAAGACTCGTACTAGAAACGCGAAAAACAGGAAGAAGAATAGGAAGAACCACCGGGAAAGGAAAAAAGAGGAACGCAAGAGGCAAGAAAGAGAAGCGAAAGAAGCTAAACGCAGAGCAGAACAACAGGAACAGGATGACGAGAGCGACGAATGGGATCCATGGCACCAGGCGAATGGGCCGGATGCTCAGAAAGAAGATGCAGTTGATTTGGACTATTGAGCGACACTGCATAGCATGGAATGGCGCTCTGCAGACGAATACCCCTGAGTTTGACAGGGTCTTGGTGCTGGATGGCGACTCATATTCGCGAAGGTCCTCTAGAGCGATCTCGGAGCCTATTAGCAGGTACCTACAAGGTCAACATACGGTATGTACTCCATCTCCTACGTGCCCAATCGGGCTGTCAGCAATGATGAAAACCTTTGTATCGTCATCCTTAGTCGGAGACGAAACCGGGTGAAGGACGGATCGTTCTGCTATGCAGGCTGGTCTTACCGTAGCCAAGGTTTTGTCAAGGTCGAGTCAAAATCTTCTCTCTGAAATTCGCACACCTCTATTCCCAGATTACATTGATTACATAACTGTGTTCCGAGAGCTAACTCTCCGCTTTAGTCACAGAACGCTCGAATGACGGTATAGCGCATTGGCAGACCAGCTTTATTTGACAAAAATAATGACTGGCAACTTCCGCGGTTGATCGCAGGGAAGATGACTATGGAAATGGCGGAAATAGCGGCAATGGCAACGACATCGGCCTTCCTTCGAAGTGACGTGCCGACGGCATCTTGTGTCTGCTTTCACAACGCTTAGCCATGTCCCGGCCGCGGACCCTGATGGCGTTCGTGAAGTTGGGTTATGGTGCGATGGGTTGAGTAATCGTCAGCAGCTGCACGGCGCTAGCGACCAGCCTACAGTTTCTTGAGCTACCCAATGAGGAAAGCCAATGAACATCCAGCGGCGTCTTACTCCAAGTATTGCCACATAGTACGGGTCTTGGTCAGCTTGTCAATGTGCATGATTACTACTGAATGTGGAGCCTGGTCTTCAAACACCATGGTTTGAGTGACGATAGGGCTTGAGCCTGGGTCTTGGTGGAAGGAGCGTGCATTTGGAATCGCACAGCGCGAAAAAGATATATAAGGCTCAGATACTTTCATAGGAAGATGCATCAACAAGCCTTCGAAACACAACAACTACCAGTCAGTATTCAAAGGCTCAACAGTAAACGGCATCTCTATTTGCCAACATGACCCTCCTCACAACCATTACCCGCTTCCTCGCCCTCTCCACCGGAGAATCCGTCTTCTACCGCGAAGCCGGCGCACCAACCTCCCCAACCATTGTGCTCCTTCACGGCTTTCCCTCTTCCTCCCACCAATTCCGCAACCTCATCCCCCTCCTCGCTCCCAAATACCGCGTCATCGCCCCCGACTTTCCCGGCTTCGGCTTCACAAACGTCTCCTCCACCTACACCTACACCTTCGACAACCTCGCCTCCACAGTCGCCACCTTCCTCTCCGAGATCCACGACGCCCCCCAAAAGTACACCATCTACATCTTCGACTACGGCGCCCCCGTCGGCCTGCGTCTCGCCCTCAAGCACCCCAACCACATATCCGCCATCATCGCACAAAACGGAAACGCCTACGAAGAAGGTCTATCCCCCTTCTGGGACCCCATCCGCACCCTCTGGGCAACTAACAACTCCGTCCCCGCCCGCAACGCACTCCTCCCCTTCCTTCAGACCGGCACGAAAGGACAGTACGTAGACGGCGAGCCTGATCCTTCTGCCATCGATCCCGCCTCCTGGACGCTCGATCAAGCTCTCCTGCAACGCGAGGGGAACTTCGCCATCCAGCTCGACCTCTTCTACGACTACCGCACCAATCTGGAACTGTATCCCAAAGTGCAGGCATGGTTTAGAGAGAGCCAGGTCCCGCTGCTGACCGCGTGGGGGAAGAACGATGTCATTTTTCCTGCGGCGGGCGCGGAGGCGTATAAGAAGGATTTGCCGGCTGCGGAGATCAATTTGTTGGATGCGGGGCATTTTGCGGTTGAGAGTCATGCTGGGGCCATTGCAGGGCTTGTTCTGGACTTCTTCAATAGGAAGGGGGTGTGAGAGTGCTGTGCTATGTAGGAAGGAAAATATTCAGTGGTGATTCTTCTGGTAGGCTAGTAGGAACTGGAATGATCAGGATTAACGTACATGTGCAAGCTGCTATTCCAGTTCAATTAAGAAAACACTGTAGCTTCCTATCAAAGGCACGGGCGGCATGGTCTTTAAGTAGAAGCAATTTTATTATCTGTACCGTTTCGGTTCACTACTGACTCCAAGACCGTACTTGATGAATATCGCTCGCACGCTTGCTTCTAGGAGAACACCACTTCCTCATGTCATGACTGCTCCGAAGTTCATTCTTCCGTCCATCCATTCGCCCCGTCCATCTCTTCGCGCCAAATATGTACACATGTGTATCTGTCGCCTGCTGGAAAAGCAGGCGTTGAAACGAAGACCGACAGAAGCAAGACTCAAACGAAGTGCAACGACTCCGCCGCCAAAGTAATCGAGAGTGGGAGGAAAGGAGATATGGTGGTGTGTCGAGGCGACCGCATGTGTAAGGGAGAGGAACATGCGGAGAAATCGCATACCAGATCGAGAGATAAAGATCGAGAAGTTGTACACTAGGAGACAGCCTCCACGGTGTCCGCTGGCTTTGCGGCCTCACCGTCGCCGTTTGTCTCGGCTGCGGGTGCATCTTTCTTAGGCTCCGGAACGGACTCAGCCATAGCAACGTCCCCATCGGCATCCTTCGGGTTGGCTTCCTCAGAGGCACCAGACGTAGTCTCCTCTTTCTTCTCCTGGGCGGGCTCGTCTGCCTTCTTCTCTTCAGACTTGACCCCGTTCGTGGCAGGGGCTGCGGTCTCCTCGGCAGCATCTTCGCCCGCAGACAGGGTACCCCACTTGTTAAGCAGGTCTTGTGAACGTGACGTAATCTTGAACTCCTCGTCTCGCGGAATAGGGCCGAGTTTCAAGATACCCTTCAGAACTTTGTGGACCTTGGTCTCTTTGATAATCTCAGGCTCAAGGTTCTTCAGCTCTTCGAGCTGAGCCATGTAACCGGACATATTCGGCATATCCTCATCCTTGGGCGGCTGGTTGCGAGTAAGGAATCCCTTCTGCAGGCGGTGGCGGAGGTAGAGGACTGTTCGCGTCAATGTGCGGTCTTATAGTATCGACCCAGATGACATACCTGTCTTCTTACGCTTCTCGAGACGCTCCTCCTCCGTCATAGGCGGCTCCTCGGGCTGGGCTGGCTCTGAGTCCTCTTTCGCTGCCGACTTGGACTTCTTAGATTCCGAAGCCGGCTTCTTCTTGGTGGTGAGCTTCAACGTAGTCTTCGGGGTCTTTGCAGGCTGTTAGTTGGATTAGTCGCAAGCCACAGATACTAGGTGCTAAGCGTACCTTTTCTTCATCACCCTCGCTATCAGCCTCCTTCTTTCGCTTCTTTGTAGGCTTTGCCTTCTTCGCAGAGGCAGCAGCTGTGTCGCCGGCGTCGCCCATCTCAACGTCCTCGTCTTCAGCGGCAGCGGTGCTCTTGCGTTTCGCAGCCTTCTTAGCGGCCTTCTCGGCCTTCTCTTCGCGTTTCGCCTCCTTGGCCAATTCATCCTCTTGTACAGCTTGCTCGTGGTGGACGAGAATATCTTTGAAATGGCTCAAATCGTGACCCTCAGCTGCGATCTGGTAAGCTTCCCACAACTGCTTGTTCTTCTTCGCGGAGTTTCCAGAATCAACCTCCTTCTTGATCTCGTCCAGATGGAAGGGTATGAGGTCGGTGTTTGGTTGCCAGGCACTTCAAAGCTAGTCAGCACACGTTCATGAATGCAGCAAAAGCTTTCGGGTGGTGTCCGACTCACAATTCGTTTGTACCCAGGAACATCACAGGATATCGCCGGTCTTTGACGTTCTTGCCGCCTTCCTCGAAATCTTCGCGATATGTTCCATCAAGTCTCAAGGCGCTTACTGGGCGTTTCGCGAGGAGTGTCTCAGGCAGCATGTCCTCGTCGGCGATAATGACAGGCCACGGCTGGTATCCGCGCATGGCGACCAACCACATATCACCCGGCTTTGTGTCGAGGTTCAATTTTATCTCCTTCTTTCCCTTCTTGCCGGGAGTCTTCTTGCCCTTGTGCTCAGGAACGCCGCCGGTGGACTTGCGTCGGTTGTTGTTTGCCTTCTTACCAGAGGCCGGGGTGCCGTTCGTTGCCGTCAATTCTTCAGATGCGGCGACGTCTGCCCACGTATCAGCAATGCGAGCTACTCAAGACAGGCTTGCAGTTTGACAAAGCGTCAGTGTCTAGACTCACCTCCACTGCCCTCAGCCACTGCAGCGTCGGGCTTCGTATCTGTCGCATCGTCTTTGGCGGCTTGGTCGTCGGTCGCGGCAGCAGCTTCAGGTGCTTGCTCTGGATTCGATTAGCGAGAACCGTGTATGAATTCTACTGACATAGGTTACCTTCGACAGGCGCGTCTGCAGGTACGTCACCGCGTTCCGACGGCTTCTCCTCAGTACCCTTTACAGGTTCTGGGGCGTCGACGGAACGCGTCGGCTCGTCGACAGTCTTGGTAGCATCGACGGTGATAGGTGTAGCTGCCTCCTCAGCCATGGTGTCGATGATGCTGACGGTGCGACCGTAGTGGCGACGCGTAGGCGGAGGCTGAAGAGCGCGAATTGCTCGCCGGGAACGTGAGGTGCGATGGGAATGTCCTCGGGTTGATGGCGCGCAGGTTGTGGTGATGGTACGCGATGGCGTTGGGCGAGTTGTTTGTGGATGAGCCCTGGAGCGAGGGGAGCGTCCAGTTTCTAGAAGAACGAGCGGCGCGCAACTCCAACCCGCCTCGGTCGGTCACGTGCGCAACGCCTCGCAGCCTTGAAAACAGGCTATATTGACCCCACAGTAACCAAAGCAGTTGGACCTGATTCTCAACGCGCGTCTCAAGCTCCGTGCCTTCTTTTATGATGTTGCAGCCTGGGGTCGTTTGTGTTGTTGCTGGCTTGCGTCGCAGCTTCCTTCGAAGGTTGCCTTAGTGCAAGGATCCGTGCGATGAGCTGTGCGCCTCGGCAACGCTGAAGGAGAGATATCAAACTCGGAGGAGATTTTGCGCTTTACTGGAGAAGCGCAGAGTGGTAGTGACAAAGTCTACGAAGGACACGCCTAGAGAATGCGCAGATCTAGACTTGGCAAACTTGGTGTTGAGGTTTTGAAACAGGACACCCGACCGATAGCAAAAGCGCAGCAGATACGTGCAGGACCGAGATGGTCGTTTGCCTTCTGTAGCTTTCGAATGTGTCTTTGATCCAGAAATGAACTGGGAGGTTCGTTAGCTTATTGTCTTAAAAGACTTGTTTATGATTGGTAAAGGCACCGCGGCTACACATCCCACAGCAAACTTTTCATCTCAAGCAAGCAAGACAGGTGAGTAGTATCATTCACAGAGAGTGAGAATCAATTGTAACGATTACTATACATTCCAATTAGCTTGCGCATTTAGGAGGGATATGGCCAGTCGCCTCTGGAGCTGATTGTCACTTACTTTACACTAAGACAGGCTCACAGGGCTTTGAAACAGCTATATATGTGATGTTGTCAAGTCTAGGTTCGAACATAGCGACGTATGTCGCAGAATGCTATAGCAATTGGCTTCTTCAGATCCCACGAAGCTGGGGAGCTGACAGCCGGGAAACCTGTATAGGTCATTTAAAACACTGCGTCCTTCTCTCATCGACGTGAGCCGTCTTCGGGAAGCCGATGTTGCTTGAGTTGCAAGACGGATCACCAGTCGAGTACAGATCGGCATGGCCTCCGAGTGATGTCTGTGATGCGATAAAGCCATGAAGCCTATGAACGAACTGTAAATTTGGCCTTTTGAGATGGAGTAATCCTGATCTTTTGTAGATGCTAAGCATAGTCCGCAGTAAAGCACGCGGTTGTTTACGCGTCGTCTTGGCCATGATGTAGCTGCATAGCTTCGTAAATTGTCGATATTGCACGAAGCAGAGCCTCTTGCCTGGCTAATGCGAACGCTGAGGGGCGCAATGTGCTTGAAGGTTCCGAACAGCAAGGTCAGACCACGATTGACAGTCTTGAGAACAGGGGTTGACAGTACGATGTGACTCTGCTGCGTACCAGGCCATGCACATTGACGTGCATGCGGGGGTGCTCGCGTATGATGACCGTAACGGATTGCACACCAGGACCTGGTGGGAGCTTCGATCATGAACCGAACCGTAACTGTTTTGCGGAAGGTGGAAGGACTCCCTGATCCGGATCTCTGCCGTGTATTTGACCCAACAGGGACTGCTAGAGTGCTGCTCTGCGTAATAGCCATCTTGCGTAGCACAACATGGCCCCGTCTGCTCCATGGTCTGGACAGATGTGCTGGATAGTGCTCGTAGCGATAACGAAGGAGCTATTGCCCGGATATTGTACTGTCTTTTCAAAGAGCTACTAGTGGTCTAGCACCGTCTCTTGCATTGCCATGCCACTCAAGGGGGTCTGGCATATCCACATCCTGCCCTGCTGCGGCAGAAAGCCTGCACCTCCTCTTTCTAAGCATCGGCGTCTGCTTCTCGGATTCGGTGATCCCAGATTACAACAAGCGTGTCGTCATTCTATATATATTATACAACTTCCCATGTCATGATACGGGCTGTTGTTCTATGGGAGCGTGTGTTGGCGGGCGCAAGTTCGTGGGGTCGTTCCTCGGTCGAGGGGTTGCGGTGCGAAGTGCGGGTCAGTGGATCGCGGCATCGTGCACGCGGCCCCGGCGAATCGTTAGCGGCATGCTCGTCGTCGCATACGTAGAACCATCGTGTGGCTGCGCTCTCGTCGTCTGTGGATATCGTCTAGCGTGGGCGGAAGGTGGACAAAGCGACGGTGTTTGATGTGGTGCTTCAAGTCGCCTGCCGCTCACTCACTAACCTTCGGTTCCAGATGCGATCTAGGAAACCAGCCAATCACGTGCCAGAAGCTGTCTACCTCACACAATCTACAAGCGCTGGATATTCACATGGTATTGCAAGATATGCGGGCTCAATTTCGAACAGCAGCTACTGTAGTTCAAAAGTTACGATACCTTCCACGAAAGGAGCTTTCGTGAAGTTGCTGACGCTACCAGATCCATGCAAAATAGGGTGTTAGTAACTTGCCTTTGTCACTGCTCACTGCGGCTAGCAAAGCTTATATCTATCATGGTATGCATAACATAGAGGCGCAGAAGGCAGCAACTACAAAGTGTGGAACAGGACCGGGAGGCAGGTGCATAGCGCCGCAGTAGCACCTGTGAGCCGTGAGTCCCAAGCTGAGCTTAAAGCAAGCAAGGAACCAGGCTGTCGCAGCGGTGTCACCAAAGCTATAACAAGCGCAAACGGCAACTCCCATAGCTTCAAACAGCTCTATATTCTCACTTCCTTCGGTGATCTCACCTGTATCCAACCTTGAAGGCTTGTCATCTCCGGTGTCTGCCTCAAACCCCGCCGCATTCGTCGCCGCAGTGACCCCCTACCCCGCCAAACAACGCGAAAGCACGGCGCAAGCGACCAGAATCTCCACAGCACTGCGCATCGCTGCCCACACGTTCAACTAAGGCGAAAGCCGAAGCGGCATTGAAGATGTTCGCAACCAAGAGACTCTCAAAGGTATGCGACTGCGTGAACTCGACAGGTTGCAGCAAGTGTTCACAATGTATCTAGGAGCTCACCAAGGTACGACATGTGCTGTTTCACAGTCGCAGATGAAGTTGCTAAGATGGCCGTGCACATAGCTGCAGGACAAGCTCCCGCCTGGCATAACGCTCGTGAAAGCGGACGACTTTCGAGAATGGCTCATGGACATACAAGTGATGGATGATAGTATGTTCCGCCAACAACACTCGTCGACTGTCAACCAGACTAAGCGTTCCAAGATCCTATATACAAAGGACAGCTGTATAGGTTGAAGTTCTCCTTCACCCAGAGCTATCCTATCGAGGCCCCCGAGGTCGTCTTCGTTCGCGACGAAAGCCACCCGATACCGATCCATCCGCACATCTATTCGAATGGCATCATATGTCTCGACCTCCTCGACCGGCAAGGCTGGTCACCCGTACATAACGTGGAGAGCGTCTGTGTCAGCTTGCAGAGCATGTTGACGAGCAATACCAAAAACGAGCGACCGCCGGGCGACGAGAGTTTCGTACGCCATAATACACAGAGGCCGAGGGACATTAGCTTTGTCTTTCATGACAACGCTGTGAGTTTGGACTTAAAGCTACGTGAATCTGCAAAGCTAATGGCAACTAGGTATAAACGATCGTAGAGACGTCTCGCCCGGTCCTGGCGTCGAGAAGAGGAGACCGGCAACCGCATATACAGGGTCCATGGTTGGTGGCAATTGGCGCTATGATATTTTTCGAATGCATTTTTCACTCGGCGGAAACTGGCGTCGGGATGTTGAGGGACTACCAAGGGAAGGATCGTAACGGAGGACAAGGCGTTCTGCTTTCTCAATAGACTGAACTACCTTTACTTTGCATGCTCGATAAATTGTTGGCTGCGAGCTATTCAGAGCATGCTAGCTCATGTTCCTTTATGCGTGCCAAAGGGCACGCGCCTCAGTGTGCCATAGTGGATGATATAGAATTTACGGTCTCACAGTAGCAAGCAACATTGCGGAAGCAGCAGAAGGCTGCACCTGATGAAGGTGTAGGCGTCGCCTCGGCACGTGTTGTCGTAAGCGAACTGTGGACCAACGAAATTCTACAAACTCTTGGCTACTGCTAGCGGGCAGGTCGTTGGAAAAACTATTTTGTTCGACGTCCCGCCCACACCGACTTCCCCTCCATTCTCACCAACCCCTCCTAACATACCATACACACATCCTCACCATGAGCGACGAAGTTTATGAGGGTGCCATTGGCATCGATCTTGGTGCGCATGTCCGCAAGGCTTTTGCCCGCAGCAAATTTTGCTAACGCACACCGCCAGGCACGACCTACTCTTGCGTCGCCAACTACGAGGGCACCAATGTCGAGATCAGTACGTTTCCGCGAACGCGCCACCGAAGAGAACGGGTTGTCTAACATCCGCGCAGTTGCCAACGAGCAGGGTAGCTTCACCACCCCCTCATTCGTCTCTTTCACCAGTGAGGAGCGTTTGATTGGTGAGGCAGCCAAGAACCAGGCTGCTATGAACCCGGAGAACACTGTCTTTGATGTCAAGTACGATTTCGACTGCTCGAACATTCTGGACCATACGATTCTGACTTTTTCGTAGGCGATTGATCGGTCGCCGATTCGAGGACGAGACCGTCAAGAAGGACATCCAGTCATGGCCGTTCAAGATCATTGATGCCAACGGCAGCCCCCGCGTCCAGGTCCAGTACCTCGGAGAGACCAAGGACTTCTCCCCTCAGGAGATCTCTGCCATGGTTCTCGTGAAGGTATTATCAGTCTTAATGTATCTTTTGAAAATCCGCTTATACCCCGCAGATGAAGGAGATTGCTGAGACCAAGCTCGGTAAGAAGGTCGAGAAGGCGGTCATCACTGTCCCCGCCTACTTCAACGACAACCAGCGTCAGGCTACCAAGGACGCCGGTGCCATTGCTGGCCTTAACGTCCTCCGTATCATCAACGAGCCTACCGCTGCCGCTATCGCCTACGGTCTCGGTTCCGGAAAGTCGGAGAAGGAGAGGAATGTCCTCATCTACGACTTGGGTGGTGGTACCTTCGATGTGTCTCTCCTGCACATCCAGGGCGGTGTCTTCACCGTCAAGGCCACCGCTGGAGACACCCACTTGGGTGGCCAGGATTTCGATACCAATCTCCTTGACCACTTCAAGAAGGAATTCCAGAAGAAGACTAAGAAGGAGTGAGTGAACCCCAATTTTCCATATCCCAGGTCACCAGTCTCGATGCAGTGTTGCCTCAGGCTACACAATACAGCGACAGACGAATCTCATGACCTGCTGCATCCATAACAGTAGCACGTGCTAACTCGTCTCAGTATCTCTGGAGATGCCCGTGCCCTTCGTCGTCTCCGAACAGCTTGCGAGCGTGCCAAGCGTACCCTTTCCAACGCCACCCAGACCACCGTTGAGATTGACTCGCTCTTCGATGGCGAGGACTTCAACGCCAACATCACCCGTGCTCGTTTCGAGGACTTGAACCAGAAGGCTTTCGCCGGCACTCTCCAGCCTGTTGAGCAGGTGTTGAAGGACTCTACCATCCCCAAGGACAAGGTCGACGAGATCGTGCTTGTTGGTGGATCTACCCGTATCCCCAAGATCCAGAAGCTCCTCAGCGACTTCTTCAACGGAAAGAAGCTCGAGAAGAGCATCAACCCCGACGAGGCTGTCGCCTACGGTGCCGCCGTTCAGGCCGGTATTCTCTCCGGAAAGGCTACGTCTGCTGACACCGCTGACCTCCTCCTCCTCGACGTTGTCCCGCTTTCTCTCGGAGTTGCTATGGAGGGCAACATTTTCGCTCCCGTCGTTCCCCGTGGCCAGACTGTCCCCACCATCAAGAAGCGAACTTTCACCACCGTTGCTGATAACCAGGTATGACCCATTCTCACCCTAACCATCTTTACTTGCATATGCTAATGCTTCCTAGCAAACTGTTCAGTTCCCCGTGTTCCAGGGTGAGCGTGTTAACTGCGAGGACAACACCTCCCTTGGTGAGTTCACTCTTGCACCTATCCCTCCTATGAGGGCTGGTGATGCCGTCCTTGAAGTCGTCTTCGAGGTCGACGTCAACGGTATCCTTAAGGTCACTGCCACCGAGAAGACCTCCGGTCGCAGCGCCAACATCACCATCTCCAACGCTGTCGGCAAGCTCTCATCCACCGAGATTGAGACTATGATCAACGACGCCCAGAAGTTCAAGACCAGCGACGAGGCCTTCAGCAAGAAGTTCGAGTCCAGGCAACAGCTTGAGTCCTACATCTCCCGCGTTGAGGAGATGGTCTCCGACCCCACCACTTCCATCAGGCTCAAGCGCGGCCAGAAGGAGAAGATCGAGTCTGCTCTCAGCGACGCCATGGCCCAGCTCGAGATTGAGGATGCCCCCGCCGAGGACCTGAAGAAGAAGGAGCTTGCCCTCAAGCGCGTCGTCACCAAGGCTTTCTCCACCCGGTAAACGTCTCAAATAGCAGTGAGAGTTTCGGAAGAGTGACCGCAGGCGCAACTTATCAGATTGCGACTGTTGCGGCTACGGGCTCGTGCGGAATCCTCCGTGCAGCATCTTGATAGATTCGGTTTTATTCCCGCCTGGCGCTTTCCTCATGTTTTCCCTACGGTATCTTCGGCATTTGGGGATGGAAAAGTATTGCGAGCATGATCTGACGACTGCAATTGACTGGATATGACGGCCGCTGCGTCTCCTTATGTCTTGCAAAATGACCAAGGTTATGGAGTTCTTTGTATTGAACTGAGGTGGTGGTGGATATGTCAATGTCAATGTCAGGTAGATAGATGTTAGGTGAAACGGAGAACTGTTCAATTACTTTTACGTTTGGCTTTGGGTGCTCATGCTCGTCGCATTCCCGCCTCCGGGCTTGTCACAACAGTCTCAGACAGGGGCCTCGCATTCATCCCTTCTCTCATACTGATATAGGTCGCAAGGCGCTGCCCTCTCGTTATGGCATCGCGCAATGAACATGATACATAGCCCCTTTTCCACTCCGTCCTTCAGAAGATCAGAAAATGCCTCACGTATTATTCGTCGCCCTTTCGCAATGCCGCGCACCACCACCAGTGCATTCAGCCGTGCGTTCCGACACCACGACTCCATGTTCACGTGCGCCAAATTATGGCGTTAGCCAATACACGAACACACATCATGGGATGGTTTCGTCTATAAAAGCCAGCTCTCCGGACCTCCACTCTTTCTTTCTTCACACCACTGCCTTGTCTTGTGCACTAAAAAAGAAACTGGGTCCACCCATGGGTCTCTTCTTGGAGCTTCAAAAAGCATAGCTGCTATCTTCATGCTGTGTCTTTCCCTGCTTGTCCGGTCTCCACAGCAGAGGGCTCAAAAAGGATCCGGACCAGCGCAACATGGTGTTCTGTGCTGTGCAGCCGCGAAAATAAAACCTGCCACCCACCTTACTATGGACCTTTTCTGCCGGGTTCGAAAGCCCTCATGGTAGCGGTCATGGCGTCCCGCCTCTGGATCTCCTGCGTTTGGGAGAAAGGGAATCTGAACACTTTGAGCCAGAATACATGCCGTTCTGCTGCCGTGAGGCCGTTACCGCGAGAAAAAGACGAAGACAATAACAATGTGCGTTCTTTCTCGTCGTTTCCAGGACACTCGATTTCAAAAATCTTCTTCTTTGGTGCCATGTCTGGAGGAAGGCTTTAAAAATAGCCAACCCAAGATCTCATGTTTTCCGGTGCTTGTGTCCTCCAAAACCATACGGCGGAAATACTATGGACTTCCGGGGAATCGAAAAGCGCATACAAGTGTCCTAGTCTCTGGGACGAGAACCGCATATCGAGCGAGACAATGTCTTGTGTGCTCTCGAGTTTTTCAGGTGTATGGACGAATGTTTCTGGATCCAAACGTCTATACGAGATGGACCATGTCTTTTCCTGCGGCGATAAATGGAATTCTACTTTGACCATGTCCCTTCCGCGCTTTTTTCTTCGACAGAGCACGTCAAGCAACGAGCCTTCTGCAGATGTTCAAAAGACAAGCGCAGACGAATCATGTGTCCGGCCGGTCAAATCTTGAAGTCGCTTGCTGCACGCCTCCGCCAGCTTCTCTTGTCCCTCCACATATACTACCAAGGAGATGTTCTACTGTCAAATGTCGGCCTTTATCACTCATGTTTCTTCTTGACCGAAGACATTACGAAGTAAAACCATGGCCTTTCCGGCTCCCTCTTTCCGTAACTATCTCAAAGTGTGAACTGGGAAACTCTGAGATCTGAAGGAAGCCAAGTATTGTCCATCACGGTACATGTGCCTTGTCGGCCGAAGCAATTGATATGCAACCCGATGGCTTCTCTGTCTCTCCTTTTCACATCAATCTCGGTATGAGAACTGAGCAACACTAAGCTACAAAAGAAGTACCGTCTGGGAGTATGGGTCTGCCGTGTCAAAAACAGTTCCAAGAACACACCATGAGATCTGGCCCTTTCTTCTCAAGATGCAAGAAGGCTAAGAACATGGCCTGTGTTGCTCGTCTCGAAGATGAACGTCTCTCAACGCATGCCGGGGGAGGGGTCTAAAAATAGTCTCAGGAAGTTGTGATGTGTCTCCTCCTGGCCTTCTTTCCAGAGTCTCGCTTCACTTTACGCAACGAGATTCGTGTTATTGCCATGAAATCATCCTCCTCGCGATCAAAAACATATCTTTGAGAGGCCATGTCCTGCTGCTCTCTCTCTCTCTGAACCGCATTCTCACTTGCGAGTGCAAGCATCTTGAAACGCAACCCCTTAAGAACACGCACGGATGTCCAAGGACTACAGCATAAATGCGATGACTTGTCTGAACGCCAATCCTTCCATCTTTACATCTTCTGCAAAACCTCCAGTTTCAAATTACTGACACAATGTCTGATGACCCGTGGACCAGGACGCGGAGTAGAGGAATGTAATATCCTCTCTGTTCTGGTTTTTAAAAGAAAATCAACTCCTTGAATGTGCTTGTGGGAGAGAGACAACTCAAAAAGAAAATAGTTCTTGAGATGTGCTGCGAGAATCAAAGAGTGTATATGACCATCAAATGGCTCTGGGCCGCCGTTCGTCTCTCAACTTAATGCAGCGATGTTTCAAGACGCTTCTATCGTGGTCTCGAAGGTCAAGACGTCGTGTACGATGCTGGAAGTCACTCAAATAGGCTTCCAAGCAGGCCATGTTGTTCTTAGTTCCTCGTCAAACTAAAGCCGTGCCCAAGAAATGCACACGTCCACCTCTTCCTCCGCTCTCAAGACAACACCGGTAAACGGCCATGTCTGCATCTCGCGGCTGCTTATCTAAAAAATTTAAGAAGTTGGGGAAGTTATACATGTGTCTCTCGGATCCGTTCCCCGCGACAATGAGGACGGAAGATCACTGAAAGAATTGGAAGACCTATCCATGTGCTGCCCTCCTTTGCTGCATTCAAACCGCGTCTGCTCAACCCCATGACTGCAGCCCGCTCGTGTTCCAACCGAACACTAAAAAATCTTTACTCCTGGGTCATGTCGCGCCCAGCATCTTTCTCTCCACCGCATTCTCCCTCTTCCGTGAGCAGTTCGTCTTTAGGGATCGCACACTCTGGCGTTTAGTTGTATGTCCTTCGGTCATCCTGCTCTCCTAAAATAAGCGCCAAAAGCTAGGATGAACAAGGGACTGGACTCTGTTCAAAAGCCGTTCCATCTGCTTTCATGTGCGCAACCTGTGGCTGCTCCTCTTGGATGTTAAAAGATGTGGCAACCACAAGACATGTCGCTCCGGGGTCTCTACTTGTAAACACGGCCATTCGAGCTTTCTTTGCATCTTGTCTAAGATTTGTGCTGTTCCGTACTATGATCTTCGGTTGTCGTCCGCTTCTAAAGACATCACCTATGGCATCATGTCCTGCGGCGCTGGACTTTTGCTGGGAGACACAAAAGGCATGCGAGTCCAATAAATGTCTGCATCCGCGGTTGATCTTCCCCAGTCACCAAAGCACACTTACGATCGAACAGATATCGCTTTGGGTGCCCGGATGTCAAAACACGCAGCTCTCATCGCCTATGAATTCTTGTTCCAAAAGATTAGTCATTCTCGCTATGTTCTTCGGTGCTTCCTCGCTTTCAGATAACTTGAGAATCTTGGCCATGTTTGCGCGGCGCTGGAGCCTGACAAAGCGTACTGGAGATGTCGCGACCTTAGAGCAATGGCGTTTCCAGGTCTTGTTCGTAGACACTGCAACACCTGTCGTTGCTCTTGCCGTTATCCGCCATCAAAACAGAAAAGCTCTTGGCCACATGTTTGCGGAGTGCTGGAACCTTTCTACAAATGTATAAAGGGATACCATGCCAATCTATGTGTCGCAGAGCGACCATACCCTTCGGTACAATTCCATTCCGATCGTGGTTTTCGGCCTGAAAGATTGAAAGTGAATGTCCTTGTGTTTCGATCGTTGCTACTTTCCAACATGGACAAAAATGGACGACAGTGCCTCCAGGACTAGTGGATTTTAAGTTGTACGTGGCGCACCAAATACCTTTCAGGTCGCTTGATCACGGGAGGCAGTGTCGTCGTACATAAGGTCCTTCATCCTCCTCCCTGTCTCAAGACCCCTTCTGAGCCTGCCACTTCTGCCTCTCCTCATCCGACCACGCAACATCAATCCTCTCCGGCACATCCCCCTTTAACCCAGTCTCCCCCTTCGCCTGGCCCTTCAACAACACCTTCACCAATCCAGCAGGATTCTTATCCAACATGCCAACTCCCCGCCCCGTCTTCTTGTCCATGATCCACCGCTCGGCGCCAATAGAGATGTCGTAATCCTCTCGTACTGGATTGCCCATCACATTGCATATGAAGCTCGGAACGTAGAGCACATCCCGGAGTACAACTTTGGAGTTCTTTGGACCCACATTCCTCTTTGCAGCGTTGCCGATGACTCTGCGGACCTCGATCTCAACTGAGCCTATGCCTTCAACAAGGAATGTGGCGCTGCTGTGCGTGCTGCTGATTTGAGAGGTGAAGGGTGTGAAGGTTGTGAACCAGTCGCGGTTGGTCGCAACATGGATGTTGGAGTCGAATGACCAGATCCAGTCGATGTTGTAATCTGGACCGGTGGGGGGCATTGTGCGTCGGATGCAGAATTGTGACTTTGGACGAGTAGGGAATGGAGACAGTCATGGTTGTCTCCACGTCAGGTTGATCAAGATTAGCGAGCTAACTTTGCTCAGATGGGTTTAGCGTGGATGAGTTCGTGAGCACTTAAAGCGCTCCCTCACGATTTCCCTCTTCTAGTCCGCATCTTCTCTTCGAGACACGCTTGAAAAAGGGGCGAGTTCGAGCATGTGCTATCAGATCTTTTCTCCCTAGACCAGATCGATTTCGATTTTCGCCTCAGATCGTGGACCAAATACATCATGAGCTCTTGCTGTGGTCCGCTTCCAAAGCAATGAACCTGGATTGGATATGTATTTGAAGAGACAAAAAACATGGGCCATGCCGTCTTTGGTCTTGGTTTACAAAACACAACTATCTGCTCTCAGTGACACTACAATCCATGTCATCGGAACGTTGCCTGCGTCGGTACAAAAAGCAACCGCGGGAGCCTCACTCTCCAAAAGCTCCCATTGATAACTTATATGCACTCAGCTTCCCGAGAAGTACAGCTGTGACCAAGAAAAAGCTCGTCTGATTATGACGTGCCTTTTATTGTGTCTAGGTCCGAAACGCAGTGAAGTAAAATGCATGGGAGCGGCTACCAAAAACTCCATAAGAAGACACTCCATGTCTCCCGCGTCTCTCTGCCGCTTAATGAAAAGATGATACTCGTCAAATCCAATTGCAAAGCTCCTCTCACCTCTCATGCACTTCTCAAAATCGACCGCAGCACTCTATATGGGCCGTGGGCTTTAAATGAGTACAGATACTATTCTATGTGAACTCTCCTTCTTCCTCACACCTCCTCACCCCGACAACTAAGTCTGAAACATTCATCAAACTCATATCATGCCTGTTAGCCTGAGAATTACAAGTCGTCAAACTTTATGTGGACCTTGTCTCTATGCCGAGTGCAAAACCTGATAGCAAAAGAAGACAGAACTCACTCCTGCGGATGCCGATCATGGCACTCCCTCGATTTCAGAAATGAAAGGCCATCCGATGCATGTATGATCGCTTTTAGAACCATGAAGGTGTTGAGCCACGTCCTTCTTGCGCCCCTCGAGCTTCCACACACGTGCACGAGGTCCGACTATGTGCTGCGTCATCCTCTAACAGGAGGAAGACAATCATGTGGACTTTCTTTTTTCCGCCCTTTCAATTTTAAAGATAACCCGAGCCTATACCGGTATATCTTGGCGTTCAGAAAGGTATAAGGACCATCCACATATACGCCTTCTTCGTCTCTCACTCTGTCCACACAAGTCCAAAAACGCTCACGAAGCTGTCCGATGTCCACCAGCGTTCAGAAATAATAGCTACAAGCTGTATATGGATCTCGTCTCCGCTTAGTAGAACAGAGGAGCCCAGCGACGAACAAAAGCCAAACAGTGCCAATCGATGTGGATCTGCTCCTATCCGCGCCTACTTTGGTCAAAAAAGACGTTACTAAATTACTTACATGTGCGGCCGTTTCGGAGTTCGCCGGCATCAGAATACCTGTAGGCAGTATCTCCACGCTTCGAATCAAGTCTGAAAAGCACAACAAGGGCCAGTATATGTCGTGCTTTCCGACCCGTGGAAGAGTCCAAGGCAACTCAATAGCGGTAGAAGTCATGGCGGCTGTACTTCTTCGTATTGACAAAAAAAGTCTTAAACTCACATTATGCCCGGTACCTTTCACAACCTCTACCTTCTCAGTGTGATGTGCACTACCCTCCTGAAAGAAGACTCAGTGAAGAAAATGACTTGTCCAGCAGTACTCAAATCATAACCCACCCACTCTATGTGTTCTGCGCCGTCGTGGCCCGCCACGGACAATCACAATAAAAGTCCCCTTAACAGCAATAATGCGAGATCTGCTCTTCTCATCATCCATCTCTTCGAAAGATACTGCGGCTGGTCATATGCGTTGCGGCTTTCAAGACAAGTTTATCAGGATGCATGAGGTTCCTGCCTCCCCTTCAACAACACAACGTCAAGGTGGCCATGTCTGGCACCGCTCTTTCTCATCCATATTCAGGAGCAAAAGTATTCCTCAGCCAGCTTGATGTCGGACCGCTTCCAAAGAGATCACAGACGAGGCCATGTGGACCCTGGCCTCCTTCGTGACAAGTGCGCTTGTTGGATGTTCTATACTCGCAAATCCTTGTGCGGCCACCATATGTGGATCGTGGTCCTCGGCGTTAAAAAGGAATTACGCTAAAACGAGAGTTACCATGACGATGTGAGCTCTGCTCTTCTCTCCGTCGCTCAAGTCTAAGGATCCGTCAACAGATCTCATGCGACTGAAATATGAACATTAGGAAATCATGTTGACAGCACCCCCTTCGCCTCACAAAAGACGTTGGACAGTAGATATATCCGGTACCTTTGAAAGCACCGAAACCCGCAGCGATGTGGATTTTGCCTCTTGGACCTCGCCTTCCTGCTTTGTCACGGAGGATTACAAACGAGCGCCTGCGAGACCTATGTGGAGCGTTGTTCTCCTCCGCGACAGATTGAGCTCAAGACCGGGGGATCCCGTGTCATGGGACCAAAAAGCGAAAATGATGGTGGACCATGTGGGCTGCGCCTTCCTTCCCTCAATCAAAAAGCTGGATGAAGACTCTGAATGTCCGGCACCTTCCAAACCTCACACTGTTGTTTAGTTACTATGTGTATCCTGCTATTCTCCTATTCCGATGTGACCAAAAAGCGTAGGCACGGGTACACCATGTGCGCCGGACCTTTCTTCGGGAAAACAAAACTATCATCGATACACTGCATGTCCGGCGCTTCTTAAACTATGGCTAAAATGGACTAATGTTGTCTGAGCCTCTCCTCTCGAAGCAGAAATGCTACAACAAAACGGAAGTCAAACGTCGATATGTGGCTCCCGCCCTCCTCTTCCAAAACGGGAATATACAGGACTCATGTCCAGCACCTCCAAAACCCATCCGCATACAACCTATGTCTCTTCTTCGGACGAACGAAAAACGTTTCGACGGCGTCCAAATGTGCGGCGCCTCTAAATGACCGACGCTTGTCAGCATGTGTGGATCGTGCCTCTCTTCCGCACCAAAAAAGAGCTAGAAGGAATCTTATGTCTGGCAGCTTCCAAAGTCGTACAACGTACTCTCCATGTGGACGGTGTCTTCTTGCGCCGAACGAAAAGCAATCCATCCCTTGGCATGCCGCTGAGATCCCTCCGTGCTGAAAGCGAAGCCTAAACCTCATAGCCAGATGCTCATGCCGCGGAATTGTGGAGCTTTTGACAACAAGGGAAAGCACGGTGTGACTGGAGCTGACGAACATCATCATCATCGTAAAGTAGTGAATAACGCATCGAAGGCCCAAGATCTAAGCATATTTACCGCGTTAACCCCTCTGAGATCTGGTTTGATTCTCAAGTAATTAGTCGTCACTATTCACTCCCGTGCACAAGATTGAAATGCTACTTGTGTTCTTGGTTAAAAGTAATACACAACTCTCGAACCTAAAGACCTAGCCGCCACTTCCCCATTCCTCTTGCTAGATTTTATCTAACAACATCATAACATGTTCCCCTTGGACCCATCTGATGCGCTAGATAAACCATCCACCACCAGAAGCCCGCACGCGCTGCACTTCTAACCCTCAAGCTTCAGCTTCTCAAACTGCTCAAGCGTCTTCTGCCAATTCGCGCCATCCACCTCTGCAGCCTTCAACTTCTCCCTCTCCGCCTCCTTAACCACGTCGTTCGCCTTCTCCTCCCAATTGTCCACGCCCATGATCTTCTTCTGCCGCTCGACGGTCTCGTTCGCCTTCTTGAGGCGGTCCTGCGCCTTGGTGATCTCCTTGTCGATCTCTATGCGGCCCTTGACGTCAAGGTAGACGGTTGCTGATGAACCGACAGTGTATACGGCGCAGCCGGTAGGTGCGGCGTCGGAGGGAGAAAGGATGGAAATCTGGGAGACGGTCTTGCCAGTGAGGGAACGGAGGGATGGGAGGGATGTCGGTAAAGCAAGGACGTCGTGAGTGGCAGAGTCAAGCGGCTGTACGAAGGTTGAGCCCTCAGTCTTAATGCCGTACTCGCTGGTGAGGGAGCGGAGTCCTCCCGAGCATCCCACAAGGAGCTCGTACTCGCGGTCTGCAGCTTCATCCTCAAACTCCGGCACAAATTCGGGGTATGAGGCGATAGTGATGGAAGGCGTCTTGTCTCCTTCTCTCCGGGGTAGACGCTGCCATAATTCTTCAGTGAGGAAAGGCATGTACGGGTGAATCAACAGCAGACCGCCCTCAATAGCCGTGTACAAGGTCTGCTTCGCACTCTCCTTCTCTTCTTCACTTCCCTCATCAAAGATCGCTTTTGAGTTCTCGATGTAGGTATCGCAAAGATGCTGGTAGAAGTACTTGTAGGCAACCTGTGTGGAGAGCGAAAATTCACGCTTCTCGAGATGCTCATTGATCTTCTTCGCGCTGGTCGTGAGTTTGTGAAGTATCCACCTCTCAGGTAGTGACTCCTTGCCACCCTTGACGACCTTGGAACGGGGTTTGAAGTCCGGAAGTCTACCGAGAACGTATTTCGTAGCTTGATATCTTTGCACTATCGTTAGCAAATTTTCCAATGTAGATTTTGACAGCTTGTACATACATCTTGTTGCAGAAGCGTCTATATCCGTGGATGGTGTTGACATCGAAAGCGATGTCGCCACCGCCAGTCGTGTAGCCGATGAGTGACATTCGAAGGGCGTCAGCGCCGCATTCGGGAATGCCCTGCGGGAAAGCGGTTTTTTGATACTTTTCGGCCGTCTTGAGCTCCTTGGGGTCTAGGTTACCCATACGAAGTTTATCGTTCAATTCTTGAAGGGAGATGCCGTGCCTTGAAGCGAAGTCAGCATGAGTCAGGAAGGTGGAAATGGGCATTTCGTAGGTATGCCTGTGGCATAGCCATCTCGTAATAGGAATACTCACATTATATCAATCGGATCGACTACGTTGCCAAGCGACTTGCTCTGTAGTTCTGAGTCAGCTAGTGTACGGTCGTTGGATGACGAAGTGCTGTTCAAGACGATGAGGTACGCCATCATATAGATTCGATGCATGGAAGCCTTGATGGACGTAACAGATGTGATTAAGGGTGAACTCCTACTTACCATTTTTCTGCCTTCACTGTCACGAATGAGCGAATGACAGTAAACCTCATTGAAAGGGATTTTGCCGGTGAGATGGAGAGAGACTGGCAGGGTGTTAGTCTTACAAAAGAAAAGAAAGTCAGGGGCAAGGTGAAGGGAGCCAGAAGCTTACACATAATCATCCTTGCGACCCAAAAGAATAGGATATCCCATCCAGTCTCCAAGAGCGATGTGGGGAACAGATTTCGCATATCCAGGGTATCGTTCGGCCATCCAAGGGTGCTGAAGGGCCAAAGCCCAGAAGAAAACCATGTGTCCAGCACATCTTCGTCGCGCTCGAGAGTAAATTTCTGACCAGCGAACTTCTTCTCAGCTTTTTGTCGGGCCTCCTCCTCGGTGCGCCCAGTCACCCACAGGTCGTTGTCAGTTGAGTCACCACCTTTGCCTTCTAGACGGACGAAGTAAGCTGGAATCTGATGACCCCACCAGAGCTGTCTCGACAGGCACCAGTCGTTGATGTTATTCAGCCAGTGCTTGTAGATCTTCTCTGAGTTTGCGGGTCGGATCTTGATGTCACCCCGCTCCACAGCCTCCACAGCCGGCTTAGCCAGACCCTCCATCTTCATCCACCATTGAGGCTTCATCAGCGGCTCGATGACGTCCTTTGACTTGGAGCAGAGCGGAACCTTCATGGGGTTGTCCTCCTTCTTCACAAACAGACCCAGTTTTGTAAGCTCTTCAATGACGGAATATCGCACATCGAAACGCTTCTGACCCGCGAATTGACCCGCGTTTTGGTTCATCAGTCCATCGTCCGTCAGGATGTTGATAAACTCGAGCTTGTGATCAGTACCCATCTTGAAATCATTCGGATCGTGGGCGGGTGTGATCTTGACAGCTCCAGTACCAAAGTCCTTGTCTACGTAGTCGTCCGCAAAAATGGGCAAGAGACGGTCAACGAAAGGATGCTTGGCATGCTTGCCAACAAGGTGCTTGTAACGCTCGTCTTTGGGGTTCACAGCAATACCAGAGTCGCCAAGCATCGTCTCCGGACGTGTCGTAGCAACCTCGATGAACTCGTCGGTTCCCTCGATGGGGTATTTGAAGTGAGTCAAGACACCGAACTCGACTTTTCTCTCATAACCAGGCACATCCAGCAGTGTCCGTCCGTTCAACTCCTTATTATCTACTTCGAGATTGGACAAAGCAGTGTTGAGACGGGTACACCAATTGACCAAACGACCGGAACGATAGATGAGACCCTCCTCATGGAGGCGAACAAAGGTCTCCGTTACCGCAGCGGACAAGTTCTTGTCCATAGTAAAAGCTTCTCTCGTCCAGTCCATTGAACCGCCCATTCGCTTCAGGACACCCGTTATTGACTGGTGATACTCCTCCTTCCACTCGTGAGTGCGCTCGAGGAAAGCGGGTCGTCCGAGATCGTGCCTCGTCTTCTTCTCTCGCCGCCATAGCATGTTCTCGACGACGCTCTGTGTGGAGATACCGGCATGGTCGCAACCGGGAATGTACGCCGTGGTGTAGCCGCGCATACGGTGCCATCGGATGAGTAGGTCTTGGAGCGAAGTCGCGAGGGCGTGTCCACAATGGAGCTTGCCGGTGACGTTCGGAGGAGGAATTGGAATGACAAAAGTGCCCTTGGAATTGACCTTTGCGTCTGCAACACGTTAGCACATCTACACCTCGCACACAAACGTTCAGCTTACCCTTGTAGCCCGGCGTAGTATATTCTGGCTTGAAGAAGCCCTCCTTCTCCCACCAGTCATACCACGCGCTCTCGACGACTTTGGGGACATAGGCCGTCCGGTGAGGATCTTCGAGGCTGCCGAGGATCTTCTTCTCGCCGGCGGGTGTCTGCTCAACGTATTCTGGAAGTTCCGCCTTGGCCTCCTTCTTCTTCTTTTCCTTGGGCGCAGCGCCTCCTCCAGCACCCTTGCTCGCAGCCTGTGCTTTCTTTGCCTGGAACTTAGCATCCTTCTCCGCCTTCTTTCTTTCTTTCTCCAATTCCTTGGCTGTCTTCACTTTGCCCTCAGCATTTTTCTCGCCGCCTTCACTGGGCGCCGCCTGGCCTGGCGCCGATTGGCCTGTTCCTTCCGCATTGGCGTGGGCGAGTATGGCGTTTTTGCTGTCTTCACCCAAAGGCGGAGGGGCGGTCGTGTTGGGTGTGGTCTTCTCTCCAGTTACATTGTGGGACGACGCATTGAGCGCCATGGTGGGGGTAGTGTAATGCCTGCTCTGTGGAGCAAACGGTGTTCGAAAAGGAGTGTGCAGTCGCTGCAATGGATGCAAACGAGCTCTAAGCGTGCGCGACGAGGTAGAAAAGCGTGGAGCGGTCCCTCTGAGAAGGTGTCGGTTTCCAGGACAGCGCGTGGTGGGGAGGAGACCAGCGCGGGGCATCACAGATATGCAGCTCGAAAAGTGTGTGAGTCGGACCTGCAGGAGCGCTCCACTCCGACTCACTCGCAGACCAACGAATCAGAACGGGCTTACATTGTGCGCACGTGACTCATACCCCGCAACGCCAAATCTGGCAGGTACGGATCATGCACTGTGACTGCTCGCGTGCCTCGACACGTTATACTTTGGATGAACAGAATACGTATAGTATAGCAAGTCTATGTACCGTGCATTGTGCAGAGTTCAACTACGACGAGATAAGAACTCTTTTCAGAAGTTACGCATCGCTAGCAGACCAGCTCCTGAACAGCCTACTCTTGTAAAGCACGTTGTAAGCTAGTTCAGATCATTGCATCTGCAAGGAGATCATTATCGGCCTCGTCGTCCTCGTGACCATCCTGTGGCTTAGATCAGGCTGAGCTATAGAAAATTTCACAATGAGTCTTCACGAAGACTCATATATGTCAAACTCTTCAGGTTGCAGTCACACGCGACTGTTCAGCCACGACCAAGGACACTAAACTCGCATTGGCTGCTTTCAATTCGAGATCTGCAGGACTGCTAAGGTACTCGACGCCTCAAAAATGCAACATAACCATGCCTTCCTTGCGACAGAATTTTCCTCCTGTTCCGTTCCGAACGCACATACATGATGCTGTGAGGTGAGAAATGTGGATTGCCCAAGTCTGATAACGTTGGAGATGGTTTGCCATGGTCACGAGTAGCCGTGCCAACTCTATCGATGGACCCCGTCTGCATAACTCGTGATATTACTAAACTACCGAGAAATGGGTATCTTTCATGAATGTGACGAGCTCGCGCTGTGATTCTGCGCAGCGGCATTCCGGACGGGCGCAAAGTAGGCGTGAGCCATTGCCTCTTTAGCGGTAAGCCGTTCCTGGAGCTGTTAGCTTGTATCCAACAATGGTCTGATCACATTGCATACCTGATGATCGTATCGCAAGAGTTTGTCAAGGAAGTCAATGGCATCGTTGCTGACGAACCGTTGGTTGTCGGCATTAATAAACGAGTGCCACGGCTTTTTCGGATACCGCGATAGGATATCGTCGTATTGTGCATCCAGCTCAATATCGTACTTGTCAAGGTAGTCGAACAAGTCTTCGGTTCCCAAGACCTTGGCGATCTTGACAAGCTGGTCAGAATTGCTGTTTCCGTGGAAAAATGGTTCGCGCCGGAAGATCATGGACGCAAACATGGCACCCAGCGACCACATGTCCAATGAATAGTCGTACTCCTGGTAGTCGACGAGCAGCTCGGGGCCTTTGAAGTATCGCGAGGCAACGCGAACGTTGTATTCAGTGCCGGCGTGGTAGAACTCAGCAAGACCCCAGTCGATCAGACGAAGCTATCAAAGTCAGTTACTATTCTCTTAAGCATATAGATGGCGTGCCCACCTTCCGCTTTTCGTGGTCGATCATAACGTTGTGCGGTTTCACATCGCGATGCATGATGCCCTTGCTGTGGCAGAAATCGAGCGCCTTGAGCAGCTCGAAGATGTAGAAGCGCACATCGTAGTCGGTGAATTTAGGGTATAGGCTGCGGAAGTCGGTGTTATTGACGTATTCGAATATCAACGAGGGAGTTTTGCTCTACAAGCATATGCCATTAGCACAAAGCCACCACGCGGGAACAGGCAAGAAGGAGTACCCAATCGCCAACCCAGTCGGAGCCGTCACTAACCTGGTTGTCGCGCACCACGTCCAGCAGCGACACAATGTTGGGCCCGCCTGAGAGGTTCTGGAGGATTTTGATTTCGCGTTTTATCTTCTTCTTCTTAACGGGTTTGAGCACTTTGATAACGCATTTCTGGTAATTGACGATGTTGATCCCCTCGAAAACCTCCGAGTACTTGCCGCGGCCGATCTTGCGCACGACCTCGTAGTTCTCGAGCACGCCCCACGAGATGTTGACGCTGTCGTAGTCCCAGTAGGCGCGGGGCATGTTGGCATTGACGTCGGCGTACACGCGGGCGACCGAGGTCGACCCGCCGCCGCTGTTGAGCGCCATATTCGACTTTCTAAATGAGTCCCCGAGCTGCTGCGGTGCTACAGCGGGGTTGCTCTCGTTCGCAGCGAGGGTTGAGGTGGTGGGTGGTGGGTGTTGCGGGGTGGTGGAGCGGAGGTGTGCGGCGAGGAAGCAAACCAAGGCAAAGCTTGCAAGCCAAAATAGGCTGAGCGCAGCTGCCTTTGGGCGAGAAACACCTGCGAGAGCTCTCGCGCTGCAGATTCGAGGGGGGGAAGTTGCGCGCGGCGGAGGCGATTTTGATGTCGGAGGGGCCGGATTAGCTCCAGCACGCGGGCCGTCGTGGTGCACAGTCGCTGCGATTGTGTGAGATCAGCGCGACACGTGACCTAAAACAAGCTTTGAAGAGCTCGGATAGGCGAGCTGGGGTGCGCCAAAACCACCAAACATTGGAGGACTCACTTGCGGCTCTTTTGCGCAACGCTGCGCCCGCTTGGTCCACTTTCACCATGTTTCACGATCTCAACGTCCCTTGGGGGAATGCGAAGGAGCTGCAGCGCGCGGTCGCGTTTCTGGATGAATGTGCGTAGCGCCTTGAGACCTTTACGTGCTGGTGCAAAGCCGTGTTTTGAAGGGAAAACTTACCAAAAGTAGTAGGATACGACGTCGTTGCTCTTACCCATTCTTACGGAGGGCGGCTGCCTGCAGACCTCGTGAGTGAATTCAACGTGTAGAAATATCCTTTTGATCAGATCACCCAGCTAACATCCACAGACGTCTCCCGTTCCAAATCCACTTCCGTTCCCAACACCATCCCGGCTGCGTATTTTGCGTCGCTGCAACATTTTTCTCACAGACGCAGCGTCAAACTTCAGGATCCCGCAGCTACAGCAGCAATATGATCTAATCGCTGCACGGCCCACTGATGAAAAGACGCTCCAGCAGGCATGTCAGAGTCTAGATGTCGACATCATCTCCCTGGATCTGAGCCAAAAGTTCGAAAAGCACTTCAAGTTTCCCATGCTTGGCACCGCCGTATCACGAGGGGTCAAGATTGAACTCTGCTATGGTCAAGCCGTACTATCCTTTGATTCGACCGCGAAGAGGAATGTCATCAGTAATGCTACGCAACTCATCCGTGTAACGAGAGGACGTGGTTTGATCATGAGCTCGGAAGCGAAGAGCGTGCTGGGACTGAGGGCGCCGAGCGATGTCATGAATCTGGCTTCGGTATGGGGACTGGGCTTGGAGAGGGGGAAAGATGCGCTCACCAAAGAGGCTCGTAGCGTCGTAGAGTTCGCCCGCCTCAAACGTCAAAGCTACAAAGGTATCGTTGATATAGTCTACGGAGGGGAGAAGCCGCCTGCGCCAGAGAAGGTCGTGGAGGACAAGCCACAGAAAGGTCAGAAGAAGGACCAGAAGCGCAAGGCACAGGACAGCGGAGAGAGTACACCAGCGCCATCCGGAGAGGAAAAGATTATATCCAAGCGGCAGATGAAGAAGACCAAGAAGGCCAAGCTGGCTGCTGAGATGCAGATCGGCACTGGATCATCGGCTTGAAGCAGGAAACGATCTGTTTCTCAGCACTATCGATGTCCCCCATGACTACTGCCAGATCAGTTTTATTCTTCTAGAACGAATTAGTACGTCTGGTCCATAATCGTGAAAATCAATCCAGGTCTTACGACCAATGTGCTGCTCATTTTGCATACAGCCTATCACCGCAAGACTATGGTTGGTCTCCCTTCAATGTTTCAATGTTCATCTTCAAAGTGCATATGATGTCGTGAATAGCTACGGGTCCCGACCTGTCAGCGATCTTCGCAAGACGTCGAGCTAAAGCATTCTGAGGTTAGTGATGTAAGACGCCACGGACGCTTATCGTTTAGCTGCGTCTCAAACGGTACCTGAGCTGAGCACCATCAGAACGGGCGTAAGACGTCTGACTCCACATGCACTACACGTATTTAGCAGGAGGCATGTCATCGTTTTTACCACTTCTCAAGTAACATTTCACGATCTTACTGGTTCCAAGGTGCTTTTGATTAGGCAGAACTGTGAATGACGAGTTGGTCAAAACATCCCCACCACAACCCCACCGCACCGCATTAATTTACATTGGCACAATGCTGTTCTTTGGAGCCTGAAAGACTACATAAACTTATATTGATCTGGGATCTTGAACACTGTACACATCCACCGAACCTCCCAAACTTGCCCTACCACCATGGCGCCCACTCTCAACCCTTCTACAGCGACATCGCTGCACGGGTACATCGACGCCGCAATCACAGACTCAAACCCCGTTCTGCCAGGAGCCATCGTCCAAATCCTCGACGCCCAGGGAACCTCTCTCTTCGAACACACCTCCCACTCCCACACCCTCAAAACCCTCTTCTCAATCCACTCCTGCAGCAAGCTCATCGGCGCAATCGCCTTCATGCAGCTCGTAGACCGCGGCCTCACTACTCTAGATGACGCGAAAGTTATCGAAAAATGGCTCCCTGAACTCGCCTCCAAGAAAGTTCTCGTCGGCTCGAAAGACACAAAAGACGGAAAGCAAGAGTATATCTTCGAAGACCGCAAACACGACATTACACCGCGGATGCTACTCAACCACACCAACGGCACAGGAAACACCTTCTTCAACACCGAGCTCAAAGACTTCCTAGGCGAAGGCGTGGCAGTCGAGCACGAGGGAAGCGAGTACTGGGCTACCCTTCTGAAGAGCCCGCTCCTCTGGCAGCCCGGCACGAAGACGAATTACGGACAGGGCTTCGATTGGCTTTCTGTCCTTATTGAACGGCTGACGCACAAGTCTTTGGAAGACGTGCTGCGCGAGAACATTTTCAACACGCTGGGCATCGGGCACTCGGGGTTCAGGGGAGAATGGGGCGGCAGCGTGGTGGCCAGCGACCCGGGCGTGGATTTCTGGCCTGCGAGTCTGAGGTTGGAAACGGGGGACTTTATGAGTATACCGGGGTTCGCGGAGAAGAAGGTAGAGAGGGAAGATGCGTGGCCTGAGGGGAAGAGGCATGTGCAGAGTGTGGGGACGGGGTTAGTGAGCAGCGTGGCGGATCTGACGAGGATTTATAGTGTTTTGCTGCCGCAGAATGAAGGGGTGGTGAGTACTCCTGGAGGGACTCCTGTACAGTGAAGGTTGGGCTAATCGTGATGTAGGAGCCTGTAACCGGTACGCGACTCCTGTCTGCCGCAAGTGCGGCAGAGTTCGCGAAGGTGTTACATCCTGAGGAGATCCGGAATGATTCCCGCAATCTCTTAACCGCCAACCAGTTCTTCCTTCCTTACGAGAATCAGGCCAAGCACGTAGATCCGGTGGGGTGTTTTGGCCTGGGAAGTGCGATACAAGGAGAGGATAGAGTACTGCAAGACGGAAGAAAAGGAAGAAGTAAGGGAACGGTGTATTGGTATGGAGCAGCCAATATTGTTCACTGGATTGACGGTGAGAAGGGTATTGTTGTGGTTGCGGCAGGTAACTTCTTCCCATTTATGGATGGAAAGTGGGTCGAATTTGTTGCGGGACTAGAAGGCTTGATATATGAGGGCCTGAAGGGATGAAGTGGGCTGCATTGCTAGCGACAATGCCCGTGTGCGGCTGTCATGAGCACGAGGAGTGATCCGTAAAAATAGTGCGGACTGGATGACAGGATTGAGAGTCACCAGGTGACGTAGGAGTAAGGGAGATGCTGCTGCTGCTGCGGAGAAAAGCACCAACGTGCAATCCAATCACCCACTTACTCAAACTATATCTTATTCTCTGATATAGGATGGGTCTAACGTCATGTTGAAGATTATTCTATCATGGGCTTACTATTGATCATAGTGTTTTTGAACCAACCTCATGTGTCGTTTTACCCGCGTCCACCGCGTCTTAAATATCATGACACTTCTCCAGAAGCCTCCTATAATCCCCCTTCGGGCCCGAATGAATGCTCAACCTCTCATTTCTTGTCATCGGCGTCCTGCGTTCCATCTGCTTAGCCCAGATACCCAGCATTCTGTCAAGCTCCTTCCAGGCGGCATCAGACCCATTGCATACGGTCGTCATCGTGAGAAGCGGGCCGAAATGGTCTCCGTAGTCTTTCTTCACAAGACAGATATAGTGTTCCCAGTGGTCGGTTTCAGCGTCAAGATCGTAGTCTGTGGCACTGCCCCAGATGATTTTGCAATTTGCTTCGATGCGTTGACCGCGAAGGGTCGCTTCGCTTGGGGTGGACATCGTTTTGAGTGGGAGAGTGTAGGTTGTATTGTTAATCTGTATGTTCGAAGTGATGTATTAAGCCGATATTGTGCAAAAGTGTATGTTCTGAGTAAGAGATTTAGAGAAAGTACTTCATACCAGGGGCTTTTAACGTTTCTTTATGAGAAGATATCAGCGTCAATCTGGTGCGGAATGCTCAATTACTTCCCCTTGCTGTTACCATGTGAAAAAGGCAACGGGGTAACCTTCAGCGTTCTAGTTTGTGTGCCTTCGTAGTTATGGCAAGTGGCCGAGAGATGACTTAATGTCCCATTCAGATCATGTTCCTGCCCTCAGTCCAGTCCAACTGGAAGGGTGCTGCTCGTGAGCAAGTAACGATTGAGCAATTCCCAAATATGAACTTGAGAATAGAAGAGAGGCTATAGCAATTTTGGGTTAGTCTTGGACCTGCTGAGAAGGTGAAGGTTGTTGGGTGGCCGTTGTTTACCGGTTGCTCCTGGCAACGCGCTTCGCTGGCGCCGATCCTGCATACGCGAACACCCAGTCTCACTCCAACCCACCACCGCCGCATCCCTACAACGAGCAGCCGCCGGATTCCACCGCGCCTTATGTATGGAAAACTAACACTACAGCTGACATTCGCTATTCCGAGTCAATTCACGCGCCTGCACAGCTCGAGGTAGTCTTGAGCTCAGTCTTCCACGCGACGCGCCGCCTCATTCACCATGGCCACGGCCTCGCCCACACCAATGGGCTCCTACGGCAGCCTCGGCCGCATGCGCTCACAATCAAACATACGGCCGCGCAGAGACTCTCCGCTCAGTGTGCTGGGCCATAGCCAGGGCTTCGCGGCGAATGCGCCCATGATGCAAAACATCGACATTGGGGATTCGTCTGATGATGAGATACCGCAACCCATGAAGCTCAGCGCCTTAACGACTGCACTGCTGGCACAGAACGAGGCCAATTCGCCCGAGAAGACACGGAAGCCCAAATTGCGCGTCTCGCGCAGCGGGTCGGGCACGCCTGTGCACGACACAGTCACACCTGCGCCGAGCCTGCGTATCAAGAGGGTACCGCTGCGGGGTGCGCCCATGAGGAGGGCACGACGGACACCGCAGAGCGAAGATGAGAAGCATCCGCCTTCTCAAGATCAGGAAAATCTGGTCCCTATGTCGGCTATAAAACCAGATACCAAGGATGCCGTCGACTCAGTCATGAAGGTCCCGGACTCGATTATGAAGACAGCCGATCATGACATTCAACCACCGATGCAGCCTCAATCGCCCATCCAAAGACAAGAAAGACCAGTGCCGCTACAGTCGATAAGCGCAAATACCCCGAGACGACCTGCACCTCCACCACCACCGAAAATGTCCGCACTTGAGACCGCGACTGCTACTGCTGGTGCTGCAACGACCAAGACTAGAGAGCGGAAGAAGAGGAGCATCGTGACAGTCCATAACAAAAATTACCAACTCATGGACCGGATAGGCAAAGGAGGCAGTTCGGTTGTCATGCGCGTCATGGCAGAAAACTACAAGCTACTTGCATTGAAGCGAGTGAAGCTCGATGATGCGGACGAAGCTGCTGTTCTTGGTTACAAGGGAGAAATCGATCTGTTGGAAAAGCTTAAAAATGTGGAAAGAGTGGTACGGTTGTATGATTGGGAGCTCGACAATGATCGACAAATTCTGCATGTGGTATGTCTAAGCCTTCCTTGCCTCACTATGGCACTGTGAATCTATATCGTAGGAGTGCGGACACTCTATTACAAAAACAATGCTAACATGTCTAGCTTCTGGAACTCGGAGAATCCGACCTTGCTCGCATCATCCGTCTGAAGCTCGACGGCGTAGACGCCCAGCTTGACCTCAGCTTCACGCGCTACTACTGGAAAGAAATGCTTTCCTGTGTCGGTGCCGTTCATGATCACGACATCGTGCATTCTGATCTCAAACCTGCCAACTTTGTTCTTGTCCAAGGCTCCCTAAAGCTCATCGACTTCGGCATTGCAAACGCCATCGAAACGGACCACACCATCAATGTGCATCGTGACTCCCACATCGGCACCCCGAACTACATGTCACCCGAAAGTCTCGAAGACAGCGCTGGCGGCGCAAGAGGCAAGCTTGCGAATGGCGAAGGACCCAAGGATATGAAGCTTGGCAAGCCGAGCGATGTGTGGAGTCTTGGGTGTATCCTGTACCAAATGGTATACGGGCAACCGCCCTTCGCACACATCGCCAACCAAATGGGCCGCGTCCTCGCCATTGTAAACCGCGAATACGCGATCAAATTTCCTGATTACGGTGTCGGCGATGTACGGATTCCTCCAGGCCTCAAGCGCACGCTCCGCCAGTGTCTGAATCGTGATCCATCCCAAAGACCAACTATCAAGCAGCTTCTCGCGGGCGAGGACTCGTTCATCTACCCCGAGGCACAAGGTCTGTGTATCCCACAGGATATGCTCGCCCAGGTCATCCAGAGAGTCGCGGACCGCTGCAGAGATCCGAATAAGCCGCCTGTCACTGAGGAGGAGATTCGGCAGTATCCGGCGAGTTTCTATGCGAAGATACGAGAGCTGTTGGAGACTCCGTGATCCAATCCATTTCTGACGACTTTCATGCTCTTCTTCCTTTCTAGCATGCCGCGTTCGAGCGTTCGAGCAAGGTGTTTCTCTATTGCATACCCGACTCGCGATGCGTGTCGTTGCTCCTTTTCTGTACGCGCCAAAAGATCTATTAATGACTGGGTATACGGCGTCTTTTTGTTTGTTGGCTTTTTGAATACCTTATTCCCCACTTCGCGAGGGCATTGTTTGCAGCGGTTGAGCGCGGTTTAGGTTGCTTAGCTGTCACACGTTCCATTACTTGCATAGGCGCTTTACAGGATGCGGGCTTCGGCCTCGTTTGTATATACTGAGGGTCAGAGGGGTTGTGTAGTTTCGAAAGGAGAACGTTCATACTGCTGACTTGCTGGTCTTTGCTTTGCGATGGTGTCTGATTGGCTAGGGCGTGCCGTGCGAGACTGGTGGGTCACAACCATCAGTGATATGCAGAAATGATGCAACACATTTTGGGCAAGTTAGACGCGGAACGCGTCCGAGCGAAAGAGGTATATGCTATCACACCGGTTCAGACCGGCGCAAAGAAATTGCGGACACTAATCGCGCAGCCAGCAAGGCTGAGAACGATCTCTTGAAAGCCGACCACAGTATGTCTGAGAAAAATGTGATCGTGTGTTTATCTAGTCTGGTTGATCTTATTGGTCGAACAGAGAGGATGCTGTCGCGCAGCTGCGGCTGATCGAAGCGTCTAGGCTTCGTCCATGCATACATGATAGGCAGCAGTGGCGCAAGCGGGGCAACAGCGACATGTCAAAGTGTGGTCTGCCTCAAGTCCATTGTGAGCTCACCTTCGACCTATACTTGGCTTGGTTTAGAAGAGTCCTACTTATTCGCTGTTGCTAGAAAATATTTCAGGATCCTTCTCGAAGCTTATTGATCCTCCTTTATTGATCTGTCCGCATATCAGCTGGACCAGGCTGAAAAGCAACATGAGTTTCGGCTTCTCCATAGGCGATTTCATTGCTGTTGGGGATAAGGCCTGGCTCGTAAGCTACTCGCGTTTGTTACATCGCTTGCTCGGCTGACGGTTGCTCTTAAAGTTGTACCCAAAATGCAAGTCCGCTCGCGGTGACTACGAGACACTCGATGACCATGTCAGAATCCTCCACAGCGTACTTCAGGATGTTAGCGGCTTCATTTCCAGTGGAGAGGTTCCCGAGGTTGATAATGAGTGCTCATCCCTAGTAGCTGCGCGAGAGAATTGTTTGGCTACCTTGGTGGAACTAGATGCCTTTTTGAACAGGCACGCTGGCCTCGTCCATGAGAGCCGAAAGCGGCATTTCGAGCTCGCCAAGTTCATTACCAAAGACATCAAGAGCCTCAAGGCTAAACTAGACCACAGCACTAAATTGCTGCAATTGAGCCTGCAATCGCTTCAAATGTGAGTTCTTCCATTGGCAGGTCACTTTTTTTTACAATGATCGAACGGCTTCGAGAAGGATAGGAAATTCATCAAGCTAATTGAACGTTCAAGGTATTCGGTCCATGCCATTAGAAGAGAGCTCAAGCAAATTTTACTTGAATATAGAAGCGGTGCTAGAGAACCGACAGTGGTTTCTGAGGCGTTGCTATCGAACAAGCAAGCCGAGACAAAGATCAGGAATGACGAATTGACACAGCAAATCCATTCAGACCTCGAGGATAAGGACATTCACCCGGACTCTATTAGTCTTAATGACAGCTTTATACAGCAATGGCTTGGAATGACGTTGGCTGATGGCGGCCTCGAGGAGTCAAGCAATACGGTTGAACAGGCCGCCCAGTCTCAATTCGAGCGCAGCTCCGATGAAGTGGATTATGCCAATCTCTCCACGGCCATGAAAGACGTGAATTTGCCTGATAGAAAGATCGACGATCTGTCCGCCCTCAACGCTGAGCAAAACGAGGCTGAAGAGATTCTAAGCTCCCCATCCGATTACTTGGACGGACTGAAAGCGCTGAGTATCGACGATGTGTCGAGACCTCCATCTCGGACTGAAAGCATTAGCTCACATCGAAGTAAACCGGACGACTGGAGACCTTATGATACACCCAACCCAGCATATGTTCGAGACATGCTTTTGCCACTTTTTGATCGAGATCCGTTCCTAGACTTAGCCGAGACAGAACCGGATCTGAGAATCAGACGGGCCTTCCATCAACAAGACTATGACCGCAAGGGCGCCATTGCCGACCATAAGGTGTTGCGGTTGTGCGAAGACCTTATGAAAACCCTCGGTCTATCGGAAAAATTGAATGAGCTGAAAACCACAGTTTATTCTGTGGATAGTAACGGTGATGGGCAATTTGATGAAGTCGAATACATGACTTTGATGAAGTTGCTTATCGCAACTGCCCTGGACTTGAGAAAGGACATGCTGCTTACGACCCTGAGAGATTACGGAGGTAAAGCAGAGGACGCAGCCTGGAAGAGAAGATCATCTGAAGCGCCCAAGTTTCTGCCATGGGGTTGGTGTCAAAGCACGAAAGGTTCGAAGCTTCCTTTCCTAGATACAATCGCACGTTCGTTGAAGGACACTGCTCCTTCGCTTCCAGCTTATAGCTTCACCATCATGGCAGATGAAGCCCGGATCGCAGTCGAGAAGATTGATGATTTTGAGGAACGATGGCTTGGAATGATTCCGAAAGAGCCCCAGCGTCGCCAGGACTTTACGACTCCTTTGGAAACTGCTCGTGGGCTGGCAAAAAAGTTCAAAATATTCAAAAACCGGAAAGACCGCCAGGCAAGATCCGATCTGGATACCATCATTATGGTGTTCAGCTGCACCCTCTTAGCAGGTGACATCCCAAAAGAGGGAAACCCTTTCCCTATTCCGGACATGCAGGAAACACATAATTACGCCTTCGGGATCCTACTACTGATTGAGGGATTTGTTCTGATACTCGATACAATCTCCGATGAGCTTGGAAGCCACGAGGAGACGCATTACTACACCAAACTCAACGAGAAAACGAAGAGCTACCAGGTTGCCCTACATGCAAAACTGTTGCACTTACTGTCCTCAAATTGGAATGAGCGTGTCACAAGGAAAGTTGAACGTTGGCGACATGCTGACAATGTGTCTTTATTACAAATGCTGGAGCTAAGATGTAGTACCTTGGCCTCTGAATACCACGATGAGCTAAGCCAGAAACAAAACCAGGCAAAAGATCAGATGTCGACATGGTGTGTCTATCTAGAGAAATTGGAGATAGATGATTGGGAAATGTCGCGCAGCAGAAGACTCCTAGGTATCGAATCACTGCTGTCCAATTCCCTATCATGGCTAACAGTGATACGCAGAGAGTCGGAAAGTGTGGGCCAAGATATACATTGGCAATGGCCCCTCAAGAGAAGAACTTTCCCAGGTGGCAAGTCCATTGCACAATCTCAAGCGAGCCGCAAAGCTTTCGTGGAATCTGCACAATATTCCACAGTAAGCATCTGAAGTTGTTGACACAACCCCTATGTTCCATCTCCAGTAACACTACTCGCAATGATTGATTTAGTACGACTGATGAATCCAGGTTACTTTCCGCAGATTCCTTCATAGTTGTCGCTATTGGCTACGAAGGAGACTATGAGGCTCGTTTGACTTCTAAATCTTTCGCGCTGGAGAATGCTAGCGTGAGTGCAGATGATGGCTGTACAGTCAATTTTGATCAAAGAAGCAAGTAAAAATGCATGTTTACTGTTCCTCAGCAGCGGCTAATAACCTCGTCAGCTGTGACCTGCGGATTCGGAAGCTACGAAGAGATAAGGGATAGATACACATTCGAAAGTGGCCGAGACTGCACCATCCGACTCACAATTCGCTTCGAAGAGGAGCAAATGAAAGTAGACGCTTACGAGAAGATCAGGAATGCCAGCTGGATGGATACTATTGCAGGCATGGCTCCGGAGCAGCGAGAACACTTTGACCAGTCGAAGTGGGAGGTGGGAGCATACTCAGGTCTACCTACGGGATGGCAGCGACGTGTTGACATCGGAGGAAGGATATATTATGTTGATCACAATACGCGAACTACTTCTTGGGTACTGCCAAAAAAGGTTCAAAGACAATTGTAAAGGTTCCTCACCAACCTCCCTGTGGCTCTTCATAAAAGATCTGGCCAATATACATAGAATACTCATCCTATCATTAGTCTTTTCCCGTTGAGGCAATTCTTATAATAGCTCAGTACCTTTGTTTACTAAGTACTATACTATGATTTGAAGTAAGCTATTCAACAAACATCAAACAACAGTAGGGTAAATACATTGTTTTAATTCATTAAAAAGATTCAATTGCGTAAACTAGAGCTATGAGAAGGTGGAGGAGAAACTTTTGAAGGCACCGATAGCATCTGCGAGAAATGGTACAAATTCATTCACTTTAGCCATCTTACGATTCAAACATCCCTTGGATCCAACAGCCATCCGGTAAGTGATATCTTCCGCCAACGACTGCAGAGGCTTGGCTCTGCATGTAGACCTGGCAGTATCCCAATCAGTGAACGTGTTAGTCATGGCTACAAATAGGACCATAGGAGAGGTGACCTACAAATGATTGCCTATAGAGGCCTATGAGCTCTGTTGATATAGTGAACCTACGATTCACTAATCTCCAACCCACGGGCCCAAGTAGACCCATCCCTTAAGCCGCTATCATAATTTGTAAAAGTGTCCAATACGCCATGTATGAATGCTCGTTCTTTCACTAGTCGTGTTACTAGTTTCCTGATGAATGCAAACCGTTCCTTGTCGGACCACCACGGACGAAATTTGGACCTAAGAACTTTGGCAGACGCGATTTCGTCGAAAACTGGATCATCGGAGTCTCTGACCTGGAACATCCTTTCTAGGATCAAAGTTGCAATGAAAAGGAGATCCTGGTCCGTTGCGCGCGATTCCAAGGCTGCAACGAGAAGATCGCAAGCTTCAGCAGCGTCGATCGTCTTTACATTTGCTCCGTGATCAAGGACGAGCCTGACGACGTCGACCTCAGCGCTGCTAACAGCACCATGCAATACGCTTTTTTGTTTGCTGGACTTCTGGCCATGAACACCCCAATATTCAACGAGGTGACCATATCCATTGACATCGATACCGAGGTCGAGTAGAAGTTGTACGAGCCGAACATTGCCAATTCGCGCCGCAGAATACAGCATACATTCTCTGGTACAAGTGATCTCAGGGAAATTAATTGAACGCCCTTCGACGACGTCCTCTCCTTTTTTGAGTAAAACTTCTATCAGATGAATGGCTTGCAGAGCGTGTGCTTTGTGGCTGCTCAGGTTTTCGCTTGAGGAGACAGCCTTCGCCAGCGCACCGTCCCTTTCATAATACATATCCGCACCGGCGTTGATCAAAATCTGTGCGATGGCTATGTTTCGTCTGAGACTTTCTACAGGACCACAGTAGTCGAATGACCTTAGTATACCGGGCCTCGTGACTGCTGCCAGAGCGTGTTGAAGAGCCTGCGTTGAGTACTTGACATGGAGCGAATCCTCGCCGTTCGTATGTAAATCGAGCAACAACGAAACCGCGTAATCCCTTCCAGCCCCGGCGGCTAAAATGAGAGCTTTGGCGGTATTGTGAGCAGTAAGGTTAGTTGAACCATCTTCATATATTTTCTTTCCGTGATCGTGAAGAAGCAGCTTGATTACATTCTTAAAGCGTGCACATGCTGCGTGGTATATCCATTTTTCAGGTTCTTCAATCTTCGACACCGCCTTGACTAGAAGCTCAGCCACTGCCTCACCGTCGGTATTCCAACCATACCTCCCGGCCGTAGCCGCTTGAAATGTCTGGTAGTCAACAGAAGCCCCGCGTTGGATAAACATCTCTACCACCCTTTTAGGGCAATGTGCTGCGGCCTGATTTATCAGACTGGAATGACAAGTCCAAAGATTCTTTTTGACAGGGAGGTTGATGTCTGCGCCCGCTTCGATGAGGAGCTCCACTAAGTCAATACTCCCCAGCCTGACGGCATCTTGAAGCGGTGTGTATTCTCGGCCGCCTGTGATACTGACATCTGCGCCCGCTTGGATAAGGAGGTTCACTATCTCAGTTTGTTTTGTTGAGACGGCCTCTTGAAGTGCTGAACCATGTTGACCACCTGTGATGTTGACGTTTGCTCCCGCTTCTATGAGGAGCTTCGCTGACTCGGTACTCCCCTTCATAACGGCTCCTTGAAGTGCTGAACCATATTCACCACCTGTGATGTTGACGTCTGCTCCCGCTTGTATGAGCGTGCGTACGATGGGTTCGAAGCGAAAGCCTGCGAGAAGGGCCACAACGTGTGCACCACCTTGGATGTTGGGATCGGCACCATGCTGGACTAGCATCTGTACTATCTTGTCGTGACCCTTGTGCGCCGCCAATTGAAGTGCGGTTCCATGTACGGGTCCTGTAAGGTCCACTTTTGCACCCGCGTGCAGAAGCTTGCTGACGATTACCTCGTGCCCACGGGAAGCCGCTGCCCTGAGTGCACTCCCACACCGACCCCCTTCAACATTCACATCCGCGTTGGCTTGGAGGAGAAGTTCCACAATATGTGTGTACCCGCCCACAGCAGCACTTTGAAGTGGTGTCTGGAACAAGCCTCCCTTAGCGTTCACGGAGGCACCCTTACACATCAGAAATCGCATAATTTCTTCGTATCCACGGAATGCGGCGGCTTGGAGTGCAGTACCATGCTTCCCTTGTACACAGTCAACGTCTAGATGAGGCTTGTTGAAGAGATGTGAGAGAGTCTGTCGTAGTCCCAGGAAGGACGCCCAATAAATACCTATGGTAGTGTTTGTCCCATCATGCCATATAGGGGCACCTGACTTACGGGACTTCACGAGTCCTTTGCCAATATGATCGAGGCGTAGCCACAATACCCTCCAAACCTCATTCTCCAAGATCGCGAGGTGAAGTGGAGTTGGCCTGAAACCGATCTTCATGGTGTCTTCAGTCTGCTTCTGGTGCATATGCCAGTGTTCGACAGCATAACGGAGCAAAGGCCACGTGGGTGCAAAGTATTCCAAGTCACTATGTTCTAAGTACCAACGATGGCGGGTTGCGGGCGGCTCCTCCGCGTCGATCCATGCTTTTTTCTGATCATGGTTTGCGAAATACAAAAAATACGCGGAACAGTTCCGAGCGAGGTTATATTGCGCTTGAGGCTCCTTCAACGCATATCTGGATACCCGATTGTTCGAAACTTGCAATTGATCCGAGAAGAGAAATTCTTTCACAGAGTAGTGCGCAAGGCGAATCCGTTGATCGTAGGATGTTGAGTCAAACTTCTTGGGAAGGTATTCACCCATGTATTGCTTGTGAGGTTTGTTCACAGAACTTGGTACGTATTCCAGGATTACCAAAGAAGAAATGACTCCTAGAAGGCCCGCAACAGCATCCTGTCCATCATCCAAGAGAGTGTACCCACAGTGGTCTGTGATCCGGATATTGCACGCTTCTGCCAATTCTGCGACAGAAATGGGCCTGTAAGCTGACGAGATCCACTCCAATGCAGTCCGGACCTCCATGAAATACGTGTCGTTAATGGAGTCCAATATCCGCTCATAAGTATCATGCAACGACCCTGGCATGGCGTTCAAAATCTTAGATACGTATTCAAGCCGGGGAATCTTTAGCTTTTGTAGAGACTCAAGTTGTAGTGCAGCCCACCGAAACCTTTTCGCGAATATTGGTGTTAAGTATTGATCAGTAAAACGACGTTGAGATTTGCGAACTTACATGCCATCGGACTTCACATGAAAGATGGACCTGATCTGTTCCTTGGTTGGCTCGGACAATTTGCTCAAGTAATTGTCCGAGACAAGCTTCTTTTCGACAAACATGTCGATATCCTTGTTGACGCATGCCTCGTCGAGTTGAAGTTGGGTTTCACACCAAAATTGTACGAAATTTTCGATATCTGCCTCCTTCCGACTAGTAATGAGCAGTCTGGTCGTAGAACTGGCCCGTGTAATGCGTTTGAGCCCTTGCATGACCTGTGCTCTTTCTTGCTCTGGACACTCATCCAAGGCGTCTACGACCAGGTAAGAAGTACGAAATTGCTTGATCAGGGTAACCAGAGCCCCTTCAAGACTTTGTGGCGTAGGTTGTCTGGGTTTGGATTCTTCGTATAGCGCAGACAAGACCGGCTGGGCTAGATGTCTTCGATTCACACTCAGAGTGGTAATGATAGAGAGCAGCAAACCTGTGTACCTCTGCATCGCTGTTTCCGTGAAAGAGAAGTAGAAGTACGCGAGCACTGACTCATCTCGTGGACATGAAGACAGCCGTTGAGTGACGTCTTCGACAATGGTCGAGCAAAGAACAGTCTTGCAGCACCCAGCTTTTCCATGCAGCCACAACACTTGTTGAGATCCAGTGAGCCAGTCTTGGTACTCTTGACAGCTCAACATCCACTCTCCGGTTCCAGGCTCATGGTCCTCACGAGCTTTGCGGTGAATAACTGTCGGATCTGGCGCCGCTAGCCATTGTATAATTTCGTCCAGTCTCCTTTCTTCCTCCGCCGTCAGCAGCGATTGAGTGCTAGCAGCGATTGCGTCCACTCGAGTTCGAGTCGTGAACACGGTCTCGTAGGTCTGTGTCGCAATGCTCTCTATTCCTCCAACGGTAGTCTGGATGTCTCCAACGGTAGTTGCGACTTGCTCCACTTTGTCTCTCGCGACAGAGCTATGATCCAACACAAGGACATCGATGGCAACCGCTAGTCGTAGGAGGAGTTCCTGAGTGATTTCCTTAAACTTCTCCAGCGTACTCTTCTTAAAAGGATAAAGGAGACGTAGTCTACTCGCATGTGCTTTTTCCTTGAAACCATTCGGTGCCTCTTTATGCAACTTCTTCAGCTTCTTCTCTAGTTGCTGCACCCCATCTTTGCATGCCTGGTAATCGTCATAATAGTCAGTGATGTTATATTTGATGTTTACGGTGCTGTCTCACCATAAGGCTCTCTTGAGCTTGCGATACAAGAGTCGATGTGCGTTGCATGGTCAATCCCTCTTCCAGTAGTTTGAACGTTCTGCTGAGCTCCGTGATCGCAGAATACGCCTCTCGAATATCTTCCTCATATCCCTTCCAACTCTGATAGTACTCCAACAAGCCCTGGCATACCTGGATGCCCATGGACGCAACACCCACAGCTGTTCCAGGATCCATGCTTCAACGACGGCTGAGTGATATGTTTGCAAACGGGCTGAGAATTATTGCACTGCTCCGAGGCTGCATGGACAACGGACTATATGTACAGCTTTGTGAACAGCTGTGGTACGGCTGTGTCAGTGGTGTAAATTGAACATGCGCAGCGAGTAACGTGGCCCCTAGTTGATCGGTCAGAAGGGCGCTGAAGGAGAGTTGATTGGATCCTACCATTTGTTTGCATACACAAGCTGTAGCGGGGTTGTTTTCGAACGAGGGACGGGCGACGCAGTGTAAGCTAGATCAGACGAGCGCGCAGCGCTTGCAACACTCCGTGCTACGGTCCTCTTTCTGGAGTTCATCACATGCTGTCAGACAACGTTCGTGGGAATAGCTGTGATTCGACTTGGGTTGGCCACCAGTCCCGTAGCAAAGTCCCCTCTGTAGAGAGGACCATATTACAGAAGTTTCAAGGCCGTAGTATAGCTATATAAACTTCGATTAGAAAGGAAGTGTAAATTACTTACTCAAAGGGAAGACTTACCTAAGCTGCCTATACTAGGCGTATGATAACCCTACATATATAGAGCTTTGCCGTTATCTCTACATTAAACATTTCTTCTCTTCCTTCGCCTACTATACACCCAAACACCTACACTTGTGGACTTTTCCTGATTAATAAATCTATATACTTACGGACGATAAAAGGCTTGAACGAACTACTACAGCGTATGATCTCACGCGGTTAACCAAAAAGTTCGGACTCACAAAAAGACACCCTTTTGCCTATAACAACACTACGTATAAATATAAGAGATCTATTCCTTACTTTATCATAAATAGAAGAGGAAATTGTAAGGTTTTATATAGTAGTTATGTTATCTTTTATCTATATATTACTGTAGCTTATAATAAGGCGAAGGGTAGTAGTGTGTTAGTGTTCGCTCACTTTTAGCGCGTACGGAGTCTAAACTATTTGGTCTACCGCGTGGATCTATACCGTGTAAGATCTCGATCTGTAGCATCTGCCCTGTAATTTCTAACAACCGTAACGTAAACAGGACTAGCAGTTAAAATCCCGTAGTACGGACTGTTGCAAGCGTCGCGACAACGTAATGGTTCATTGTACAAGATCTTGCTTGGATATACTCTCCCCACCAGGCTTGAACGCACTTCACAAATCCACAGAACACTCGCTTGTCAACGTGTACCACAGGTATCTTCACACAACATTTGCTCCTATCCGACACACCAATCACACTTCATACCCGCCCTACGGCCCCCAGCGCAGCCTGCACATCTGCACTGCCCACGTCCTCTCTCTGCCTGATATACGCCTTCAACTCCCCCGCATCGGCACCTGCCTGGTGCAACTTGAACTTCAACGCATCTCCCTTGATGATGAACAGCTGCCCAACCTCAACGAGTACATCCATCGCGCCTGGCTCCAAATCCCCGCCCGTAGGCCACCCCCGCACAAGCTCCGCATACCGCGTCATGTCCTTCGACACGGTAATGCCGCCGAACTGGCTAACAGTGAATTTTAGTATATGAGCTAGCACGAGAGCGCGCAGCCCGAGCGCAAGTTCCGACAGGAAGAGGCTGAGATTGCGCCCTGACAGCGCGCCGGACGCTTGTGTCGCTACGCGCGTCAAAAACTGCACAACGGCCTGGCAAGCTGGTGTTTCAGAGCTGGCAGCCATAAGATCCATATCGTCCTTCGGCCTGAAATCCGTCTTCTTCTGCTGCGTGAGGCACTTGGCGACCCAATTCAGCGTCGCGGTCAGCGTGATGTTGAGCACATTCGAGAGCTTGGATTCCAGCGTTGACATGGTGGCGTTTGAGGACTTCTCGATTTCGCGGCGGATGGTGAGGTTGGGTGTTGCGAGGGGAAGGAGGATGGTGCGGATGGTGGTTTGGAGGAGGTGCAGGATGATGGTGAGTCTTTGGATGGAGGGGAGGTGGGTGAGATCGGGTGGCGTCTTCATGTTTTCTTGGGAGACAGCGTGGTCAGAGGCGCTAGGTGTTGTTAGCATGATTTGTGAAAGATTGGAGAAGAGCGACTTACGCATCGAGGGCTGTTTCGAGATAGTACTCGCCTACGTGGGTAAGCAGTAGGTTTTGAAGATTCTGCACATCCTTTGGTGTATCATTAGGTGGAGAGAGCTCCAATCCTCTACCGACACCCTCCGCAAGCCATTTGAGCATACGCTTTGCTGCTGGTATTGACAATCTTCCGTCTTCTTCTGTGGTTTCGATGTTCTTTTTGTCGCCTTGGTCTTCCTTCAGACCGGCGATCCTGAGCAACATCGCTTTCTGAGTGGTGGGCAAATCTGCACTATCAAGCCTTTCCATGTACGCGTCACGCGCGGAGGCTGCAAATTCCTTGCCTCGCTGGGCGAGCGAGCCAAAGTATGATGTTGGCATTCTTCGCCGTTGTTCGTGGTATGATGTGAACTTGAGGAGTAGAGAGGAGTAGAGCTCTTCCAAATTCCTCTTCTCTCTTTCAATGTATGACGATCCTACGAAGTAAGGTACGAATAGTTCCTCTAGTTGTTGGTCCAAGGTCGCTGCAATCTGCGAGGTCACAGGTTCCGGAGCTTCGGTCAAGCCATGTGATTTCAAGTCATCGACCAACGTCGTAATGTAGCTTCTCGAAGCCTGAAGCGAGCGAAGAAAAGCAAGCGACGAGAGTTCGTTCGCCTTTTCAAGTACCATCTCCAACCGCTGCTGAATGGACTGCTGAAATATTCTCTGCAGAAACCTGATGAGAACCTCTTCGTAGTAGGGAAACGCCCGCTTGATGACCGCAGACTCGTCCTGTACGACGATCTTCACTTCGTCGATTAGCGACTGTAGACTAGGCTCAACTCCTGGGGGCTCTGCGTCTGGGTCTTGGAGACGTTCCCAGGTCTCTGTATCTTCTACCAGCTCGTCTGTGACCAGTTGGGTTCGGTCTATGAAGAATGAATGCTGGTTTACGTATGTTGCTATGACACTAGCACCATCATTGAAGTCCTTGAGCGTGATTGCACATTCCCGCATGCCTTCATAATTCGCTCGTCTTAAGCAGTCGTCGAATTTAGCCAAAAGGTCCTGCTCAAGGTTCTCCAAGAACTTCTCAATAATCTCTTTCGTAGGGTACTTTGACCGTCCGGGTCTTCTCTTGACGCCATTTGGAGCACTTCCATTCACGCCTTGGTTGCTGTCCGGATCAAGCCGAGCGCTGATCTTGAGCAGTTGCCTTGCTATTCGTGCACACTCCACAATGTCGTTGCGGCGCTTCACGTCTTCCAGAGTCTCGAGGCTGCCCCGTTGACTGACCTCTTGCCAGCAGAGAATCAGGAACTTGGCATCATTCGATCGCTTCAGCTGCCGGTCCAGCTCTTCCAGGCGCTCTCCTATCCGCACAGCAACATTTCCTCCTGCGTCCCCATATCCGTCATCTCCGCCAGTGCCGTTCAGGGAGTTGTCCAGCCGCTGGAACCGTTCTACGGCTTGATTTAGCTTCCTCCCTAGCGACTCGGCATTCCCGTTGTGCTGGGCTTCGGCGCGGCGCACGGCGCCTGAGAGTTCATTCTCTCTCTCCTCGAGGTCTTCAGAGAGGTTGTTCAGGCGGGACAGGGCGTGCTCGAAGGAACGTATCAGAGGCTTGGGGTCGAATTGGGTCTGGCTGCCGCCGGGCGCGGACTTGCGGGAGGCAGGTGTGGCATTTTCGGAGAGGGCCTCGATGAAGTCCTTGACTATGAAGTCTTTGTTGGAGAAGTTATCGAGCGAGAAGGTGAAGCCGCGACCGGAGCTTTTGGTCGAGGCCTGATACGAGAGCATCGACGCATTGTCTGCGCTGGGGCGAGACATGGTGGCGTGCTACCTTGGGAGCATGGGTGGGGCGATTGTACAGACACGCGACACGAGACTGCAGCTTCTATGTAGAGATGTGTGTCGTCTTGAACCTCAAGCTGGAGCCGGTGTCGAGTCGCGGGCGAGCGTCGTGGCTTGGGAGTTGTGGCTTGTGCCTCCCCGCGCAGCTGGAGCTCGCTTTGGGGAACCCTTCAACCTGACGACAGACCCTCCAGACGTCACTCCAGACACTTTCTCGCGCTGCTAGCAATCAGGACACATGCTTCGATACGCCTCAGCAGTTGCGACGCGTGTACGCAATTGCCCCTCGCAGCATGGCTGAGCATCGATCTTGGCTTCGGCAGTGTCGGCGCCACTTGTACGCACAAGCCTCACCGCACATGCTCCGAGTGTAAGCTTGTAAACATATACGAGTAGACCCACGATACAACTTCCATTCCTCCGCCCACGCGTTTGTCCACTCGTTCGTACAGTCGCTGGAGACGCAAACGCAATCAGTTTGACGCGGCGAATACTCAGTTCCCCGCCGCAATGGCGTCCACAGGCATCACCAAGCGCGAAGCGCTGGCCTTCCGCAAAGGCGTCGTCAACGGCAAAGAAATGACCCCTCAAGAGCGCGAAGCCATGTTGAAGCCGTTTCTGCCACCAGCACCCGTCAAGACGTCCTCCCCCGACCGCTCCACCCTCAAATCCCCAAAGAGCCCCAAGCTCTCACAGCGCACCACTCCCAAACCGAAACCTAAGCCCACGCCTGTCCGCGCCCTTCTACACTTCCTCCTCTACTCTATTATCTCTTTCATCTTCAGCATATTCTTTCGCTTCCGCCGCTCGTGGAGGTTGTTTACGTACAAGGTGCGCGGCGTGCTGAGGCATCACCACCACACGCCAGAGTGGATTGTCAACGATGTCAAGAACGTGGAGCAGTTGCCGAAGCACGTCAGCGTTGTCCTGGACCACCGAGAAGACGATGAAGACCAGGGCAACGCAGGGCTGGAGGGTCTCGTCCAGGACGCGTGCGAGATAGCAGCTTGGACAGCGAGCGCAGGTATTCCACTGCTCAGCATTTACGAGCGCACTGGTCAGTCTATCTCTCTTCCTTTATCCTCACTACATATACTGATACGCAACGATAGGCGTCCTAAAGAACTACGTCCCCCAACTCCACGCCGCCATCCAGAAAAACCTCGAATCATACTTCGGCACCCGTCGCCGCCCCACTCTCACCGTCAAAGCCCCGCACACCATATCCTACTCCCCGCCGGGCACACCCTCGAGCGAGCCCACCGAAAACGGCTCCACGACCTCGCGCCCGCATCTCACAGTGCTTCTCCTTTCCGAACACGACGGCCGCGACACCCTGGTCGACTTGACCGTCACACTGTCTGCCATGGCGCAAAAAGGCGACATCAGGAAAGAGCAGATTGACATGAACCTCGTCAACGCTGAATTGAGCGACTACGTCAGCTCTGAGCCCGATTTGCTCGTGCTGTTCAGTCCTACCGTCGTACTGAAAGGATATCCACCGTGGCAGTTGAGGTTGACGGAGATATTCCATTTGCCTGATAACAAGGGTGTCAACTATCAGGTCTTCCTCAAAGCGCTGAAGCAGTTTGGGAAGGCGGAGTTCAGGGTGGGCAAGTAGAGTGCTTTCATGTTGTAGATTGTTATACCCTAGAGGTCTTGAAGAGGTCAAGATCACATAGTAATTATCGATGTTCACTGATTGTGTGCTGATAGGTGCCAGTGATCTTGCTTGTGCGTAGGCGTTCATGACCACTCTCACTCTAGGGAACGGCGCTACGATGTGTTTCGAAACATCACTTGTGTTTCTTGTGAGATATGTTATATGGCAGGGCGCATTACAATCAACATCACGATAAGGGGTCAACTTGAGTGCGTATGAAATTGCGAGCACGATCGAAAAGATCCGAGCAAGCTCATTACGTCACGCGCGTTGGGCAGATGTAAATTTCACAAAACGGCACTAGACGTGGGGGTGCATGACCTTCATTCAATGTATCCTAACGGCGCATGTCGACAAATAGTCGCAACATATTCCCACAGTACCACTGATAGCCCGCTCGACACCGCCCAAAATGCCCATGGTCGTCCCACATGATTCTCGTAAGTGGAAGGGAGATCGGCATGATCATTCTTCGTTGACAGGCGGAGATTGGCGATGCGCTTAGTCGAAGAGACCGAAGCCCATGTCCTCGTCGGACTCCTCCTTCTCCTCCTCAGCGGGGGCAGCAGCCTCCTCAGCGGCAGCAGCGCCACCGGCAGCGGCACCACCGGCAGCGGGGGCGCCACCAGCACCGCCAGACGGGACGGAGGCGAGCTTCTCAGAGCCAGAGGCGATGAGCTGTTGTTCGTTAGACAGAATTTCTTTATACCTGGGCGACACTGTTGAATAACCGTACCTCGTTGATGTCCTTGCCCTCGAGCTCGGAAAGGAGCTTGTCGAGGCGCTCGCTGTCGGCCTCAATACCGACAGACTCGAGGACCTCCTTGACGTCGGAGGCGGAGGGCGAGGTGTTTCCACCGAGGCCGAGGAGGAGGTAAGCTGCGAGGTGCTTCATTGTGGATGTGTGCTATTGACGTTGGGAAAAGAACTGAGTACAATCGATTTAACCTGCGCGAGTCAATATGTGCTCTTCTATCGCAACAGCTGCGCGACGACGTACCGTATGACCGGAGACTGAGACTTCAAGTTCTCGATGTGGTTGCGGATCAAGAAAGTTCGACCCGCGCGACGAATATTCGCATAGGTGAGTGCGCTAGTATGAGCTAAGCCTATCGCGGGCAAGTGACCCGGCGCCGGATTAGGTATGTTCCGCGCCTTGCTCGCCTTTATAAGGACCGCCACTCTTTCAACCTTTCGCGCCGCCCGTGTGTTTTCTTTCTCCAGGGCGCTGTAAACCCGCTTTCTTTGAGCGTGCGTTTACTGGGCGCCTCCGCTTCTCCCATAAAAACGCGCCACGAAAGCATGATCGACTGCTTTTCCACTACACACGACCAGTAGCCCTGAGTCAACTGCATATCTGTCGCCCGCCATGAACGTGAGTCGTCCGGTGTTGTAGGTGGAAATCTGTTTGCTGATCTGAATAGCCTCTACACGATATTCTCTCTTCGATCGATCCGAGCAAGGCGCGCATCTTCTCTACAACGCCTCCAGTCCAGCGGTTGGGTACCGGTTCTCCGAAACCTGCCACGGGTGCCCAACGCCCGCCCCAGCGTCCTGCTCAGCCCGCGAATGGAACTTCGGAAACGTCGGCCTTAAAGCGCAAAGCCTCAAATCCAGGCGATGTAGGACAGACCAAAGTACCGCGGAAAGATGCGCCTATACCACTTTTACCGACCAACGGCGCGCGGTCGGGATCAGCCCCTGCCGGAGCACGATCGACCTCCACCACCCCTACGACTTCGATGCCATACCGAGGAACAGCAGGTTTGGGCACCTCGAAGCCCGCAAATCCGCAGGTGAAGAAGCCTCTAGCTGCCGGTACTGTCCAAACAGCATCTGCCAAGATAACACCCTCTACCTCCAGACCGACCGCCCCGAGACCTGCCGCAGCCGCCCCTGGAGCATCAACAGCACCAGTAAAAAAGGCGGGAGGTTATCTAGCCATGTTGCAGAAGGCAAAAGAGAAAGATGCCACGAAGCCTGCTGCCCCTCCGGCCAAGCCCGAGCCGACTAAGATCATGTCTAAGAAGGAGCGGGATGCTGCCCGGCTTGCAGCTAAATTAGGTGGTAAAGGTAAGAAGCCACTCGTCGGGCCTCCAGGACGAGTTATTGATCCAAAGACGAGCGGTGCTGCCAGTGCTGCGCAAGAGAAACGAAAACCAGCAGACCTCGGATATCAAGGCACCGCTCGTCCTGCCCCCAAGAAGCCCGCCGATGTTGGCTACAAAGGCACAGCCAGACCAGCGGCTGCTGCATCATCTGCTGCCCGCCCCGGTACGGCTGCTGCTGCCAAGAAGAAGCCCAAACCTGTCCAGGATCGTTACGCTGGGTATGCCGACTGGTCGGACCTGGATGATATGGAAGACGAAGAGGAAGAAGATTATGATTCTGAAGGCTCTTCTGACATGGAGGCCGGCATGTGGGATGTCGAGGAGGAGAACGCCAAGGCACTCAAGGCTGCCAAACAGGAAGATGCCGAAGCACTTGCCCAGGAGAACGAGCTCAAGCGGATAAAGGAAGAGCGGAAGAGGAAATTAGCCGCTATGAACAAGGCAGCGGCGGGTAAGAGAAAGTTCTAGACTTCTACGATCACGATCACGTTTATGGAGTTATTGGGTTATATTTACGGCATACCACAGGGGGCGTTGTTTCTGCATTTTCGTCTTGCATAGCCACGGTGCTTTGGGGATGGATAGTTGGAAATTCACTGCGACTCTTGTCGGTCCTATTTCACGATTGTCATTTTCGTAAGTTCAATCGAAGAGCAGCATTACATGACAGACACCTGTCGGTGATAGAACCTTTAGTATTCACACCCCCTATTGATAATCGATTTGTATCTGGTACCTCAACATAACAATTCCAAAGTCGCGCTCGTGATGCATACGATCAACACGATTGAAGAAAACATGGAAGAGAGCAAACAAACAGCGACTAGAAGCGACACAGCTCGAGCGCAAACGAAGCAACTTAGCTTGACAATTGACACTTCACAGGCATAACACTTCAAGTTTTCGCACCATATTTGCCCACAACGCACCACCCTACTTCGTATATACTCCTACACCGCAACGGAACGTTGCGACATCAACTTCGTCATATTCTTGCGGCCTTGCGCCACCGATACCACAGGCTCTCCAACAAACATTGCCGTCGCGCGTCGTAACGTCAAATGAGTCCTGCAACAGGGAAACAGAAGGCAGTAGAGCCAGAACTGAATCCGGATCTCGTCCCCGCACCATTATTTTCTCCCCGAACCTCACACAACTTGCCACACCTGGTCGATATGGACATTGACGAGCCGTCCGTGGCCATTCATCGACATGACGACCTCTTCTGGAACAGCACGCTAGAAGAGAAGGACGACCAAATCGTGCCAGAGCATGATATTCTGGGCAGAGTGGAAGGGACGCGCAGGGCATATTGGGTGAAGGACTTGCCACATGCTGGGGAACCCCCAAGAGACGACGAGGTCACCGACACTCCTAGCCACGGTGGCCCTGCAGCGCAAGACTTCGCCTTTGAAGAAAGCGCTCCTTCAAGCCTGTCGCCTGCGTCGCAGTTCTCGAACTGGGATCTTTACGCACCGCCTACGCCGCCCACGCCCTCCTGGCCTAGACGATCGGATTCTTTCAAACGCACACATTTTGAGCCGGTTGTTCTGCCACACAATCATGTATACGAATCGCCGGATCTACTCATCGGACAGGATGAGCGTCCATACGATCCGCATATAATGCGTGGTGGTGGACAGTCGACCACAGTCGAACTCAATTTGCCGTCTCATGTATTGGGTAACATCACCGCTTTCGCTGGGACAGATCCGTTGAAGAATCATGGCCAGAAGACGGCATATAAAGCACTTCCTACGGTCGGTTTCAAGGTACATGAGGAGCCTGTCGTGCAAGATGGCGAGACACAGGGTACGATGCTAAATTATTCGTTTCCGTGGAACGGTGGCCCTCCAAGACCAAGTACGGCGAAGTTGGAGGCTGTGTATCTGCCGCCCGGATCAGCGGCAGAAGCTTCGAAACCTACGTCTACGTCCGTATCTTCGGCACCTACACGAATACATGCACTCGAACAACCTTCCACAGCATGTGCACCTGACATCACAGAGCATCCAGCTTTCAAGAACGATCGAGCAGCCGAAGGCCCTACATTGAGCAATGGTGTCGGAGAGGAAGAGCTTACTAAATCACAGAAGCAGGTACCCATAACATCCAAAAACGCGAAACCTCCGCTACCGCCTAGAAACGGCGTTTATATTAACACTGCACTTGAAAGGCCTTCAACGCAATTGCATTCTCCATCTCCAGTGCGCAATGGCAGATCCCACATACTGCCTTCTCTCCACCAGGACTACGCCTTCCCCTCCACATCCTCAACGGCACCACCAACGGACCCCCATCCCCCAGGCTTTACCACAGACAATGAAATCCACCTCCACAATTCGTACGATGCAAACGTCCACGCCATCCTCAATTACTACGACCAGACCTTACTAGCACAAGCAAAATCCATCCGCCACCTCCACGCCCACATCGACCAACTCACCGAACGCTGCGACTACTACGAGCACGACCTCCTCCCCAAAACCCTAACCCACTGGTCCGAAACCAACCGCGAGAACCACGTCCTCGCTGCCGGGCTGAGGCAAAACGAAGAAGAAAACGCCTTACTCTGGGGCTTCCTCGAGTTCTCTCGGAAAGTGCTCCATCTGTGCTGGCAAAGGGACCAGGCGGTGCTGCATACGGCGCAGACGATGCGCTTGCGGAAGATGAATCGCGCGAATTGCGCAATGTTGGAGAGGCTGGTGAATAGCTTTGGGCCCGGGAGGAGGGGGAAGGAGAGGAAGAGAGGGGAGAGCCCGTTTAGGGAGGATTTGGAGCAGTTGGTTTTTGTGTGTGAGCAGAATATGAGGTTGTTGGGGAGGATTTGGAGGATTGGAATGGGAATCTTGAGGTGGTGAGGGGGTGGAAGGGGAGGAGGGGATCAGGAGATGAGGCTGACGGTGATCATGAGGATGTGAGGTCGCGGGACGGGGTTCGAGATGTTTAGTCAGAAAGTAGCTAAGTTTGTATGATTGCGTAGATATCCATTATTTCAGCTTGCGAAACAGGCCAATAGCAAGATCGAAAATTTGATTTGAGCAAGGTAGACTGGAACAATACAGTAGTATTTGACTGCAGCATTATCATCCCTTGTGTTCTTTGGGTATCGTGAAGTTCGTGCCACGCTTTTCAGTTCCTCATATCCTAGAGAGCTTTTCGAAGCTAAACAATGACCTTCCTTTCCGCTCGGTGTCTTGTCCCACCCAGCCACTCTTACCCACAATTTCGCCGGCACCCTCCGCCATTTGTCGCAGTGTACTTTCGTCGCCATGGTTGGCAAGGAAGCGGTTGCCATTGCTTTTCAATCTACCAACAATATACCCCCTGAGTGGCGTGCCGTCGCGATTGAACTCTACTGTGTATGTCTAGACATGGTCAGCCCGGTGCCTCATACTCTTTCTTTGCCCGAGGAAAAACATACCTCAATGGTTGCTTCACCTTCAGGTTGCTCGACAATATCCGGAACCTCCACATCCGTAATCTCCTGCGGCAGAGGGTTCTCTTGCGGATACACAACCACTGCTCTCGGATCTTTTGACAATACCACCACATACTGATAGCTCAGCATCCCGCCATTACACAGTACTAGCCCTGTTCTACCCTTACCCTCTCGAATCGCTCTTGTCATCGCGGTCAGTGCATGCATACTGTAGTTGTTCCCGGCGCCGCCAAAACTGGTCAACCCTCCTAAAAGTGTCAAGCTCTTAGTGCCCCCAGTTACCGGGAGACCAAGATGGTGCGCAGCCAACTTCGGGACAATAGGAAAGCAGGAGTAGATATCGAAGAGATCAATGTCGGCCACGGATATCTGAGCAAGTGACAAAGCTGCGTCGAGAGACTTTGATATACTGGGCGAAGTGTAGAAGTTTGGACGGTTCCAGAAGTACGCGGCATCCGAGGTTCCAGCTCCAGAAAGTGGGTAGACCCATTTGGATTCTGGGATACCAAGTTTTCGCGCGAAGGTTGTGGAGGTGACGAGGCAGGCGGCCGCGAGATTGACGGTGTTGAATGCGTTCATGAGTAAAGGATCTGGAGCATGTTAGTCTATCCTGGGATGTATCGTATGTACAACATGAAGTCTTACAGGGAGAGCATATCATTCTGTTCTTCTTACTCACGGTTCCAATCTTCTCTTCGTCGTCATACTTCCCATGAGACCAAGCAACTTCGTTTTGACTTGCGACTCTCGAAAATTCTGCGTACAGCTTTGCGCTCTCTTCATTGTTTGCTTTGAGGCTTTGGCCCCTATGCGCTCGGAATGCGTTTTCGTAGAGTGGATATACTTGGATAGGTGTACCAAAGTCATGCGAAGCACCAAGATCTGCGGAGGTATAAACGTTCAGCTTTTCCAGAAGATCGAATGACTTACTCGAGCCAAGATCCATGCCTGTTGGCGTAAAGACAGACTCAACAGACTGCGATGGCTTCGTCCAACCTGGTGGTGGTAGCTTACCTGCAGCCGCACATGCAGATACTGACATGCATCAGCACATCTTATGCCCTCAAGTGGAACTCATCCATTGTCGGTATCCAATTTCACGAGGACAATGCTTACAAGACGCCAAAGCTTCCCCACCTGCAACAACAGCAATCAAGCTTTCTCCTCGCGCTACTCGTTTCGCTGCTTCATCGAGCAACTTCCCTGGCTTATCACCGCCATGCTCAGAGTAGAACTTATGTGTTGGTTCAACGCCCAATTTGGCGGCAAGTAAGCCTGGTAGGTCAGGGTACGGCCACGTCCAAGTTTTCACTACGGCGATACTGTCTATAGACGACTGCAGTGTTGTAGTATCAGATGCAGAAGCATCTTTGATAGCGGCGAGTATCGCTTCATGGATAAGGACGGCGGGTTCCTTTGGGGTCGAGGTGCGGTTCTTGATGTCACCGACACCGATTATTACTGGCGTCTCTGAGGGAGGCATGTCGCGAGATCAAAAGACACCTGCGTACACTAGAGAATACTGTGTGACATCGCTAGAGAGGCTCCGTTGTTGGAGGTGTCTTCGGTATGCGCGAGTCGTGATTGGAGATGAGGAGGCACGGTTTGCCGAGGTACTTGTGGGCTACCTTACACAAGCGTGCTGTGAATTCCGCAACATAACTAGAAGCCTTCTTCTATCATCTGAGCACATCCTTGTATACACAGTACACGCATCTTACTCTTGTGATTTCAATAGTGGCTGTCTCTATTTAACAATGGTTCACGTTTAATTTGGTCAAGGTTTTGCATGAACGCACGTTCCATGCGCAAGGACACCCCTGACGATCACAACACCCATGCCCTTCATGTCGTCATTACCTAATCTGCCGGATCGCTTCCTAAAAGACCTGGTGTACTCGCCTAAATCGAAACCCACACCGTGGTCATGCGTAGTCTACAATTACATAGGCCTTTTCACTGGTTCGACTAGGCGAACACACACAACGGCTTCGAGAGGCGGGAGGAGTGATCTACCGGAAGGAGCATTTCTCGCGAGCGGATCTCCAATTTCCAGGATCCATTGGGGCTACTTCGCTTGGGCTACAAGTCTACTCAGAGATGCCGCGCCACTACTACCAGAACAGGGTTCTTCTCCTTGATGCCCCGGTGGGTTAAGGCTCGAGCACCGAACTACATAAGGCGCAAAAGATCTCGGCCAACTCACCTTCGTTCCCGCCTTGCAACAAACGTCATGCAGCTCTACTGTCTTCCCCTTCTTGCTCTTTTGGGCGCCGTGATCTCCGCATCACCTGCTTCTGAACTCTCAGCGCGGTCCATAAAATGTCTCAAGGTCGGTGCTAACGCTACAGCGACATGGACGAACTCCGCCGGCAAGACATGCAAATGGAGTGGTGCTGTAGGGAGCAACTTTGGGACAAATAACGTCACTGGCGGAGAGTACGTTCTTTCCTCATTAATTTGCTCTTTCTCGAGTTCATTAGGATCAATTGAATCGAAGAATCCTAACAATAAACAGGTACTCATGCAACGGCCGATGCGGAGCTGGCTGCAGTGGAATAGCGTTGGGCAACGTATATACACAAGACTGCTTCTCTCATGACATCTGCTCGTGGTTCAACAACGCTAGTGGAGGAGCTAGGTTCGTGTATCCATTACGCTGTGCTACAAGGCTGATATTGATACATCAACAGTGATGCGAACTGTGGTGCGGCGTTCGATTCTGCTATTGACGACACAGTTGTAGGGTTGCTGGCCGGCTGCTCTCAAACGAACCCGAACAACTCGGCCAGCAATCCGAGTATATCACCGACATGTTCTTAGAAGAACTCCAGAAGAGCTGTGGACTCCCAAGGATGAGGATCAGTCTAGGTCCCGGAAATATCGCGGTGAAGGAATCGAAAGGCTTTCTTGGACGGAGCTTGGTCCATTGCTGGAATGAAATGATACTAGAACTGCATGCGAGAAGCGAATGAACAGCATGACTATTGAGGTGTCATTGCAGACCCTTCCACTGATATGTAAGCTAGTCGCGCAACAAGCTCGACGCTCCCACAGACTTCTACAAACGAATGCATCCTGACGCTGGCAACAATGTAAGGATTGACCACAGGAGATTAGAATAGGTTACCCGTAGGGGATGGTACTACCATAGGTTTGGAAAGTCTTTGCTATACTACATTTTTATTGACATGTTCGAGCTCTTCAAAAGCACCAATCCTACTTCGCTTTCTCGGCCTCGACAACTTGTTTCAAGTCCTGATTCATCCTTACATACCCCTCCCTCAGTTCGTTCAATTTTCCTGTCGCTGCAATCAATGGCGCCAAGAAGCCAGAGAAACGCTCGCCTTGAGTAAAACGCGTGGATTCTTCATCTCCCGCAACTGCTTCTAATTGACACCAGTGCTCCGTATCGAAAATTATAGGCGTTAAAATGCTTCCATTCCATCGAAGCTCTTTTTCTGGATTTAAGACCGAGACAGTGTTGGTGTAAGATTGACTCTTGTTGATGGTGATTGTCTGTTTGCTTCCCACGGTGAGCTCGGTATGTGGTGGCTGCACCTCGATTGATGTGACAAAAGTGTTCCATTCCGACCATGACTTCAAGTCCATCAACACGCTCCATACTTGCGACGGGGGCGCTGAGATGGTAACGGATTCTTGGATTTCGTGCATTGTTGTCTTGTTGGATTGCTGTCAAAGAACGATGTTTCGATTTTGCGTTTGGGAGAAGTTTGGAATGATGAATTGATGTTTTTGGGGACTATGGAGTATTTTATAAGGTCTACGCTTGCTACTATCTCGTGAGTCGCATTCATAGCCATCGCGAGACAAGGCGAGGCGGCACGGCGAGTCTTACTGGCCGACGTGATGACGTCGTCCAAAAGCGGAGGTTGTTTGCCCGGTCCTGCCAACCTAAACTTAAACAAGCCTAAGCGTTGCCAATGCATACAGAGTACTGAGTTGCGCAAGCTCGACACTCCTACAGACTTCTACAAATGAATGCTTCCTGAGAATAGCAACAATATAAGGATTGAATACAAGACAGTATTATAGGTCAATCTCCATGTGAACATGAATATGTCCGCTAAACCGCCATGACACTGACCTGCGCCCCGCCCTTCTCTACCATCACCTGGTCCTCTGTCACCTTCTCTTGCTTACTTTTTCCACTCATACAACACGCGATGATGCAATTCCAAATTGCCACTTTCGTATTCTCGATGCTAGCCCCCAACAAAAAGATCCCCATGAAGCCAACCGTCATGATCGAGCTTAGAATATTCAGAGCATCGCTGACAGTATCAATGCTCTCCGCAATCATCTTCAACGCCTCAAGAAGTACCTTCTCGGACGTTGTCAGCGCAGCCTTGGTCTCGGGTCCGGCCACGAAGGCGAAAACACCGAACTCGACGACGAGGAGCGAGGAGCAGACAATTGCTGCGATCCAAAGGATTAGCGTGAGGACACTAATGACCACACGAGTAGTGCGCGAGTTGCGCTTGAGGTCGCGAGGGGAGTGGCGAGCAGCGCGGTCGACGAAGAAGAGATAGATGATGGAAAGGGTTGACCAGAGTGCCTGCTTCAAGTTAGACAGGCAGATGATATTAGCACGAGCTGCCTACTGCTACGAAGATGACTATGGCGCGCATTGGTGTGCCATCAAGGTGTTTTAGCACTGGGACGAACGTGTGCTGGAGGATTTGGACGCCGTCGTTCTCTGGATCCAACGTGTCGATGGCTTCTACGAGTGCATGGGCTGATGCCGCCATATTATAGTAGACGTATGTTACTACGGTTGAGAAATGTTAGAGATGACTTGACGATGATGGTAACTCGCCACTCACCGTATATACCGCAGACCAGTGCGACGACGCTCAGTATAAATTGGACGACCCGGAAGATGGTCAGCAACACCTGCCTTATACGACCTTTCGCCATGTTGACCTGACTAGATGCCTAATAGTAATAGGAAAAGAATGATCAAACAATCCGACTCGCGCAAGCGAAAGTCACCACACACAAGAAGTCCAGCTACTTGTATGTCCAGACAAGAGGCGCGACACAATCATATACGTATCTCTTCACTCACTGCCACCTAGGCTCTGCATAGTCTAACAACCGATGCGTCGGGACCCTACTGCCTCTCTGTCGTTCTCAATACCTACACATCCTAGTAGGCTGAGCCGTTCGACTGTAACTCGAACGGCATCATGGGGCGGAAACGCTGAAGCGCTCAAACACTTCACATGCAGCCAAGGTCGACGACCAGGATTAAAAACAAGCAAAGAGCGACCACGCACGTGCCACGGTATGTCGGTTTAAGAATAGGATCAATTGATATGTCAAAAAATGGATAAGAGATAAAGGTTTAGCAACGATAGTAGCGACTCATAACAATACTTGATGGCAGCCAGACTCGAGTGCGAAAAACCTTGCCCTCAACATTGGCGTACTGGACTTGAGTGAATCCTTGGAGCCTGTTCTACTCTGCGCGATGATACTCATCCCAATTCGGCCCGTTTGCTCGCACCTTCTCTGACACCAACCCTAGAACACCATCCACAGAAGAAGAAGTTCATACCTGAAACGCGAAGTACACAGACTCGATTGCGCCCAAGAACACCCGTTCGTGCGCGCAAGGAGTTGTTTCCCCCACGCCTAGCGTCGCTGACCAGGATGCTGAAACATTAGGAGGCGGCGTAGTCTTTAGGACCAACCATCGGTCAAATAGCTGCATGTCGTATATGCGCAGCGTGCAGAAAGTCGCAAGGCGGACTGTATACTTTGTGTGCATGATGGTTGGTTCACCGGTCTGCGCCCCTCGGCTAGGCTGCTGCAATACGATAGATTGCCCCTCCCCGCTTGCGCGTGATGCCTTTAGGATCTCAGGTCAAGCATTCTGTCGATACCGTCGTCGTTTCTACGAATTTTGTGTCTGAAATATTGAGATTTGATACTTGAAGGAACGAAACCTGACATCAACCAACACCCCTGCATCGCGTGGGCGATCCACAGCGGCAAGGCTCGCATACATACTTCACCACCGAGCACATACGTCAAACAATGGAGTCCTCCGATGTTGCAGATCGCCCGGAGGATGATAAGCTGAAAAAGCTCGCCGAGATCGCCGCCGACATTTTCAGAGGTCTTTCGCCTACTCCAGAAGTAACAAAAGATCGAAGCATCGATACGAGCCAGAGTTCAGGTCTATATACACCACTTCAAGAAGGCCAAATCCGACTCATTTCGATAATCCCATCAGTCGATTTCGAAGCCCCACTGATATGCACGCTGCGCCCAGTATCGTTGACTCAAGCGCGATATTCAGCGATCTCCTACGTTTGGGGTGATTCGAGCAACCCTGAAGAAGCATCAATAAATGGACATATCGTGCTATTGCAACATAATCTCGCATCTGCTTTGAGGCATATACGTGCAACGGGTGCGTCGGAAGTTTGCAGTGCCTTATGGGCCGATGCGATCTGCATCAATCAGCACGATATACCAGAAAAGAATCAACAAGTCGGTATGATGGACCGTGTATATCCCTGCGCAACACTAGTCATTGCCTGGCTAGGGTCAGCGCAACCAAATATCACTGCTGCATTCAAGTCCATCTTCAAAGTATCAGCTGTAGCTCCAAATTTGGGAACGTCTGCCGAGAAGGTTTCACTTCTGGCCAGTGAATTCAGATGGAGCAAAAGGAGCGAAACGCGAACTGAAAACCGCCGAAGTTTTTCAAGTGGACCGGGACCATGGAAGGGTCTGGACGAACTCCACAGACATGAGTACTGGACTCGAGGATGTGAGCTTCCTTAAAGATCATCAATGATCTTACATCTCGTTGCAGAAATCTGACTTTATGTGTAGGGATCATCCAAGAAGTCGTCCTATCGAAGGAACTTATCTTCATGTCTGGCGAACAAGTTATTACTGCACGTCAATTGCGGAAAGTCCACGAAACCTTGAAAAGCATTGAGAAACCACCGCTCGATTTCTTGAGCCAGCTCACCGAACGATGGCCGAATTTCGGCTGGTTACTGCTGGATAACTTACTCTCGTTGAAGAATTTGATGATGCGTGGCTTCACTGACGGCCACAATACGATTAATATTTTCAGCGGTCTACTTTTGGTGACCGCAAGGAACCGCGTTTCGAATCCAAGAGATAAGGTTTATGCCCTTCTCGGAATGACAGGTCTTCAGGATACTATAAGACCTGATTACTCGATACCCGTTACGTCATTGTACATCTCCACTTGCGATCTGTTGCTCAAAAATAAAGCTGATTTAAGCTTTCTGGCTATGGGAAGGTTATCTACCCTCGACCACAACCTCGCTGTAGATTCACAAATGCCTTCTTGGTTGCCAAATTTTCATGCGGTCAGTCAGTGTACTGACAAGCTCCCGAGCCTCAGACAATTCGTCGGACGCGCCTACGAGGCTGCAACTTCTCTCAGTGGTGAACCGCAGATTTTGGCGTCCTCTTCCGGATCATACCTAGCCGTTGATGGTTATGTTATTGACACTGTTGAGGCGGTACTTACTGCCACTGGGCATAGCCCTATTCAAGATATCATGGAGCACGTGCTGTTCATCTGTGACAGTCTGAAAGAGTCTGTGTTTCCCGTACTTCAAGCTGCTTGCCGCACTTTGACGGGTGATTTTGATACGATGGGATCCTCTCGCATTCGCAAGCTCGATGACAAGGCCTATATCGCTCTAGGCGTAACTTTCCTCCGCATGCTCGAGGTTTGGTACGAACAGTATTCAGATAATGACGAACGTACAGTGACTATGGAACATCGGCAAAAGTTTATTGCCTACTTCAATTCTCTGTGTCCGGACCCCTCGCATAGCGAAAACCTGACAGAAGTGGTCCGCGAGCATTTTCTAGGCAGCGCATCAGAACTCGGACATTGGACCTCGGAGCGGATATGTAGGGTTTTTTATAAGTTACCAGACATGTATTCTCGGTCTTCTCAAGCGTTCCAGATGATCAATTTTGTATGGTCCACCATGCAGGCGCGTAGCACGATACGCAGCTCCAAGGGTCACTTCGGAAATGCTCCTCTTGACACAAAGGTCGGCGATCAGATATGTATATTCAAAGGTTGCAGATTTCCCGTTATACTGAGGAAGCAGCCGCAGTATGTTTACGTTGGACCTTGTTTCCTGTTAGGCTTTATGGATGGCGAGATTGTAGACATGGCAGAGAGAGGAGAGGTCCAGGAGGAACGCTTCGAAATCTTTTGAATTGTAACTAAAAGATGAAGAGCCTCGACTGTTTCAATCACTGAAATCTAGGGCAGCGGAATTAGTGATACCTCACTTGCTTTTCCAATCGTAGAGTTTACTCTGACCCTTGAATGTACAAGTCCTTAGAGAGAAGCCCAATTTAACTCAGGTAGGTGTTTTAGTGCTTTTAGCTCCTTGGACCCTTTGTCCCTTATCATAGATAATACTTATACACTATAGATAAGTATACTACTATAGGTTTAGATAGTATTACTTTTAGTTATGAATTAGTCATATAGGTATAGGTTATTAGTATATAGGGTATGTAGAGAGAAGAAGTGCGATTCACTTAGTAGCGCAGATTGACCGGATTTTTCTTCTCATGTCCATACTTATAGCCACAGTAGACAGGCTTAATAATTCGGAAGATCCTTCCGCATTCTCCTAGGCTCTCGACACCACTAGTTGTCTCCACCAGAGCTAAGGCAGTTGGACCTGTGTCACGAATTCTGCAAGCTCCGATTGAAAAACCTTGTTATCTCGTACGGCACGGACTTCTTTCATAACATGCTCAGTGTAACTGTCTTTATACTGTCCCATCTCAACATATCCTTCGTTTTCCATATATTGCGCAGCGATGATTAGGTTTTCAAGGCTTTGACGGCGTTGGTTGCGCGGCAAGAAACTATCGAGCCAGTCCCAGTATCCCGATATTGGTGTCGTCATGGGCAAGGAACCTATGAATGCTAGAGCACCTCTTCGTCCAGTGAATCTCAAAGGTGGTATTTCTCTCATCCGGGTAGGCAATCCCTCAAAAACATTATCCAATCCGCGGGCCGTGGCAAGTTTCGATATAACAAATAAGATGAGATACGATGCGAACCAGATCACGTTCGACCACATTTGCTTTCCCGATGTACCAACGTTGCTGGCGAGTAAAGCAGCTTGGACCATTAAAGTCAATACAAGGAGTCTTGTTGTCCATCTGACCAATGCCCAATTCTGAATTCGCACAGGAATGTTCGTTAATGCATGTAGATGAGAGGAATATCCGACAAGTACATCGAGCTGGGCAGAGTTGGAGTGCGGAGTGATAATGTGGATATCCGTGGCTGCTCCGCCAGACGCTTTCCGTCGGGCGTCTAGTTCTATTGCAGTTCTGTTGGCGAACTTGAGGTTTGTGTATACTTGCAATTTCCAAAGCAAGAATAGACTGAAGGCCATGCATCCTAAGAGAAGACATCCAGAGGAAATGTCGTGTCGGTACAGTACCGTAGCGATCCCAACTAGGGAAGAGATCTGGCCTGCCAGGACAATTCGAGGTGCGGACAGAATATTGGGAGTCGGAATAATTTCCCCTGGCGTTATGAAAGTGATCTTCACTATCGTTGTTCTGAGGGTATGCTGATCAGCATCATCGTCGGCCTTGTCTAGATCTCGCCCAATCAAGCCTGCCTGGGAGAGCAAGGCAGAGTTCACAAGAGGAAAACAATTGCCATGTCGTCGACTTATGACCGTGTGAGTGTTCTCCTGGAAGCCCGACAAAAGCTCCGATTGTGAGATACTCCAGAGCCTTTCGATATCTTTCACACACCCAGTCATGGGTGATAGTGCCCTACCATGGCTTTCGATTGAGGCGATGAGAGCCTTTTGCACTCGTAATGATTCCGCGAAGAGTGCAATAGGTAGGTAGGAGATGTAACTTGACATTTTTGCGGTTTAGGGAACGATTTCGGAAAGTAATGGTTGACTGATTGCCTCGAAGATAGATGCACATTTTAAAGTAAACATTCTTGGGCTAGAAACGGCCTCATTTCACACCGCTCTTAAGTGGACGCTTATATAGACCAATCAGTTGGTCTGCTGCGTTGTTATTCCAGCGAGCTCACCGGCCACCGGTGAGCCTATCAAATGCGGCTGACTCGGATGCAAGGCGAGTTTCAGCCTCGTATGTCGCACCAATCAATGCGGGCTATTTGAAAAGATGGAAGGATTCTCCTCCCTCCAAGATGTAAACTCATGCAGCGATCTGCAAAGCATGGCTATACTTAGTTTCTTTGAGCCTTATTTTGGCCGTATATGTAGGCCTGCAGTACCCCTGAAAGTTGGAACAATTTTCTTCCCACAAACCTGAAGGCATCCAAGGAACTCGTTGCCATTTCTCCTGACCCTACACAGCAACATCTCGCACCTCAAAGCCCCCATCTCTAGCACCGCATTCTCAACGCCATATTACCCAAAGTCGCTTATTTCTTGATATCGAAATCTACAAAGGTGTCCATCGAGTTCGGCATTTCGACGGTGACGAATATGACAACACGAAAGGCTCTGAACTTCTTCGACGATATACTTCCGGCACCTGACGAAAATCTCAATTTCGCGAGAGCTACGGTCACTTTCGACAAAGAGGCTACCTGCGATTGGATTGCTGCAAGTCATGCATCAAATTCAATGTCGCTTGACGATATCAAGCATATGCCTGTACTCCCAAACAACATCTCAGCTGTCCCAGAACTTGCGGACCTCGGAAAAGAGCAAAAGGTTCATCTTGCACAAGTGTGGCTGTTTTATGGCCTGCTGTCAAAGTTTCTTTCGGTGGCAGTAACACGAGATGATGTCTTCGCGACTAATTCCGACCCAAGAATCAGAATCTACCTTCAGAATTGGCACCAGAAACTATGTGCGTTGGGAAAGAAGCAACAACGTGTGGAGCTTGAGCGCCTAAGTAGCATAGTCGACAGTGCTGCTCACCCTATCGACGTACTTGATCTATGCGACAACCAGTATCAAGCGATCGAGAGCCATGACCTCGCTTTAGCAGAGACGATTTTATGTGTTAGGTTGCTTATCGAGTACTTATCTCAGCTATTAGACGCTCATTATTTCACACTCGAATTCGCGATTCCACGCCAGGGTTTCTACCTAACGCCTTGGTTCCGGAAGAGCTTGAAGATAGCGAGTAATGCACCCCACGCGTGGCCAGGCGAATTTCCCAAAATCGTTGGTTGGGAGTGGACAAACAAGCTCTTCAGAGTCTCGAAGCCAGGACAACACCACTCGTTGGGCTGGGCTGGAAAGCTCTTGCGAACGTGGTCTGAGGATAACGGTTGGTGCAGCGTTGCGTTCGATACAATCTCTCGAGGGAACACTCACATCACTACGTATTATCTCTCACGAATCAAGAGGCGAGAGAAAAGTAAGATACACACGGGTTGTAAAGGTGGCGACAAGTGTGTAGCTTACGAGTTACAGCCTGAAGATCGAGGCCAATACCGGACACGACACATTGGGGGCTGCCGCTATCCTCACGACTGTTCCCTGGTGCCGAATACGGGAATAGTAGACAAGTTCGAATCTGAACTCGGTACTATAATTGAACAAGATCGTATTCCAATTATCTCCATGACCCTGGACGCACAAACGGGTGTCAAGATTGACTTGACCACCTATGATGGGACCCAGAACTACACCGCAATTTCTCACGTCTGGAGCGATGGCATGGGGAATGATGTCAACAACCAAGTGCAATCGTGTCAATTGAGTCAGATATATAAGGACGTGACAGAGTTCGAGAAGGAGAAGCTGAAAGCATCCTTTCCTACTTGGTTATACCGTGCTACTTGGTTACATCATGCCACTTGGAACATCTGGACAAGATTTCGAAGTCCGACAGTCTATATCTGGCTAGACACGATTTGCATACCTGCTAGAAGAGGTAAGCCTGCCGATAGTATAAGGAGTCCAGAGCCTCATGAAGAACTATCTGCGGCAGAGAAGAGCTTGATGGAGGAAAGACAGAGACTACGCAACAAAGCGATGAGGCATATCACACCCATCTTCCAGGCCGCCGATCAGGTTCTTGTGATAGATAAGGAGATTGAAAAACTGCTTGATCCATCATCGGACATGATAAGCGCAATGTTATTGGGTTGCAAATGGTCAAACCGAGCTTGGACCTACCAGGAAGGAGCATCGGCACGAGATTGTCGCTTCAGAGTAGCAGGAAAAACTCCTGCGGTCTTTCGTAACCTTCAAATTCGTGGGGCACGTCATTGGAAGAGGCGTGAATACATCAAATTGGTCCCAGGATTTATCAGGACTGTCCAAGCTATCCTGTGTTGCTTTCACGTCCGGCGGCACTGGGCTGTCAAGGAACAGGACGGTCGTCGAATCAGCCACCATTGGACGCCGTTGAAAACGACACTTGCTGAGCAGTTGAATGAATTCCGCAAACGACACACGACGATCTTCGGGAGTAGGCGACCATCTCACAATAAATCACAGGTCGATTACCGCAAGAAATGGACAACAACCTTCGTCGACGTATGGAACAACTTGCGCACAAGGAATGTTACACGAGCTAGTGATCGGCCAATAATATTTGCCAATCTGCTTGATTTTGACTCAACCTCTCTGATAGAGCGTGTAGCAGACGAGGATCGGGTCGCTTGCACGGTACGGAGTTCTGTCGCGCTTCCTATTTCAATCATGTTCAACACCGCATTGAGGCTGTACTATTCCGAAGAACACGAACGGATGATGTTGAGTCTGGAGGATGCCTGGATTCCGACCTGTATCGAGGGTGATGACTTATCGCACGGCCATGTCATGACGAGTGGTTCTCCTAGATCAAAGAGAAGCGAAGGCTCAATCGTCAGCCTGATCAGGAATCTCCTGAGACCAAGCACAACGTTGTCAGAGCTTGAGTCCGGGCCGATCATCGAGGAGAACGACGCCTGCGAATGGTTTCGATTCAAGATCGATGACGATATCAAGCACCAACGCCTGATAGTCGCCGAAAAAGAGGTTGGCGAAGATATCGAGTCCCAGTACGGCGCATTCGATAGCTGCTCAGTGACAAAGATTGAGGTTGGGAATGGAGGCCCCCCGGAGTCATTGATCATTGAATGCTTCCTTCCGCATCGCCGACTCGAAAAGGACCGAGTGACAAATACGGCTATGCATCAAGGCGACGACAGTGCTGACCAGGTTCTCAGAAAGGAACGCATGTTCAAGGAAGCGAGTCATAGATATAGACAAGCCACTCGAATACTGTATGTCCTTGACGAGTCTCTAGGATCCAATTCCAGCAGTGGTTACAAGGGCCGCGGAGCTAGGTTCATCATTCTAGAAAGCAACGATGATGAAATGAGGGTCACGTTCGATTGCCCTTTGACGTTCTGGAAACCTTCGCAGCGGGACCTGATGTCCCAATTGTCAGTCGATAGGGTCATGTCATGTTCGATTCAGATTCAAGGTCACGAAATTAGGCGTGAGCATTACAGCACAATCGCAATTAGACACGGTAAGTCGCTTTCTAAGGCAGTAGGCACCGAGTAGTTGCTGACTCCTCATCCTTCAAATGATGCAAGTATTGACCTGGTATTTAGGGCGACTTGAATTTCCACCTTTGAGATCTCGAGAGCTGCATACTAGAGTGTTCCTCCACGAGCATGTGTTCGGGATAATATACGGCTGTATTACAGTCGCCCACATGGGAGTGGCAGCCATTGTAGCGTTTTTTGTTCTCCATATCGCTGATGGTGTACATACTATACCACAGGCCTTCTTGAGGTTGTTCCAATGGACTTTTTACATTTCGCAGGGGGGCGTACACCGATGTCAGGTTCATACGTATCGAAGTGCCTGCAATTGCTGGGACAATCATCATCTCATTATTGCCTGCTTACTGGATATATAAGACGTGGCTGCGGTGGCACACGGTCCGGTGGCTTCAGTCGTATGGCATTCAAGCTACGAGAACGTAGATTCCTATGCACGCAATATGAGCTTTTCCTCCACTAATGTGGTTTTGAAGTGTGGCACCCAAAACAGGTCGCACGCATTGTGAGATTGAAGCCTTCTATAAAGAGTCGTCGGGCACTGAGCTTTGCTAACGTACTCCCAGCAAGTATGAATCACAAGCAAGTATGAATCACAGCGTACTCTACTGCACAATAAATATATATGTACTGCACAATGAATATATATGAACAGATGTTACATTAGCCCCTTCTGACACATATATGGACACTAGTCTAACGCAAATCGAGTCAAATCTAACGTGATTATGCGATGCTAGCTGCCAGCATGACCGCATAGACACTATCTACCTAGGTAGTCCGCCTGTATGCCGTCACCGTATCCCTTTGATAGCGATTGGAATTTTCCAGAACTGGACGAAAAAAGGGGTATCTCCTTCGTGGTTTGCTTTTCATGAAATGAACCTGCCAGATATGGTGCAAATGGTGGCACAGCCTGACGCCTCCAGGCTTGCGGCGGGGGGGGAGCTAGCAACAGTTGCCGGTCCCACTTCGAAGGTCCAATCATCAGACCCGCAGACAAAGCCCTTGATGAAACAAAGAAGCCGGGATTTCCTGACTTGCGCTAAAGCTGCATAACTTGTTGCACGACTTGCTGCATGAGAATTATCTGCAGTCATGCGGTTGCCCTCCACTGCCCGGAACGTCAGCGCCAATATTATTGCAGGTTTTCTTTGTTGGTTTATAAATGATCGCAGGCTTGTTGATGCGAACCCTGAAGCGAATGTTGGTGCTACCGTTCCAGTAAAGGGAAGAAGACGTATCTGTCTGACCGTGCTACCTACCGTGCCACCTTGACCAAGTCTCAATCCTCTCAGGCCCTATGATGTTGCTGAGTTCCGCGTTTTCATAGCCTCCCCCTGACTATCACTTAATCTGGTTGGGGCGTAGTACGGAGTGTGGAACGACTTTGTTTAGAGGAGTTCGTCATACTTAAAAACCGTAAAAGGCTCGTACCTGGAATTTGGCGTGGAGTCATACCATATATACCATGTATATGATATTTCTATCAAGCGCGTATGCATACGAACTTGAAAGCTGCTCGCAAACACACAGCCCTCCAGTTCACTACACAACCAGAACCAGCTCGAGTTTATGCCTCCTTTCATTCGAATTGCCATATCTGGCGGCGGACTTGCTGGTGCAACCTTGTTCCATGCCTTGCACCGTTTTTCCCACCTACATGTCCATATCTTTGAGTCCGCCTCCGCCTTGAAGGAGACTGGTGCGGCTATTGGGGTGACCCGGAATGCGCAAGCAGCCCTGGAGTTTATGGGTCCTACGGTTGTTCAAGCCCTCGAGCGTTAGGAGCTGTCTCCAGTGAATAACATTTCAACTAGCTTTGCAGCTCACATAAACCTGAACTGAAACAAGCTCTGGCTTCCCAACAAAAGTTAGATTCAAGTAAAAGCTCAGTCTCATGCAGATGGATCGACAGAGGTTTACATTAATTCACGAATGCCAGTGCGAGGAGTCCGTTTCATTTTAGCCCCGGGCGAAGAACAGGGCAAAGTTATCGGAGAAGTCGACGAGAAGACGGCGGGAAAACGCCTAACCAGTATTGTCCATCGCGCTGCTCTTCTACAAGAATTACTTTCGGATGCTCCGCAGGAGCGTCTACACGCTTCCAAGAAGCTCGAAGGAGTGGATCGAAGAGCTGACAAGTCTCTTACACTACACTTCACGGATGGAACGAGCCATGAATGCGACATCCTGATTGGAGCCGACAGCATACACAGTACCGTCCGGAAGATTGTTCTGGACGGAAGCCCTGCGGCTACACCTAGGAGCACTGGCATCTGGATGGTCATGACCCTTCAACCCTACGCGGAAGCTCAAGCTATCATTGGCAAAGGAACCATTGATTTTGAGGATGCCCGCGAGTATTCATGGATCGGTAATAGCGAGATCAAGTCGCTTTACCAAAACTGGCCGCAACATCTAAGCAAGGCTGTGAACGGGGTTGAACTTCTGCTTCTGCCAAAATGACGTCTCTAATAGTCGTGCAGTTCTTTTGTAAAGAATCCGAGCAACGCGCTACGCATCTCTGGGAACACCCACCTGCTCCGACTTATGTGTCTGGACCTCTCTGTGTAATGGGCGACGCTGCACACGCTACAACTCCTTGGCAAGGATCTGGTGGTGGCATGTCTGTAGAGGACAGTCTTATCCTCTCCACTCTTCTTGGAAGGTCGAACACACCTGGCGATGCTTTGGCGGCTCTCAAGGCTTACGACCAAGTACGCCGTCCACGTACACAGCGGATTGTTGAATCAAGCCGGATCACTGGCAGTATCTTGACCGGCACTAGCGAAGAGACAAGACAATACGTGGATACACCAGGTAAGCTGTTGAGCAGATGGGATTTCATCTTGGATATTGATATGGAGAAACATCGTGATGAATAGATGTCTACCCACAATAGCGCCGCATTCCACTTCCAAATCTAAGCAATCCAGAACCACATCTTCTGAAACACATTCTTAGGCACGGGATCCACATCCTGCGCACACAGCTCGTCCATCTCCCTCTTGCCACTAACGACATCAATATCCTTAATCCTAACCGCCCAGCTCGTCCGAAACCACGCCTTATGCCCCAGATACAGCACGATGAAAATCGGCAGCGTGATGTACGCCGCCAGAAAATCCGACACAGACCACTTACTCGGGAAGAAGACCTGGAAGCCGTTCGTCAGCGTGAGCACACTGACGACCCCGAGCACAAAGTACGTGAAGTACGGCTGGAACGGGGTCCTGAACGGCAGCGTGTGCAGCAGGCCCTGGAACACGAGCGCCTTGCGGAAGCGGATGTACGTGATCATGACGACGATCCAGGCGAGGAAGCCTGAGATGGTGGAGATGTTGCTGAACCAGGTGAAGACCTGGGCGCCTGTGTTGGAGACGTTGAGGAAGGCGAGGAGGCCGATGGCCCAGGTGGCGAGGACGGCAACCCAGGGGACGCCGTTCTTGCTCGTCTTGCCGAAGATCTTGGGGGCGTCGCCGTGGAGGGCCATGCCGTAGAGGATGCGGGAGCCGGAGAAGAGGAAGGCGTTGCCGGCGGACCATGCGGAGGTGAGAATTGCGGCGTTGATAACGTGGTTGAGCCCTCTGATTCCAGCTCTGGCGATGCCGATGACGAAGGGGGAGGCAGTGGCGTTGGAGCTGGGGCTTAGGAGGCGAGGGTCGTCCGAGGGAACGATGATGCCGATGATGAGCGACCCAAGGCCGTAGAAGATAGCAAGTCGCCAAACAAAGCGGCGCGCAGCCTTGGGGATGTTTCGTCGTGGAGCTATCGTCTCACCAGCAGCCAAAGCGATCAATTCAGGCGATGTAATGAAAGCGAAGCCGGCGCGCACAAAAGCCGTCCAGTAACCCAAGAATTTACCTGTGTTACCATCCACTAAATAGGGGGTAAATGCTCCAGGGTTGTTCCAATAGCGGAATCCTAGTCGACCTTGGTCATTGGGGCTGCCTCCGAGCATGATGACTACGCCGAGGATGATGAGGCCCATGATCGTTAGGAACTTGATCGAAGCAAACCAGAATTCTGCCTCCCCGAAGATGCCTACGGCCACAATATTTAGAAAGAGAATGACAATCATGAATATGGCGATCCAAGCTCCCGCAGGCACAGGTGTGTTCCAGTAGTCCAGAAGAATGGATCCCGCAGTGGCTTCAGCGGCTACCAAAATTGCGTACGCATACCTGCATTCAGTTAGGTATCTATTCATGACCCATTTACTAACGAGGATCTTACCAGTAGTTCCAACCCACAGCAAAAGCTAAGCTTGAGTCGACATATCGCTTGACGAAGTACGGAATGGTGATGCCTTTCATTGGCAGGTATGTGACGATTTCGGCCAAATTATTCATAACGCACCAGACGACCATCATCATGGAGAGGTACGCCATGAAGAGCGGAGCTGGGCCAACGAGTGCAAGAATACCACCCGAGCCAACAAACAATCCTGTTCCGATAGCACCACCGAGGGCCCTGCGAAGTATCAGACTCGGCGAAAGAATGTTTTCTATTGCGAGACGTACAGGAACTGAATATGTCTGGACTTCAGACCACGATGGGTGTCACCTCCTCTTCCTGTGGCCTCTCCCACGGTTGTGGCGCCCTGTGCATAGGGCTCCTCCGAGTACGTTCCATTCCTGTCCCAGTCATTTCCTCCATCAAGGTACCCTTTCTCGACCTCTACACTGTCGTGACCCTGCATCTTGCTCTATATAAAGCCGAAGCTGGCTGAAAGTCTGATTGGTAAACAATGTTGAGTGCGACGGACACCCTCTGTCATAGACCTGGGGTCTGCGGTCAGTCTTATACCGCTCCCTATGACCGACTACGGGTGTAGCGCAAGGAAAGGCAAGCTGCGAGCCGCGCTTCTCTAGGCTCGTTGGGTTGAAAAATCTTTTCCACACGCGCTGACGGCGAAAACGGAGAACACTGCCTCCCAAGCACCTCCAAGAAACGTGAACAAGGACCCTGATAAGGGTAGTGCGGGAACCTATGCCACCCATTGGCGACTGCAACCCCCGTCCGCTCTAGCGGGTCTGGGGAACCAGCTATCATTACCCAATCGGCCTGGAGGTGGCGGGCGCAGCTGCGGGGAAGATTCCCGTCGCGTTGCAGTTCCACGAGAGAGCGTTTACAATCGGCTTTGATGTTGCGCTCATGTTAATAAGTCGCCGCGGTGATGGTGTCGGGCGTGCGATGCTGCTCCGGTTCGTTAGTCGAGTGTAGTTGCAGACCCACAGTGAATGTAAGCCGAAGGAAGCCGCAACGGCGTGTGCCTTGGTATCGGTACTACCCGGCTCCACATCCTGGGGCCATTCTAGAAGCCATGCAAGGCACGCATCAGAATACCCACATTTGAGCGATAAGGCGCGGGTGTACTTGATGGTTTGCTGAGAAAATGGTGTTGAGGATTTACAAAAGGACAAGATAGAGTCCCGAAGCGGTTAGACCTATTCAACATACACGTGACATGACCTAGCCTTATACATGCTATCTATGTCGTGCTTGACCTGGTCATTTCTATGTCAAACTAGTGTCACCTCGTCAGAGGAGTGGGTTTCCCATCGCTCTTCTACTCATGCTGATGCCCACTTGGCCGGAACCACTTTCCTTTCTACTGGCCCCACTTTCCCGTCAGTTTACACAAACCCGGACAGACAGTCCGAGTGTAGGTCAGCAGTGTTTGCTTATAATCAGAGTATCCACATCGCAATAAGAAATTCAGGCGCCTCGCAAATAACAATTGTGCTCTATTCATCATGTGGTGTAGTATTGATTGTTTGTGGATACCCATCGAGAAGTCTTCTTTCTGCAGGTCCAAGTAAAAACCTGGTAGGCTGTTTATGCGTCAACTGAGGCGATAACCACTTCAGAAGACCGAGACGATGAATGACGTCTTTCAGGAAAAGGTTGTTTAGACGGTCTTTGCCGATATCAACCGCATCAGCCACGAAGTCAACGCAATGGTTCTGGTGTTGTCCTGCAAGCGCATACCCATAACCCACTTCATTCGACTCAGTAAGTCCCGGCTCATCAAACGTGGGCATCAACCCAAGTTCCTCCGCGGATTTAGGTTCTCGACCGGTGACCCAAAGGTAATAATTTAGTATGCTAACCCGCTCAGCATCCGAGTCCGTAGCGTTGAAGCAATCTTGAAGCTCGAGCGGGACATGTCAACGATCGACCTCATCGTTACGAGGTATTGGAGTGAACTCAAAAAAAGCCTTACCTCGCTCAGAACTCTCGCGTAGAGACTTTCCGCGCATGTCGTAGTAGATCCAAAGCATAAGACGTAAGGTTTGCTGGGCATGTCTTCTGAGCACTTTCGCCGGCATGGGTGATCGACACAAATGGTAGCTGAGCGGAGATTGTCCCATGACCTACCGGAAATAGCCTGAACAGACGGAGAAGAGTGTGGTTGATCAAAGGACAGTGCATTTGTACTACCTACCAAAGTTCGCCAGCTGTGGTCATGTCGCTTGGCGTTCTGTTGGCACTGCGGCACAACCACATCTTCAGGTAGGTGCCAGGTGCGCACCTTCTTGTCACTCGAAAACTCCATCCAATTTTCACGTAACACGTATCAATGTCTGAAGCCAGAAATCTGATCGCCCAGCTGACATCGCTGTCTCAACAGTCAGACTTCGATACGAACGCAGCGACTCTCGCATCAACCCTACACTTGGCGAAACAGCTTCAATTAGCGACGCAAAAGCCAGAGGATGCTGCAATTGAACTGTGCTTCCACGTAGGGCCCCTCCATGAGGTACAGTAGACTTCGCTGCTTACTCGCCGCTTAGCCGATCTTCGCCGCGGCAGCTCGAGTCGCCATAGACCTCAAGATCTTCCATATTATAGCGGGACAAGCTTGTAGCGGGACAAGCTTCAGGAGTCAGCGCGACAGGATTAGCTGAAGAATCAGGATGTAAGGAGAACCTTCTTGTGCGTCTCTTGCGCCCTTTGTCAGCGCTTGACTTCGTTCAGGAAGCCAGTGAGGATCTGTGGACTCCTACCCCGATCACCAAAGCCATGTGCCTTCCACCCGTTGAAGCGGCACACATTCACTTGTAAGCGTCGACTAGTCTCATGGCCATGAGAGGAGCCTGCTGATATCAATGACAGTTGGGATCAAGGCACTACAGCCGCGGTCAAGATGCCCGCCTACTTCAAGAAAACTGCCTACCGCCAACCAGAAGATCCACGAGACGGCCTATTTCAGTACTCGTTTGGCACAGATAAGGAAGCCTTCGAGTTCTGGTCCTTGCAGCCCGCCGTTATCGACAATTTCAACACCTGTATGACAGGCATCCGCGGCTCACGACCTAGCTGGATCGAATGGTGGCCTGTTGAACAGCGGATTCTTAACGAAGGTTTGAGTAACGAACCATCCGAGGTCCTGCTGGTTGATGTTGCAGGTGGACGGGGACACGATGTGCAGGCTTTCGGGAAAAAGTTCGAAGCCTGCAAAGGTAGACTGGTCCTGGAGGATTTACCTGCCGTCATCGGTGACATCAAGCAACTTGACGAGCGCGTTGAAAGAGTCGAGTACGACTTCTTCACATCGCAACCTATCGTTGGTCAGTATTGTCAAGTCTGGGTCACATGACGCTACTCACCCCAACGCAGGAGCGCGCGTATACTTCTTCCACTTCATCATGCATGACTGGTCAGATGAACTTTGTGCAGGGATTCTCTCTCGGACTGCCGCAGCAATGAAGCCTGGCTACTCGAAACTCTTGCTTAACGACTTCATTCTACCCAATCGAGACTGTCCATTATTTCCTACAGGGTTTGATCTACAGATGATGGCCATGCACGCAGCGCAGGAGAGAACTGAGAGTCAGTGGCAAAATTTGCTGGAAACGGCAGGATTAAAACTGGTGCAGTTATGGATTCCTCCTGGCGGAGGTGAGGGCATCGTTGAGGCAGAGCTACCCCCAACCCACTAGGGTGAACGCCTGCAGTGGAGTCGTTCCCCCAAATAGATTCACAATGCGACCGTCATCATCGTTTTCATCACCACCATCTCCAGCACACGCCATCCTTCGTACACACGATGCAGTCATGACGGCCTCTTCGAAACATGAGCAGCACGGCAGCAACCTCGGTCGTCAGCAAGGATCTTGTCCACGCGGGCTTGTCGCCCCCACCAGAGACGCCATCGGACTTAATAAGCACAACACACCACCTCACTCGTCCGCCACGTCTGTACTACCCCGAAGAAGTCCATGAATGTCTTTACATCGCGTTCTCGAATCTCCGCTCGCGACAAGAACCGAATAGCATCTCATGCACAAGCGGGCGAGCGCCTTCCTTCAGCCTGGTCGAGGGAACGCCTGCTAAAAATAAGTGGTGATCGACGAACCAGCAGTAGCGAGGGAAGGAAATAGTTATTTCTTCGCTCCGGGTATAAAGAAGCGCCATGTACTCCTACGACGACACACGGGCAAGTCGAACAAGCGTTGAACCAGTTCGACTTGGAATACCAATTCCTCACAATGGTCTCCACTGAATTGATCAACGCCGTGCTGCAGCAGGCGATCCGCGTGGCAACGCACTCCTGGGAATACGGCACCGTCGCGGAAGCCCTCCTCGAGTGGAACGACCCCCAGCTTTCCATCTGGAACAACCCGTTTCCACACGGAAAAGTACCGACATTGAACGTCGCCAACGTGAGCGCTTTGACCTACATCAAGCCGCACATTCGCACCGACAACATCACTCTCGTCGACGGAGATGGTGAGCACCGTCAAACCGAAACATCAGAAGCGCAAAACACTAATCACACGTGCAGGAGCCGCTGGTGATCCAGCCGCGGAGGGCATCCCCGCTCTCCTCATCGGCAAGACGGACACCGCCTACTGGGACGCCGCACTCCGCCAGGAAGAACACCTCGTCAACGACGTCCCCCGCTGGTCCAACGGCGCCATCTCTCACCGTGAGAATGTCGCAGAGCTCTGGGCTGACTTCGTCTACATGGTTCCGCCCTTCCTCGCCTACACGGGTGTCGCCACTTCCAACCTTACCCTCCTCAAGGAAGCAGCCATCCAAGCGAAGCTCTATCGCGACGTACTAATTCAGCCCTCAGGTGTGTGGATGCACATCACCGGCCCCGAAGTGCAGGACTATGAGCTTTGGAGCACAGGGAACGGTTGGGCTGCTGCGGGTATGGCGCGCGTGCTTGCTACGCTTAAGAAGTCGCCGTATGCGAATAAGACGAAGACCGAGCAGGCGTCGCTCACGGGCCTGATTAAGGAGATCTTGGACGGTGTGATCAAGCTCGATACTGATGAGTCTGGCTTATTGCGCAATTACCTGAACCAGACGTCGTGGTTTGGCGAGATCTCAGGCACGAGTGTCCTGGCTGCTACGGCGTTGCGGGTTGCGGTGTTGGAGCCGGAGACGTTTGGTAAGGACTACGCGGATTGGGCGATCAAGAAGATGGACGTTGTGGATGGGCACATTAATGCGGAAGAAGGCGACAATAAGGGCATCGTTACGCCCGCGGTGAATCCGCTGGACTGGCACGACGAAACGCCGTATACGACCGGTAGTCCTGAGGGGCAAAGTTTCGTGGTGCTGCTGCATGCAGCCTATCGAGACTGGCAGAAGAAACATGGCGGGAAGCGGGGGGACTAATGCCTCGCTGGCTGTTAGTTCGGCTTCCTAGATAGCATGGTTGTTTAAATGCGTTGATGTAGTCTCTATACTCAGTTCCGAGGTCCCTTCTACCTCAGGTCCTCTTCAAATCGACTCGGCGTCCTCGGTCTCCTCTCTCCACCCGAGACAGCACCTAACCTTGGACTTGCCGTTGGACTCGGTACAACCAGCCCAGGTGTCGGCAGCGAACTGATGCTCACCAAACTATCATCCAGCCTTGGTGTGCCCGTACCCATTCCCGTCACCGGCCACGTGCCCGCTCCCTTTCTCACAACCTCCCTCTGTCCAACCGCAGTGCCCTTCTCCGCGTCCAATAGCCCCGCATTACTCCTGCTCGCGCGGACGTTCTTTCGCCCGAACCGATCCACCTCCTTATCTTTGTCGTCCTTTTCCTCCCAGAAAGATTCCCACCCCGCGAAGACGGGTAGCGCAAGTAGGAGCACGGGGAGGAATTGCCCGAAGCCCCATTCATTTTCGGTACCGTTCATGCGCACGCTGGGGTTGCCGAGGGCTTGAGTATCGCTGAGCATGGTGGCGGCCATGTAGACGCCTGAACGTGATCAGTATATATCGTCGCAGAGCGAAAAGGTTGAACAGCTTCACGTACCGTAGATAGCATACACAGGCGTAAGAACCCACGTCCTAAACCCCGCGCCAAACCTCTTCGCCTTCGTCCACGCCGTCCCCTCGGGCGTCTCGGGCAGCACGTACATAGCCAGGATAACAGCCGTGTGCCCGCCTATCGCCCCGACCAACAACAACGCCCACTTTGTCTGAAACGCGCGTTCGAACTCGGGCCTGGTCCCTTGGTAGAAGCACGCTAGTCGCGAGCTGAGGTCCAATCCAGCGAGGTCGTACGTGTACGATATGTAGCTCGTATACCCGAGCAGCCCCAAGTTCCCCGCCATGAAGAATATCCTTGGGAGGTTAATCCACTTATTCTGAACGAAGTAGTTTCTCAGCGTAACGAGCGTTAGCAAGTGTGTAACCGTCGTCAGGAACGCCAGCTCCGTCACGATCTGGAAGTGGTAGATGGAAAGCTCGCAGTGCTTGAGGATGGCGGTGAATTGGACGGCGAGGCCCGTCATGATCTGCGTGTCTGCGAGCGCGAGGAGGTTTCGTGAGAGGACGCGCGACCAGAAGGCGGGCGAGCGCCAGTAGGGACCGCGCTCGTCGTGGGCATAGTGGGTTTTTGTGATGAGGGCGATGAAGCTGTTGTAGCGGTCGAGGAAGAGGACGGAGAGGGTGACGAGGAAGGCGAGGCATGTTGTTGCGAGGAAGCCGACGATGACCTGTTAGTTTGTTAGCTCTCGTCGAATTTAAAAAAGTAAATGAAATGCGAGATAATACTCACGCCCACACCAGCGATATCCGGATTTGCATCCACCACCTGGTTCCGCGCGCTACAATCGTACTTGTACCCCTGGCACTTGAAGACACCCATCGCATTACCTTCTGCCGAAAAACCTTCAAACTCAATGCGCAGGGCCAGCAGCAAGATTATTATGTTCGGAGGTTTTCGCACGGCTCCTGCGCCGCCCCCAACACAGCCCTCTCGCGAAACACACTGGGGGCTGATTTCACTGCGTGCTGACACCCGTCTGCCTTTTCGGGGTGGCTGAGCGGCGTTAGCGAGGTGTGGGACATGCGAGCGGTCGCCGATGCACGTGGGGGTAAAAATAGATGGCGATGATCATATGGAAATGTGGAATAAATTTGCCATCGTGTGTTACGAGCGGGGTACAGGAAATGTACACAAGCAGGCTGTGTGGGGGAAGAATGGAAGTCAGACATAGCATTGAGACGTTTGTTGCCACTTCGTTCTGTGTGGGGGCTGTTTGTTTGATGGTGGAAGTAGATGCTGCGCCGGTTGCAGCTTCCCTGCGGCACGGAACAGCAGCAGCAACCGCATAGTCGGGAAATGTATTCAGAGGTGTAAACATTACGTATTGTTAGATGCTATGAGGCTAATGTTGAATCGTCTAAGTGTCTATAGTGCGCAGTCAACGCGACGCGCAAGTATATCCAAGAAATAAAATGGTTCGTTGATATCCTGGAAAGAATAATCGTTCACCGAGTCCGAGCGTTGCGCCTGTAGTGATGGGTCTACAATGGTATTGCTTAGTCCAGGCGACCTTTGTCGGAGCGGAATCCATTTGCAGCCCCGTTCGAGCTAGCCTTCTCGTTCGGTTTCCGGTTGGGGATAGTGAGGCAGTTGATGCCCAAGTAGTTGCAAATGCTCGTAATAACGAGGTGGGCCCACCTGCCGTACACAACAGCGGCGAACACAAAGTAGCCCCTCAGGTACCATAGCTCCGTGCTCGCCGATATGGGGCCGAGCGTCGTGCCCGTGATGGTGAAGTACGGGTGGTTGACCAGCAGAGCACCCCCAATCATTGGCGCTAGCATGATGGTCCAGTACGGAAATGGCTGATGCGTGAGATGCGCCAGAATAATCTTAGTCGTCATACGCCCGAAGACGAGGGACATGGTGAGGCAGTAGAGCACGAGGTGGTTGTCTTTAAGGATGAAGGAGTACGGCGAGCCGAGCCAGGCCGTGGTGGCTGCACAGAAGATGACCAGCGGGGTCCATTCCCAGAGAAGGGGGAGCACGGGGAGCTTCTGTGCTCGTCGCGCGCGTGCAACATTGATGATGCATGCGGGAAGGTGGGCGATGAAGAATGTGGAAAGGATCATAGGTATCCAGAAATCCCGGAAGGTCATGTCGCCAAGGTAATCAGCGAAACTCGGGAAGTACGTGACCAGGGGCGTCGACCAGATCTGGGGTCCAAAGAAACCAGACATGCATATGAACGTGCATGCAAGGATGAGGCCCTCTGCGGGGTGTTATTATAATCCTCTAAATCATGGATGGACGTTCATACCTGTAGGGCCGTTGAAGTAGCCGAGATAGAGGGTGTGGGTGTGATATGTCTCCCAGGTCGAGAAGAACATGGGCAATACCGGTATAAGCGCAGTAAATGCACCGATCTTACCGCTTCCATATCCCACAGCTGCAGTCTCTAGCAAACTCGCCAAAGTACAATTCAGCGAATCAATGCCGTGGCTATATGCCATCAGTTGTGCAATTGTCGCGTTGGGCTGGACGTCACATACTCAAATAGCTCTCCAAGCGGGCTCGATGTGCCGGTGCGCCGCGCCTGTTTCCCGTCTACATTGTCCATTGTGGAGTACCTCCATGGCTGTCAGCGAACTTCTGAAGACGGCAGTCGATCAAACTCACATCCACATGCCAAATGCGAAGCTGTAATACACCCATGACGGTGCCTATCATGCAAAATCCGGTCAGTCCATGTCCCCTGAGTATTTTTGATGGCGGTACTCACCGGGCCGACCAGATCCGGTATGTAGACCTCCAGCAGCGCGATATTCCCTAATATGAAGAAGAATCCGAGCAGTGTGACGAGGTTCGGCGCGAGCCACATGGGCAGGAGCTCTACGAAGCCATTCCACTGTATGATATCAGTCGTGGTGCCGATGCGGCTCGTTCGGAGGCGTGCGTACGTAGTGCTTCAGGATGTAGCGCGATATAAACGACTTGTCGACGCTCGAGTACTTGTAGGTCTTCAAGTGCTGCAGCGCGTCTTCGGAAACGCACTCATGCTTCGCAGTCTCTGCCTGACATTAGCAAACTTTTTGCAAGCACTCTTCTCCTGAATCTTCTCATAACGCACCTTTAGACGGCGGCATGTTGGGGTGGGTTGCGGGCGCTGGCAGCGACATGAGGGGTCCGGAGTAATTTATAACAGTATATGCAGCGTCTCGGCCATATGGAGTGAAAGAGTTTGGCGGGGGTACGATTGCATGCAGATGTGACGAGTGCCGCGAGAAGAAGGGCCCACGTCAAGTTCCCGCCGCCGTCAATTCGAGCAGAACCGGCTCTCGGAACGCGGCAGGGACTAATCCCCTTTGCTAGAGCTTAGCTTGCACGTGAACCTGCTTGCGCGGCATCGCCAGGGCAGCCTCGAAGAAGGTCTGTCGCCCTCATTCACGATGTGGGTGGCTTGCAATTACGTATGTGTATGTGTATGCAGGTCGTTCTAGCTTATGCATCTCGGCCTTCAGGATTCAATGATGGACATCGCGTTCAGTTCTTCGAGCGGCACGGCCAGCCTCGGTGGAGACCCGCGCTAGTCCCCAATACGCCTAGATTATCGCTTGTATCTTGGCATCCCGAGGTCATCCCGAAAACACCAAACTTTTATCCGCCGCACGCGTTCACGAAACACTTCCACCCCACGATGTCTCAAGCCTACAGTCGAGTGGTAGACACAGTCTCGCCCGACTATATTCATGTAGACGAGTGCTTCAGGATGAAGCTAATGCGCAGTGACCAGTCTGCCTAGTCTGCGCTTTACAAGGGTACGTCTTAGATTTTCTTCTTTCACTAATCGAACTGCTACAAGATGAACGTACATCGACCATTATATCTTTAGGAAGAGCCGGAAAAGGTATGGCTAGCATATTATGCTACGCTGTCGCTGCTTATAACTAGGTCACTGAAAGCCTTGATCTCACGCAATTGCCTGCAAGTTTCTGCCCGAGTAGCTGCTGACATTGCATTCAGGCTCCACGCTTCGAAAAATGCACCTACCGATATCGCCTGCCCCCACGTTTCCGCGTACAAACCGTTCTCGCGTACGATAGAAGCCTGCGTTGGCCTTACAATAGCTGTACCGTGAGGGAAGCACGCAGCGTACGACCGTGCCGAACTAGTCGAAAACATTTCGCTCACGGCATGTGTCTGCCCGCAAATGCTCAAGGAACGCAGTAGATGAAGTAATGGTATAAGGCGAGATTGTCTTGCTCGTCATCGTGAATGCACTTGGCAGCCACCCCAATCGCCGGTTGCTGTGAGCAGAGGTGAGATGCAATCAATCTTCCAGCTTTGGGTGTCAATTTTACGGGCGTCACTCATCTGGACGTACATTTACGGTATTTTCTTTCTGAATCGCGTTCAAATATCATTTCGCGACACGCAAGTCTGTTGCCCCACCATTACATTTATCTAAAAACCTTGCATTTCGATTTCTCGATTCACGTCGAATCAACTTCCATTGCCACCAATCTTGCTCAGCCTTCGCCACCATCTCGTGTTGTGGCCGTGATAGCACCCAACAATAATGCTCCAGGAGTACTAGGCCTCTACGAGCACCCCATAATTCGCAGCGACTGGACACAAACTCTAGGGGTACTTGTCACCACACGATAGGGAGCGATGGAAACAGGCAGGACTCGGATCTCTGATTGCTGGGTATGCTTGCATCGTCAACGCGCTGATGTTGATATTAACAAAAGGCGAAAAGGGAGTCCTCGGGATTTATATGCTGCCCATACAGCGGACCGTAGGTCGCATTCGCCCGATATGCCGCGCTTATGCAGCACCTATCTTGTCATAGTCAAAGGCGTACGGCATCACGATCAAGAGATACACAGTAGCTTTGCTGTTCGCTCAATCCGGTACCTACTCTCGCGGATCATCGAATACTATATTCCCGAACAGGCAGGCCGCGTCATTTCGTTTGGAGGCATCTTATGTCCAGCCAATTACCTTCAGCATGTTCAGCATCCGCGAGTTCACAGTCTTTTCGGTCGGGAGCATCCGCACCTTTGTAGGACACAGTTACAAACACTTAATCGGCTGATAACGGTTGTCGCCGAACAAGCACCAACGCTTGCTGTCATGTGGTTGGTGTCCGATGCTATCGAGCCGGTGATTGAATCCTCCGTAGCTACTGTGGGGTCTTCAGGCGCCACCCCGGATCATCAACTACCCTAATCTGTGCTAATCGCCGGCAGCCTTCCTGAACTGCCGTAGCGCCATGTATAACACAATGACAACATGCACCTGTTAATCATGGAGGGGCACCTGATGGTATTGTCGTCCTGATACTATTGGCCAGTAGATGCGTACCTGGTCCGGCCACAACGCGCTTGCGTAGCATGCATAGCACCCGTTGTCTGCTGTACCTACTTAAGACAGCTTGGCAGGCCGAAGCATTCGCCCAAGGCCCACCAAGCTTCGACAAGATACCTTGGAGTAGCTTGAACACCTGCTTATCCCAGAACATCCCCCGTGATGGCAGCCATCGAAGCCTCCCAGGATCATTATCGAAACGGAATCCAAGATTGGGAACTGTCAAACAATGGCAGTATTTAAAGAGCACCATGATGTCCTGTTATTGACCACACAGATCACAGCTCCATCTTTGAAGGCGAAAACAGTCAGCAAAGCTTGTCACCATGTTCACCAAGACTCTTCCGGTCGCTCTTCTCGCGGGTGCTGCTTCGGCGGCTTGCCCTCTTTCGGTATCGATTGCCGACGCGGATAACCACGTCGTCAACGTCCAGGTCACAAACACTGGAAGCGAGACACTTCAAGTCTTCAAGGGCAACACCGTGTTCAGTGCACACGCGACCAAGGATCTGTTGGTAGCTGATGCAGGTGTGCATACCCTCAGCCTCGTCCACCTATCTTGAGATGCACACTAATATTCGAGGCAGCCGGCAAGGCCCTTCCTTTTGACGGAGTCTACGTCAATTACAAGAAGACTGGTCTTACTGCCGACAACTTCCAGAAGATCGCGGCTGGAGAGACAGTCACGGTGTCGGTCAACGCAGCCAAGAGCTACAAGCTTCAGGGTGTCAACCAAGCCAAGGTGTCCGCTATCCAGGGCTTCCGCTATGCTACGGGAGAGGAGGTGCCCTCTGCTCTCAAGGGCCTATCCTTCTGCGCGGACCAGGCGACCGACTCCGTTGAAGTGACCCCAGACCAGAGCACCGTAGCTGAGTATGCTCTCACGTGCCACTTAAGCTATGTGACAATGCTAACAATCAACCTCAAGGCAGCACGTCTCCCACAAGCGCGAAGAACCCTTGAACTCCCGCATCCAAAAGCGCTCCGTCACGTATTCCTCGTGCTCGACGTCGCAGACCTCTACCCTCAAGACCAGCGTTACGGACGCCATCTCTATGGCCAGCGCCGCCTACACCGCCGCCGGCTCCGCAGCCGACTACTTCACCACCTGGTTCAAGTCGACCTCGGTCGAGTCCAAGGTCCAGACCATCTACAACGACGTCAAGAACGTGCAGACTACCTCCCCCAAGATCTCCTGCACAGACACCTACGGCGACTGCAGCGACGGCTCGGCGCTCCTGTACACCGTGCCCAGCGCTAAGGTCATCGTGCCGTGCCCCAACAACGGCTTCTGGGACTTCCCCGAACTGGCTAGCGCGTGCTCTGGCGACGACTATGATAAGGCTGGTTCCATCTTACATGAGATGACCCATTTGTATGGTACCGATGACTACGCTTATGGATATGTTGCAGCGCAGAAGTTGAGCGCTACCCAGGCTGCGGCGAATGCGGATACGTATGAGATGTATGCCGAGAGCGTGAGGCTGGGTGGTTGCACTGTCGGTTAGACGTGCAGTCAATCTGGTGGGAAAGGATCGGGTTACGTGTTAGCATAGCATGAACAATGCATTATGGATGATGTGGATATGTCATGGATTGTATGTAAAGTGGTGATTACTGGTGGTGGTGATGCGTTTGAGCCGCGTGTTTCTCCAGTCGAGGTACGAAGTATACCCTACGAATCGCGAAGTGCACGAAGGTATTGAGAACGACGGCTTCTGCTGCGAATCTTTCTCCTCGGACACTGAGACTGTCGGTGGATTTGATTGGACTTGTGTGTGATAGCTAATTGACGACAATCCTTTCCGTGCTAGGGTCAACGCCTTCTTCTGTGCCGGGATGTATGCACGTGTCCTTTCCTACCATCATAGTTGCGCCCATTGGTAAATTCCGACTCTGTTATCGTTTGCGCAAAGACAGGGTGTATAAGCCATGGTACTAAGACATATGTAGGGGCATGTACAAGTAGGGTTAACATGCATGTCGCGGCGTCGGCGTTTACCCCGCAAAAGCGGCGTGGGGCCAAGGGGCACCCCAGGAATTTAGCGTGGCCGGACTGGACCGTAACACCAGAGTACTCCTTCCCTACGACCTCCAAAATTATGCAACTATCATGACTTCGATATCATCTGGCTCTCGAAGAGTTCATGTCACGACAGCCTGTGTGTCGTGCAGAGAGAACAAAGTCAAGGTGAGACACCACCCTATCATGGGGAACACGAGGTACTGATCATACCGGCAGTGCGATGGCACGTCTCCATCTTGCTCAAATTGTAAGACTAAAGGAAAAGAGTGCACTTACCAAGCCGGCGATGATAAACGCAAGTACGGAACATCAGCGCTGTGAAATGCCTGCATTCGCGGACGAACACTGACGCCCTCCTACCAGACTCACTCTAAGGGTTGCAATTGAGCTACTCTCAGGTCACATTGTACAATTATGTCGTTTCATTTCCGATCACTCACTTGATGTCCCTCCCATGGGCGCCGAGGAGCATGCTACTCTCTTGAAAATTTTGGCTTACCAGCGGATCCCTTCTACGATTCTGAGCAAGGAGCTCAGGCCTGACCTCTCTATGAACGACAATCTTTCGGCAAATCATTCCCAGTGGGCTGATCAGTCTGATGCCAGTGCCAATGTGACGGACACTCTACCAGCAGCCAATCCATCGTCCGTCTCAGCCTGGAGCAACGGCACGTCAGCACAGTGGAGCCAAACCAACCCAGTGACTGGATCAAATATTATTGGAGATTCAACCGAATCGCGACTTGGAGGTTGGCCGGACCAGGAAGAGTCGACTTCCGGCGCACTCCCCCGGAATATCTGGAATTGGGATCCAGGTGAGGATGCAAACGTCAGCTCTCAGCCCTTTCCACGCTTCGAAGAAGATGCGGGAGCGGAGATCCCGTCCTTGGATATGTCAGATCTGGAGCAGGCGCATACTTCTCAAGAGCCACAGAGCTGCACTAACACACAGTATGAGGAAGGTCACAGCGGTGCCGACAACACCGAGGCTCTCGTCGATCAACTCTCCGAGAGAATCGGGTCTTTGCAAATTGAGCCTGGAGGGCACATCCGTTACTATGGACCAACTTCAAACTTCAAACTCGTCAAAATGCCGATTCCGAGCAACACATTTACTTTGCATCGCACGGTTCGAAATGACGGCCAGGACTATCTGAACCGTCTCGATTTGGGAAAGGAAGTGCCGCCGGCTTTGGAAGACCACTTGGTTAGTCTCTACTTCGCTTGGCAGGACCCAGCTCTCCATGTCGTGAACAGGGACATGTTTGAAGCGAGCAAGGCAAGCTGGAGAGAAATGAATGACGTACCCTACTACTCCGAGGCCCTGCATAATGCAATGTACGTACCTAACGGTACGCCGCAGAAGTCATGCTGATACGGCAAGATGCGCCTTGGGCGCTGCGTTCGAGACCCGCCACCACCCAAGTTTCGTTACTTTTCCCAGACCACTCGCCGAGTTCTTCGCGGACAGAGCAAAAGCCTTACTTGAGATTGAGTTGGACTGTCCTAGTGTTGCAACCGTCCAGGCCATAGCTGTACTAAGCAGCCATGAAGTTGGCTGCAAGAGAGACTCACGCGGATGGCTCTACAGCGGTGAGCATAGACTTGTGCCGCTCATCTCCTCCCCTCTGGATCTTCTAACACAGTTCAGGCATGGCCATGCGATTGGCGTTTGATTTGGGCTTACATGTTGACATGGCTCCTTACGTCGCAAACGGATCTTTGAGCCAGGCTGAAGCTGAGATGCGGAAAGATGTTTTTTGTGGGGAACTTATGTCATTGACCAGTAAGTTTCTGGTACTATGCGCGTTTTCACGCAGTTTTGACTGAGAATCCAGGACTCGCGGTTTTCATCTGGGCAGGCCGTTACGCATCAATATGGAGGGTGCCACCGTCTCAAAGCCAAGCACTGCAGCATATGCTGATGAACAGTGGACTCCATATGTTTCTCCCGGATCCAAGGACCAGCGTGTTCTCTTACCTGACCACGCCAAAGAGCTACACCGGCAACGAGTTATATTGGCCGAAATCATGGCGCCTGTTGGTGACCCCTTGTAAGTTGACATGAGCACTCATCAAGCTTCCTTTTCTGACAGGCATCCCCTAGATATGGAAATTTGAAGATTTCGATCAAGAAACTTCAAGAAATAAATGCAGACACTGTGGCACGACTTCTGAAGTGGAAGAATGACCTCCCACCCGCCCTGCGCGTCGACCTGGACGATTCACAGACATGTTACCTTCCCCATGTCTTGCTTTTACAGTAAACCATTCCGTTGTCCGATCCCTGAATGCATCCAGCTGACGATCCATACAGCATGCTGTATTATCAAAACATAATCCACGCCCATCGGCCATACATGTCCAGAACCTACGTCCAGCCCTTCCCTCCTCAAGGACCAGGATCGGATCATGCCCGAATGATGTGCATGGAGTCAGCGTCATCGATAGCGAAGCTGCTCCAACTCTACGAGATTGGCTACGCCCTCCGCCGAATCAACGTCCAGGCCGTCGGCATCGTCTGCTCGGCGGCGCTGCTGCTGATTTTCGCAAACGTCACCCGCTACTATCGAGACGGTGCCAACCAGACGGAACTATACCTCAGCACCTGCTTCCGCGCGCTGGAGGAGTTCGGAACGTCGTGGGAGAGTGCCAAGAGGGCCCGGGATTTCCTCCTGCTGCTGCTGCGGCAGTGGGAGCTGCGAGGCCGTTCCGCGCGGGCAGCGCGTCGTCGGGCACCGTCGTCTTCTTCTATCGCCGCGGCCGCGGAGGGGCCGAGGAAGCGGACTCGGACCTCGGATCTTTTGGATAATTCGGAAATGGAGGACCAACTATCCCGCATGCTGTCTGCTACGACGCACGGCGTTAGCGATTCGTTCGACATGGAGATGGGCTTGGGCTTCGACTGGAGTTGAGTTGAGTTGAATGCATTTACCCTGATCCACCACTGGATGATATTCAGGCTAGAGACTATTCAAAGAATTTCAAACTAGTAATACAGCATGTGTTTCGACTTAGGAGATAGGAGGTAGCGTCGGTATGGCCATTTCCCATAACACTCTGTTGATCCTGTGGGATGGACTTGGCTGCAATATGCGCATTTTGGTGGAGTGCCTGGGTTGCAGTCCTTTCTATTGCGTTCTGCTAAACAGTGTCTACTCCTTTCCTTTCCTGTACAGTCTCGAGCCACCTGTCCGAATATCAGACACTGGTAGCACGTTTCCTGGTCTACCCTGTATCGTTTGGCCGGCTCTAGGGAGGCCGGGAAAGGTATGTTATTTGATGAGGCACGTATCTTAATATTAACTTCCTATAGGATAATTCTTTGTATCATTGATTTGATGAAGGGAATTGCTAAGTACATGAGGAAAACACTCTCTCTCCACCTCTCTCTCTCTCTCTATTGCAGGAAGAACAACAATTCGGGAATAATGAAAGGGAGTAGATCAGATGAAGGCGTCGGTTGTACTAGGCAATCGAAAATATTCCGACCATTCATGGAGTGAGGGCAAAATAATGATCATTTCTTTTCCACAGTCTGGCCAAATTCCTTATGCTGCGCTCCCTGAATCTTCTCTTCCACCACCTCTTGTGTCTCCATGAGGGCCAGCCTGGTCGCCTCTTTCCAGCTTGTGTCCTTGCCCCCTTCATGTTTGATCTGGAAGAGACGGTCGACCTGCTCCAAAGACAGATTCGCAGTCTCGACGTACCAGCGGTATATGATCGGGACGAAACAAACGTTGAAGACGGCATAGATGAGATAGTACTTCCACCCGATGTTCTCAATGGCAGTGGGAGTGACGACAACGACAACATATACAAACGTCCAATTGACCGCCGTGGCGATTGAGGTCCCGATATTGCGCATACGCTGCGAGTTGATCTCGGCCGGGTACATGTACGGAATCGAGAGCATGGACATGCCGTAGAAGACGTAGTACATGAAGATGAAGACGACGGCGAAGGTAGACATGCCTTTGTTGTCCTTGCCGGGGCCACCGTACCGCAAGCCGACCGCAACGAGGGCAAAGCAGACGGCGCTGCAGGCCACGCCCCAAAGCATAAGCCTTCGGCGACCAATGCGATCAATGAGGAAGGCTGCCATCGCACCCCAGAACATGAGCGACATGGAGTCGACGGCGGAGAGAATCAACGCCAATCGCTCACTCATGCCGAAAGACCTGACCAGCACCACCGGTAGGTAATACGCAATCACGTTGACGCCTCCCATTTGCTGGAAGAACGGTGTGCCTGCTCCGAGAAGGATGCGCCGGAAGGTCATTTGCTCGCCGTTGCTGAAGATCTCTTTCACCGAGACAGAGTTCTGGACTTCGTTTTCGTGTTGGACCATTGCCACGAGATATTGGACCTCGTCGACAACCTCGGCGTCGTCGGATGGCTTCCCGGCAAGTCGAGCGAGGATCGCTTGTGCCTCTTCCACTCGGTCTCTCATCACGAGCCATCGAGGTGACTCAGGCGCTATGAGCACCATGAAAATCGTGACGATGGCGAAGAAGCATTGGAACGCGAGGGGAAAGCGCCAGCTGATTGGGCTATCGGGAATATACGTGAAGCCGTAGTTCATCCACTTAGGATTTGCATTAGCTCATGCCTCTCGCTAGTGTTGTGTCATGGGGGATGTTCCGGCTCACATTTGTAATGACGATTCCAAAGATGTTGGTGACAAGTTGAAGGACGATCAACTTCCCGCGTTGATGCGCCCTTGCCGTCTCAGATTGCCAAATAGGGATTGCAATGGTGTTCATGCCATTGCCGACCCCAGCGACGATGCGCCCAACGATCATGGGTGCCAAGGAGTAGGAAGCGGCTTGAAGAATACCACCGATGATCAGGATGACACAGCCGATGAGGATACAACGCCTTCGACCGATTTTGTCGCCAACGAAGATGGAGAGCAATGTGCCCATAATACAACCGATATCATAGGTGGCAACAATCTGCCCCTGCATGGTGGGGCTGGGATGATTGAATGTTTCGAGGAAGGGCTTGTTGCTGAGTAGGCCACCAAAGACTCCTTGATCGTAGCCGAAGAGTAGGAATCCGGATCCGCAGGCCGCGGTGATGCTGTATCTTACAGCATCGCCCTGCACTTTGTCGAAGAACATTGTGGTCAGTTTGGTCCAACAGTTGAGCCTACATTCACGGTCAGCAATGCGTATTTAGCAGCGCCCAAGGGGACAAGGCAATGTATCTATATATGTTATTCGCTGCTATCTACTCGGCATTCTCCCTGCTGGCCCGTGCCTCCTCCTAAGCCATAAAAATGCGGAGAATCTGGGGTATGCTAGTCTGGGGTACGTCATGCCTTGGTGCGTACGTATTTTGGGCGAGTAATATTACTTCTGTTGCAAAGCCAGTAAGGTTTCCAGTGCCTTCACCCACTGTGGGGCGGTGGGTGCTGCATTTCCGCATCTTAGGTTGAGGTGAGTGTCGGACTAGCCCAGAACTTCACTAGCAAGCTCGGTGATATTCGACGCTAATGGGTCTGGATAGCTTCCTACTGGCTGGAACAACACTAACGGAAGTCAGCCTGATTGGCTCTGGATAGCCCATGGATTTATTTGTCCGGATGGGGTCCCAGTGTGTGCAATCCCTCGATCAACGTGCGCTCAAATATCTAGGCCCTTTCGATCCCACAGTGAGTCTATTAAATAAGTCCCCCAGCAAACGGCTGTAAGGGGCTTTTTTTATCTTGATTATTCTCTGTTAAAATCAAAACATCTAGCGGAAAAACCACGCAGCCTGGAAAGCGCATCTACAATCCATCAAAATGGCACAGAACAGGGCAAGTCTGGCCCTGAAGCTTTAAATGGTAGACGTTTTCTGACGGAGTTACCAGAGGATATATAACCGAGCATTCAATCATATTGGAGTATCTGTTCCAGATGCTCAAGCAACAGTCGATTGGTATTCCAGGGTCCTTGGCTTCAAGCTGTTGGGCACGATAGTCCACATCAAGCGGTCCGAGATGCCAGACGATGGAATATTCAAGATCTACCCCGAAAGTCTACAAGAAGTCAAGCTCGCCAAGATGGTCACCGGAAATGGCGTCGGATTTGAGATATTCGAGTTCATCAATCCAAAGTTCGAAGATGCAAACGTCTTCGAATACCACAAGAGGGGCTTCTTCCACATGTGCATCACAGATCCAAATCCGGAAGAGCTGGCGGCCAAGTTTGTGGCTGAGGGAGGCAAACGAGTGGGGAGAACGACGGACCCGTCTGGGAAGGGCGAAATTACCTGTCTTTACCTAGCGGATCCTTGGGGCAACATAGTCGAAGTCCTGGACGTCGGTTTCGAGTTCATGGGGCTAAGGTCTGCATTGTAGCATCTTAAACCCATGCAGAATGCGGAGACATGAGACGCTTCTTCAGAGCTCCAAGTTATGTGACCAAGTAAGACGAATGTTGATGACCTACACATAGGTGCTTTACTGTAGGACGCTCGTAGTCTCTTATTCAGCGGCCTTTCGGCATCTTCGTGGGTCAGAAGCAGTGACAAGGCCCTTGAAATTTCCTACAAAGCAATACCATCCACATCTGCCCCAATGTTTCATCCAGAGATGCCTAGTATCAACTTCTCTCAGCTTGATGGATCTAAAATCTAATGAAGACGTCCCTTGCACTCCCTGTTCTCTCCTCGATTTCATGGACCCCTCCACACAGCTGCGACATCCCCAGATCAATACGTTCTTTTTATTCATGGTATTCATGGCACGAGCTTGGTTCACTGGCCTTCTCCTTGTGTCTGGCATTTTTTCAATAAATTTTTGAAGTACGGCATTCAAAAACTGCCGAACAGCCACGGTCAAGGTATGAGGCTCGAGTCAGGAGTGTTCCCAGAGCAAGTTTTGACCCCAGGCTTTGTTAGCTGGGTTTCCACAATATGGGGTTTGGATCTGAAACACTGTGACGTCCAATAGGCGATCATTTGGTGCCCAGATTGATAGGGTGGGTATCTCGGAATTCCACCCCCGAGGACGCCACCTCCACAGCCGGTTGGGCACGCGCGCAACTTGCGGCTACGGACCCCACAGCCTTCTTCCATGATCAGGGTCAGATGACAGTACTAGAATGGGTCCTCCGGTAAGCTATGACGGTTGCGAGCGGGGAACAACGCTTGGCTGAGCGGCAGCCCTCGAGCGGAGCGCGATTTGATCAACACCCGGTCGGATTCCTACCCCCGATTCAGGACTATCCGGCACGCGCAACTTTGGCAAATCGAATAATGGAGATCTGTGTCCACATTCAGAAAGAGTGCTGAAAGGAGCATAAATGATTTTCTTCCTAGATATCGAACAGCGTTGGGTGCTGATCTTCTTTGCACACTTGCCTTCGTTTTCTTTTCATCACTGACTGAAATACCAGCATCTCTGCCCCTATCTGTGTTTTTCCCACCCCTCGCCACAATATGACTGGGCAGAGACTTCGAATTGGAATCGCCGGCCTTGGCCGGATGGGTATGTGCGCTTCATCTATCACACAGCGTGAGTGAGATACCTTTGTCTGACGAGAATCAGGGAAGCGCCATGCTATCAACTTCCATACGCTCACACATCGGGCGATGGTGGTGGCAGTAACCAGTCCTGACCAGGACGAGTGCAAATGGGCGACGGAAAACCTCGAGGGCGTACGCGTTTATCTGGATTACGAGGAGATGCTGGCAAAAGAAGACCTACAGGCTGTCGTCATCGCTAGCGCTACTGCCGTCCATGCAGTGCAAACTCTGAGTGCTATTGAGAAAGGCTATCACGTCCTTTGTGAAAAGCCATTGAGCCAAGATGTGGCCGTCGTGAGTATCTTCTGATGCTGTAGGAGTTCGCACACATGCTGACATATTTCTACACAGGCACATTCCGTGGTTGATGCCTACAAGCGGTCCCTCCGAATCCACCCTAAACAAAAGGTCATGTGCGGTTTCTCTCGTCGATTTGACGCCTCTTATCGGGAGGCGTATGAGAAAGTGGCACAGGGTGACTACGGCCGCCCGGTAGTGTTTCGATCTCAGACGGCAGATCTGCACGACTCGTCGGGCTTTTTTGTAAACTACGCTAAGACTAGCGGCGGCATATTCGTTGATTGTTCTATCCACGACATTGACCTCATGCTCTGGTTCCTTGGAGAAAAAAGCAAGATCAAGAGCTTGCAGGCAATTGGAGTTACCGCCGTACATCCTGGACTTGAAGCAATCAAAGACCGTGACAACGCGATAGCAACAGTTGAGTTTTATGGTGGCAGGATTGCGAATCTGTATTGCTCAAGGATGATGGCAGCAGGGCAGGAGGATACCACAGAGATTATTTGTCAAAGAGGCTCTGTGAGAGTCAACATGGAAGGGCGGAAAAGTCATGTCGATGTCCACGATTCGCTGGGAGCTAGACGCGAGCTCCCACAGCATTCCTTTGATCGCTTTAGAGAAGCTTTTGTCACTGAGGCCAGGGAATTCACCTCATGCTGCTTGGACAATACTCCCTTACCTGTCAAACTCGAAAGCTCCGTTAGGGCTCTGGCTATTGGTCAAGCGCTTCAGAGAAGCTTAGTGAGCGGTGACAAGGTGATGTTTGATGAGCTTGATGCCAAGCTTTAAAAAGTGGACAAGGCGCCCGATTCTGTTATAAAGCATCAAGAATTTCAAGAGTCATAGACACTTTGTCTCCGAGACGTTGTGCCCTTTATATAAACAATCACTTGCGAACAATCTTGAGATGATCGTATCTAAACAATTGCCAGTGTGAGTCCGTTCAGCCACGTGAAAGCGGCCGTGGTCAAACGAATTCCAAACAGCCATTCGCGCACGAGTCTGATTCTTGGATTCGCTAAGAGCTACCAGATCGGATGCTGCCGTCTGTAAGCGTGCTACTATTGCCATTCATCGCATCGTAAAAGTATTGTCACTTCGAAATAGCTACCCTAGTCAGTGATGTCCAGGGTTCACCAATAGTATGGCTTACTGTTAGTGTACTAGTAGTAATAATATTAGTATACTATACCATTGTGACCGTATGACGCATTCGGCTATCCGTATTCTAGTCACTAGATATCCATTGAATGGCAGGAAATGCGCTCAAGCCATCGCGACAGTCTGCGATAGTTTGCAATCATTTATCGGATTCCGAGTTCTGATTCCGAAGGTCGAGATAAGTGTACGAGGAACTCGTTTTCTATGAGGAATACACGCTGACAACTTGGCCTGACGCAACGCAATAGCAGTCCTTAACCACAATAATAAATACTTTTGAATAAACAAGAGAGTAGGATAAGAGCTGCATCTGTACCTCCTCCTAATAAAAAACAGCGATAATAAATATTATAGTTGTAGTGTCACAGTGTCAAGTCTCGTCTATTCCTCATCAAAACGGAGCTCCTTGTAGGCCCGAGCAGACTCGGCCGAGCAATTAATAAATCAAAGCATATAGAGACAGTCAGCTAAGCTGAATTGAAAGAGAATTTGGTGGCTGACTGTTGGCAGAAGGCACGGCATCAGCTTCGCCAAATGTGGCTAGCACGGGTACATCAAGCGCAGCCTCTTATCGTTCGTTCCACCACACCCTTCGCTCATCACAGCCCCAAGCCGCGGATCACATCTGTTCACACTTCGTCAGCCTTTTCCACAACTTCATCCAATAGAGCACAGCAGAAAGCGGTACATATCACGGCTTTCACTGCAAGAGATCCCCGCAATTGGTGAACCACTTACTTGGCGGCTCCTTCAGCTCGCTGCAGGGTAGCCTTCCAACGGCAGGGCGTATTGGTGGACGTGGGGTCGCAATGCCACCTTGGGCGACCGTAAGATGGCTTCACAGCTGAGGCTGGGCAACAGGTGAGCTGCACTCTCCGCCTCTTTGCCTAGAATGGAGTCGGTGCCTCCCAAAACAGCGAGCAATACGATCCTCATGCTGATGTGCGTGTGACTTTGCGCTTTTGTTGGCTGTTGTGGAGTTCTTCAGGTGTGCAGTCCCAGTTGCCCAAGTCTTCTCGTCCTTCTCTATTCTGCCTCTCATTTCGTGTCTCTTAATACTTCTCACTATCTTCTAGCTCCAAATTTTCGCAAGAGATCAAACGCAAATGACGGACGATACTCCGTGGGGGCGAAGGCTCATCATATGCTGCGACGGAACTTGGCAGTCCAGTGTAAGCTCGAAAGACAATGTTCCCCTCCAACGTCACAAAGCTTTGCCGCGTCATTGCTCGCATTGGAACCGATCAGAAGGATCCAAACAAGAGATGGCACCAACTTGTATATTACGACAGTGGTATTGGTACAGGCAATCTCAGCGGATCCGAGGCCAGACGACAAGGTGGAACTGGCGCAGGGCTTGCTGAGAACGTGATCGAAGCATACAACTTCATTGTGTTGAATTACGAAGCGGGGGACGAGATATTTTGCTTCGGTTTCTCCCGCGGGGGCTTACACAGCGCGAGCAGTTGCAGGGCTTGTCACTGATATTGGCGTCATCAAGCCCACCGATATGCAGCTTTTCCCAGCCATCTATCGCGCGTACATGTCAAATGACGAGATGCTACCGTTCCGCGAGACGCAGGCGTGGAAGGAGTTTGTGGATGGAAAGCTTACGAGCAAGGGCCAGGACTTAAGCAAGGCTGGCTCTATCAAAGGGTTGCGAGACAGAGTGCAGAGCTTCGAGATCAGCCCGCACCATAGCTTGCTTGCCGCAGAAGGTAGTCGCAAGGTCAAAGTATGCGGTGTTTGGGACACAGTAGGAAGTCTAGGCGTTCCAGACGTCGCGTGGTTCGACAACGAGAAGTACAGGACGAAATATGGATTCCACAATGTCAGACTCACCGAAAGTAAGTTCAGATATGGTGTTTGGTGTTTCGGAAACACTGGCTAACTATAGCAAGACATTGAACATGCATACCATGCGCTGGCACTCGATGAACACCGCAAGGCCTTCCGGCCGACACTGTGGTACATAGACAGCGAGTTACGTGAACGACTAGCGAAGGAAGGCAAGCCATTGCCCGAACTGAAGCAGGTCTGGTTTCCTGGTGTCCACATCAATGCTGGTGGCGGGGCAGACGATTGTTTCACGGATATGAAGGGCGATTTGGAGAGTATGTCCCAGGGACCGACAACGAATTGTTTGTTACACTCTTCTAACGAGAATCCAGATCTATCCACTGCGACATGGACTTGGATGCTGCATTGCATCTCTCCACACCTTACCATCGATCAAGATGCCTTCAAATCAACCCTCAGCCAATACGAACGCTGGCTCGCCCGCATTCGCTACGCATGCACATACCACCACACTACGTGGCTCGACACACTCAAGTCCAACATACCCACGATACCGTACATAAATCCAGCTACCAACCCGCTTCTCCCGCCAAAGCGCGATCCAATGCATACCCACCCGGAATTTGACTATGGCTGGGGAACCGGGCCCATTGTCGATTCATACACGGGCATGTACCTCCTTAACGGCAGCCTACCACGTGTACCCGGTAAGCTCCAAACCGAGGTGTACGACCAGAAAAAGGCGATGGCAACTTTAGAAGACATCTCCAAGCTCGGCGAGACTAACGAGTACATTCACCCCGTCTGTGAGTATCGCAAGATCGTGCGCGGCAAGGAAGATGATTCAGCACTCAAGGCCTATACTCGGAGGCACGAAGTCGGACCGAATGGCAGGGATGGCAGGTACTGGTGGTATCGGGACGGAAAGAGGCTGCCTGAGTGGGTCATTATGGAGCATCAGGATGAAGGCGTGATCAACTTCGAGAGAACATGGTATGAGATGTGTGAGAAGACTGACAAGGCTAAGGAACGTTTGAAAGAGGCTAGATACGAGAAGGATTTTCTGGTTGCGCTCGACGAAAAGGTAGATTTTGGGCTGGGGGATGCGCCGGGGTACTTGTATCCGTAAATCGGGGTTCTTTTCGTCACTATGATTGGAGCAAGCCTCTCTTAGTCGCGGTCAAGCTTCGATTCATCATTTGTTAAGCCATGCATTTCAAAACATCAAACCATCAGTACGGAGACCGATGATAGCTCGTATGACCACAGAAAATGCCATACGATGGCCGCATCGATCGTTAACACGATGCCGTCCAGTCATGTCTCATGCCAACCATATGGCCCAACATGCCTTTCCATGCCCAATTCCATGCTCAAAATCATCTCTTCATTATGCGCATCATTGATTTGGATGCGATTCGCGACCTGAATCTAGCGGAAGCAATCGCTCGCGGTTCAATCTAAAGCTTCGCTATCAGCATAATGCCCTACACTCGACTGTATAACACCTACGCATGACTGCGCTTGGATCGTTCGGCAGCGCTGTCGGAAAGGCCTTACACGGGCCCTCAAGCTCGGCGCTGCCGCAAGGCTGCTTCCCGCTCCGCATCGTGAGCTCGATCCAGAAGGTTCTGGTTGTCGCGCCATAGGTCTGCATTTTCGCGCTTCAAGTTGCCCACATGAGCTTCGAGGTTGTTCACCTCTAGATCCATGCGTTTAACATTTTTGAGCTCAGCTTCCGCCCAACGTGTCTCATCGGTAAGCCTGCAGTCGCGGGTTAGTATTCCAGATGACACTAGAGCAGATCTAGTACTTACTCTTGCCTTAGCTCGCGGATGCGACGGTTCCTGACAGCGATCATAGCGTCTCTCTTACCCAACATAACCTCTTGCTCCTTTATGCTGGAAAGTATGTTAGTTTCCGCTTAGATTGTAGAAGCACCTGCTTACAACTTGTCCCTGTCATCAATGCTGTATCCATCTGTTAGCATCCATTTGTAGTATTGAGAGGGGTTGCGCTCACGCCTTGCTCAGTTCCTTCAAGTCTTCGAGGAGCTCCTCTTTTGTCATCTCTCGAACGTCAGGCACGAAAAGGCCATCACTCGAGTCACTCCCTTAGTCCTCAGTTCCTGCGCCGGGATAGCTCGCGGGGAGGGAGGGCTCAGCTGGAGCGTCTGGTGTGCGAACATCTCCAGCGCGGGAATCTTGGCCAGGAACCATCGGGGCGCGATCTCCCTGAGGCTTGCACTTCAACACCGTCATACAGGCCCTCTGAAGAGCACTCAGCGAGGGCCTAGTGCGGCAGCCATGATCCCTGAAGTTCGGAATGATTCCTTGCCTGACCATATAGAAGGCAACCAGTGACTCCAGCTCGGGGTATACATCGACCGGCGGACGGGATGTCGCCAGAGGACAGCAGAAAGGGTGGTCGAGCTTGGATTTTCTAATGTGGTCTGGCAGAGGGCATTTTCCTGCGTCGTATGAGAACCTTATATCGTAAGGCAAGCGCATATAAGCGCTGAGGGCGTAGTCAATACCATTGAGCCGGATGACTCCCATTTTGACTCGCTGGGGGCTTCCCTTCTGATCGATGGTCTGATCGAGGAACTCATTGGACGCGGGCGGCAGGGCGTCAAAGGCTTCGGGAAATTCGCGTCGTGCATGCGCCTCTACCTGCGCCAATGTGTAGTCTGTGTCAACGGGTAAAGCATCGCTGGGCTGGGTGCGCCTGCGGCCGCCGCGCGGTTGGCGCCCGTTCCGAAGCCTGATGGGAGCTGACATCGTGGTGTTGAAGCCGTTGAGGTCGAGGGATCAGAAAAGCGAGTGGTCAACAGAGGTGAAGGTCAAGTCATTACGCACTGTTCTGTGGTGCTGCCCCAGCAACCAAGTTTTCAACCCACGCCCGAACACAGTTCGTGCCCTATAATGCGGAATTAAGTTGAATTTCGTATTTTTGAAGCGCTTACTCTGGTATATGCGAGGGCGATGGGAAGTTTACGGCGTAAAAGCACAGTATCTGGGACAAGTCTTAGTGTAACACGCTATGTGTAACAGTCACAGATGACGAGCTTCGCTCACAGTTCATGTGCATGATGATTTGGATTGATACGTCCTGTCGCTCGTACTTGAAACAGAAATGAATGCTGCTCTAACGCGTAAACACTGTTCAACGGGGCAGATCAAAAAGAAGGCGACCCCGGCACCGTATGCTCAGACAGGTTCCAGTGGAGGGTTGCACTTCATCAAGTATACTCCACAGTAGTGGTTCTTTCAAGGTTTGCCTAAGAAGTACGCTTGTTGGAAAACTTCAAAATCATCGTATAGGCTGACGTGCAAGCCTTATGTCTTTCAGCTGTTTCATATGATGTAGCCAAAGTAGTGGAACTTAAACCGGCGGTATTTGCTCTGCCGGATAGAGGGCATCCAATGAGCAAGCATGACGCGCTCGTATTATTTAATCGCCAAGTGTTCGTGCGGAGATTTCAGAGTCAGGTGAAGGTGACGGTCGAAGCGCAAGCTTGCAAACGCGCGAAGGCCCGCCTGTATACGTGAAGGGCCTGTGAGAGTGACTCAATCGAGTGCATTTGATCAAGTGACAACGACTATCCGCCTAGCTCTTCGAGGGCCTCATCGCTGTCTTTGTTCCTTCTACAGTAGTATATGTATTATTCTAGCAGAGAGAATTATATCCTAGGATAGAGGCCTTTTGGTCCAGCGGCGTGGCTTCACATCCTCGCAACAACAGCATCCGATAATGGTGTGAGGGGTCCGAGGGGTCGGCGGTTCGAATCACCTAGATTCCTCGTTGCGTGCAAGCTTGGTTAGTCCTTGATGGTGAATAGAACCTTGCAATCCGACACGATATGGTTCGAATCACCTAGATGCCTCGTTGCTTGCAAGCTTGGTGTCCGTTGACCGTGAATAGAACCTATACACCTAGATTCCGAGCTTGTACTTGGGTAGTCCTTGACGGTGAAAAACCTATTAGATTAGGTTCTTAAGCTACTATCGAAAGATGGTAGCATAAGTTTTGCTGATTTATTTTTCTTACGGCGTGTAACAAAAACTCAAACTGATTAACTACACTACATACTACAAAGAGAAGAAAGTACAGTGGGGCTACAGCCACTCGACACATACGTCCTCCACAGACGAGCAACTACATCTACATTACTCCGGCGTCTGCCCCGCATGGAACGCTTTCAACATATCCGCCATCTCCTTCGACCCTCCCGCCCGAAAATGCCTCTCCTTCCCTTTTGCCGTCTTCTCCATGTACTTCTTCGCTCGCGGCCACATCTCTTCCTCGTATGCTTTGACCGCGTCGTCCAAGCTCTTATCCCCTTTACAACTCTCAATGAGCTCCCTAGCCAGCACTAGCGCATCCGTCATACCAACATTCACGCCCACACCCGCGAACGGCGTCATGACGTGTGCAGCATCCCCAATCAATGTGACGCCCTCGAGGTGAGGGTACGAAAACCCGATCGGCAGTTCATAGAGGGCGCGGGGCGTTAGCTTGTCTTTTGACAAAGCGAGCAGGCGCTGCAGATCCGGCGATACGTGATTGAAGTAGCGCTCAATGAACTGCGTGCGCGCGGTGTCCTCGCTCTCCCAGTCGATGCCGCAGTCAGCGATGAATGTCTCGGGTACGCGAAGACACGCGTACGTGCGCAGGCTCCCGTCGCCCTGTCGCTGCGAGAGGATTGCGCTGCCTTCCGCAAACGAAAAGCAGGATCCTGCGCCGACGTAGTTCAACAGCCACGGCTCGCTCTGCACGTCGTTGTGCCAGAGCTCGACGGCCGATATGCCGGAGTACTGTGGTTTTACATCGGTGAGAAGGTTCCGCACTTTCGACCACGCGCCGTCGCCTCCGATGACGAGGTCAAAGCCCTCTTCCTTCGACCCATCTGCGAAGTGCAGGTCGTGTTTCTTCGGATCGGATGAGTTTGGCGATACCTCCTTCAACTTCGTCTCCCATTTCACGCTCCCCGCCGGCAGCGCCCCATAGGTGATCTTCATCAGCCACTCCCGATCGATTTCTGGGCGTCCTTTCAACGAGTCCTCGACGCCTCTTTCCGTCTCCTTTCCGGACTGTCCATCGCCCGCGTTCTCATCCCAGAACACTTCCCCACTATCCAGGTCGACCAGCTTCATACAATCGCTTTCGGGCCTTGCATACTTGACAAACTGGTCCCAAAGGCCGGCTTCGCGTAGGGCCTGCTGGCCGGACTGAGGGTGCAGATCGAGCGTGCCACCTTGGTGTCTGAGGACCGGTGCGGCTTCGTAGATGGTGTAGGGGATGTTGTTGCGGTGGAGGATGGCGGCGAGGGTGAGGGATGTTGGGCCGGCACCGATGATGGCGATCTTGGGGGTTGAGGCTGCCATGGTCGCGACAGAGGTTTACGAAGGATGAGAAGATATAAGATGGCTTGTTGAGTATTTGATCGGAAAGGTCGTTCAAACGAGGCGATGCAACTCTTATTTTATTTTCAAGGACCTTTTGGTTGTAGTTGCGAAGGTAACAGCAACGCTCACGTGATGGCTAAATAGATGAGATGTCGTATTTGCAGTAAAGATGCTGTAGATGGTCTGAAGATGTCCTCTAAAAGGTGCGACCATGCATACATTTTATATTCGAGCATCTCTGCTGTGTTGTGCGGTTTCGGGTCCTATTCCGCTAAGTTTGACGTTGGTTCGGGTCCTCGCGTTCTGAGAAAGAGTCGTTCGGGCCCGAAATGGCCGAGCGCACCCTTCGCGTAGAGCGAGCAGGGCGAGAGGCTTGCGCGTGCAATTCATCACGCCTAACCTCGCTGACGAGAGACAGAGCGAAAACAGACCCCAGGCTGTACTTTAGAAAAGATCTCACGGATCATCCGACACTGATCCGGGCGGGCAATTGCCCTCATTTAAACATGTAAACGATCGTTGCACGACTGGCGTGTAACTTCAATTTGTTATGTACATACATACAGAGAAGTCAGAAAAAGACATTCCAACAAGCGAAAGTGAAAAGACGGGTATTACTCGGACAACTAACTCATCTATCAAAGGCAAAGATCCGTTCGGAACAACAGTCTCTTTACACGGCATACAACGCCCCAGGCCTCTCCTGTGGCCAGCTTCCATCCCTAGTACAACCACCTCCTCTTTTCCGTGGGCTGTGCAGCCCTTTTACCCAAGTTGACAGTAACCTTGCTCTGCAGCGCAATGGTCGAGATATCGAACGGGAGCCTGTTCTCCTGGAGCGTCGCGGTCGATGATCCGGCGACTTGTGACTGCACTGGAACACTACTTGCTCCGGAACTTGCCTGCATAGTAACGCCAGCTGCCGCCGCAGAGGTCGTGCTCGAGCCAACTAGTCCGGCGGTCGTAAGCGTGGCGGAGTTGATGGGCGCCGCGGCGGAGGAGCTGGCTGCGGCCTGAGGCGCGTTGGCGGGTGCGCTTCCGCCTGCAACGACTGTGACAGCCTGGGTCTGCATGGTAGAAGGCGAGCTCATCGAGCCCATCGCCGCCGGCATGAGCTGGAAGGGAGCGGCCGAGGGGGCGGACATAGGGAATGCGGCTGCGGGGCAACTGCACGCACAGTTGCATAGGCCACCGTTCGCCGCAGCTGCCGCAGCGGTACCGTTTCCTCCGCTTCCAGCAAGGACTGTAACTGCACTGCTGGCTGCAGAGACGGTGGTAGCTCCCACAAGACCGGCCTGAGTGAGTGCTGCAGAGTTGATAGACTTAGCCGATGTCGAGGATGTGGGTAGACCAGGAGCAATTGCAGCTGCGCCTGCTGCCGTGCTGTTGCTTGCCACGACAGTGATAGCGCTGGCTTGTGCTGCTGCTCCCGCTGCAGCTGCAGAGGTGGAGCTGGTTGCCAGTCCCGCTGCGACAGAGGTTGAACTCCCATTTCCAGCCACGACAGTAACTCCACCAGCAGCAGCTGAAGCAGCTTTGGTAGAGTTGGCTCCTCCGCTTCCTGCTTCCACGGTGACGGCACTTCCAGCCTTACTCGTGGTTGTTCCTGCTACGAGACCATCCTGGCTCAAACCGGACGTGTTGATCGATTTGGCCGCGGAGGTCGTTGCGTTCGCGGCATTCCCTTGCGCCCCGTTACCGGTACCGCCGGATGCGATGACGGTGATTGCGGCAGCGGCGGACGTCCCTGCTGCTGTTGTATTTGCTGCTGTCGTCTCTGCTGCTGTCGTTTTCGCGCCACCTTCCTGGGTAGATTGGGTAGAGCCCAGCAGTGAGAGCATCAGCGAAGATTCAGCAAGTGTAACCTATGCATAGTCAGTACAGATTGAGATGAATTGTTATATGGCGTGCTTACCGTAGCATTCGCCGCAGCAGTCTCTTTCGCGTTACCCGCACTCTCAATGACGGTTTCTTTGGCTGCTCCACCTCCGTTGATCTGTTGCACGATCGTCTCCTTGATCTGAATGATCTCTACGCCGTTGCCCTGGCCCTTTCCCTGGCCCTGCTTCTGTCCGTTGAGGCCATCCAGTATGTCAGCAATGCCTGGGGCGTTTTGTTGACCACTTGCACCGTTCAAAAGGTCGTTTACAAGGCTGTTGGCGTCTCCAGCGTTGGCTCCAGTGGCACCTTGGCGGTTTCCACCTTGACCTTGACCTTGACCCTGACCCTGACCTTGTGCGAGACCGTTGAGAAGGGCATTTGCGGCAAGACCCTCGATGCCATTCTGCTGCTGGTCTTGTCCTGCGAGAAGGGCACCCAGATCGGCGGAAGCTTGCCCTTGATTTTGTCCGGAACCAGTTGCAGCAGCGTTCGCTTTGCCGGCGCCATCCTGTTGCGCTCCTGTGAGACCGTTGATGATCGCGTTCGCGTCAATCCCTTCTCCTCCCTGTTGACCACCGCTGAGGGATCCGGCAGCGCCTTTTTCCATACCTTGACCCTGGTTCGATGCGGCGGTGGCGTTCGCGTTGTTCTTCCCGCCTTGCTGCGCACCCGTCAAGCCGTTGATGATCGCGTTCGCATCGATGCCCTCGCCACCTGACTGACCACCGACCTGAGCTCCGGCAGCGCTTTGACCTTGACCTTGACCCTGTTTCGATGCTGCTGCGGCGTTCGCATTGTTGCTTCCACCTTGCTGAGCGCCCGTTAAGCCGTTGATGATCGCGTTCGCATCGATGCCTTCACCACCCTGTTGACCACCCGCCAAAGATCCCGCTGCGCCCTGTCCCTGACCGGCACCATTGAGCAGAGAGCTGATATCGAGTGGTTGGTTTTGCGCAACCCTTTCCACAGCATCCGCCAACCCTCCTCTTTTCTCTTTCTGCGCCCTGGCTACTGCATCCACCGCGCCATACTCTAGGTCATCGACCTTCCTTCCTTGCACGCCGGGTCCGATGTTGTTGGTATTGATGTTGAAGCCGGGGTCAGCGATAGTCTGTATCAAGTTAGAAGAGTAATCACGATAGAAGTTGAGACCAGCGCACTGTTGTAGCTAGGAGCAAGGCAAAGCCTAGAGAAGACTTTATCCTCTTCATGATGTCTCGAAGGACGCGTTAGAACCAAAATAGATCGACACAGAAGCGAAGAGTTATTAGTACGTGGAGCAGTCCAGCTGGTGATTAATTAAATGAGCACTATGTCACAGACATGCAGACTCATTCAAGAACTGCGCAGCAGGCCGTCGAAGAGGAGTGAAGAGGAAGAGACCGAATGGGGAGTGGAAACGAAAAGTCCGGGAGCCAAAGGGAGCGAGAGAAGCCGAACGAGAACCCAAAACCACCCCAAAAGAATGGGATTCCTGAGGCACTTAACGGATGTGTGTCTCAGGGCATGGCCCCGCTCATTCTGTTTCTGCGATGGTTTCCACGCGACTACAGTACCTGACTCTTGTCGCAAGGCCAGGGCTGCGAAGGGCCTGCGACGGGTTTGTCATGGCATTGTCGGGCTTGCGTGGCCAAGGACGTTGATTGCACGATCTGGGCGCGCAATCCATGATAGACAGGCTCTACAGTGTTGCTTTGGGGTCTGGTCAGTATCAGCGCAGTCTGGCCAGGCGCTGGTTCATAGGGGGATGAGACGGGAGGCGCGTCGAAGCGAACGCCTCACACCGGTTGTGTTTCACAGCGTGCAGCCTGCCCAAACATGTGGCCCGCGCCGTCTTGGCGCTGCTCGGGACCTCTCGTCTATTGATCATGCGAGGGCGACGTGCTTGCAGAGGCATGCGATTGCAAATTCGGATGCCGGCTTACGTGGTGAGCGGTGCATGCGGCTGCGCCCGGCGTGTGGACGAGTGGTGATGGCGCCGCAGAATCGCTGCACCACCGATCGCTTGGCGTTGCCGAATCTAATGCGTCATCGTCCCAGCTTTGCAGACAACATCAACGACTTTTCTTGTCAGATGCGCGAGTTCGTCCTAGCATCAGTCGGAGTCGGGGGGATACATACTCATCAATAGCCGGACGGGGCGCAGCGGTAGCGAGTGCGAAAAGCTTCGTATATAGGGAGTCGCCGGTCCCATAATACCTAATTCAAGAGAAACCAAACATTCCATAAGAGAAAATGGCGGCCGTCCATGTCCTGGACGACTACTACCTCGCCATCACCTTCCTCGTTACTGTCGCCTACCAGCTTTTCTTCTTCGCCATCGCCTTCACTTTGAAATTCGACAAGCTTACCGACTTCGCTGGGGGCACGAACTTCGTCCTCTTGGCCATCCTCACTCTATCATTCAGCGAAAATAGAGGCGATGCGCGCAACATCGTGGCGTCCGTCTTCATCATGGCGTGGGCGGCGCGACTCTCCGGTTTCTTGCTCTTCAGAATCATAAAGACTGGCAAGGATGACCGCTTCGATGACAAACGGGACAAATTCTGGTCTTTCTTGGGATTTTGGGTCTTGTGCGTTGCCAAAAAACATGAGTATGTCTGAATGCAGCTAATCGTTTCGCAGCCAAATGTTCTGGGTCTGGACATGCTCCTTGCCCGTTACCATTTTGAACTCGCCCAAAGTCACGCAATTCAGGCAGCCTGGCTTCGGAACCGGATGCGATATTGCAGGAATCGTCTTGTTCGCCATCGGATTTATCATGGAGAGTGTTTCCGACGTGCAAAAGTACCGCTTCCGAAGCACACATGGGAGCGACGGGGAGGTTTGCGACGTTGGGTTCTTTGCTTGGACGAGACATCCAAATTATTTCGGAGAGATCCTGGTCCAATTCTGTAAGTGGAACGATGTATTTTGGAAAGTTTGCCCTGAAACTGACATGGCCAGCTATCTTCATGATCGCTGTGTCACCAGCAGCAAACGGCTACGTGCACGGCGGCCCATACTCGGCACTCTACGCATCGATATTAGGACCCATCTTCTTGACGAGTCTCCTGATGTTTCTCTCTGGCCTACCTCTACAGGAGCGCCCTGGAGCAAAGAAACGATACGAGAAGGGTATCAAGTGGCCCGAATACGAGCGCTACCTCCGCCGGACCAGCATACTCGTCCCCTTCCCACCACAGTTGTATGAAAAGATGCCGGTGATCTTGAAACGAACGATATTTTTGGAGTTCCCAATGTATGTATTCGACCCCGCAAAACATGCAGATCAGAGCAAGGTGCAGGCGAATAGCGCGGAGGAAGGAAGGGTCAGACCCAGTGACGAGCAAGGTCTTCGTTCTTGACGGCGATTACGTTCTAGATAACTGCGTGGGTCGCAACAATCGAAGCATTCTCCTCCGATTCCGATCCTATTTGTTTTCGCTGTAGGGCTTACTGCTATTAGCGTGATAGCATCCACACCAGCTGGCCCGCGTTTGCGGATCCTTTGTAGGCCTGGTGGCTCATGGCAAGTGGCTGCTTCGGATTTCTGCGCGTGGGATTGGCCAAAACCGCGTGTGACGTCGACCCACAGCGCCATGTGCTCCACCTTCAATACCTTGGACCCACCTAAAGCTTGAGCTTCACCTTGGTCGCCTCAGCCTCTAAGTTTCCTTATAACGCGGCGTTGGCTCGCTCGTGAGTTGAGCCTCACTAACACCTGGCTTCTGTGCAGCTACCTCGAACCCGCTAGATGTGAGTTTGTGCTCCAAACATCGGACGCGCCCAGACGAAACGTCCGTCTGACAGATAGCAGCGGCACGGTCCTCACAATGCCGAATCTATTTCCTGCTCCTTCTACCTTAATTCAGGCCTTCTCAGGCTGCTCGGCCTTCTCACAGTCCGTTCCTGAAAGACCTTCGAAACGTGCATCAAAGTGGAACGCCCGACATGAGCTCTACCCAGTGTGGAGCGCCGCCGACGATGCGAAGAACAAAGCTGCGAAACTCAGCGATGCTGCCGTCGCCGAGTTCGAGAAGGCAAGCAACAAGGCTCAAGCAAAGGTTGGCGGCGTAGAGCTGTATTCGGCAAAATTTTACGCAGCGTGCACCGTGGGTGGTATCATGGCCTGCGGTCTTACGCATACTGCAGTCACCCCGCTTGATCTCGTGAAATGTCGGCGCCAGGTCGACTCGAAGATGTACAAGGGCAACTTCGAAGCGTGGGGCAAGATTGGTCGCGCTGAAGGTCTTCGTGGCGTCTTTACTGGTTGGGGTCCGACCTTTTGGGGATACTCCGTCCAGGGTGGCCTCAAGTACGGAGGATACGAGTTTTTCAAGAAGTACTATGCAGATCTCGCCGGCGAGGAAAACTTCCACAAATACAAGACCCTCATCTACTTGGCAGGCAGTGCGTCGGCGGAGTTTATTGCCGACCTTGGTCTTTGCCCGTTTGAGGCAGTCAAGGTGCGGATGCAGACCACAATTCCACCGTTCGCGTCAGGGACGTTGAATGGCATCAACACGATTGTGGGGAAGGAAGGTGTTGCTGGGTGAGTAGGCAAAGCTTAGTGAAGCTTATGTGAAGCGTCTCGACTTATCAATGTCCAGATTGTACAAGGGCCTGTACCCGCTTTGGGGCAGACAGATCCCGTACACTATGATGAAGGTAGGCACATCTGTCAGTCTCGAAAGCGCAGTACTCATGTTTCATAGTTCGCCTCGTTTGAAACCGTTGTCGAAATGATCTATCACCGCCTCCCCGGTAGCAAAAGCGACTACGGGAAGGGCGCACAGACGGCCGTCTCCTTCACGGGAGGTTACATTGCCGGTATCCTCTGCGCCATTGTCAGCCATCCCGCGGATGTCATGGTCTCGAAGCTCAATGCGAACCGTCAGGCTGGAGAAAGCTTCGGAGCTGCGACGGGCCGCATTTACAAGGACATTGGATTCGGGGGCCTCTGGAACGGGCTTCCGGTTAGGATTGTCATGATTGGTACGCTTACTGGTCTGCAGTGGATGATCTATGATTACTTCAAGATCTTTATGGGATTGCCGACGACTGGAGGTGCGCCGCCTCAAGAAGAGAAAGTTACTGCGAAGACCAACTGATTGTATGTTCACCTTCCATTAACTATGTAATTATGTCATGTCTAGGGGGTTGTAGATCGTGTTTGGGTCAGCCACAGTTTCCAGCTCGTTCGGCCTCAGGCAGTTGTCGGATTTGTCGTGAAAGAAGCCGAGGAGTTCGTTATAAAGTAACATCTAGAGCACCAATGCACATGTTCATTTGCATAGCTACCAAGAAGCCTCATGCAGACGTCGGAAATGGTATCCTCGTCTATCACATGCTTAGTCATTAGCTTGGGCGAATCAAGCGCGTCTTCCTTATCAGAGCCGCGCCGACTTCATCATTTCATCACCTCACGCCTACAGGTAACAACACCACCGATCCCACGCCCCGTTCCCAGTTCTTCACTATGATGCATGAGCGGAGCGGCTTGGCGGTCAGCCTTCTCGCGGATGAACCTATCTCTTCCGCCCAAGATACGGCGCCGGCGCGTTCCTTGCTTGCACTCGATCTGTTTGCGTACCGGCGCTCGACAGCATCCCGCGCCAATGGCTACTCGAGTGTTGCGTCATACGTGTAGAGATTGTGGTGCATGTGCCTACTGCCGTATCCGCCGGTGAAAGAGCAAATATAAGACGTGCGCTGCATGCTAATCTGTACTTTTGCTCTCAACGTACCCTGAAACTGACTGATCCTTGAATTCTACATCGACCTTGCTTTTTGCGCGAATTCCTCAACACCATGTCTGACGGTCCAATCCATTCTACTGGCCGCGGCGGTAAGTCGCGATTTCTCACACAACCACGGACGGACAATGGGAACAGGTACTGATGGAATTAAAAGGCGCCGGCAACATCGGCCACGACCCCGTCCAGTACCACGACGGCGCCATCGTCCGTGAAGGCATCCAAGGGCAAGGCAACGGCGACTTCTCCACCGGCCGCGGCGGCGCAGGCAACATGACCAAGTCACCTCTGATCCGGCCCGCCGACGGCAGCCCACGCACCTCGTCCGACTTCATCCCAGAGGATGCGCTGCGCAAGCCGCAGGACAACTTCCATACTGGTCGTGGTGGCGAGGGCAACGTGTACAAGGAGAAATATGGTGGGCACAGCCACTCTCCGGACAGGAAGGGCGCGATCGAAAAGGTCAAGCACGCGCTGCATCTCGACGGGAGGGATAAGAGGGAGGGATCACCTCTTGCTACCGAGACGAAGCCGGAGAATTAGGCGCAGGTTACAATACTTTGAGATACCCCGGAGGAAGCTGCACAGACAGACGTCGTTGCAATGTGAAGGGCAAACTGCCGCAAACGAAGGTACTTAGGTCTATGTAATTTCGCGCTTTGTACTACAATGCCTATTGAATCGTTTCTACGAGACGTCTACGTCGCACATGCCTCGAGTGACCCATCGAACGCGCCTGCCCCGCGCCACGTGGGTCGCGCCTGCCCCACCAAACCAACATCGCGTCATCCCTCCGCGAAAAAGTTCCCCCCAAAACATTCCTCACGGCCCAACCTCCTTGAACCTTCCAAACAACCCCAGAATGTCCAATTCACCAGAATCAGAGGCGCTCGTCCTCTCTGAAGACCCAGAGCACCCCGCAAACCACATCTGCACGCTCTGTGCAAAGTTCTACAGCCTGGGATGGGTGACGGGGACCGGCGGTGGCACGAGCATACGGCATGGAGATAAGATATTCATTGCGCCGAGTGGAGTGCAGAAGGAGCTTATGAAGCCGACGGATATGTTTGTCATGGACTTCGAGAGTAGGGAGTATTTGAGGAAGCCGCGGGTGAGTGGATAATGTTGGTGGTGGACCTTGGGGTTTCTATGCCTCGATTTGAGGCATACGAAGCTCGCATTCTTGCACTCCGCTACTGCACGGCCGGCCGCACTCCTCCTTCCTGCATATGGCTGACGATGAGGCTTCCAGGTCCACAAACCTTCCGCATGTACGCCCCTCTTCTACGCAGCCTTCAAGCGCGGCGCCGGCTGCTGCATACACACGCACTCGCAATGGGCCGTCCTCGTTACCCTGCTCGTCGAGCGCGACATTGGAACCGACGCGTGTTTCGAGATCGAGCAGATCGAGCAGATCAAGGGGATACCGAAGGGAAGGGGTAAGGTGGGCAATCTGGGATATTTCGAAAGGCTGAAGATTCCGATCATCGAAAACACGGCGCACGAGGAGGACCTTACCGAGAGTCTGGAGGCGGCGATGGAGAAGTATCCGGACACATATGCGGTGCTCGTGCGGCGGCATGGTATCTACGTATGGGGCGACAATGTGCATAAGGCGAAGACGCAGTGCGAGAGCATCGATTACATCCTGCAGCTCGCTGTGGAAATGAAGAAGCTCGGGTTGCCGTGGACAACGAATTGAATCAACGCCACCGATTTTCGGCTTCAAGAACCCGATGGGGGCCTTTTCGCTCCAGTCCAGTCAATATTAGCGGCACCCAATTGCCCCCTGTGTACTGATGGACAGATTCTCACAGCCCGTTTCCCGTATAACATCGCTAACCCATGCCAAATCGGAAAACTTGTTATCTATCGGTGCTACGAGCCCTCGCCACTTGATCGCGCTGCGCGACTGCGTCCGTTCTCTCAAAAAATTACGCCAACATTGTCTCATGAAGACCAGGACTTGACTACTAGCTCCCTTTATTGAAGAGTATTGCTATACCGGCGCGGTTGTGCCTTGCTCTTTCAAGACGGCTTCTCGACGAAGCCATCCGAATACGATAGAAAGCAAAAACGACCTCCTCGTGATTCGAGTCACAGTGTCTAGCTTTGCTACTTCCAATCAACATACATAAACCAATACGAAGACATGAATGCACGCGGGAGAACCTGGAGCCGAATCGTCATCTTCCCCGACCCCGCTTCTCAGCCTTGTTCACGAAAAGCGACTTCCTTACAACACCGTCTATCCCCTTCACACCTGAACATACTAAAATGGCACAAAATAGTTCCGCGGATTCTGCGTCTCCATCTCCATCATCCTCAATCATCTCGGACCTCAGCTACATTAAGGCCCAGAATCGGGGGCCAATAACGTCACTATTCGCTCCTCCATCATCATGCACTAAGACACTCACTACTAATCAGCCGTCTGCGAACACACTCTTAACCTGGTTGTTCTTCGGGCATTTCGATGACCCATACTTTGACGCGTCTTGTGTGCCACAAGGAACATTGGCAATGCGGGATTTGGTAAATAGAGATAGCTGGGAGTCATATTACTGTGAGTATATCGCTGATGTCCTTAGCACTCCACTAAATTGCCAACTGGTAGATAGTCCTGCTATATGCCCTTCTGGGTGGGATACGGTAACGACCTTTCAGTCCAAAGTACCAGGCGGCGATGTTCAAGTGTTTCTCCGCATAGACGCTGAGACTACTGCGGCACTCTGCTGCCCTTCGTAAGTCTTGTGGGAGGATGGTGTTACACTGTTCTGATATATCTAGTGGCTATACATATTATACCAAGGGCCACCTGTGCGCTTCGGTTGTCACCCGCAATCAACGCGTGGGATACGTCAGCCCAACGAATATTGGCAACGGCTGGGATCGAGGCTCGGTATCTACATCTACCGCGGCTTCTGAGATCACAGTCCTCGGTGATGGTGTACCGATATGGTGGCAGAGTTCGGATGAGGCAGTCCTCTCTGCTGCTGCGGCCGCAACCTCGATTGCACCCTCGTCTCCCTCTACGACAGAAACATTATCTTCGACTAGCTCGGGCCCGTCAAACAGTGTACCAGCATCACACAACGAAGGAGGCCTCTCGGGTGGCGCGAAAGCAGGCATTGGCGCTGGCATAGCGGCTTTTGCTCTGATCATTGGGATCATAGCCATATCATTCTTTCTTAGGCAGAAGAAAAGGAAATCGCCAGTCCTACCCGAGCTGGGCGGCCCAGAGCCCGTGGAAAAGTATACCTACGGAGCACGCCAGGAACTGCCCGTCCCAGCCGAGCCTGCGGAGCTAGACGCATCACCTACTCATACGGCTACCAACACACATATCAGGATGGAGTCTTGATGAAGCTTTCAAAGCCAGGTTAGACAATACATATAGAACATGACAAGATCACGCCATATATTAGAACAGTTTCAGCCCCCAAAGCTGGAAGGTGGCCCCCGGTCCAATTATCACGAACTACACTGCCTGTTCCCATTTCAGTAACTGTCCGGGCTGAGTACCCGTTGTGCTACCTCATTAACCAATGACGCATTACTTCACGTGTCGCAAGGCGTTTGCTTATTCCAATCAACTGCAGAAAAGTTTCATACGAAGACAGGGTTACATACAGGGCAATCCAGGCCACTTTGCAATATATTCTTCAGCGTACTTCAGCGCAGGCCATCCTTCTTGAATATCTCGAGGCTCTGCTGCTTCGAGATACTGAGATGGCCCAAAGCGGCTCCCCGACATCCACAACTCCGACCATCTCCGACCTGAGTATAATCCAGGCACAGAATCGAGGTCCAATTACCACATTGTTCATTCCTCCACCATCATGCACTGCGACACTTACTGACCCACAACAAAAAAAAATCCGTCATGTTCTTTGGACATGAGAATGACCCTTACTTCGACGTAGCATGTTACCCGCTCGGAACACTGGACTCGCTCGACTTGGTGAGAACTAGTGACAAGTGGGCCATGTATTACTGTAAGTATATTGCCAAATGTTCAAGCAATGAACTTATTCTATGGACATTAGACAGCCCTGCCATATGCCCATACGGCTGGATAGTAGCGACGACATTTCAGTCCGATGTGCCGGGCGGTTCGGTTATCCCTCTGGATACTCAAACCACAGCAGCGCTTTGTTGCCCAAGGTACTTCTTACAAAAGAAAACGTTCATAATGCGAGACTCTAATGTGTGCAGTGGTTTTGGCTATCTAGGTCAGGGTCATAGGTGCGTGTCGACCGCCTCGCGAGATGATCGCGTGCTGTACGTGAGCCCAACATCCAATGGTGCAGATGGCTGGATTCGCGGCTCGGTATCAACATCTACTTTGGATTCAGTGATGACCGTTTACGGCGACGGGGTCCCGATTTGGTGGCAGAGCTCTGACGACGCAATTTTGGCTAAGGCCGCTGCCGCCACGAACTCGATCTCGATTGTATCAGCTCAATCCTCTCCACCGCAGGTGTAGAGTTCAGCACAATCAGCAACACCGTCTGCCTCGAGCACATCAGCGACTGGATCAGAGTCAGGAAAGGAAGGCGGCCTTTCCAGTGGCGCAAAGGCAGGCATTGGCGTCAGTGTAGCAGTCTGTGTCCTTGGCGGCGTGCTGGCAGCTATATTTTTCTTTCTCCGACGCAGGCATAGGGAGGCACAGTCGGCACAGCCAGCACAGCCAGCACAGCCAGCACAAGTTTGGATCGGGGGCTTGGGGCCGGTGGAGAAGCCTACCAACTCTGCGCCCCAGGAAATGCCCGTGCAAGCCGACCCTGCTGAGCTGCATGCGTATCCCCAGAGAGCCACGAATATAAATACTCGGACGTTCTCCTGACCAGGCTGTGCAAATTCCAGCGCAAGGCGATAGATATAGAGCATAACAAGATCACGACGCATAATAGTTAAGAGGAGCGTGCAAAGCTCCATTTTCTCTTGTAAATAGCATAGCGCTGTCGCACATAATTTCGCGTTCAACGGCTATCGTGTGTGCAATGCATATGCCAATGTTGGGGCCAAAACATGCAAATCCATCCACGGAGTTGAGTTCCTTGACCGCCCATCGTTCGTCTCAGCCTTGTGATGAGACTTGGGCAGAACATTTAGCCAGGTTGTTTTTCTGCTGTGCCTCATGTCAGATGCGGTCACGTGATTTGACTTGGGCGCCCGGCAAACTAGCCCGAATGAAAATAGCGACGAGCTTGCGCTATCCCGCAGAGAACACAAGCTCCTACATACTAAAGGCCTATGTAGCTTTGACACTGGGAATCTTATGATAATTACTTTCATAAGTTTTGCCTAGCCTTGTATTGCTCGGTAAGCCATTGTGTTGGGGTGTGCCTGACTAACGATGCGCATTGGCTACCAAGAGACGTAATGTCACGTGCAGCTTCGGCTCCTCGCAACAGTCGTGTATGATCGTATCAACCAACAAACTGGCCACATGCATCCGATGCCTCCCCATCAAAATACTCGCACCGCACGACCTGCCCCCCTCGCGTGCTTGGAGTGTCGTCGCTCTCATCTCAAATGCGATGGAGGCTCTCCTACCTGCGAACGCTGCCGGGCTCGTGGCTACACGTGCACCTATACGCGCTCTGGACGTGGTCGTCGACGCGGCATTGCAAGTTTAGATGCCGAAGCACAATCTGCCACTTCTCAAGCGCTGCCTTATCCGTCGAGCGCCGTCGCGCAACCCGCTGTTTCTCAGAGCCTGCTTTCCTCGTTATCGACACCTGCGCAGTGGTTTCCAGACACTACTACAAGCCTGGGTGGAGAGACCAGGGCTAGCGAGAGTACTCACGATCTTCCCGGGACACCTCAAAGCGTTCCATCAGTTCCGTTGATCGCACAAGTCGGCCGCGCAACGAGTCCACAACCCGAGCGACTGCCAGCATGGGCCGACGATGAGCATTTGGTGAATCTGTACTACCTTAATTTTCACGCAAGCCACCCAATTCTACTACCAAGGACTATGTACTGGCACCAACGTTATCCTCGGTATTTGAGAGCGGTGGTGCAGCTCATTGGCGGTCACTTTTCCCTAGCTGCCTCACGAGATGGCTTACGAGAAAGCGCTGCAAGAGAGCTCCAAGAAGGGGACCAGAACACTCCCGAGATGGTTCAAGCACGGATTCTCTACACAATTGTCCTCTTCGCGCAAAATAGCTTGCTCGAAGGGCAACGAGTGCTTGATTCAGCCATCGAAAGTGCTCTTGAACTTGGCATGCACCACCGAGACTTTGCCGCCAAGCATGGCAATAATTTAACGGTTCTGGAAGAAAGCATGCGAAGGACGTGGCACGAGCTTTACGTAACGGACGGGTGCGTTGCTGCTTTGCACCGGAAGTCGACATGACGAACACAGTGGATGCCGATGTGCTGTTGCCATGCGAAGATTTCATCTATGAAGGCGGCTTGTGTACTATTCCGTCTTCATTGGACGAATTCCATCACAACATATTCGCCGAAGAGGAGAAGGTCTTCTCATCTTTCTGCTATCGCATTGAAGCTGTGCGCCTCCTCGGGCGAGTTCTGATGATCATCGGAACAGATGGCGTACACAGAGATGTTGTCCAGGCAGCTGACAATGCGCTCGCTGCTTTCATACACCATCTACCACGTTCCAAAAGTGAGGCGGAGATAGTGAGTACTTTTTGTGAACTGGACGAACAAATGTTCCAGGCCCACGCTTTGGTTCAGTACAGCACCATTCTCTTACACTTTCCTCGGGGCGATCTGATCCCCCCAGACCCGTTAACGCAACTCACGGAGGTGCCTGGCGCCAGTTGTACCAAGCTCCTCTGTCCTTGCAACCGACAACACGTGCACTCTGTCAAGGCGATCGAAGCATCGAAAACCATCTCCATGTTAGCCGCGCTGCGCAGTTCTGTTCAACGGCATAGCCCACTTCTTGTATATCCACTTGCCCTTGCAGCTGTGGTTCAGCTTTCAATCGCCGCCCTCCATGCCAAGAGCCTAAGCGGTTGTCTGGAGCAGCATTCTGACAGAGTCAAGTTGATGTTTGGAGTACTGAAGTCATTGGGAAGGCACTGGCCGGCTGCCGTTTTTATGCTACGCACATTGAAGAAGGTGGCGTCCGCGGTGTTCCGCAGTCCTCAACACGGATTCTCACATGCCGCACGCCAGGACGGATCTCTGAACAACGGGATGGATACATGCGACCAAACATGGGAGGAAAGCGAGTGGCTACACAACCTTGATTTGCGAGTCTTGAATGAGCTTCTGGACCCCGACAACGCTTCGTGAGTTGAGTACCTCAGCCACTTCCGATAACCACCTTGAAGCGCCTCGATCCTTCTCGGCTTTATGAAAAGCATGGCCTAGGCATCGTGCCATCGACCGTAAAACAATTCGCGCAGATTATCATTGGGATATATGGATGTTGCAACAAGATACTTGATAGGATCGGTATTCTTTTCATGGATTTATATCAGAGGAAACCTGATCGCGACAAGACGATCAATATATCTACTACCATTCTTCGCCCTTCAACTTCAAAGGAAGGTGCATCAACCGCTCGCCACTGGGATTTGGACGAGGTAGTTTGCCGGCACGAATGTTGATTTGCAATGATGGATTGAGCAACCTTGGCGCCGCTAGACCCGCATCACGTTCTTCTCGTAATTTCAAGAAGTCCTCCTCTTTTACTTCTTTGGAAAGATGCTTGTTCTTATCCTTGTGGTCACGCACGGTCATCCATGGGACGGCCTCACAGCGCTCAGGACAGGCCGGATAATCGTGACCTGTCCAAATTCTGACGTCTTCTGGCAGCGCAAGTAGCTTCTGTGCTGAAGCGAACAAGTTTTTGGCATTGCCACCCGGGAAGTCGCACCGCGCGCTGCCTATATCAGCATGGAAGATGGAATCTCCACAAAATACATTCCCTACACAACGATCAGCAATGTTCAAAGTCCATGGCAAGTCCATCCGAAAATACTAACCAGCGATCTTGTACCCTATGTGATCGGGAGTATGACCGGGAAGATGGATGGTGGTCGCGGTCAGTTGACCAATATGAAAAGTCTCGTCGTCTTCGAAAAGATGGTCGAACACCCCTTCGTACTCGTCGGCAGCAATGCCATACCTTGCGCCGAACAGCTCTTGGACTTGCCTAATTCGTTTCCCAATGCAGATAGGTGGTTTGGAACCTTGTTGTTGGGCGAGACGATGCTGGAGGTAAGAGGCTGCCGTCAGGTGATCAGCATGCGCATGCGTTTCCAGAATCCTCTCGATATAGTAACCCCTATCCAATATCATTGCTAGTAAGGCGTCGGCGGTTGAGGTGCTGATCGTTTGGGTTGCGGGATCATAGTCGAGCACGGAATCGATGATGACCGCTTTTTTGGTTGAAGCATCAGCAACCACGTATTGCCAAGTTTTGGTCTGCTCTTCGAACAGGCTCTCTATGACTGGTTCCTGAACCAAGGTAGACTTAGTACTATATTGTGCTCGACACTCTGGGTTTCCGGTGGATTGTAGAAACGGTCTGTCGGAGGTGGCAACACGCCGCTTCCAGATTGCAGGGAGCATAGGCTTTGCCCAGCTTCCTGACATACGTGTCGTCGGCGTGAAGGTTGTGGGACTCTCTTGATACAACGGCTGATGCTGGGTCGGTGCGACGTCGCGCTGCGAGATGCATCGTGCTGGGTTCGATGACAGTCGAATGGACTGTTTGGCGCGGGAAAGTATTTGCGAATTCATCATCTTCTGGTGTTGACGGATTGGAAAATGATCTCTGGTCGAAGGTCTTCGAGGATGGGCCTGAATCGCATCATCTTATGTACGGTATGAGGCTATCTGCAATGGGCACTGCGCAACTTTGCAGGGGTCGGGGACTCTGACGCAAAACGCCGACAACCCCTACAAGTCGCCGAACGCACTCGCAGCCACCCGCTTTACGGCCACTGCTCCCTCTCACATTGCATCGCTTTCAAAAGGCGGTTAATGCCATGGCCAAGCTTTCTTCCAATTTCCAACAGAGTTAAAAGCCCAGTTTCGTTTCTCTTTCAGAGCGAATACAACACGCGAACTCGACTTTGCCTTTCCTTTTGAACCCAAGGAGTGAAACAACCAAAATGCAGGCACTCGGCAATCGCGCAGTACTGGCAATCGGCCGGTCAGTCGTTCGTCCACACTGCAACGGAGCATCTCGGGGTCTCGCAACTGTCGCGCCCGCCACGACCACATCGCGGAACCACAAGATTGTCGTCGTAGGCAGCGGCTCGGCCGGCATCGCAGTCAGTCATCAACTCCTGAATCGAGGCAGATTCGCCAAAGACGACATCGCGATCGTCGATCCAGCTACCTGGCATGATTATCAGCCCGGTTGGACCCTTGTAGGAGGCGGATTGAAAAGCAAGAGCGACTTAAGAAGACCCATCCATGGCCTTATCGAACCAAGGCTCAAGTTCTACAACAAGAGAGTCCTTTCAATCAGCCCAGAAGAAAACTACTTATCACTAGGAGATGGGGACAGGATCGACTACGAGCAACTTGTACTTGCTCCAGGCATTACAATCGACTACAACAGTGTGAAAGGCCTTCCAGAAGCCATCGCTGATCCCGACAGCATGGTAGCCTCCATCTATAGCTTTGACCACTGCGATAAAGTCTACCAAAATATTCAACGCATGAAGAAAGGCACGGCTATTTTCACACAGCCAGCCGGCGTTGTGAAATGCGCTGGCGCGCCTCAAAAGATCATGTGGCTCGCACTCGATTACTGGAGGCAAGCGCACCTGTATAATGTCGGACCCAGTCAATCAGCAATTGATGTCACTTTTGCTACTGGTCTGCCGACCATGTTCGGTGTGCCAAAATACAGTCACGAGCTCAATAGACTGCGGGAGAAGAGAGGGGTCGAGGGACTTTTTGGGCACAACCTCGTCTCGATAGACGGTAACACTGCTACGTTCGATCACGCTGGCAAGCAGATCCAGCGCCATTTCGACTTTCTCCACGCATCGCCCAGAAACGTGCCACACGCGTTCATCAAAGAGAGCGGCCTGGGCAACGAGGCGGGTTTCGTGGATGTCAACCAGCACACTTTGCGTCATACAACCTACAACAACGTCTGGGCACTCGGCGACGCCGCGGCACTGCCTACATCGAAAACAATGGCCGCGGTAACGTCCCAGGCACCCGTCCTTACACAGAATCTCATGCTAGCTCTCGAAGGGAAAAAGCCCGCCATGGAATACGATGGCTACACATCGTGCCCGCTCTTGACGGGAGAGAAGAAGGTGATTCTCGCAGAGTTCAAATACGGCAATGAACCCAAGGAAACCTTCAACAAATGGCTCGGTATTGACCAGGGGGTTCCGCGCCGCGCATTCTATCATTTGAAAAAGGATTTCTTCCCGTGGGTTTACCGACTCCATGTGAAGGGCCACTGGGGCGGACCAAAGGGTTATATCAGGTAGATGTAGCCGAAAAGTCTTGATGTTAGCGTTCATGCGGCTAAAAATTTGGGAGCAAATCGATGTTTGACATCATGTACACTGTTGTTGACTTTCCGATCTTGGATTTGGGCAACGGAGAAATTGGAGCATTTATATTTGTACCTTCTACGAGCGGTGTGGCTTGGAATAATCCAATCGTTTCAACACTTGACTGGCGTGTCGCAGACGATGTCGATGTTGTGTTCAACTTGGAATGCAGAACGTGCAGTATTCCCGTTGATGAGCGTAGAAATCTTAGGCATGTAATAGTAGGCTACTCAGTATGACGTCCAATAAGAGTGTTCAGATATGATCTCGCGTGCAGCTTCCCTAAGACGGATGAATTTGCGGCAGTGGAAGTCATCGCGAGGGACGTAACTATCTGAAACTCTCATTGCATCAATTGAAGCGACAAAACATGACAACCAAGACTAATACGATACTAGCGGAGCGCCAGTAGGGAGCTTTTCATTTATTGTCGATATGCCTGTATGAGGGAGTGCGAAGTAGCTCTAGAGCTGAACAGCATTAAGACTGCGGCATATGCGTGATGTAGTCTTTAGCATCGAAAAATGGCATGCACGGGTAGATACAAGAGTCTATGCGTCCAATTCGAAAGAGCTCGCTGGGAAGAGCAGTGCTCGGTCTAGATCAACGAAAGCGCATAATATGACGATGCCCAGGTGTTGTAGGGGGTCAATCTGTCACCTCATCGGAAGGTCGGCCTTGATCCGCGACGTCCCGATGGTCGCCGATCGTCCAATTAGCGCGACTCTAGACCCCGAGTCCCCGATCCGACCACCATCACTCACAGACACGGAAAGACGACGCACTTTGTAAGTTGGCCACCATGGCATGACTTTGACGGATCGACATATAGACTTCGCTATTGCTAGGTTGCCAAAGTGTTCTTCATAATGACATCGGTGCCATTTGTAAGAATGCATCCAGACCGTTGGGCCTCTTTCACCTCTTTTTCATGTGATTAGATGTCATTCGTGAGGCTTCTGGTGAGTGCAGGCAAAGCGAGGCGCTTACACATTTTCATCTCGGTGCTACAGGAAAATGACGGAATCATGCCAGAATCTTGATCAGTCAGTCCCGAAGTTGTTTGGACCGAATTTGGGTACTTACACAGCTCGGGAGACTACTGCGATAGGGAAAGTGTGTGAATAATGCTGGAAGAAGTATATGATACGGAGCTTCTTATCTAATATTTGGTGATAAGAGGAACGTTGTTGTAGTTGTTGGTAAGCGAATAGGTTTGGTTTGGCAATCTTTTCAACGCATGTGTTTTAAATCGCATGGGTGATATTCCTAGAAGATGCTTAGCTTCGCCGATGCCTATGGCATGCCGGTCTCATGTTTTCCCACGATATCTCGTACCGCCCGCACGTATACAAGAGGCTCGCGACAGAAATGTGCGCCAAGATTAAGCCGAGCGGCAAGACCATCCGGAGCAAAGAATTCGAATCATGAGTCTGTTTCCGCGCTGTCATCGACGAAGCCACGCCTCTCCCTCACCCAGCGTGTGGCGTCCACTGACGAGAGTGTGACCGCGATGGCGTTACTATTGGCGGAGCGTAAATCTCTATGCCAGCGGGCACCGACATGCGCCTGAGTTTCCTCGCCTTATTGAGAGACGGCAGGATATTCTGTGATCCTGTTCGTTCCTGTTCCGAACGCTGGATGCTGAACACAGTGCCAGAAGAAGAAGACACATTACTCGCAAAGAGAAACTGCACCGGCGGCCATGTTGCTATCACAATTCCTAGCATTGCGTATGCGCATTTCCTGGCGAAACACGGTTTTAAACTGGGCGGCAGAGCGCAGAAGATTGCAACCCCCATGTCTGGTCGGATATCTCAGATGAGGTTCGAGCAGATCAGCAATCAATATTGAAGAGTCACCATTTTATCTCTGGTTGGCTGGATGGTCCATACATTTACTTTAAAGAGCGAGTGGCGGCGAGTGGAATTCATCATTGAATATGTAGGCCTCCTCCGCCCCCAAATGCGAGAAAGCATGTTATTGGTGGGCGGCAATGGAGTCTGAAGACTTTCATGACACTAGGCACTCGATAACTTTGTTTAACAAATGTTGCACCTTGTTGGGATAACATGTCACCCAGGCTCGAGCACCAAGTCTATCCCAATGCCACAGTACCCAGCCAAGGCTCGATGGAAGAGATCTAAACTTGCCTAATCACCGTTAGATCTTCGAACTCCCAATCTTCTTCCCGACCTGCAAATGCTCGCTGTCCCACTTCTTCTTCAGCATCTGTGCATGCTCTGCCTTCTCAGTGAAACCTTCGAACAGCTTTGCCCATCCGCCTCCAAGCGTACGAATGTCGACAGGCCGTCCGGTCTTAACGTCCATGTAGGTGGCTGAGCCCTTGACCTCCGCAACAATGGCCTGCTGCTTGAGGGAAAAGAGTGAAGTAGTTCCGCTGTTCCTGGTCGGCTCGATGATATCCTCTCGATAAGCCGCAATGAGCTTCTCTCAGATTAGCACCTTTATCTAATCTGGGCGCGCTTCGCTAATGGTACGTACCGAATCGGGATATTTGACCTGCCTCCGTATGTCGAGCTCGTATCGCCGTACCACGGGAATGACCGTCTTGGCGATGATCATGTCATTGTATTCCTTCTCGTTCAGAAACTCATCGTAGCTTTCCATAACCCTATGGAAGCATGCGCCTAGGAAGGTCATGTACTGAGACTGCATGACATGGCCGAACGGGTCCTGATCCTCTGCCCAGAAAACGCCGCGCTCGACCATGGTTTGAGGATCATAGCCCATGGCCTCGAGGGTTGCAAGGGCTTTGGCTCGGAGAGGAGCATACGGGTCTGTGTTCGGGTGAGGCGTCGGGGCGCTTGCCCTAGCGTAAGGCGAGTTGTAGGCTGACTCCGCCAGGTGCGACGGTCGGGGCTTCCAGCTATTATCTTCCATATTGGATTACTCGTGTTGAACGGTGCTGCGTCTTCGTCCGAGGTAAAAGTACAGTATCCAGGACCGTACCGCAGAGATAATAAGCAGTGAGCACGCTATGCACGGACCTCACCTGTGCATACGTAGTGTAGCACGCCTGACGGCCCACGCGGGCCCTTCCTCAGGTCCCCACAACATTTGAAGCCTTTCAACCTTCAAATGAAGCATCGATCCCCAACGCCAAGCCCACATTTGATTAACATGTTTCCACATGGAGGATGGTACGGCGCCCCCTTGTCCGAGGCTGACTGGGCGCAAGGCCAACAGGGCTGTGGTTGGCGCAACCTGGGCACGCAACACAGTCCACCACCCTCCGCAGAAGTAACAGAATTATAGACGTGCCCAGACTTCAGGGCTCAATTAAGCTGCATTCCATCGCAAAATTATGGAGATTCAGCCATAGCTATCGCTGCTCCAAGGTCGTATATCACACTTTCGCGGGCTGAATGCTCGTATGCGGGCACCTTGCCTGATCCTCTTTACTTTTCTTACCCTAACAGCTGCCTAGACATGATATTCGGACATGTCTTCGAAATCTCTCATCGTATGGAATCCCTCGTTAATGACGAGAATGAGCCAACATCATCAACATCACCACGGTGATGACAACTTTGATGATATCGTCCATGTCATAGCGGAATGTTATGAAGCTTTAGTATCGCACGCCCATAAAGGTCGAAAGCTTCCCCCTTCTCGTTCGTCTGGCAAGTATAACCGCTTGCTACCGTTTAGACTACAGACTATTATCGTTTGCACAAAGAATATGCCACCTCCCACAGCGCTAGATTAAGAGATTAAGAATAAACAACTAATATATTTACTATGGGTAGTAAAGTATTACCTAAAATAGGGTACTAAACTATTAAAATAAGTGAATCAGGCTAAATAGACTAATAATTCACTCCCTATAGTAAAGATATTAGTTGAATGTTCTTAATTTCTTATTCTAGCGCTGCGGGAGGTGGCATATTCTTTGCGCAAAGCACCGATAACGACTCAGTGTATTACCCTGGCCTTCAATGTGGTCGAGTACGAAGCAGTGAAGGCATGCTTCGGGCACCCGCTCTGATATTTCCACGATGAGCAACAGCGAGAGCTACTTAGGACGTTTAGGGGCTAATTACTATTAATTGTATCGCTCACATCTCCCAATCCATCTTCCCTCGGGGAAGCTTTGGCACCCCGAGGCCGCCGGAATAGTCCACAACTCAAAGACTTTGGTAAGCTCGAACATTGCATCCACGGTAGGTGATACTTGATTTTGAAAGTCTTTGAACGACCAGAAGCTAATGGGGAATCTAGCAGTGTGCGCTATAATAGATCTAAGTCTACGCGATTTTGCCCACCTACTTCTTCAGTAGTCTGCCGTTGAGGCGCCTGGAAAAGCTACCATCATGTTGATCTTGACAGGATTGGGTCTTCTATGAGCTACTGCAAACTTTCTTGGGTGTTACCAGGCTACCTTTTTGTCTAGCTGCTCATAGTTTACAAATGTCTTTGAGTGCCCACAGACTACCATATGATCATGTTGATGCAACGATCACTTCACTATCATCTGCTCATTGCCAAACAATGGTCTCGCATGTGTCGTTTCTAATTTCGCCCTCAGACAGTCAAGCTGAATACTTATCAGATTTATGCGTACCTGCTTAGTTGTGTCTGTGTAGCGAATCCACCGCCTCGATCGTCTGATTTGCTTTCGTCAATGACATCAAGGATTCCGACATATTCCTGGGTGTTGCGGAGATTCTACGTCTGGGCCATTGTGAAGCGCAACTTTGCAGAGTTCTTGTGCATGCTGTGGATCAACTGGAAGATTGCTTACAGATCAGCAATGAAGGCTATGGCGACGGTCACGCAAGGGAGTCAAGGGACCCAGAACAAAGGACCCAGAACAAAGGATCGCATGGCTCTCCGAGTGACCTGACGTTCAGATTCGCCTACAAACGGCTTCATGACAGAAAACGTGGTGGTCTCGCGCGATAGGGAACAATGGACAGTTTACCACAATTCTCCATAACTCAGATGATGGAATTCTTCTGGGAGGTGACCCACATCTTCTAAGCTTGGATTCGAAGAGGAGTAACAGGGGTCACACCGTGAAAGTAAATATTGATATATCGGAGTGCAGTGACGACGACATTTCGACCATCTTTCTCGGCCCCGACTAAGCACGAACACCGACGGCCCTAGATACAAAGGGTAATGGCTTTCGTGTAACGGCGGCATTTTAGAGGTGGTGCTGTGAGGGGTTAATTAAGATGCGGTACGGTCCGGGGGTACCTGCATCCTCGGGCGCTCGCGCTGAGAAAATTCCGATGTGGGGTTCCTAGAGGGGGTGATTTGGTGCCGATCTTGTGCGAGATGGTGATTTAGTGACGATCAGTGAGATGCGGTAGGTGAGTAAGGAGAGCGGTATATATAAGTTGTGCTGGTTATGTATGCGGTGATGTGAGATAGTGTTGTTTGGGAAACGAGCTCGGGCGCCGTTCTCTTTCCATTCTCATCACTGTGCAGTATTACTTCGCTATTTGCTCCTCTCTTTACTCGAACTTGTGCCACACGAAGAGCATCACGGACGAACGATCATGCACTTTTATATTCTCACACCCGCCGTCTTTTTCGTGATCGGAGCTCTGAGACTGTTTATAGTACGTCGCATTCCCTTCTCTAATCCCTTCTGACTCAACATACGTTCAGGTCTTCATCCAGCGAGCGAAGAGCCCCCTCTGCCGTCTCCCCGGCCCCTGGTACTCGAAATGGACATCCCTAGTGTTGACCTACCACTGGCTTCGCGGCCAACGAGCAGCATACGTTCAACGACTGCATGAAAAATATGGTCCGTATACACACTCCACCCATCCATATAACCAAATGAAACAGGAATTGAAGCTCACCATTCGTAACAGGCAGAGTAGTGCGCCTCGGACCGTACGAAGTCGATTTTTGTTCTATATCCGGAGCCAAGCGAATCCACTCGTTCAATCGACCATTCCTGAAGTCCCAAATGTACGACATGTTTCGCAGCGGCAACGGTTCATACAATATCTTTAGCACTCGCGACCTGGATTTCCACGCGCGACATCGCCGGCTCCTCTCCGGGCCGATTTCAGAGGCCAACTTGAAGAGTTTCGAGCATATCGTACAGGCACGAGGAGATTTGGCCGTTGAGAAGATTGGGCTGGCAATGAAGAGATACGGAGCGGCGGATGTGATGAAATGGTGGATGTTCTTCAGTACCGATGTCATTGGAGAGTTGACTTTTGGGGATAGTTTTCGAATGTTGGAACAAGGCAAGGTAGACTCACCTGCCCTTAGGGGGACTAGAAGTCTTACTCGGGCATCGGCTAACGCATCGTTCCGCCAGGTAAACCAATACGCACGCGACCTTCAGAAAGTAGCCGTCCAAGGCGGTATTCGCGTTGCCTTCCCCAAAGTCGTAAAGCTTGCATCGTATCTCCCACTTCCGCTCTTCAGCGAGACCTATGCCGCGTCGCAACGGATGCGCTCCTACGCCGAAGAGTCCATCCGTCGCTACGAAAGGATGGTAGCAGCGGAGCCGAACAACCCCAAACCTACACTTTTCAGCAAGCTTTTCAAAGCTGGTGAAGAGACAATGTCCCCGCCTGAGCTCGTAGCCGATTCGCAGGCCTACATAACTGCCGGCAGCGATACGACGGCGCATAGCTTAACGTATCTGACGTGGGCGGTCTGCCGAGATGAGAGTATCAAGCCGAGACTTGTTAAGGAACTTGAAACTCTGCCCGATGGATATCGGGATGAGGATCTGAAAGTGCTACCGTACTTGAACCAGGTCATTCAGGAAACGCTGAGATTGTATGCTGCTGCGCCGGCGTTGTTGCCGAGAGAGATACCAACAGGTGGATGCGAGGTTGATGGTTACTGGATGCCTGGCGGAACGGTGGTTCAAACTCAGGCATACAGTATGCATAGAGACCCTACAGTGTATTCGGAGCCTGAACGGTGAGTCCGCTTTCCAATGCGCTGATGGACCAGAAAGCTCATTGTGGGAAAAGCTTCAACCCCTCGAGATGGGAGTCGCCCTCGAAAGAAATGAAAGATGCTTGGATGCCCTTTGGCGGTGGAGCTCGAAGTAAGTCGTCCGATGTTTGCGGCATAACATGCAATTGACAAATGTGACAGTCTGTATCGGACTACATCTGGCCCAGCTGGAGCTTCGAATTGCGACTGCGAAGTTTTTCCGGGCATTTCCAAATGCGAAGGTGTCGAGACTGGATGGATTTAACAATGATGATATGGAGCAGGTTATCTACTTTCTAATGTACCCCAAAGGAAAACGTTGCCTCATCCAAGCGTTATAAGCGCCCTAGCGGTTATCTCATAGGTCAGACGCTCTGCTGCACGGGCCGGCTATCACACAGGCCTCCTATCGTTTGCAGCGCGTCTGAGGGACAGTTGCAGCCATTTTAGTGTGAGATTAATTTTAGAACCTTAGAATCACACTTTTTTATATAAAGTACTTATCTACCACTATTATTTTATAATATTCTTATTTCTTTATATTTATTATTATGGAAAACAAGCTTAGTAAATAAGCTAATTAATTAGAATTACTATATAGGAGATTATACTAGATTAATAGTATATATAAGTGCTTATAACTTAAAATTCTAGTCTAGCTCCGTGCACGGGCCACCCTTAGTCACCTTCTTAGTTTATATAAAGTACTTAGGAATAGTATCTAGCTTTAGACGTTAAATCTTCCTACTATAAAACTACTTCTAGTAATATATAGATAATATATATAACTTAAAATAGGCCCTTACTTATACTAAGTATTCTTATATAATTAATTTAATTAATTATATATATATTTCTTTAACTAGCCTTTATTTTATAATTACTTAAGCTAGGCTTAGTTATTTCTAAAGCTTTTACTTTAATATACCCCTTAGATAAATATATACTATTAGGTATTACTTATCTACTTAAAGTTTTAGTATAAAATATTTATTAGCTTAGTTATAGAGATAGTATAGTATTTACTTAAAATAGTATTTTATTCTATTATAATTTTATTAGCTAAGTAACTATAAGATAAAAGATAATAATTACTTAGTTATTAGGTAATAAAGTAAATAAATATACTTTAGTTACTTAGTAAATAAAAGTAAGAGTATACTAGCCTAAGAATAATAAATAAATTTTTTACTAAGAATTTTTTTAATTTTACCTTTTTTTTACTAAGATTAATAGTATTATCTCTCTTCTATAGGTCTTTTCTTATTAATTATAAACCTTAAATTTAGGAGTAATATACCTATTTTAAAAAGTAGTAAGAACTTATACTTTAAACTCTACTAGTTAAAGGCTATACTATATTTACTAATCTAAACTAACTAAATAGATAAGCTAAAATAGTTAAAACCTATAGTAATAAAAAGAGCTTAAGAACTCTAGCTTCTATTAATAAAAAAATATATAGTATATAGAGCTCTATAACTAAAAAGGGCTCTAATATAAATTTTTTTATATACTATAATTCTAAGTAGTACTCTAGCTAAGTATAAACCTAGATACTTAAAGAAGAATAAGAATAAGAGTAAATTTATTAAGGTAATTAAAGAGTAGAATAATAAAAATTTCGAGCTAAGTATTATAGGTAGAGCCCTATAAAGAAACTTAGTTCTAGACCTTATTATATAGACCCTATAACTAGTAAGGGTTTAAAAAAGTATATAAGCTATCTTAAAAGACTTACTTTTCTTTTTATTAAATCTATTTATACTTCTATTTTACTTAGCCTACTTAGCTAGGTACCCCTAATAGTAGATTTAATTAATTTCTTCTTTTTTAGTAGCTTATAAAGCCCTATAGATAAGGTTAAGCTATAACTTAAGTTATTTTAATAAAACCTCTAGAGAGTAATTAAGTAGAATCCCTAATAGAACCTTAATAAAATTAATATAATAATAAAGAAAGCCTATAACTCTCCTAATAATAAAGTAGTTATAATAGTAGCTACCTAAGCCTATAAACTAAAATATAAAGGTATTCTAGAAGTAAATATAAGGCCTACCCTAATTAGAAGCCTTTTTTTTTTTTTTTTTTTTTTTTTTAGAGTAAAGCTACTATTATAACTACCTAATAGTAAAGAAATAGCTAGTTAGTACTATATATTAACTATAAACGGCTCTCTATTATATTCTATATATAATAAGGGAAAAAAGAAATAAGAAATAAAAAAGGTATAATTTATAAAATTCTAGCTTATTAAGGTAGTTTACTAAGGCTTACTAGCTTAATAGTTTCTCTACTACTACTAAAAGGTCTAACTAAGAGTGCACTTTTTAGTTAGGCTAATACTAAGTATATATTTATATAGAGGTCTTATAATATTAAATTAGTGAAAGGAGATAATAGAGAGGCTCCTACTATATCTATTAAGTACCTTAGTAGTAGTAATATCTAGTTATTAGAAAGTAACTTATAAAATAACTAAGTAGAAAAGGTATATAATATTTTAAGTAGTAATAGATATTCTATTCTATCTATAAATATTTCTATAGTAACTAGATAACTAATTAAAGGTAAAGGCTTTAACCTAACCTATAAAAGTAAAAACTTTATTCTAATTAGCTAAGTAGTTCTAATAGGCTACTAATAAGACTAGCCTATAAGTATTATATACTACCTTAGACTCTAATAAACTCTTATACCTAGTAAAAGAATACTAAAGCTTATAATTCTAGAGAATATATCTATAGAGCTTATTAGTAAGTTAAGTGTATAGTTACTATATAAGGTGTTACTAACTAATTATATAGGCAAATTGCCCTAGTAGGTATATAAAAATAAAAACTTAGCTAGTATTTTATTTACTTTATAACTTACTAGTTACCCTTTTTCTTTTATATAGTATTACTATTTACTTAAACCTTATTTATATTAGAGCTAGACCTTTACTAAAGGCTAGCTAATATATAGCTAGATACTAGTTTACTTTATATTATAATATATTTAGCTCTACTACTAATATAACACTAAGTTTCTAGTTATTACTATTACTATTATGGTTCTTAGATGCTTAGTAGAGTAGAGGGGTATATAGGCCCTTAGGGCTCCTAGCTTAGGACACTATCTTATATATATATAATACTATATATACTAGCTCCTATCCCTTAATATATAGTAGCTAAGCTTATATTTAAATTATTTTTTCTATAGGTACTAAAAGAGCTAAAAGAAACTACGCTTCTATAAGCACTAGGTAAACCTACTACTAGAAGCACTATAGACTATACTAGTATAGTATAAGAATATATATATAAGTACTTCTAAAAATAACTATATACTAGAGGTACTATCCTACTAGCCCTAGCTATATAGCTATTACTAGCTAGCCTACTAGATAGTACTACTATAAGTAACTATTTTAGTAGTATACTTACTAGAACTAGTATAACACTATAACTTTTTATCTATCTAGAAGCTACACCTTAGAACTTAACGTTATATACTATACTATATATTTAATATTAGACCTATACTTTTAAAGTATAATAGTAGTAGATTTAACTTTACTCTACTTAAGGTAGAATTTAAGTAGTATATTACGCTAATATTAGAATATATATATTAGGAAGCGTAAACTACTATACTTACTATTATATAGTAGTTTAAACTACTAACTATAGAAGTAATAGGCCTATAGAAAGGGCTATAACTATACTAATAAGGTATTAATACTACCTACTTACTTTCTCTTAGTAGAACTAATTCTAATAACCTTCTACTTCTTTTCTAATTTCCTACCTTATACTCCCCCTTACTACTACCTATAAGTATTTACTAATACTAATAATAGTATTAATATATAAGAATACTACTACTAAAAGCTTCTATAGTAGTAGCCCCTAAAGGTGTAGTATAATAATATATTATAAGATCCCTACTTCCCCTAGTATAGTATAACTATTATATATAAGGTAGGTAGTAGTACCCTAGCTAGCTATAGTAAAATAATATAAGACCCTAAATAAATCTAGTAATACTATTTCTAGTAGTAGTATAAATAGGAACTACTACTATATTTATAAGCTAGTAGTATAACTATACCTTAGCTATAATACTATTTAAACTATATAAGAAGGTAATAAGAAGAAGGCTAGCGTTTTATTTACTTTATAACTTACTAGTTACCCTTTTTCTTTTATACTAAGTTTCCTTTATTATTATTATTACTTTTACTATTACTATTACTATTACTATTACTATTACTATTACTATTACTATTACTATTACTATTACTATTACTATTACTATTACTATTACTATTACTATTACTATTACTATTACTATTACTATTACTATTACTATTACTATTACTATTACTATTACCTACTTAGCCTTTTATATACCTAAACTTCTATAAGCTTCTACTACTACTATTACTATTACTATTACTATTACCTACTTAGCCTTTTATATACCTAAACTTCTATAAGCTTCTACTACTACTAAATAATCTAATATTATAGAACCTCTACCTTATTATCTTTATATTATTCTTATATTACCTACTATAGGCTCTATACTTAAAATAACCTTAGGTGTAGCTATATCTATAGTTTTATACTAAGTAGGATTTTTTATATTTAGAGGATACTTAGCCTACCTATTATTTTTATAATAAACCTTTTATTTTCTTTAGTTAGCTCCTTTATCTTATAGTAGTTATAAATACTTTAGAGTTTCTACTTATACTTTAAGAAGTATTTAAAGTTACTATTTATTCTTAAAGCTTTTACTACTATCTACCCTACTTTATATAACTAGAGTGCTTTAATAATACCTATATATACCTCTTACTATGTCTTTAACTAGTTCTTAACTTACTTAATCTCTTTACTATTTCTAAATACTACTATAGTTAAGTAGATTCTATAGAACTACTACTTAGCTTCCTTCTAATTCTATATAGCCTTTTTACTAGTACTATAGATAGTAGGCTACGCTACCTATAGCTTATTATTAATAGTTAGGTTAATTCTAATATAGATCTAATATATTAGTAAGCCTAGTATAAATTTATAAGTAATACTACTAAGAGAAATAGAAGATAAGGACTATAGTATACTAAGATTAGGTATATTAAGCGCCTTTAGTTAGAATATATTATAATTAAAGGATTTAATAATTAATAGATTAAAGGATAAGGATAATAGAAAAGAAAGTATTATAGATAGCTATAATTTATTTATAAATACTTATTTTTTTCTAATAGAGCCCCTCTAACGCTTTCTCTTAATAACTATCCCTAAGGTTATAGTTATAGTTAAGGTCTCTAGGCTACTCTCTG